AACATTGAAGATTAAACTTGTTGCTTTCAGGCACAATCAAGTCCTTATTGCTTTGATGGTCGAATATTCATTTCTTGCGAAGTGGACCGCAACAGAATAACCGCAAACAAAAAAAGAGCAACATCATTCCAACCAGCAATGTCAACAACACCATAACGACAAAAATACATTGACACCCAAAAAACAATGAAAACGAAAGGTTCATTTTCATTCTGCAAGCATTCGGAAATGAGAGAGCGAGCTATTTCGACATCATCAGACAACAGCGGAAAACAGTGTTACACGCTCTCACAAACGACATCAGGAAAAAGGAGAGGAAGAGAGAGAGCTCTCAACCTATCTAATTCATCGCTTTGCTATTTGTTGCATCCGATATGCCGCTAGTTCTTGCATGGCCATAGGTCTCAACGATTGGTCAGAACAGGGGGGCATGCTTACACATCATCCTGCCGAACGCCTCTCCTCTCCTTTCCTCTTACTACCCTATTCCAGTTCTATAAACAATCTCACCCCCTTCAATCGATGACGCAAAATAGAAAGGGAAACGCGAAGCTGGGCGGAAACCATTACAAGACTAGATGGAAGGATACACCAAATTGTTTGTTCATCTCCACCTTTTTTCATTTTCGCGATTCTTTGATGACATCTAAACCCAACCTGACATGAAGAGACCTCTGTATGCAGCATGGCAAATTTTTTTTTGCCTTCTTGTTTGACGGTGAACATGTGTTCATCGCACAAGGGGAACGTTGTTTTTTTCTCCGCCTTCAGACAGACAGAGAGCGATCAGCCTTACCTCGTGTTTTTAGTTTGTGTCTCGCCCATTCTTTTCCATTCCTCTTTTCGAGGTCGTACACGCGGGCAGTAGGGTTACGCCACGTTTTTATATTTGACACAAAACGAAAAAGGCTCACCTCGCGCTTCCCTCACACTTCCTCTCTTTCCCTCAAAGCGGAGGATGAAGTTGTTATTAGTTTCGAACTGCCACATGACCTGCGCTGTTTTACATTTGTGCGACCACGCCAAAACAAAACACAAATAATGGTCAGCCCTCAAACGTTGGGTTTTTGTTTCTGCTGCCAACTCTCACCTCACCTCACCAACTGATGAGATCGCAAAAAAAACACGAACAAGAAAGGAGAGAAGGCTGAAGCGAGGACGGAGGAGTCCATGAGCATGGAAATGCTTTTAGGAAGGCTCGCAAGCTAACAGAACAAACCCCTGCTAAAGAACAAGCACAATCAAAATGAGGGCTGTTGGCCAGGTTGTCCTTTTATGCCCTGTTACTCTCACCTTTCCGCTCCTCTTCCTCTTCCTACCTCGCCGCATACTACGCAATAAGAAATGAGAGAGCGAGGGAGCTGTGGTTAGGTCGACTATCGGTCCACTTTTTATTGTGAAATGAGAACCAATGAAACGTTCATTTGCTCAATTGAAATTGAACTCACGTTTTATGTGGTTCATTTGAGCGCGAAGGGGGGAAGTCAAGATCTCTTCAATCCTTTCATTCTCTTCTCTTCTCTCCTCGCTCTCTCATTCTCTCCATTCACTTTTCTCCCTCTCTCTCCTATCTTTGTTTTCGATGGATAACATAATACTTCTGGCACATTACTGTTCCAAGGAAAGCATGATGACGACGGATAGTTTTTTTTTGGATCACAAGAAAGCTGAAAGGGAGGGTTGATGGAGGAGAAAAAAGAAGGCACTCCATCACCCAGGCCTTCTGAAACCAAGTATCGATCCTCTTTTCTTATTTTAACGTGGAAAGATGGAACTAACAAAAGAGATCAAGATGGGCGATGAGTAGCATTGAATTGGCAGTAATCAGACTTGTCAACAACCTGGCTGTGCCTGCTCCTTGCTCAAGTCGGTAGTATCAGCTCCAAAGTAAAGGGGGACTAGGTTCATCTTTCGATCTTGTTTTTTTTCGTCGTCGACTCTCTCGGCCAACTTTCCCGCGGTCCCCCTTTCTTTCCCTCTCCCCATACTTTCGCCCTTTTTCGTACCCCTTCGGAAGATTTTAATTTTTTTTTGCACCCAAACAAACTCACAAGATGGCGGGTTGGAAAACACAAGGGTGGGAGACTGGGAGAGACTTTTGGGCGTAAGAGAAGGAGAGTGAGAGAGGTTTCAACTGCGAGCGAAAAAAATACAGATGTAGTGAATAGAAGTGTGATGGGTGACGGAATGGGATTAGGTTGAGTGTCGGAAATAAAAAATTTAGCTTCTATTTCGACCTTTGAACGAATCGCAATTGAAAGAGCGAGGCCCATGAAAAAAACGTGGTTCTCCAACTCCCAACGGACGAGAAGGTATTCTCTCTGTCGTACTTTGAAGTTTGAGAGGAACAAACAACGATAATCCAGGCACCCCTGTCATCTGACAATCTGTTCAGTGGAGATGGGTGCTCAAAGAAAGAAGTGGACAAGATGGAGGGACACAGAGAGAGAGAGGAGAGAAAATCGATGAGCCATACCCCACTCGTCATAACGTGGTGGAAAAAGAATGAGGAAAGTCCACACAAGACTGAAAGAGCGCTCTTTTTGTGCACCCAAATGAACCTTTCCAGTAGCAAGAGAAGAAGCATCGCATCGCATCGCATCGCATCGCCACATCGAAATGCGAAGTCGGGAGAGAGTGAAGGGGCTTGAGAGGAATGGTGTATACATGTATAGTAACAGCTAGGAGGATTAGTTCGTTGGTTGGGACCGAGACCTTTTTACTTTATCTTCCCCCCTGATTCAATGATTGATTGATGTAGATTGATCAGAAACAAACATGACACCGTATCAGTGCCATTAATGATCGCGTACCTGGATGATGGACTCCTGTTATTCTCTCTCTCTTGCATTCAGTGGCCATGGATCACCTTCAGATAAAAATGGGTACCTTTGAATCGATTGCCTCTTCAGCGTGTCTGTTGTCCATAAACAAATGGTTCTCAAGGTCCCGTGGCACACAACAATGGAGAAGAACTTAATCTCCTTTTCTTTTGGTATTGTTCTTTCGTCTTTTGATTATTTGTTTGCGTTTGTATTTGTGTTTCTGTGCTGCATCCAAAGCTGGGGATGAGGAAGGTCATTTCGGTATGACATTCATTCTCGCATCCCCCTTCAATTGCTTTTCTGCACTTTGTACTCGCTTTTCCCCTGATGCTCAATGACAGTAGACCATTTTTAATTTCCAGAAAATCTATTCCGCACGCGGCTGTTGGCATCAATTGATACACGGCGTTTTTGCTTACTTTATTAATTTGCATTGCCTTCTCGCTGTTACATTCATACCCCAAACACACAAAAACAACAAAAAGAGCGCAATGCTCGTCGACCCTACGCGCCTCGACCCGTTATAAGTTCAGTCCTTCATCTGTTGTGTTTTCTGGGGCTATTTTGAGGGGCTCTATCTTGAACGTTCAACGTATGGCCCTCCAATCTCTATCGTAGTCACCACTCATTCATTTCTCTTTTTCAGCGCGGTCGGGTTGCGGAAGAAGGATGGTGAAATGCTCAACCGAGCGAAACGAAAGAACGCGCCAAGGAACCCACTAACGAACGAAAACTCAACTCACAGCAGACGGCGTGTCCCTTGGAGAGATAAATGGTGGTAATTGCAGGCGTAGTTGTTTTCCGGTTCTCTCTCTCCCTCTCTCTCTCTCACTCACACACACACACACACACACACACACACACACACACACACACACACACATACAGACTTCATCTCTTATTCTTGGCCATGGGTTCATGAGACGGCACGCAACGAGAGCAAATTTCTTTATTGTGCTCATTTCTCTTTGAGGTGTTGCAGCTGCAAGGTTGTATGTGATGTTTTCTTTTTGAATGCATGTCTGATTATTGAACTATGTGTCTGCATTGGTGATTTGACCATTCCTTACCCTCCCTCCTCCTTCCTTCCTTCCTTCGTCTCTCGAACACAAAAAGAAACCTTGATACTGTAGGCTTTCCTCAATAAAAATCTATGAGCAAAAAAACACAACAACGCCTTTCGCGTGTTTCTTTTTGTACTCTGTCTGTCTTTCCCCGTTGACATGGTCGCTCCATATGACTGTATTCTCTAGTTCAAAGCTTTCGTCTCGCTCGCCCACTCAGCGTATGCGCGTGGAAGGTCGCATATCTTGACACGCGAAAAATAACCCGTCACCATTCTCTTGAAACCAAACATACTACATTACAACAGAAGCATCTTCTACTTCGCTACCAAATGCTCTTATGTCATCTCTTCTCGTCTATCGTCCTTCATTTTCTTGTCTTTCTCTCTCTCACATTTCTTCCCCCATTTCTTCTCTCTCCTGGAACACGTTTTTGCTCTTCGACTTCTTTATCTTTTGTCTTTATTTTTGTTTTGCTGTCGCCATGCATGCATGGCATACATACCTTTGGGCTGTTGTGTATTATTTTTTTGTGTCACGACTCTAATTCTCCACATCTCGCGTTATTTTATTTTCTCTCTTCCCTGTGTTATCATCTTGTGTTTCTTGTTGAGTTTCTTCTCCTTCTTCGTCTCTCGTAGCTGAGAGCCCTTCTTGTGCCCTACTCCCTCCCTTTTATCACCTTCTCGTTTTCTCTCCACCATCCCATCTCTTGTTGTCTCTAGCTGAGCGAAGCAACGGGCGTAATCGTCGAGACTCCATCGATACCCTTGCCCTAATTGACCCATTGTTTTTGTTCGGATGCTCCTTCCGGGCACAACAACGTTCAATACTAGGCCATTCTTTCTTCGTACATGGTTTGTTTGGAGGTCAAAAAGATTTATTTGCTGGGTGGGGGGTACTGTACAGAATGCTTCGATCTCGTCGATCGGCTCGCGACATGCGCGTTTTTTTTTTTTTTTTTTTTTTTGGTTGTTGTTGTAATGGGTTAAAGATTATATTACGCCAAAGAGAATGGTTTCAATAAGAGAAAAGGAACGAAGAAAGATATCGAAAAGAAAAGAAAAGAAAAGAAAATCAGGGACGGTGAAATAACAACATCCTACAGTCCTCAAGTCCGCATGGCAATAGGGGGGTAAACTTGTTGATGCTGCTGCTGCTGCCTATGCAAAGGCAAGGGGAGCTGGGCATGGACAGGGGAGGGGGAAACGGGGACTTGGACAATATCGAACATTTCTTGCATCTTGGGTTTGGACCGGATCTTGCGGAGGAGACCAGCTTTCTTGCCTGAGGTTGTCCAGGAGGAGAAGTTGGTCATGGTGGGAGAAGAGGAAGAGGAGATGGAAGTCGAGTTGGAGAGTTGGGGGGATCCGACGGACATAGCGGTGGTGGGGGTGTAGGTGGCTGAGCTGTTAGTTGCTGTGCCCGTCGCGGACATGGCGAAGGTCGAGTCGGTCATAACCAAAGTTGAACCGGAGGTGATGGATGAGGTCAACGAAGGGGTGTGTCCGTGCCCGTGGCCATGCTGCTGCTGTTGGATGACGCTAAAGCTCTGGGGCATCTGGGCATTAGTCTTCATCATGGGTGACGCGAAGGGGGTCGAAGATGCGGTCGACGGCGAGGTCGAAGGAGAAGGCGAGAACCCGTTCTTGAACGAGCCTCCCATGCTTGTCTTGCTCGATCCTGCAGAAAAGTGCTCGCTCAGTTTCTCAAGGGACGATCTTGGTGTAGGGGGGAGATCTGCATTCAGGGATGCCGCTGTGATGCCGTTGCCATGATACTCGCGTTGGTGCTGCTGCTGTTGTTGATGTTGGTGCAGGTCGAAGGATGCTCGCTTGCGGTGACCTAGGCTGCTACCGTTATTGCCGTTGTTGATCCTAGGGGTCACGCGACCCACAGAGGTACTGTTATGTCTCCAGAGCGCTGAGGCCCCTCCCGTGTGAGTCGGCCGCTGCTGCTGGACATCATAAGCAGAAGATGAAACCCCTCCCAACGATGGGTAAAAGTTGCCGTTGCCCTCAAAGCTCATGGTTCGTCGGTTCGAGAATCGGCTATGAAGGACATCCCGATCATATCCACCTCGGACTGCCGTCGTCGTTGATGTGGGTCCCGACCCTGCAGCAGCCGTGCCTCTGTAATCCGGCACGACGGCGACGCCTTGGTTGCTGCGGTCCCGAACGTAGTTGACATTGCTGTTACCGATGTTGTTGAGGTTGTTTCGGTCAAATGATACCGAGGCCATCATCGAGCTGCGCTTATCGGATCGAACCGGGATTGGCGGTGTGGCGAGGTTGGCTCGAGGAGCGGTGGTCAAAGGAAAGGCAGTGGCAGTTGAGAGGGAGTTGACAGGAAAGTGAACACTAGACCGGATGGTATCGGTCGAGGAACATCTCCTGACATGGAACCCCTCCCGCTGACGAGGAAAGAGTGATGAAGGCATGGCGGTATAGTTGGGCTGACATTCCGGTGAGAGAAGACTCCGATCATCCTCATTGCTGCTCTTCTTCTTTAGAGTCCCGTTCAGATTGATGGGTTTCTCGGATGTGTGCTCCAGGTAGTACCGGTCTCGGTCGTCGTTGTCGGACTGATGGTATGGTGGCGGCTGCTGCGGCGAGGGTTCAGTGCGAGGTCCTGTCATGACGCGACGATGGTGGTGGTTGATGTAACTCTCAGGGCTGAGCTCCAGCATCAGATCGGCGCCGTCGTTTGTCAAGTAGTCGTCATGGATCTCTACCGTGGCGATGATCTCATCGTTATCGTCGATATTGATGTCGTCGTTGTTGTCATCGTTGTTGTACACGCCGATGTTGAGGTTCTCCCGGCCGTCGACGCTCTCATCGTCACTCTCATCGTCGATGTAGTCCTCTTCCTGATCCACGACAGGCTCCTCGGGACTGTAATACTCCACGCTCAAATTGTTCATAGTCCGCTCAACCTTGAAAATAGTGCTGGTAGGTCGATTGTTCATGGTAGTTGTGACGACGGTGGTCTTGCTGGATGAAAGCGAGTTCAGCTGCGCGACAGCTGAGACTTGTGTTATCCGGGCGGCGGTGGCGATCTGCCTAGTCTCGTCCTCGAACCGCTTCAAGAGCCGCCTCTCCAGGTGTCCCATCCTTGTGATGATCAGCAGGATCTTTTGGCGGAGGTCGATGCAGACAATATCGTTCATCATCGAGCGGTAGTGCGGTTGAACTGGGATGATTTTCGTAATAATCCTAGCATCGTCGATAAATAAACATATAAATATGTTAGAAGATATGCATTATGCGTGGTAGAGTCACTCCTTTTACACCTCCGCCCAAGCCGTTAGGAAGGGAGGGGATGCATGTAATTAAACTGAGGTACGTTGACTGCATGGACTGTTCTCTACACTCTCGGTCTTTCTTTTCTTTGCTTTTGTTTTGTTTCGTTTCGTTTCTGTCTTCCATCAGATGTACTTACAGACATGCTCGTACGAAGGAGATGTATGCGTTTTCGTCATCCCCTTTCGATTCCGCCATATTGCCCTATTAGAGTACATGTGCAATGTATATAATTATATGCGAAGTGAGTATTACAGGCTTTTTCTTTCGTGTTCATGGGCTGTGTGTCTGTGTGGTAGATAAGTGCATAGTCGGAAAGCGAGAGAAAAGAAGCAGGCAGAGAGGGCTGGAGCCGAATAGATGAGGCCAGACCAGATCCATCCGTCCAAAGGAGCAGATCAACAACGAGCCGATCGCTGATCAGAGACAAACAAGAAAGCACCTCATCAATGAGACAAACAAAAAGTGTACCTGTTTTACAAGGAGACTGGCCATGTTGACCCATGTCTTGATTGTATGGTTGAAATCCTCCGCGGCAAATTCCGCACTCGTCTTTAGCTCGAACAGCCGAGCCCTCGGTGGCATTGACATGTTGGACATGTTATTGCTCTCAATAAACTCCATGGTATTTTGTTGTTGTTGTTGATGGTGATGTATGCGCCTTTGTAGTTTCTGATTGGTCTGCTGCCGTTCTTGTTGATGTTGCTGTTGTTTGGGTATAGTTGGAGGAGGAAGTGGAGCTGATTGCTGCTTGAGTTGTTCAATTGTCCTGTTTGGGAACTGGAGCACAAATGCTTCGGGCGCTGGAGAGGGCCTAGTCTTTGAAAGAAGATTGCCAAGACTACGCCTAGCGCGACTACCTTTTGACTGAAGAGGTTCTACAACGGAGTTGGGCCTGCTGAAGGATCGTATTATACGTTTCATCGTGTAGGGTTGGCACAGTAGAGAAAATAGACGGTAGGGGAGAAACGGTAGCAAGAGAGGGGAAGAAAGAGAGAGAGAAAAATGGATTAGGATACTGCTTTTGCTCGTCTTTATTCATTTTGGGATTGGATCAATGTCAAGCATCAATGTCCCCTCATTCACGCCTTTTTACCACCCCCACCACTGTCCCTTCAAAGTTCATTTTTAGCACCCTCTGGGAGGCGAGAAGGGGTGCGGAAAGGCAGCGGTTGACGGAAAAAATGGTGACTCGCTTCCAAGCAAGGGGAGTTTTTTTGTTCTACTCTGCTTTGACCTCTCTTTTTTTTCCTTCCAAGATTCCTCTTCCCAGCAAGTAACAATCAAGACAGAAGCACAGGAGGGCGTTGATTGTGCCTTTTTTTTACTCCCTCTGTTGCTCCTGGCATGAATTAACTTTAGGGTAGAGTTTAGAAAGAACGATGGTGTGGGGGCCACTTTGTATTTTTCTTCTTTTCTTTCTCCCAGAGCAAATTCTTCCCGAACTCGGGAGAGGCTATAGCCAATGGTTCTTTTGTTGCTGTTGACTTTGTCGTCTCAGCAGTGTAAAGTGGAGAAAAACAACCAGAAAGGACAAAAGGAAAGAGGCGAGACGAAGAAGAGAAGAAAGGGGAGGAGAATAAAGATAGAACTTAAAGTGCGACGACACAAGAAGGGCAGAGGTGGAAGGAAGGCGCCATTGCCATGCATGGGTAGCATGATTGGTACGAGGTTCCTTGCCCTTCGAGTATACTTCCCATTCTTTTCTCCTTCCGAAAATAACCAAGCGCAAAAAAGGATTTAAGGACGTTCAGTGTGGCACTAAGCCAAGACCAGGGCGACCTAACCAATCCACTTTTTTTTGCCTCGTTTCTTGCCCTCACCCTCGCATTAATGCGATCGAACAAGTAATCAAACATTTGTTCCAATGAATTGAGTACAAACACACCGCCCGTTTTTTTTTCTTTTTTTCCGTCGGTTCGTCCTTCAACAGCCCAGCCTACGGGTAATAATGCAAGCGGGATAATAAGGAGACGAGAGAGAACGAGAGAGAGGGAGAGGGAGAGGGGGCAAGGAGAGACGCATTGGTGTTATGTCGAGGGGTGGATTTGGTGGACGATTGTAGGGAGGAAGGGGGTGAGGGGAAGTATAGGCACTTATGTCAAAGATTTGTGTTTGTTGTATTCTGTAAGACCGGGCAAGACTTTTTAGGTTGGATTTAGTAAAGTAAAAAGGAAGGATAGTAGGAAGAAACGGGGGGAGAAAGAAAAGGAAAGGGAAGGGAAGGGAAGGGAAGGGAAACGAAAGGAAGCGAAAGGTGAAGGAGAGAGGGAGATTGGGAAAGTGGAGGGTAAAGAAGGCAGCAAAGGCAGCAAGGCGAGTCTTACCTTTTCCGAAGGTGGCGGCAGGCGAGAAAGCGATTTTAACACAGCGATTGCCGGTCAAGGAGACGATGGAAAAAAAAAAGATGGAGTTGAAGAAAAAAAAAGGAGGGGGACGGTCGTGAAAGCAATACAGAAAAGATGCTGGGGAGGTGGGCGTAGCTGGAAGTATTTATGGTCAAGCTTCTTTTCGTGGGAGGATGTCGCGGTATGAAAATAAGCAGAAGAGAAGAGTGGAACACTAACTAACAATGCAAAAGCATGCACGAACAATGCACGAAGAATAGTGAAGAGGACAAAGAGTACGAGATGTGCTATATACTTTATGCGCGAAGAAGTATGGCAGTGTACCCCTGGCCGTTATGTGATGGTGTACTTGTGGGCAGGTATGTGCGTCAGAAGTGAAGGAAGCAGGAGGCTGATGTGGAGGCAGACAGGAAGAATAAATAACAGGAAAGTAGACGAGCAGGGCGTGAGTGGAGTAAAGAATAGTAAGAATTAAGAATTGGTAATAGTGGTGTTGTCGTTATGGTTGAATTGGTCGTGAGTGACGAGAAAAAGTAAGAAAGGAACAAAGGCGTGGAAAAGGAAGAAGGATGGACATAAAGAGACGTAAAATGATCGTGAAAAAGGTGAATGAGAGAAACAACAAAAAGTAAAAGAAGGTTTTTGTTGTTTTAGTTATTGTTGTTGTTGCTGTCAGAGTACGAAAGAGAGTTGAGCAGTGCGTGCGTGCGTGGGCGGAGCAAACTGTCGAACTGAGCAGAAAACGTGCGAGTGTTGGTGAAGGAGTGAGTGAGTGTGCGAAGATGGCTGGGGATTATGTACAACGAGCGGTCGAAGCTGAAGGAGGAAGAGAGCGTAAAGGCACGATCCACGAAAACAAACGAAAAGAGAGAAAAGATGAGAAAAGAAAAAAAAGAAAGAGAAAGTGAGGAATTAAGGCTAGAAATGAGAGAAGGAAGAAGGGAAAGAGCGGGCACGATGAGCGCGAGAGAAAGAGGGAGAGAGAGAGGGAAGGAGAGGAACCAGGAGGGACCGAGATAGTAAAAAATGAAAGCAGATGAGATTGAGGATATTTTGGATTGGGACAACGAGAAGGATAAAGGAGGGAGAGGAGAGGAGTGGAGGAAAAGGAGGAGGAGCGCGACGGCAATTGAAGAAAAGAGAATGAAAGAGAAGATGAAGAGAGAGAAGATGAAAGAGAGAAGAAGCAGGGCAGCGCTATATAAAAAGGTCAGCATATTTACTTGCAACTCGCAAATGGTGAATGATGTGGGTGAATGATCGAAAACAACAAAATAGAAGAGAGAGATGGACGGAAGGGGAAGAAGACTATCTGTATATTTATGGGATTGGGTTGAAAGAAATGATGACCAAAGTCAGTGTCTATACACATCTCATTCCGTTGTGTCTGGGTTGATCGTTCAAGGTTCAAGGTTAAGGCGTGTTTGTTGTTGTCTCATCGAAGCAATTAATGCAAAACCAACAAGCAGCATGCCACAACGGAAGATGATGAGATGCGAGGCAGCGAGGGCAATTTTCCCCGCTATTCAGCGCCTCTGAGCTGCTGTTGCTTGTTTGCTTGTTTGTTTGTTGTTGAGAAAAAAAGATGGAAATCAAAAAGCCAACCGAAACCTGTCGTACAAACAAGCCAACAAGGCAAAGGATGAAAAAAAGCGAGCAAACAAACTAACAATCAGACAGACAAACAGACAGACAAACAAGCGAACAAGTCGTTCAACGAATAACATCCTCTTGTTTTACTACGACAGCAAAAACGAGGTTCTCGCACTTTCACTTTCGAAGTCTCTTTACCTCTTTTCACGATAGACAATCGCCCCTTGCTCGATCCGGTCATTCTTTCCTTCATATACTTTTTCTAGTTCATTAATTAGAGCTTGGACTTTGACAACAACTTGCTCCGTGTTTGCACAAATGGTCTGTGTTTAAGTATCCCTCGCATGGGCCGTTCGTCCCATGTTAAAAAAACACGGAGGCATAATTCCGTCTCAATGCTCAATAATGTTTGTTAGCCCCATTTCCGTCCGTAGCTCACAAAACAAAATAGCTACTTTGATAATTGGGGAGGAGGGCATTACATTACCCCGGACCGTTAGCGATCTACAACACCTGTTCCCTGACTTACAAGTCTTAGCAAAACACACCGACCGAGCAAGCTCAAAAGGAGAGACAATGCAAGCATTTCACCCAAAAGCGCGTTTGTGAACGTAGTGCAAAAGAACAACAGATGTGTGGATGTTGATGACGCGTTTTCAGATTGCTTTTCCCAAGAAGGAGAGAGAAAGGAATGAGAGGGAATCCCAGGCATAACCAAGTCTGTTCTGTGCTGCACATCAAGGCAGATGTCTCAGTATTGGTAAAAAAGGTACAGTACGTGCCCCTGAACCTGAGACGTTTCAGGGGCATTTTTTTTTGTTTCTCGCCTCCGCATTAACAGCGAAATATAATAATTCACCGATCGCGACGTTCAGTCCTTGTACCTCCCTCTTTCTTTTTGCTCTTTCTGGTCTGCTGCCTGCCTTCGTTCCTGCAAGGAAAACTCACCTAATGCATGACTTTTGTTACCCCTTCTGGTGTTTGATCGATAGTGAGTTGATCGCACACTCCTCTCCCCTACCTCGCTAACGGTGTACCATTATGTCCCTCGAGATTTCATTTGTCTATGTAGCATGCAACGATGATATGCAATGCCCCTCTCCCCCCTGAAATCGGCGGAATAGCTAATTTGTTTGGTAGAGAGCGTAGTTTGAAGGCGTTAAGCGAGGTATGCGCCATTGAGTAGCCAGCCCCCTTTGCAACACCTAGGCTTGTGAAAAGAAAGCGCGTGGACTTCTAGCATATTAAGCGAGGCTGGATTGAACCCTGACCAAGGGGAGGAGAAAGACCGTTTGTTTATTTGCCTTTACTTTTAACACGAGCGTATGTGCGCATGTGAAGAAGGAGCGGGAGGAGAAGGAGAAACCACTGAACAAATTTTCCCTTGCCTACTGAACACCCGCAAGGGGAGGAACAAATAAACGGATTGGACACACATAAATGCAATCGGGTTCTCGAAGGAATGATGTCAAAATCTTGTGCAGGCAGGCTCGATGCGATTTAGGAGAAAAGGACGAATAGGCAAGGGGAGCAGGTATTAACAGAGTGGCGCATGTCATTCATAGATATGCTTGAGACTTGCCTGTTGGCCAGGGCAGCAATTGGTGGAAGAGAGGGCCGTGCCGACGTGAGGCGGGTGTCAAGAAGTAGTTGTTGTCAGAAACAAGTGTGGACATACCAAAACACCAAAGGAACTTGGCACGAAGAGGGGTCTAATCGAAATATAGATAGCGCTCGCAAAAGGAGGGCGGGAAGTTTTTTTTTACGTTTTTTTTATAGGATACAGAGTGGTGCAATAGGGACTTCAACTAGCTGAGCTAACACACAAACAGCCATACATAACATAAACAGACAAATTGGGACGATGTCATGGCCAATTGTGACCAATGGCAGCTTCTTGGCTCACTTCCGCCTGGCTCCTCTTTCTCTCTCCGTTGTGCCCTGAAAGACAATAGGCCTCTTTCTCTCTTTCTCTTTCTCTCTTTCACTCTTTCTCCTCCCTTTTCTCTCTCTTTCCTTCTTGTACTTGTCACCCCATCACTCTTCTCAACCTTTACACCCACTTTTTGTACATCCACTCCACTCTTTCTCATCACCATGTCAGGACTGATTCTCAACTGTTTACTGCCCTTTGTGCGCCCTCCTCGCACTGTTTCGGTCCAGGAGGCCCAAAACATGTCGACCGCCGACTACCTCGATGCTGCAAGTGACCGCTCCCATTCCAAACTCTCTCATTCAACTGCAAAGAGTTGATCATCAGAAGAATTGGACTGTGCCTCCCGCCGCTTTTCATATGCACAAGCACAGACATCCTTTCTGGTGCCTGAAAAGTGACACAAAGAGAGTTGACTGATGAATCATCACAGATTTATTGACGCTTCTTTCTCTCATACCCCTGGGACATATCTCACAATAATATTAGACCTTCAACTCGGCCCCTTCGATCGTCAACGATCAGACCGTTCGCCAGAGCCTCGTCAGCGTCTTCGAGCAGCAGGCTCAAAAGAATGGCTCCGCACCCTCCATCCAACAGCTCTTCAACGCTGCCCGTGAGGCCTGTGCTGTCGATCACGACAAGGACGTGGTACGTTCCTCCTTGTCTATTCATTCACTTGTTCTTTCCCCTTTTCTCATTTTTGCCAGCTGGACATATGTAGCTCTGCTTGGATAAAGGATGGAACGGCAACATCTATTGGACTGAAATGACAGTTATGTCTGTGAGCCGGAGCGGGATAAAGTTGATGCATGTTCACTGACCTAGTTTTTGTCATTCCTATGGCAACACACTTGTTAGATTACCTGGCTCGAGACTCTTCTTAACGCCTCCAACCATGGCAACCAGGGCAACCACGGAAACGGAGGTCATGTTGTTACCCCTCCTCCAGTCACCCATCCCACCACCAACAACAACAACCAGGGCGGATCCAACATCTTTATCAACCCTATCTTCTTCCCATCGGAGGAGAGCTTTAAGCAGTTGGTCAAGACTCTCGATGGCGCTCAGAAGTCTTTGGATATTTGTGTCTACACCATCACCGACGACCACCTCGCCAACGCCATCATCAGGGTAACTAAGCGCCTCTTTTCTTTTTCTTTATGGTATCTTTATCTATAGTGTTGATGGAGAGAGTAATCTGCTAATATGTCGTGTTCCTTGCGTGTTTCTTAGGCTCATGAGCGTGGTGTCAAAGTCCGTATCATTTCTGATAGCGAGAAGGTAAAAAAGAAAACTCTATGAATATGTCGACCTTTCTAATGTGCAACAGGATCGGATGGTTCAGCAACAATGATGTCTAAACGCACTCAATACTTCTGTTTCTAGGCTGATGACTTGGGCTCGGATGTTAACCGTCTCCGTGATAACAACGACATCTCCACCCGCGTTGATAAGAGGTACTATGACAGTTAGGCCGCTGACAAAAGAGCGTAATGTTCGTTCAATTGAAAGGGATATTACGTCGAGCGAAGGAACCAGGCTTACTTACCAATGCACCCATCTTTCTGTATGATAATAGCAAATCGTTTATGCACCACAAGTTTGCGGTTATTGACGATCAGTTGGTGATCAATGGCTCATACAACTGGACCAAGGGAGCCCGTTTTGATAACAGGGAGAACTTGACTTTAACCAACTCTCCCAAGGCCATCCAGGGCTTCAAGGGCGAGTTTGAGCGTCTCTGGGCCGAGTTTGCCTAAGCGCTTTTTTTTTATTGTTCCCTTTCTAATTGGTCTATAGAACTCTTACCTCGTATCTACCTATCTTCAATAATACCTAATTGACAAACGCAAGCGCGGCTGTTCAAATGTTAGTGGAATGAAGAGGGCTGAATGGTGACACAGCATTTGCATCAATCAGACTCTTCCAACCGTCATCTTTTTTTGTTTTTAGTGCTGGCTAGATATTGGTGTTTGCGGGCCAGGCAGGGACAAGAAGGAAGACACTCAACGACCGGGTTGCATCTTTTTCTTTACACCTTCGACAACCCCATCAACCCACCATGTTCGCCGCCACTCGTGCTCAACCCATCGCCAATGTGCTCAGGTACTTTGTCCTACTTGCTGCTCGACACTCTCCTCCTCCTTCCTCACAAACTGCACACACCCGCCTCCTCACCCCTCACTGCTCCTTCACGTTCAACGCCTTCTTCCTATCAAAACATTACACCCGTTTTCTTCCTACATATGCTCACCTGCTGTCCGACACTTTGATCCAGCAGGGTTGATCAAACAAACTGGACGCAATTCATACCGTGGATGACTTTGCGACGGGATGCATGAACTGGCACCCCTGAAAAAAGGAGCTGGCTGGCACCCCATGGAGAGATACGAAGTGTTTCTCTCAGCCAACCGTCAAGGATCAGTTTCTATGCTTCTGCCATATCTGATTTTATTATTTCAGGAACGACATCATCGGAACGGTCTACCTCAAACCAACCCGACAAATACCCATGAAGAGTGTCCCAATCGAAGTAAAGGACGCGGCATCCGTCGTGATTTACTATACATCCAGCAACAAGACGGTGATAGGGTGGTGTCAGGAACAGATGATCACACCGTTTTGATGTTCTCGCCATCGGAGAGATCCTCAGCAACTTTACCAAACTGTAGACAGAAGAAACGCGTAAAAGTCAGCGTTTATTCCTCCACATCGTTCGCGATAGACACCCGTAGTCTGCATCCTATCGTCGGATTCACTGGCAACGACCAAAACGTCGCGTGAAAATAGCAATTGATTCTAACAGTGCCTCTTTGATATTACATTGTCAATTGTAGCACCGGCGTCCAGGCCCGTAACATGGGTACCCTCAGAGAGAGTAAGTTCATCCTTCTCAAGAATACGTCCTGTGATATCGTCAGAGCCGAAGAGCATGGTGATTGTCAATTGATAACGATGTGACGTTTTGAAGCCAAGTTTACTGACCATGTTTCCCGCTCATTTTCTATGTTTAATAGTCCAGATGCGCCTGAACGCTATCAGGAACATTGGAAAGATCACAAAGTCGATGAAGATGATTGCCTCGACCAAGGTCGCCAAGGCCCAGCGTGCTATGGAGACTGCTCGCGCCTACGGTGCCACCTCTGCCAGTACGTTTTTCCTCTCTTTTTTATGGTGCTGAATGGCGCTCTTTATCAGGATATTGTTCCCAGGAACGATCGATATGCCACACAAGGAAACAAATCATGGACAGGTGCCAACGGGTCGATTGAGACGAGAGGATTCATATTCGACATTGGCGCCATATTGACCGTATCCTTTGTAATACAATTCTTGTGAATTGGATAGGCATCTACAAGAACGCCAACACTGCCCCTCTCGAGAACGAGGACAAGGTCTACATCGTCTCTTCCTCTGACCGTGGTCTTTGCGGTGGTATCCACTCCTCCGTTGCCAAGGCTACCCGCCGCTTGATCGCTGTTGACGGCCCTTCGTCTGGTGTCATTGTCTTGGGTGACAAGGCCAAGAACCAGATGTCCCGTTCTCACCGCAGTGACATCCAGATGTCCTTCAACCAGATCGGAAAGGCCATCCCCACCTTCGCTGAGGCCAGCGCTGCTGCCGACACCATCAAGTCCTCCGGCATCAAGTTCGACACTGCCACCATCATCTACAACGAGTTCACCTCTGCCATCGCCTATGAGGCCAAACCCATCAACGTCTACTCTTCCGAGGCTTTGAAGGCTGCCGGTACGTCCTTTCTCTCTTTCTTTTGTATTACTGTCTCTTCCTTTCTGATCCTCTTCTTTTTTTCCCTCTATCTCCTTGTCTTTATCTTTCTTCCTCAACCTTGTCATTCTCTTCTTCGTATTCCTCTTCCTCTAACATGTATCCATCTCTCCATCCAATCCACTCCACTCATAATAGATGCCTTCGCTGCCTACGAGATCGATGATGAAGTTTTGGAGAACTACCACGAGTTCTTGTTCGCCAACAACATCTACTGGGGTCTTGTCGAGGGTCACGCCTCGGAAATGTCTGCCAAGCGCACTGCCATGGAGAACGCCACCAAGAACGCTGGAGAGATGGTTGACCGTTTGACCATGACCTACAACCGTTCCCGCCAGGCTGCTATTACCTCCGAGTTGGTTGATATTATTACTGGTGCCTCTGCTCTGTAAATCACCCCGTTCCCAGCACAGCTCTTTCAAAGTCGCTGGTCCCTTGCCCCCTTTCTAGGAAAATAGAGTGACCAACAAAATACTATTTCACAAACATGCCAATCCCTACTCTCCTCCATCTATCATGCCCCCTCCTCTCTATCTTTTTCTTGTAGACCAATTCATAAAAAGAACAGAAAAAAAGGGAATGTCAGCATCTTTTATCATTTGGGTGTTCGTCTTCTTTTTTTCATTTTGTTTTTGTTTCCAACTGTCAAACATCACAACAGCTGGGATATGTTTGCTCTGCTGAGCTCAATGAATCAATGGCTGGTGCGAGAAGGAATGTGCAACGCCAAAAACAACGGAATATTTTGCACCCACCTCATTGAGTGTGGCGTTTTGTTGTCCGCTTGCCGCTAGGCGAATCGCTGTTGTTCCTCTATCCTGACAGTCTTGCTGCTTAATCGACCATCCGATTGATATATTTATAGGTCTATCCCTTGCTTGTCCCTTGGCCTGTCTCTGTTTTCTCCCCTTCTTCCCTTTCCTTCCTCTGTTTCTTTTCTTCCTTTGCTCTCATCACCCACTCCATCATCCTTCATCTTTTCTTCTTTATATCTCCCCTACTTATTCCTCTCTCCTTTCCTTATCCTTTTGCATCACCAAACAATGACCATGAGCCCTACATCTGGAATGAAACCATCGTCCACTACTACTCCGAGGGTCTCACCATGCAGGAGAGATGTCATGCCCACGGCTGGACCTACACCCCACAAGGAGGCGCACTAGCAGCAGCAGGAGCAGGAGTAGTTGATAACGACTCTGATGCCATGACGGGTCCTGCTCGCGAGGGCAAGGTGTACGATGCTGTGATTTTCAGTGTCGAGCTGGATATGCTGGAGATCCGGATGAGGGAGCTGTACGATGTGGTTGACCACTTTGTGATCCTTGAGTCGAGCCGAACCTTTACAGGAATCCCCAAGCCTGCCGTCTTTCAGGAGAACCGGGAGCGGTACTCGTTCGCCGAGGACAAGATCATCTACAAGCTGGTCCCCTTGAGAGAACTGGTGCCTGGAGAGGCGCCATAGGTCAACGAAGGAGCCATGAGAGACGAGATGACCAGGTTGCTGTGGTCGACGGACATCAAGGAGGGCGACTATGTGATCTTTAGCGATGTCGACAAGATCCCGAGTCGGCAAAGTGTTGAACTGTTGAGTTCCTGTGATGACGTCCCTCCAGCGGTGCACGTCAACTTGCAGAACTATCTGTATAGTTACGAGTTCCCTGTCGACGACGGTGGAAAGAATACGCCCAGCATTCAGCAGTGGCCCAAGGAGCGGTTGTGGTATATTCGTCAACAGGCATCTTCCGTTCTTCTTGCCAACGCCGGTAAGTAATTACTCTTTCTTGTCTCCTTTTTTCATAGTACTGTTAAAGTGAATCACGTATCGTAGCATATATTTTTCTTACGCAAAATAGGCTGGCACTATTCCTTCTGCTTCCGGTTGATCGAAGACTTCCAGTTCAAGATGAAGGCGTACTCGCACGCGGACCGTCTCCGATACAAGTACATGTTGGACAAGACCTACCTCCAGGATGTGATCTGCAAAGGAGCCGATCTGTTTGGCATGTTCCCCGAGGCCTACTCGTACAAGGATCTGATCCATCCACTGGGACCCATCCCCAAGACCTTCAATGCCGTCGGCTTGCCTGCTTGGGCCATCAAGAACAGCGATAAGTTCAAGTTCTTGCAGCCTGGAGGATGCAGGCGTGTCGATTATGCCTAGCTCTAATATCTATTTATCTTGTAGATACCCGTTATTTCATTCATTTCTCCATTCCTCATAGAGTGCCCTTTTTCTCTATCGTTTTCTTAGTACATAATTATTTACTTCTTTGTTTACTTGCATGCCTCACTGCGTCGATCATTGTAATCGTGTGGTTATCATTGAAATGGGTGTCGGCGGAATTTTTATCATAGGCACAAACAACAACAACAAGAACCGTTTCACCCACAGAATATCGCCTAGAAGTGTCTCAGATTCAAGGTAGAGTCGCTTGAATTTGGTAGGAGGCGGAAGCCGTCCGACTGCATCCATCGGACCATGAACGACCTTCACATCACGCAACAATTCATGCTCTTTAAGACCTGCTGGACACCTAGGAGACACGCTGCTGGAACAAGTTCAGGGACAGAAGGCTCCTCGTCCTCAGGTTCTTCATCCTCCGGCTCTACCTCAACAACCTCCGTGTCCGGGCTGCCTGGATGTTCAGGTACGTACTTCTTGTTCGTCGGACTCTGGTTCCAGCGTCCTCGCTATATCCAAAAGGTTGACGATGTAATGAAGCCAACACTGGTCCTTGTCCTCATTGCCGTTCAAGTCCATCTCTGCGCCCCAAGCCCCCAACCATCGACCATAGCAGGACGGCTGTACCTTGCTGATCCAGGCTCTGTGACATCGACAACTGAATTAGTCGTTGCAGCCACCGACACAGTGTCCAGAGATCCGCTTGACGTCCCTCTCAACCCTCACGCTCAAAGACCCGCCGACCGCGTCCAGACGAGATCCTAAGCCGTCTAAATTGATCCAACTTGACAAGCACACACGCCTTACAGGTCCATCTATGCTCCGCAGTATGAACAACGGAGTCTCAGCCATACCAGCAGTAGCGTCAGCGCTAGGAATATCGACCTGTAAGCTCTCTAGGTATGGACATCTCCGAGAGACCTATCCAGCTCCAATCCTGCCAAGACAGGGCCAGAGACGAGAGACCAGGAGTAGTGAATCGACAGAGTGTTTTCGTTCAAGAAGCCGAGGATGGTGGTGATGACCTTTGGGAGTGAAGGTCCGGTCATCTGTGAGACTGAGGACGAGGACGAGGACGGTGTCGAGATGTTGTTGTTGGAAAGGCGAGAGATACTGAGCGAGAGACTGAGAGTGGTGGGGTGTGTCTGTTGTTGTCGAAAGGGATGGTGATATTGGCGAGGGGATGTAAGAAAAGGAAGACAAAAGGGAGGAGGGAGGGTAGGAAAGGATGAAGGTGAGAAAGAAAGAAAGGAGAGAAAAAAGCAAAAGGAAAGAAGAAGGAAAGGTAAATGGGAGAGAAATGTATTATATATACCTGTACATAGCCGTCATGCCATTTGCTCACTGATAACGGCGCGATTGTCTCAAAAAATTCTTCAGACGCGTCCTGTCAGTCAGTCGCGAGAAATCATATCGGCGGCAGGCCTACATTAACTCACTTCCGCCTGTGGAAAGGCCAGAGACATGTCGGACAAAGAGCACATTTCACAGTATTAGATTTTTGAATAGTTTTAATACTCATGAAAGATGCATGACGAAATGGGTATCTTTTTTTGTGAAGTTGAAGGTAATAGTACAAAGGAGATAGAACAAGAACGGTCTATTGACGGTCGTTAAAGGGTAGAGCTAGAAAGATAAAATACGAAAACTGAAATGAACGTTACAAGAAAAGAGAATCGATGGCTCTCTAGCGGTGGGAGGCACTGCTGGTGGTAGGGGAGACGTTGTGTTGGTGATGATAGTGTTGGTTTCCCGATCAAGTGCCATAGGCATTGTTGCTACTACTCACGCCATACCCTCCGCCGCCACCCACAGTAGATCCAGCGCCGCCAAACCCACCAACAGCAATATCTCCTCGACCAGAACCCACAACAGCACTGGCGCGATGAATCGGTTGCCCAACACTCTCCAGGAACTCGAGCGCCGCAGCCGTCTGATCAATGGTCTTCATATCGGGTGTCCGCTGAACACGGAGGACACAATCCTGAGCGAGCTGGATCCGACGCTGTTTGCCCTCTTTACCCTGCCAATCCGAGAGCGTGTTCTTGAGGAGGGGTTTTGCAGACTTGTCGGGCCCGTCTGCCTTGGAACAAAGTTCGGTCGCGCGTTTGATGGATTCAGTGTTGGAGGAGAGGAGGTCATTCTCGAGGAGGAACCAGGCGGACATGACCCGAAGGTGTTCTGCGGCAATCATCAGCGCGTTGCGTCTGTTGGTGCGGATGCCTGGGTCGGCGCCGTAGAGGAGGAGCATTTGGACCAGTTCTTCGTTGTCCATGCGTTCGAGGAGAACGTGGAGCGGGGTTGCCTTGCGAGTGTCCCGTGCATTCACGTCTGCGCCACGCTTGAGGAGCAGCTCCAGGACAGGGGCCAGATCCTTGCCAATTTGAATCCCACCAGCGACCATGACCGGACCGCCGTGGCCCTGATGAGACTGCTGTTGTTGCTGGTGTTGCTGATTAGGAGCTGGGGGTTGGTAGTGCATGATGGCGACATGAAGTGCCGATCGCTGGTACTGGGCCTCAACCACATTCGCCTGGGCTCCAGACTTAAACAGCGTCAGCATAGCCTCTAGAAGAACCTTTGTCGCTACCAAATGAGTATTCTGCAAGAGGACAATCAAGGGCGTCCGCTTCTTGGCATCACGACTGTTGGGATCTGCGCCGGCACGAACCAAGAACTGGATCGCCTCGACGGGGTTCGAGTACTGCTCACAGACATAGTGCAGAACCGTGGTCCCATTATGATCGCCTCGGTCAAGATCTGCGCCATGCTGCAAAAGCACCTTCATGGTCTCTAACGCCCTCCTGGACCGGGCTGCGACAAGGAGCGGAGTCGGGTGGGGCCAGAACCCATTCGAGTCATGGATAAGGTGCGGGAAAGATTTGAGCATGCGCTCGATGGTCGCCAGATCTGACTGGGTGACGGCCGCGAAAAAGTCGGTGGGCTCGTCGTGGTTCATTTCCTTGTACGGGTCGGAGATGCTGTAAAAGGTGTTGGCCTGGACTCGAGGTTGGAGAGACGAAGGGGTGCTACCATGGCCGTTGGCTGATGTTGGGGTCGAGGGCGAGGTTGAGAGGGACGTTCCTGTTGTAGTAGTTGTGGAGGAGGAGGAGGAGTCCTTGGAGGGCAGCTGTGGCCGGTAGTCACTGACAGACCGCGCATCGTCCTCTTCCGAGTCGCGCCTGGGTGGATCTATATTGCCAGAGGAAAAAATAATAAGCCTCATGGCCTAAACATAAAAAAAATAACAAAATGTGTGTGCGGGAAGGAGTGCAAGGAAAACTTACTTTTCAGGGTGCGCATCCAGTTCTTCGCGTCGCCAGCAAAGAGACCGCCAGTCCTGTCATTATTCCTGTTGGAAGTAGGCAACATAAACGCAGGAGATGTAGGACGGTTTAGGGGTGCCAAGTGAGGACTCCGGATGATCCTGTTGCCGTTCTCAGGCAGCGGTGCCGGCCGGAGACTTGGGCTGCCCAGGATATTGTTATCCAGCCGAATCAGCTCTGGGCTCTGTGCTCGCTGCATGAGGAGCTGACTTGGTGGGATGATGTTATTGTTGGGGTTGGGGACATAGGTGTTGTCGCCATTCCTTCTGGGTGGGGGCTCGACATGAGGCTGTTGTTGCTGGTGCTGTTGATGCTGATGCTGCTGCTGCTGCCGCGCCTGCAGTTGTTGATCTACCTGCTCGACCAAGTCCAGGAGTCCCGTGTGCTTCTGTGTCAAATATGAAATGGGCCTAAAGTCGCGTCGGTTGGTGGGCGGGGATCCGTTTACAGAAGAAGGGGTTGTCGATGGCGAGGTGGACGATGGTGACCCTGAAGGAGAAGATCCTGCTGAAGATGACGGAGAAGAACCAGAGGATGCAAAAGACGCGGGTACTCGGGAGGCAGTCGATGGAGGCTCAGTCGCAACAGGTGTTGGCGTCCGAGTCCAGTGTGGAGGGCTGAGAGGTGTCACAACAGGGAAACCCATCGGTATCTGTCGTGCAGGTGTTGGCCGCGTGGTATCAGCATTGGTCGAAGCAGCGGGTGGCAAGGTCGACTGCTCAGAGTTGCCATTAGAAGGGCTACTTGAACCATTGGGTTGACCAGTTTTGGGGTTCTTGCCTGGTCCTGGACTGTAAGATGTCGATGGGGTGTACTGGATGGGCTCGACGGGATTCCTGTTTCCTGTTGCGTTTGTTCCATTTACTCCAGCGGGTCCTGGATTTGTTCCATTGCCAGACGCAGGTCCAAGCTTTGGAGTTGGTGGAGGGCCTGGAGGAGGTCTTGGAACCCCTGGACCGAGAGACGGTGAGGGAATACTCCTTGGTGGAGGGGCACCAGCAGGAGGCGAGATGGTCTTGGATGCCCTGGGAGTGTTCCGATGATGCGGCGGTGAAATGACTCTGGGCGTGTTGGAGTGACCAGCCACGGCTCCTGGAGGTGGTGGGGGCGCGCCACTGGGTGGTGGCGAGATGGTAGAGATATTCTTGAAAGAGGCTTGGGGCAGCTTACTGACGACATCAAACATGGGCAGCCCACGGGCCAGGGCCAGGACTGCATCCCCGGGCAACTTGTTGAGAGATGGCTCTTGGGTGAACGACGGTGTTGGTGGCGGAGGTGCAGGAGTAAGGGAATGTCCATCGTTGCTGCCAGAAGAGTTGGGCGAGAACGAGAGCTGGTGGAACTCTGGCAAGGGAGGCAAAAGCTCGAGGATCGATCCAACCGGCTTTGAACCTGCGTCTGATGTTGACAGGGCTGTTCCTCCGGATGACTCGGCTAGTTTCTGTTCCTTGCTCTTCTGCCCCTTTTGCTCCTTGTCCTTTCCTTGCTCTGGAGTCGTGTTGGAGGGTTGTGGTGGTTTCGTTATCTCAGAAACAGCGTGGCCGTTGGGTAGAATAGGACTATCCATGGCGTCAGTAGTATGTGCCTCTGCCTGTGCATTCGTCGCCGCGCCCTTTTTGATCGCAAGTGGAGTCGCCTTGACAGCCCCATTCCTGTTGTTTGCATCTAATTGGGCTGGACCCGGAGGCTTGGTACCGTTAACTTGCGAGTTGTCTCTGGGATGTGGCTCGTGAAAAGAGACCCTTGTAGCGCCAGTGCGGTCCTGTCGAATCGGAACAGACGGCACTCCGACCATGGAAGCCTTTCCCAAGGATTGCCGAGTTAATGCTCGCGAGGGAGAGCCGGGACCAACATGATGGGTGTTCTCTAGTGAAGGAGGCTGGCTGGCTTCGGTTTCGTACGCAAATGGCAGACTAGGGGCGACCATCGAGTCACTAGACAATGGGCGAGTTGGCTTGGGTGAGCGTGGTCTCGTGGCTGCAGGTCGTGGGTTGATTTGTTCTGCGGCTAGGAGCTCGACCAACTCTGACAGAACAATGTCCATCTGGGGTCTATTCTGGGGCAGTCCGTCCCAGCAGCGCCTGTAGAGCATCTCGTACTCAACAGCAGTTCCTGGTATAGTCTTCTCACGAACTCCCGCAATAATGTTGACGGCCAACATGACATCCTGCAGTTGCGCCTCAAAAGGAATCACGCAACTAGAGAGCTCCCAGAGGATGACGCCCAGACTGTAGATGTCGCACTTGGCTGTATATGTGATCGAGGGGTTCTGCATCCGCTCGGGAGCGACATAGGGCACGACGCCAAAGAGACCGGCCTTGGTGGTATAGATGGTTTTGTTGACAGACTTGCTGAGTCCAAAGTCGGTGATCAGGGCCTTTCCGCCAGTGTCGATGAGGATGTTGCGAGAGTGAAGGTCGGTGTGGAAAATGTTTTCGCGATGGATGAAGTCGAGTCCGCTAGCAACCTCCCAGGCGAGTCGGTACTTGGTCAGCCAGGAGATGGCGACGTTCTGGGTCTCGAGATAGTCCTGTAGACAGCCATTCTCTGCAAACTGCATAACGATGCAGGTGTCATGGGTAAGCGGGTGTTTAGTGATGCCAAAGAACTTGACGATATAGTTGGAATCGTGAACCTGTTTGTGCATCTTGAGCTATTTGCCAGGTGGTCAATAAGGTATGCAGCCATGATTAGAAAATTGTATCCAGAGTATGTAAGCAGAAAAGATGGAAAAGGGAAGAGAGTGGGGAAATGGTTGGTAAGGATGAAGAGAAAAAAGTAAGGGTCTGTAAGAGCCTGTAATGGCAAAAGGTGTCCAATGGGGCTAAACCGGCGGAGTATGAGTATGAAGAGAACGAGGATGCTGAAGAAAAAGAAGAGATTGTAATATATATATATACCAATGGCGCACACTCACGAGTGGTTGGCGGAGGTTGCATGTGCGTATCATCTTTTAGTAGCTTCGTTTGTGGCCATTCCCGATTTGAGTCTGGAGGCGTCGTTCTCGTGGCCATTCTCTGTATCGGTTGCTCTTGTTCCTCCACGGAGGAAAGGAAAATAATAAGAACCAACAAAACAAAGTAAAGAGCGAAAGAGGCTACGGAGTAAATGAAGTCACGGAAAACACACGGAACAATTGATGAGCGTTATTCTGTTCAATCTTGTCCCCTCTTTGTCTTTTTTCTTTTTTTTCTTCTTGCTCTCGCTCAGTCTTTCCTCGGGGTTACATCGCAGATTCATGATTGGGCACTGCCATGTGTTTTCTTTCTTGTTGAGTGAGCACACAAGCTCATCTTGTCTCTTGTCTTCATGAATATGAATGGATGTGCAATGTGTTTGTTTTTTCTTTGGAGTTGATAATGTTTGTGGTTGTTGTTAACTGTTGGGCAAGAGAAAGACAATGATAATAAATGAAAGAATGGCCGAAACGGGTACCAACAGAACATAAAAAATAAGTGCAACTAAAAAGTGAGACTGATAAACGCGCAACTGATGGTTGATGGTTGATGGATGGGATGTGGCATAGGACATATAGGAAGGGGGAATGTCTCACCTCTTTGATAAGGTCGTTGGTATTGTGCTGCTCCTTAATGGCAACGTGCATATTACGCCAAGCGCCCAGATGGATGGTGCCCGACCCACCCTTAGCGACATTGTACTTGACTTTGCTGATTTCTGAAAAGGGGATCAGCCGGACATGCTTGTCTTTGACCGCGTTCTTGAGCCATTCCTCGGCGCGGTTGTTCTTCTTGACCTGAGCCGACTGGGTCCGGTCATTCGCCATGACTGTGGTGGCTATTCACGCCTGTGAACAAAAGGTTGCTTCCTGGAAAGGGTAGAGAGGGGAAGCGGCGTTGGTGTGAAAAGAAGGAGGAAGTCCGATCGTATGGGATGGTTTATTAGGGAGCGAGAGTCGACAGGCAGGGTTGATAGTAATAAAAAAGGTGAAAGAAAGGAAGGGGGCGTGAGGCGAACAGTGTAAGGGAGTTTGATGGGAGGGCGAATTGTTCACAACGGGCGTAAAAACAAAAAGGTGGAAGAGAGAGGCTCGTTATTTCTTTTGTCTCTTTTATACTTTGTGCGGTGGAAGGGTCTGCGGAATGAGACAAAAGGGTGGAGCAAAGTGGATGAGAGAGTGAGGAGGTGGATGAGGAAGGAAGAGCGATTAGAATCAATCGATGACTAAGGGAGAGTGGAGGAAGAGAGAAGGTGGGAGTGAGAGGAGAGGAGAGAGTAGGGAAAAGATTAAATCGAGAGAGAGAAAAGAATGAAGAGAATGGAGAGAAGTAAGAAACGTAATGGGTTTGTGTGGACTGGGTAGGGAACAAAGGAAGGAAGGTGAGCTAGCGGTGGGGTAAAGAAGGAAAGCTGGCGAAGAGAGTTGGAAGGTACAGTACCAAGGTTGTTTCTAATTACTGTGGAAAGCGTATGTGTGGAGAATGAATCCGACTTGGAAAGAAGGTACTCGTAGGGATGTAGAACGCACGCAGGTTCAGGAAACAGCATGCCATTGACAGCGAAGAGAATGATAGGTGAAAGGGTGAAGGGAATGAAAAACAACGGGGGATGGACAATTGAATCGAAGGAGTCAATCAACAGCCGATTGCTATTGCATGGTGCCCTGTTCAGTTTGTTTGTTGTTTGTGTTTGTTTGAATTGATTGCTGCTTGTGAGTTTTAGTTGGTTGCATGTGGCGGAGGGACATGCCTGTCCCTAGTTTCGAATTGACTATCAAGAAGAGAAAGCGATAAGACAACATGAACCAACAAAAACTAAGGTTGAGTCCCAATCGACCAAGACCAAGGCAACAACAGGAGGAAGAACAGGACAAGGAACGCAGACTATCGCGACAACAAACAAAAAGCAAAGTACAGGAGTAACAACAACCAACTCGCTAATTCGCTTGTCCCAATGCCCTCCGCGACCTGCCCTTTCCCTTTCATTGCGCTGTTTCTCAGCCCGAGAAAGAATGATGGTTGTCCACAAACACTTACATTGTCGGAATATGAATCATTCAACCAGCGGGAATAACGATGCACAAGCGCAAATGCAATCCTACTTGCAACACCACTCTTCACCCCTTTTGTCCCGAAACAAAAGAATAAGCGTGAAAAAGGCAGGGCTCTCCAGGGACCATTCTCCCATTTGCTTTCCTGCAAAAAAAAAATGCCCGCTTTCCTTTCGTAAATGTCCATATTCCCTCGCACGCATAAAAGTGTGGTTACAGCTATGTTGTCCCCTGTCTTCTCTCCACCTGATTGTATCCTTTTTCTTTCTCCTTCAATGACCGTCAGCATCGAACCTTTTTAATCCTCCACAGAAAGAAGAAAAAAGGGTCATCATGCTCTCGTTGTTTCCAGCCCTTTTTTCATGCTCATTTGTCTGCATGCTACCAGTCTTCCCAATGCGATTGGTCGCTGACCTCTGAAAAAAGCACAACCACCACCACCACCACCGTCACCCATCGATGTGTTTCTATTCCCTGCCTTTCTTTTTTTTTTTTTTTTTTTTGAACTTTTCGCCTCCTCACTTAGGTCGCGTTACTACCCCATCCAAAGGAAAAAGGAAGTTCGACAAGAAAATAAACAAACAAGGTGAGCAGAAGGCACATGTCCATGGTTTGTACCCAACAGTAAGTCCCTACTTTTCCCTTCCCAGATGAACAGACGCTGAAAAATAACGCAATGCCTCCTCCGATTTTGGCCAGATGGCAAACAAAGCGAGAGAAAAGAAGAAAAGAGCGGATGGAAGATGACCGATCTCAAATGCATCAACAGTGTGCGTCGCGGGGTCAACCCAGTCGATCTCCACCTACAAGACTAACAATATTACTTTTTTCTGCACGCGTTTATTTCACAAGACAGGACACCGATGGCATATGCTCAACCAAGCCAGCAGCATCTGCCTTCTTCTTTCTCATCTGAAGACGATTCATGCGCTCGCCTTTATCCTCCTCCCATGGGAGGAACATACACTGCCTGATGTGGTATGTACGTGGATACCATCCGGAAGTTCTCTTACTTCAGCTCACACTTGAAGAAGAACGGTTCACCTACATATCATTTGGTATGTATTTCACGCGTCAAACCCGACCTTAAAGTTTATTATTTATTGGTGATTCCAGAAACAATCTATTCTACCAAATAAAACCCTCATTTCCCCAACCTCATTTTCACTTATGATCTCCACTTCGTCGCCGCAATTGGTTTTTACAATACGTCTGATGGAGGTGGCGCCCTCTCAGTTTTTATGCAGAAACAGGAGTAGATTCTCATTCCTTTCAGGCTCGCGCTTTGTCTTGCCTTCCCTCTCCTTTTATTTTTCTTCAAACAACCAATTAACGCATTAACGCAGAGGAGGAGAACCTCTCAAATGCAAATGCACATGCTTGAATCCCTCACATTCCTTTCCTTTGTTAAATGAGGCAGGGTCGATGGGGCGAACTTAATAAACCGACATACCTTTGTCTACGTACTTGCTCCTTCTTCCTTTCCGATCTTTGCCTTTGTCTTTTTTCGCCTCTCCATTTTTTTTACGTTTATTAGCGCCAACAAACAAAAAGAGCCGCATTGTTCACCAGCTCTTTATCCTATGAAATTAGGATGGGCCTCTTTTTTTTTTTTTTTTTTAGTGATCGTGGTTATTACTCGGTGCTCTTTCCAACCAACCCTTTACTTGTGCGATGGTGCAAATGCGTTTCCATTGTCCGAGGAAAACTCCTTGCTAGGGTGGTTGTTTGCCGAGGATAGGTGTCGACTGTTGGATGAGTGCAAGAGAGAAAGAGGGTGGCAGTTTTTCTTTGCTCACATACCTTGCGGACACCTCCATTTAGTTCTCGCCCCTATAGCTAACAAACAAACAAGCCCGATCGAACGTTATAGACATGCAAAGTCAAACGGCAAACAAAAAGCGAGGGACTAACAAACAAACCGATTGCTCTCAATGTTGCAAAATGGCAAAGTAGATGCCTTTCATTCCTTCTCTCCAAAGGCATCAAACAGCCACAGGACAAGTAACAAATGAAAGGTGTTGAAGAGGATGGAAGGGGGAAAGCAGGCAAGTGTGGAGAGGAAACAATTTCTCCTCATAATTTGCATTATGCATTTGGTTGTCGTATTGGTTTCCCCCGTGACCTGTGGTGCTTTGTATTTGTTTTGTTTGAAAACATGTCGTTGGTGCTTCGTTGTTTTGTTTTGTTATGTTATGTTTTGTTGTTGTTCTTTCTTGGTTGGCATTTTCCCATGAAGAAAAAAAAGGCACACAACCACATACACTCATACGGATACGGACACGCACACTGACGTACGAGAGCAGCTACCGCCCTGTACCCCAGGACTAGCAACTTTCCCAGGGTCGCATATCCAATCATCCTTGTCGACAGGTAAAACACAGGTGTTGTCGTCCATGGAAACGGGTCCGATTGGCTGGTAGTAGCAAAAAGTAAAGCAAGGCAAGCAGGCGCTAACCAACTTGGACAAATCATTACAGTTTCCTTATCTTTTGTGCTGAGGCGCTGACTGATGTCTGCATCGATGTGGAGGAAAGCACTAAGAGGTAAAGTTGAAGTTCTAGACTTTGGGTCGACACCTAATTTTCTATTACTGTTCATTTGCCTACTACAATATCCATCAACAAGGACCACAGCTTGGGCGCATCGTCGTCGGTCGAGGTCAACATTCGACGTCTCCACTGTCTAGCTTCTCGATCATCTTCTCCGCATCCGACAAAAAGCTGCAGTGCACCAGCTGCAGCAGAACCTTCAAAGTCGATTCATAAATCGCTGTATCATTCTTCCACTTCTCCACCGCGCAAAGTCTCACTTGACCGATCTCTGCTTGTTGCTGTGGCGACGCATTTGTAGAAATGCTGGTGGCTGGGCTGAGGGAACGGAAAACGTCGAGATGCCAGAACATAAACCCAGTCCTGTGTGCCCTGAGGCGCAATAAATGCGGTGAGTCGCAGAGAAAGTCGTGCAAATGGGGCGCAACGTAGCCAGCTCCAGCCGCGTCATAACATTCGGTCCGTTGTTAAGGTTATGGATGGTCTGAAGGCTCAGTCTACGTCCTAGAAAGGTCCATTCAGTAGTATCTGAGCATACCGCCGCGGTTTCGTCCCGGATGCGTGGGCCCCTTGCTGGTGACTCGAGAACCGACAGGTGGCGGATAGAGGTCGACCGGAGGTGCATGACAAAACTTATACGGCTCCACGGTGGGGTTGGCGCAGGCTGTGCCAATTCCAACTTGAGAACCTGGAGGAGGGGACTCTTGGATGAAATGGCCTCAGTGCAAACTGAGCAACCTGAATGCGCCGGAGAACCTGTTAGGGGAGACGAAGTTGAGGAGATTGATGACTATCAGTCGAGAAAAGCTTCCGCTTCCGAAGATCCAATATTCGGATAGGTTGTGCTGGCTCCATACGAAGACTTTCCAGAAGAGGGCAGATAAGCAACAAGCGAAACAATGAAAACGGGTCGGAGCAGTTGTGGCGGATGAGTAGGTGGGTGAGCGACTTTAAGTAGGGACGAATGGAGGAATTGCGTGTAGAAGGTTAAAGCATCCCAGCAGCTCCAGCTCCTAAATATGTAGCACTGGTGAAGCAATCGCGGAGGCAAGTATGATGAGGGATGTATGCCGGCAAGTTGCGTTCTTTTGTGCTCCAGAGCGCCCAAGAAGAGCGTGGTCTTGTTGTCGTTGGCATTGAAGCCGTCTAAGAGATAGCAAAGAGATGAGTTGCCCTAGGCAAGATGGCGACTACTTGTTCCAGCTCTTCGAGCCCGCGATGGTCATCCCTGTACAGAGCGCTTTCAAAAAGAATGGCCGGAATAAAACGTGAGCAATTTTTTTTCTTTTTCTTCTTTTTGTTTCTTTTCCATTCTATTCACACACCCATATCCTTACACTTTTCTCCCCTTTCCACTCTTACTCTCTCATGGCCCTCTCAGACGTTAAACGAGGAGAGATCTTGGGCATGAGCAAGGCTGGCGTGAAGTCCCCCAAGATTGCCGCCACTCTCGATGTCAGTGAACGAACTGTCCGACGAATCCTCGCCCAGTACAAGGAACGAGGAACTGTTCTCACCAAGAAATCCCCTGGTCGCCCCTGCAAGCTCACTGAACGAGATACCCGGACCCTCGTTGCCGTTATCCGCAAGAACCGTCGTGCCACTCTTAGTGATATCACCAATGCTCTCCCCATCAAGGTCTCCGAGGCTACAGTGAGAAGGAAGCTCCATAGTCTCAGTATTTTCAGCCGTTCTGCAGTAGTCAAACTACATCTTACTCCTGCCCATAAATCCGCGAGATTGGCTTTTGCAAAAAAGTATAAGAATTGGACCGCGGACGAATGGAGGGAAGTTGCATAGACAGATGAGTCTTCGTTCGAAGTGGGGAAGAACTTTCGAAAGGTTCGAGTTTGGAAGACAGAGAAGGAGAAGTACCATAACTCCTGTCTTGCCCCATCATTCAAGAGCGGACGAACGTCTGTGATGGTTTGGGGTGCGTTTGTTGGAAGCAGTATGTCCAATCTTGTTGTCATCCCTCCTGGCCAGAACAAGGCGGTGGACTTTATCGAGCTGGTCTACAAGGGTGAGCTTCTTGGGTTCCTAGCGCAGACCTCCAACGCCTTTTTAATGGAGGATGGGGCCTCTATTCATCGTGCCAAGGTATCCAGCCAATGGAAGGAACAACATTCTGTCACGCCTGTCAAATGGCCTGCCCAGAGTCCTGATCTCAACCCCATTGAAAACGTGTGGTCCGTCCTGAAGAACGCCGTTCACCATAGACGCATCCGCCCAAGAACCATCAAGGACATGCTGACCGCTCTTAACGAGGAATGGAAAGAAATATCAAAGGGCTACCTCAACAAACTCATCGATGGCATGCCTCAAAGGATCAAGGCCGCTCTTAAAAATAAAGGTGGTCATACAAGGTGGTAACTCACACTCCCCTCTCTATTTTATTTTTTTTGCTCATTTTTTTTCCGGCCATTCTTTTTGAAAGCGCGCTGTACAATAGAAGGCAGTTGACCTTTTCTCAATTGGTGCCAGTGCCGCACACAAGGCTGGCAGTGTCGATGGTGGATTCAGTTTCCAGGAACGAGAATATCAGAGACAGAGGTTCGGGTATCTCAAATTCTCAAGAGGCGATGATAGTCCGCCACGGGTGGTTGGAAAGTGAAACGTGCCGTGTGGGCGTATTTAGCGCCGAACGGCACGTGACGTGTCACTACCGCTCCCGCTCCCGAAGTATGACCCTGGAAGGAGCTCAGACACGCACGCCATCACCGAAAAAAGAAACCGCCACTCTCGGAACATGACAACACATCCACTCTAGCCGCCTGAAATCGTCGCACAGATCGGCCACTCTTTGCCGCTCTGGCCAGTCGAGAAGGTGACGGACTTCTGGAGAGGGCAGAAGTACCAACAATGCTTTCGGCCCAAAACCTTTCACGCCTGCTCCTTTCTATGCATATGCAAAAGCGGCTGGTTCGAATGAATGCCGGCCTCGAATGACTGAGCTGGGAGGGATCAGAGTTAGCTAAGGACCTCGGACCTTGCAGTATGTGGGTGATTTGCAAGACTGAGGGGCCTTTCACTGACAATTCATGAGACGCTGAATGTACTGAAGAGTCAGGAATGGGGTTGCAAATCATTGGAGCGGCCTTGGGCTTGCCAACATCTCCAGCACAGATGACTATTAAGGTTGGTGTTGTTACCCACATTAGTCTCTTCTCCGTGACGAGACGGCAGGAAAGATGCCCAAGTCATGGCTGATGGTGCTGTTCAAGATGGTCAAGAACTTGGAGCACCTTCAAAGGTTGCTTAGTAAGATAGACCTGTCGAATTTGTTTCGCGTATGCTTTCCCGCTGCGACCGATGAAAGTTTAGAACTTGGCCAGGTGCTTAGTGGCGCCTAGACTTAAGGCACGTGAGCAAAGTGACTGCTGATCAATGGTCAGGCAGGGTTACCAAGAGAAAAAGAGATGGCATTCACGGAACTCATCTGTTCTGTTCATTCCAACACCAACGACACCAAAGGACAACTGCAGGACTTCAGCATACAAGGAGCCAAGGAACAAGAATTCGATACTCAATGGGTCCCCGGCGCAAGAATAAGCAACAGAAGTCACACCCAAAGTCCTCAAGAGCCTCCGCCCGCGACGCACTCGCGCTACCAGAGATTCTCGCTAGGGTAGGATGGTTTCTACCGTATTTCTCAGTCCAGTCGGTGACGACCAAGTGGGGAAATATAGACAGTATCCGTCGATTCCAACCCAACACCTTCCACGCCTGCTTCCTGGTCTGCAAGCTTTGGTACAGGACCCTCCTCCCGATCCTATGGCGCGAATACGACTTTGAGGAGATGCAACGTGTACCCACTCGTATCATTACGCGATACAGCCTTCTCTTTCGACACTTCCGTTCGCATGGAGGATGCGATGGTCCATTCAATTGCACCTTGTTGGAGAGTTTGGACATGCGGTACGACGTCGCATCCAAGGCGACTAACATGAGCATGCAGACTCAGCGGACACTGGTTCGGATGAATCCTGGCGTCGAGGTTTTGCAGTGGGAGGGGTCAGAGGCGTCCAAAACGCGGGCAAGATTGGACGAGACAGATTTCGAGCAGCTGGACAACATTCGGGATCTGCAACTGGATCGGTGGAACAGCTATCAGGGATCGCTGGTCAAGGCGTTGGGGACGATGGCGAGGACATTGGAGAGACTGGAGCTCTCAGGGGTCCATGGTTTCAAGGAAAGCGACCTTCCCAAGGGTCAACCTCAAGGACGTAAAGGCGATACAGGAGTCAGCGGAGGGGCAGACAAAGGGAGTGGAGGATGTGAGCTGGTGTTGCCCATAGTCAAGACTTTGCGGGTGCCATATTTCCCAAAGAACACGGACCTGATCTATCTAGCCGGATGTTGCCCCGACCTTCAACAGTTCACGGTGGACATTACCATCGCACGATTCGACATGAGCCGCCTTGCCAGTACTCTCAAAAACCACTGTCCGCGTCTCTCTATTCTGGTCATCAACGATAATCACGACGAATTTGAGCGCGGGTTTTCCATTGGCTCCCTTATTCGAGGCTGCTCCTTGTATGGACTGAGCACGATCAAGTTTGCAGCCATGACCCCCAGAAACAGCGAACGAGACCTTCTCTGCTCCATATTGGCCCACTCTGCCACCCTGGAACACATCACTGTCGACTACTTTTGTGAGCTCCAGGGCGCGTTTGATCCAAAGGAGATCCTCCGGGTATTGGTCGAGTGCCGCCGACTCAAGACGTTGTCTCTCAGCGGTAGTGCTGGGATGTCGACCCTGGCGACGTTAAAGTTTCTACAGGGTCAGCCGTGGGGGTGTCACGGGTTGGAGCAGCTGGCGTTCGATTTCGATGGCGAAATCGGAGGGATGGGGATGATGGGAGGCCCAGCATGGCGAACTCTGAGCAATACTGTGGACATTTCGAGTACGACCAGCTTCATGGGCTGGTATCGCCACCCTCAGGACTCGTCAATCCTTCACGACGAAGAAGACGCGCCGTCCAAGCTGTGCCTGAAGGAGCTGTTTGGGATGGTCAAGGGGCAGGACCGGCTTCAGTTTGTGGCCTTGAATCTCGTTTCCTATAGCCGGTCGCCAGACCCTAGACTTTCTGCTTCCTGGTGATATCCTTAATATTATTTATTTTCACAGACAGTGTTGGTTGGTTTGGGGACACGCACCTCGGCGACCACGATTATCCAAGGAGGCCAGTGACGGACCGGCAAAGATCTCGAGCACGACCAACTCTTTGGGCTGATATTGCCACTCGGAGAACCCGGAAGTGTCTTTTAAATTATCGCAGAGACTGAAGGGACGGACAAAGACCTCCTCTATGTTCTTGACAAAGAACTTGCGCTATTTCATCAGTCCCTCCCCATGCGTCTTGGCCTCCAACTCCATTGGCCAATCAACCATTGCTGGTTTGATCGGGAATTGAAAAACCGACTGAAGAATGTCGGTCTTTTAGTGGATGTTTTTATTTTTTAAAGTGTATTCAAGGCCCTGTGCCCATGGATGTGATTCGCTCAAGTTTCATTATTTATTTCCATCTGCTCAACACCCTGTTGCTCCTTGTCGGTATCGTAGGGTTCGAGACGCACGTGTAGATGAGTAAGGATCTCTCGCTCGTCCTTTGTGACAGCATCCCGCTTGGCTTTGCGACGATAGACATTGGTTATAGTCATTGGCGGTGAGGCTTTCTGCAACTCTGCCCTCTTCGTCTCCTCTGCGGCGTGCATCCCGACAGCCAATGTCTCAACAAACTCTCCGATCAGCCGCTGGGTTTGCGACTCTTGGACCAAAGGCTGGATTGACTCTTGTTATAAAAGAATGAACACCCCGATTGAGTTCTCGAATGTCTCCTCTTTCGTGTTTTTCACCACGACTTAGCCGTGGGTAAGGTAGGCAGCGACATTCTCTCAGGCGTCTATTATTTTAAAAAAAGGTAATCAGAATGAGAATTCGATTTGTAAAATAGCATTTGGCTTACACTCCGTTCTGCAGAAAAACGCAAATCTTACTGAATTAAAAAAATATAAGGATGTTATTCAGTCCATCTTTATTTCTGCTTGGATTTACGGTGGGTCATATGACGTGCTGCTGTTACTTGTTAAGATTCCTTGCTTCCCCTTAAGCAAGTTCACCTATAGTCTATCTGGTCACCACGTCCCCTACCGGCCCCTAGGATCCTGAGTCGCGGCACACTTCGGTCCTCCGGGCCGACGCTGATGCCCTAACGGCACCAGCGGGCCCCGTACCGAAATCTCTCTCGAGGGCTCTAACGATCGACCGGCCCCTCGACGCCGGCCCCCCCGGGACTCATAGCCGAACCGCACCTCTATATAAATAACTAGCATTTCCGTAGAATTACCTTTCGTTCCTTTCCGTTCTCCTTCATAAATATATCTTTCTTTCCTTGTCTTCATGTCCATCTTCCAGTGGACCTTCATCTATCTTTCCCTTCTCTTTTCACTCTTCCTTCTAGAACTCATTACCTTTGGGCAGACACCCAAATCCCCTCTGGTTGTACCTTTGATCGCCCGTGCTGCACTATCCCCAATGACAGTCACCCGATTCACCTCTCAACCGAACACTGCTTTTCTGTCACGAGCATCTTCGCCTGTATGCATCTCAACCACCTCAGTCGCGAACCTTTCTCCTTGGTACTTGGACTTGAACAATTCGATAGTATCACCTTCGATGGAAGAGCTGAACCTCTTGGCGATCTTCTTGCGCACCTTCTGCTTGATCTCCTCTGCCATATCCTGTGCGTCCTTTTGATTCTTCCTATATGATTAACTCCCTTGTTTTTTTCCAACCCCCCATCTTGTGAGTTTGTTTGGGTGCAAAAAGAAAATAGCATCTTCCGAAGGGGTACGAAAAAGGGCGAGAGTATGGGGAGAGGGAGAGAAAGGGGGCCGCAGGAAAGTTGGCCAAGAGTGTCGACCACGGAAAAAACAAGATCGAAAGATGAACCTAGTCCTCCTTTACTTTGGAGCTGATACTACCGACTTGAGCAAGGAGCAGGCACAGCCAGGTTGTTGACAAGTCTGATTGTTAGTCCATCTTTCCACGTTAAAATAAGAAAAGAGTATCGATACTTGGTTTCAGAAGGCCTGGGTGGTGGAGTGCCTTCTTTTTTCTCCTCCATCAACCCTCCCTTTCAGCTTTCTTGTGAAATAAAAGTGTGTTGCTGTTGCTGCCGTTGGTGTTGTTGTTATTCTTGTTGTCGACGATTGATTGAAAGTGAATTCTAATATAATGAATGAGCGAGTGCATGAAATGAATGGAATATCCATGCCGTGTTCCTTTGACAATCTTTGTTTGTTTTTTTCTTGTTGTGTTGGCGATACTCCATCCTTCCTTCTTCTCCTTGCACTATCGATGTACTGTGTGTATGTTGATCAAATATTTTTATTACCAGTAGCCAAAGGTTGTCGATCCAACGATCGAGTATAAAAAGATCTCGTCCGCCATTGATAACCCATCTCTCTTTTCTGTCTTCTCTCTTCTCTTCTCTTCTCGTCACCCACACACATATATTATCTCTCTCACTCACCCAGAACACAGCTCAGTCCTTTTTCTTCCTCCGTACCTGTCTCTGCTCTTCCTACGTTCGACGACACACCTCGGTCCCCACACACAACCCACAACAGCAAACACACACAACATACACCAAAACTCTCTTGAACACCATGACAAGCAATACGATCGCTTCGATCATCATCGAGTGCAAGACCCAGGAGCAGCTGGACGAGATTATCAACGGCAACAGGAGAGTGGTCGTTCTCTACTACAGCTACGCCATGCCGTAAGTTCACTCGTCCATTTTTTTTTGTTTTTTTTTGTCCGTGTCTTAGCCATTTGCTCTCGTTTTTGTTTGCGTGCGTGTGTGTTTGTCATGCCTCTCCGGTACATTAGATAATAGGGGAGAAAGTGAGCACTTGACCGAGTTTGGTCCTATTGCATCCATCCCTCGCTCGCTTGCTCCTTCTCCTTGCAATTTGCCTATCGTCATTGGTTTTTTTGTTGTGCTTTTCTCTCCACTCTCTTGTATTCCGTCCTTGTTGTAGTGTTGTGTGTTGTGATTTGTGTTTGTGGTATTACTTTGCTGGCTGAATGGCAGACTTGGCTGATTGATCAGGCGGGAGTGCACCACCTCCAGCCAGCGGTATCGCAAGAGAGCGCCCTTTTCTCCCCTCTGTCCCTCCTCCCTCTTTCTCTCTCCCCCGTCAAGATCCCTCGTCTTCCTTCCCAGTCAACTCTTTTGCGTGATTCATGCAAAAGGGACTGATATGTGTCCAGCCCATTCTAACCAATCGATTTTCCTTTTTATTACTATTACGTTTGTATTCAATCCGCATCCCTTCCACTCTTCGTCTTAATTATGTCCCCTCCTTGGATCCGGGGTCATCGTTTCCTTCAACCTGACTCTGTTTTGTGGATAGTTGGGGCAAGATCGCGGAGCACAATATGCACGTATGTGCACGATCACTCGAGAAAGGCAACATCACCACCATCCCCTTTGTCCTGGTCAACTACGCCGAATTCTACGAGTGCGGAAGCAAAGTCGAGGTCCTCCCAACGACCATGATCCGCTATGCCGCCTATGTCGAGGGTCGAGAGCACCAGAGCACTGGAAATAGTGCAGAGCTCGAGGGCTTAGTCACCGGTATCCTGTAAAGCAATTGCCCCAGCCAAGGATCCAGAACGGACATCCGAACAAGTAACACAGACCACGGACGCGACAACCTTACCACCCTTTGAGAAGGGGGACAAGTTGAGGACAGGGACAAACTTTGTACTTTTTGCGAAGGAAAATAAGACTCTATTGTTTACCTTTCTGTCTCAACCTCCTGTGTGTCGTGGGGGGGTCTCTTCCTGTCTTCTCTTGTCTCTGTTGCTCCACAAACAACCGATTACATAAACCATTTAGGGTGAGGGTTAGGGGTAACAGTAGGCCAAGTGGGACATTCAAAATAGGGGTGACCATAAAGGGGCAACGAGTTGGACTCATGGCTTTGTTACGCGTTATTTCTTTTTGCGTTATGACTCAAGAGGAGAAAGAAGTAAGGACGGCGCCTTCGTCGCAATCAGCAAAGTTCCCCCGCCTTGACTCATACATTCATTTGTTGCTAGAACAATGTCTCGTCCCAACGGAATGGTTCTTTATTGAGTGTGTTCGATATGATCCAGATCGTTGCATGGCCAACGTCCTACCCATGCATGTTGCATGAAATATCTCCGCCTACTCTAAGTCATCTCTGTTCGTTCATCTGTCCTTTTTCTTTCCTCTTGAAAAGAAGAATGGGCTTGCATTAAACGTCGATCCACAGCAAGTCTGCTTGCAGGCGAGACCCATCTTTTTTGCACTCAAAGATATTAACTGAGTCTTGATCCCCTTTGGTGGCGTCTTGTCTCCTACCAGCTCTGTCTATTTCTCCCCTTTGACTTTTCTTTGCTTCAACCGTTGTTGTTTACATTCCTTCGTCTTTTTCCTTATTTCTCCTCTTGATCTTGACGAAGGGCGATACAAAACTGAGAATGAAAAAATGCTCACAACTAGGCCGTGCTAAACCCACTCTGTTCATACATCTCAGCCAGAAAGAAATCACAGCAGACACATGGCGGAAAAGAGTACTGTACGACAGAGAGAATACCTTCTCGTCCGTTGGGAGTTGGAGAATCAAGTTTTTTTCATGGACCTCGCTCTTTCAATTGCGATTCGTTCAAGGTCGAAATAGAAGCTAAAGTTTTTATTTCTCCTTCCTACACATCCTCATGCTCAGAATAAAGAAGCACGTCGGAGTACGCAATGATATCGTTGTAGATGTTGGTGTCCATGTTGGGGTTTTCCAATTCCAAGTAATCTGCACTTGTGTCCACCGATCGATGTAGAAAGACAAGATGTTTGAGTGCATTTGAGTCCATGTCAGGCATCGCAGTGATGACACTCTTGAGTCGATCCAGACTCTCGATGAATGACTCTCTATTGCAATGGTAGTACTCCTCATCCAGAGGACTGGAAGATGGTGATAGGCGTTCGTTGCCGCGGACATAGGTGTTCATGCTCTGAAGGGTTAGTGTTGGTTCACCAGTGTTGGTTCACCGTGGTCGTTGTCAGATAGAGATTCATCGGAAATCTCAAAATCCGAATCCTCCTCCTCATCTTCAGTCTCCTCGTCGTCCTCGTCAACATCGTGAATATGGTCAACTGAGTGCTCCAAAAACAGCGACTTGAACTCGTCCGTATTCATGGTCTCCTGGATAGCGCTCAACATATCCTCGTCTGGTCCATCGCTGTAGATCATATCCAGATAGTTCAGCACGCCGATGTCATTCTGCGAAGCTAATTCGACCTCCAGATGCCGGTATTTGGCGATGAGTTCCTGCTGAAGTGTTTCCACTAGGTGTTGTACGGATTCGGTTCCAAGTTCCTTGAGATCATTCGACTGGGGGTTGCTTAGGATCGGCGCTTTGGCGAAGCAGTTGCGAATACAGGCTTCCGTGACCTTTCTCCAAGCAATCACAATGCATATCCAGAGATCCTTATTATCTATCGAATCGCTATGTCCGTCCCTGTGCTTGTTTGTCTTCCTGTTCGTGTGCAGGTTCCTGAGCCTCCAACAGTTGATCGCATGAAGCATTTCCTGGTTGTAAGGAACCTTGAAGGACCGAATGATTCCTTGATCCATTGGCTGAGTAAGGGAGGTAGTGTTTGCCGGAAGTCGAATGACTGTGCTATTGGTCAGGCCTTTTGTCTCCGAGTCGTTGTGGCTGCCGACGCCATCAATCATAACGGCGACATTTCGCTTTTGCCGGCGCATGTCGTCGTCGAGACTGCGAAACCAATTGTAGAAAACCAGCTTCTCCATGTAACCATTGCCAGAAGTATCTATGTCGATATCATTGAGGATAGCAGAGACAAGTCCCCTCGATTTGTGCTTGCCTGTTTTTTTGAATAAAAAGATACAGTATTAATGTTCATACATAGCACACAAAACACAAAACAAAAACAAAATACCCCTTTCTCTAATATGAACATACTCAGCACTAACGGCTTCCTCTTGTCCGATCCAGTGGAATTCGAGAACAAAATCGACACTCTCGTCGAGCGGACAACCTTGCAACCATGAAAGCGTTTGGAGTCCAGACTTTTGTTGGAGATGGCTCGAAGATACAGTCCTGTCTTGTCGCAGTTGTAGATGTCCTCCAAATTGAAGCGTAACAGCTGAGTTTTTATCTCATCAATGCGTGCTCTCACAGCTTCAAGGTCGACTGATCCACTCTCGCCATGTCCAATCCGCAGTTTGATCATTCGGCTGTTCTTGAATCCTGAACACCAGCGTGCACTGAAATGACATTCTTTTGGTGCGGTTCCTTCGCGGAAATGGGGTCTCATAGCGGTCCAGATCGCCAAAGCCTCTGCTCTTATATTCTTTTCGAGAACACAGAGGCCTGTTTATCGCGTAGTATAGTAGTAAATTAGTTAGACGAACAGAACACAATAGATGTATTTTATTTCTTTCGCATACCAACAGGAAAATGTTTACCTTGATCTCGCTGCTTTCTAAACCACCCCATAAGTGCGTCCTCGACAGGCAGCATGTTGCGTTTATACAGTTTTGTCATTTTATTCGCTTCCTCGGGTGCTTGCTCTTTAAAGGGAAGGATTCCATCCCTGAGCTTGAGGATTGTCGAGAGCGTTGTGGGAGATACGCTGTACTTGTCAGCAAGGCTCTTGTTTGTGACCTTGACATTCTTGCTCTGGAGGTCGTCGTACTCTTTAATAAGGTCGGCCTTTCGAGCAAGTGGCAGGTTCTTCTTCGTTGGGTTGGTTTTGAGTGGTGGCATGGTGAATGATGCTGTGGAGAGATGTGTGATGGAGAAGATATGAAGAAATCAAGTTAATCACATAGGAAGTCCATATCCCAGCGACATGTAAACAAACGTCATAGTTACTCCTTATTCAGTCTGATTGAAAAATATATTTGCTCAGTATGATTCCATCATATCCAGAAAAGACTGTACGATCACTCTAGGAATGTCAGGAAATGTCAAGAAATGGCATTTTGCTGATTTCTGTTTACTGTTTGCAATGCTTAATAGACCAAACCAGCACCACCGCAGACTCCATGGCAGACGATGGTAAGGGGTGAAGAAGTGTTATGGTGTGCTTGTGCGTATGAAAATGCCACCTCTGTTCTCAGACCATTTCATAACATTTATAATAGATGTCTCTGAGTCCCTGCCTGCCCTCGAAGAGTCACAGGCCGCAATGGAGGAGCAATGGAGGACGCTGACAGCTGCATGCGTCGACAAGATGCAAGGCCGATCAGTTGATGATCTCGAATTACCCGATGTCGAGACGCAAGATGTAGAGGACATCCTGCTGGAACAGGTGCTCTCGCTTCTGAGCAAGCCAGCTGTCTCGGCTGTTGACTGCAGTGCCATGTTGTATGTGTTGGTGTGCTTTTTACTTTTAATGGGCCTTACCTGGCATTACTGATAATTGTACTTGTGCTTGTTTTGTACTGTGAAATAGCACGGCGTTGACAGGGACTGTCGACCTCCGCAGACATCGAGTGGATGGCTACAGTGTGCGGGCGCCTGAGCTGTAGGAACCAGATCAAGGCGCGATCGGCGTCCTGGAGCAGCTCTCGCGGTAACTCAAACGCGGCCTCTATGTCCTCTCCCTCAAGTGCAAAGACATGCTGGGTGTATTCGCTCGAGATACCCTGAAGGGCAAGGATATGCCTCTCGAGGCGCCGCTAGTTCGCCTGGTCCGCGACCTGTAAATTTTCCCAACCGCATGAATGCAATGATTACAGTTCATGTTATTGATCTTTTTTTTTTCTCCAATCCATTCCAAGTGCGTCAATGATCCACCAGGAGACTGTCCCTGTATCGGAAGCAGAAGTCGTTGCCCTTTGGAAGCGTTGTCTGGAGGTACTTAGCGACGGAGCCCCGAAATTGCGAAGGCAAGTAGAATATATGACTGTCTCAAACGTTCTGGGGCTGATGTGCAGTCGTACCTGGCCTCGGAGGTCACGTCCCACTTGTTCTTCACGCAGCCCACAGCTAGTAATACCGGCGACTGCAGTGCACCCACTGCGGTGGAAGATTGAACTTCATGCACGCTGTATGCTGGCTGAGAATTTTCATTTGCATTTGTTTTTGTTCATAGTGGGGAGTTTTTTTGTTCATAGTGGGGAGTTTGTCTGTATCGCGAATAAGCTGCAGAAACGTTTTTTCTCTCAACTGTTTCAGCTTGCCCACAACACAGACAGCGTGTAGAAAGTCGATCTAATGCTCCTTGTGGACGGCCTTCACACCGTTGCGGCGAAGCGGGGTGTGCATCTGCCAAGGGTGAACCCGCTCGACATCAGAGGTATGTCCTTATATTATTATTATTTTGCGCTGGTTGGAAAAGGCTCTTTCTCGTGGTTATATGCTTCAACTTTAGGGATGAGTGCCATGGTGTGCGACCTGCAGGCGCAAGGAGACATTTTTCTTGGCGGCGCTGCCTGTGTGGATGTCACTGATCTCCCTACAAGCAAGGATGAGCTTGCTAGTTTCCTGTCCGGACCCTCTGCAAAGCTTTTTTGGGACTATACGGTACGTATTCTTGTTTATTTTGGAGTAATTTGTGCATAAGCTGTAGAGTGCTAATAGAAACCCTGTTTGTTTGATAGAAACTTCTGCTGGAATACCAGGCCGACATCAAGGAACAGGTTCGGAAGAAGCGCTCTGCTTCAATTACGGAGCCAAAATCGCCGCTATGGCAAGCAGAGGCACAGGAGGATGATGAGCAAAGTGAAGCCAGGACACCACTGCAGACGCCAAAGCTGTATGGCCTCGGACAGGTCACAGTACTCACGCCTAAAAATTCTTAAAGGCAGAAGTGTCTCTTGAGAACTCATCCTTTCGTGACTCTCGTCTTTTGGTGCTCAGTCCTTCACCGTTTGGGCTCTTCACCTCGAGAACACTCAAACGGCGTTCCCATCAAGTCCAACAGCCGCTACCCGTCCCCTTAGCACATGGTACTCGGAAAGCAACTGTGACACCTACCCAAGCTGCCCAGTGACGCCAGCCAGTTATCGCCTCTTCAGTAGTCGATGCTGACAGTGAGGAATATGTTGAGGAATAAGAGCGCGACTAGGGACCAATAACGTGGTTGAAACGTCATTCTGTCGGCTGGTGTCTGCAACGGTGGATAACCTCTCTCTGGCAAGACCGACAGTCAAGTCACAGATAGCACCCTATTTTAGCTCTTGCTCTCTCCTCTAAATACAATCAAGTCATATCAGAGTGGATACTCTGACACTCCCCCTTCTAAAGGGAGACCCGGTGTTTGGACAAGCATTAGTCGAGGAGGTCTTGGGCATTTGCAAAGTCTTCAGTAGTCTGCCAGGTGTTTTCGGAGTGGGGATAGCCAACCCATTGGCCCGGCCAATTCATCGCCAGCGCGGCGAAACAACAAGACATAGTCAGGGGTTTTCAGGGCGGTACCAACGAATGGACACTGTGAGCGCCGGACGTCAACGTGGCCTTGCTTCAGGAACTGGTGTCGCTGCCAGATTTCGTCACCTCGGTCGAGCTCTGCGGGGACTCGCAGGCCTTTGTTGGCGCTTACCCCTGTGCGCGCGACATTTCGACGACCATTCCTCGGCTCTTGCATCGCTACCTCTGCGAGCCACCCCATTTGCGACACCTCAAACCCTCAAGTCTCCCTACTTACTGGTGGCGATGGACTATCATTCACGTGGCGGGCACCTGGAACCAAAGGAGGACAATGTGCAGTTACCCATGTCGACCAACCACCTGGGTTGGGAGTATGATGATGGGTGGCCGGACGACCTTCCTGGGATCTGGACGTGTCGGGTCTGTTGTCGATTAAGCTGGAGATGTATAGCTATCGACGGTACATGCTCAAGTCAGGATTGAATTCCCGGATCCTGTTTGGATGCATCTCGAGAGTATGTCCGATGCTTGGGGATCTCGAGATCACTCTGCCTTATGGGTGCAGTCATGGGTACCGCTTTGACGCCTATCGCCCTGAATTGTCGTTGCGTCTCGAAGGAGGGCTTTGTCTCTTGTCAAGGCTGAAACATCCGAGAAGGTTACAAATCTACAACAGAACCGCTGGACGAACGATCAAGTACGGTGAGGTCGATTTGAACTGGCTTGTCCCTGAAGGCCATCAGCCACGGCACAATGAGAGGATGCGACTGGATTCGGGACAAATGCTGCGTTATCGAATGGGGCTTGTCCAGGGTGCGGTAGAGCTGGAGTTGATTCAGCAGCTTGATGATTCGGGGTAGCTGACGAATGTCACGGCGATGTTGGAGAAGATGAATGTGCCCGGGTTTGAGTGCCTCCCGAACCTTGAGAGGTTTTCTTTCAGCAACCAACTTGCACGGAAGCCCCGGGATACCATTCGACAGTTTATTCGTTCTTGAGCGTAAAAGTCGACAAATTGAGGCTATGTTGCTCTCAGAGAACTGCAGGTGATCATTGGATGCCGTCCCAACTTGATGGAGCTTATCATCACCCGGAGATGTATATCGACCTTGATTGGATTGCGCGTGATATCCGGGACCACTGTTGCAAGATGTAGGCCCTGACGATAGAGTACCTAGCCCTTCATTCAAGTTACTGTGAGCAGTTGGTTTCTAGTTGTCGCACGGCTGGACGTTTTTTGAGATGCATGGTTCTGGCATTGGCGATCCTGGCGCATGCTGGCACACTTCAGATCCTGAGGTTGTCGTTGCAGAGTTTTGAGCATCGGACGTCTCATGGACTAATGCAGGTATTGGGACTCAAGGAGCTCTTCTTGAAGATCCACGTTTCGCCGCCGACTGGAACAATTATGGAGGTCATACCTGGACCAACCTTCTTGGCAAGAAATAATGCCTTCTATTCTGCAGAGGTAATTGGATTACATTTTTGGCTTTCTTGGCCGCTGGGCAAAGGGGCGTGACTTTTGTTTGATTGGATTGATCGACTTTAGGCGTGCCAAGACTTCAGACAGACCACACGCACAGACACACAGAGGATCGAAACGAGGGATAAAAGGAGCAAGGCATCTCTTTTATTCCTTTTCTTTCATCACAACAACAACTCTTCTCATCACTTACACAACCCTCTGTCCACTCAAACACGCTCGCATACATCATGTCTGACAGAAAAGGCCAATATACTCCCGTCAATACCCACAACGACAACGACGACCACTCCCAGAACGCACTCCTCACGCAGGAATTCGAACCCCCAGCCTACACACCCTCTACCGCACCCTCATCACCCTACATCGCAGGCCACCAGGTCCCCGGTCCTTCCTCAGCAGCTGGCCCAAGCGGCCCCGGTCTCTACCCCCAGCTCTACAACCCTCCTCAGCAGCAACCCTACCAACCCACATACCAGCACCCCAAATTCGACGACCACTCAAAGCCTCCACCAGCTCCTGCCGGTTTCGCTCCTCAGCCTCCAAACCAGCAGGCCAACTGTTTGGCGTCGCCGTTGATTATGATGCGTCCCCCTGGTAGGATCGAGGATTTGAAGGCCAAGCCTGGTGTTGTTGTTTGTCCTCATTGCCACTACCTTGTCCTCACCGAGACTACACCTGAGAATGGTAAGGAGCCACCTCAATTCTTATCCAAAAAAATGTCTTGGCATTCAAGCTTAATTTAGAAAGCATCACTGATCTCTTCTTTCATTTTCGTAACCATTAGGATCGTGCACATACTTGGGAATCCTGGGTCTCTTGCTCGCCGGTATCACCTCCTGCGGATGCTGTCTGTTGCCCTTGTGCATTACCTCGACCAAGGACATCATGCACTCTTGCCCCAACTGCCATGAGGACGTCGGTCTTTACTCTCGACTGAAGGAACGTACTTTCCCTCAAGCATAATCCCCCCCAACACACACACAACCAATTCCTAGTGTAGGAACATTTGCACATCATCCCTTCTCCACATTGTACGATATTTCTCTCTCCTTCCTTTATGATAATATATTACTGTAATAAACTAGCTCATAAGAAGCAAGGAACCATCCAGCTGTCATGATATCATTTTGGTGAAAGAGGCGTAGGCAATAACAAATTTGGTGGCCAACAACAGGCGGCGAAAGAAATGCTCCGCCATGCTGGTGCTTGGTGCTGATCCGAAAACATTCTAAGCCACCTAGAAGGCGTTGCAAAGGAGGCCTTCCTTTTCTTTCTTTCCTTTCCTCCTCCCTTTCGCTAAACCTTCCTTCTCCTTTTTTCTTCTCCCATTCCCTGTACTCCTCGATTCAACAACACTCAACCACTCACTCGGACATTCACTCATTACAACAAGCAAACAACCATCACGGCCCCCGGACATTCCACACGGACTTGACACTCGGAAACAGCATCAACACAACAAACAACAAGCAAACATGCAGAGGGACAGAGACGGACGTGGTGGAAGCGGAGGACGCCAGAGCGGCAGCATCACAGGAAACGAGACAGAAGGCTTGTTTACCTCCAACTTTTCTGGTCACAGCAGCAGCGGTGGCGGTGGAGGAGGAGGAGGAGGAGGACGTGTTCACCGTGGAGCCAGCAGTGGTCGCTCTGACCGGAGACGTGGTGGCGCAGGCGGTGGTGGTGGTCGCAGAGTCGGTGGCCTTCGTGGCACATCTGCCAACCTCCCGCATACAAGAACCACTGGTGGAGACCTCGATGGCGATTTGGACATGGGTGAAAAAAAGAAGAGCTTGTAAGTTTTGTATTTCTATCGCTGTCGTCGTCGCATCATCATACCTTGTAAATAATCGAATATACCCTTTTTCTATTGCAAGTTTCAGCCTTTGTTCATATTGCATGCAGTTGATATGTTAAGAACGATCGTGATATCTTCTGCCTCTCCTTGCAAGCCTTCATTGATGGATGATAACGAAAACAGATCAGCTTTTCAGAAAACTCAAGGCAAAGAGTAGAACTACTTCCTCAGTCTTCTTAAGGCAAAGATCATGATACTAATACAATGCTATTTACCATTCTGCCCATCATTCGATTCCTCCAGTAACCCTTACCAACGACCCGGGAGAAGCACCCGATCTGGTCCAACGGCACAGTCTATTTCGACAGACGACGATTTCATCATCTTTGTAAGTCATCCCCCTTTCTCGCCGCTAGGAGCCACCAAATGAAAATTGAGCCATTCAGCAGGGTCATCCTTGCGTTTATTTGAACACTAAACAGCTAACCTCAAATGCGATCTACATGTTTCCATGATGTAGGTGAGCGCCACTGGCAACAGCATTGGAACGGACTCTGGACTGGATTCATTTCTTACTCGCAAGGCCGGCGTGAAGCTCGATATCACTAACGTATGTTATACACGTCCACAGGACAAAGGATTTACACCGTTAAATACTATCAGCCATATAGGACACAGCTAACCAGGATCGTTCATACCATTAAAAAAAAACACGTAGAAAAAACCAAGCGCAGACAACAACACTGTTTCATTCAAACTCCCCAACGTCGAACAAGCAAGAGCCGTCCGAAATCTGAATGGAATCAAGTACAGGCGCGCTAAGGTAACATGGCGGATGACAATTGGCCATCAAAAATGTAATATGCGCATCACGGTACGCCACACTAACAATTTGCTCCGCATGTGCTTCTCCATACCTATAGTTGATTATCAAGTCGACAGGAGACCAAAGGATCATGGAAGATTCGACCCGCTCAGCAGCCCCTCGACTCTCGTCATCAGCAGGCACCATTGACGCCATTCGGACATTTGTCCGGTCACGACACCAGAACGGATTCCTGGACTTGGAAAGCATGGCTGCCGACCCAACCTTGCGCGCCGCGTCTATTATCCCTCCTGGAGGCAAAACAAGTTCTAGCCAAGTGGGAGCCGTCCTCATGAAGGTTGCCTCCGAGCTTTTCCCTGATGTAAGCAAGATGTTTGTTGTGGCCCCTTTCAAAAGCTAACAATAAGCGAGCATTTCAGTAGTCGACAAGGCGTCTAACTTCCCGTAATTATATTTTTATAGATCACAACTATCTCTTTGGCGTCCAACAAGTTGAGATCCATGCAACCAATCTCCTCCATCACTCAGTTCTTCCCCAAGCTCCTAAATCTCTCTCTCAAAGACAACGACATCACTGATATGAAGGATCTGGTGTACATTTCGGGACCAAAGAAACTGACCAACCTGAGAGAGTTGATCCTCTTGGATAATCCTATCCGTGATCGCGCCATTGAAAAGAATAAGGACGACTTTTCGTACCGGAGCGACATCACCAAGATGTTCCCATCATTGCAAGTGCTCGACCAAACGCCTGTTACTTCTAGCAAGATTTCCTTCGGACTTGGCGATCTAGTGGTTGCAGAAAAGAATACAGCGACTTTGCCCGTCCCAATCAAGGGCAACTTTTACGACTCTCCTGGAACTCAAGCCATGGCGGAAGAGTTCCTCTCCAGGTAATCCTCTACACCCGCAACATGTACATTCCAAACGCTCTACGTTACTCTTCATCAGTTATTTACGGCCCATTTATTTTTGGCATGCATGGGATACGATAGCTTCTTCAACCTCTACGACACCAATCGGAGAGCACTTGAGGCAATGTACGACAGCAGCGCTACCTTTTCCTACGTGGCGGATATGACCATCTCCAATCTCCAGCGGCTGAAGGGATTGAGGGGCGACCGATGGGATCGTTACGTGGATGGATCCCGCAGCCTCTCTCGCGTAAAAGAGTTGGATGAGCGCACCAAGAGGATTCATGTCGGAAACACTGACATTTTGAAGGAAGGCATCCTTAAATTACCCAAGACCAAGCACCAATTGAACGATGCCTCCAAGGTCTGCGTCGACGCCTGGCAAACAGGAGGCCTGCTCCCTGCGATCTGTATCTACATCATGGTCCACGGAGAGTATGAGGAGTCCTACAGCTCACGCTCAGTTGTCAAGTCGTTTGACCGATCATTCATCATCGCACCCGCTCCACCCAACTCTCAGTAAGTGTTCTTGCTTGTTGGGGGTGTTTTTTTTTTTTTTTTTTTTTTTGGTAGTCTTGTTTGGCTGTCAAGAAACAGCTTTTAACCTCTTTATCTTCTATATCAACAAACAGAGCCAGCTTACACGGATGGAAGTGCATTATTATCTCGGATCAGCTGATCGTACGCCACCACAATGGACCAAAAGCGTGGGAGCCAGAGGCCGACCCTAATGCCCCCAAGCCTGTCGCCCTCGGCCCTCAAGCTGGCGTTGCAACAGGCGGGGTTACTCCAGGAGCTGTCGCACCCGGCACAGCACCAGCACCAGCCGTCCAAGGCGTCCAACCTGATCCCCAACAGACCCCCATGGCTGGCATCGTAGGTCATCTTGTCTCTTTTGTTGATCAACCTGATACATATAATATTGATTGATGTATCAACCTTTTTTTCTCACAATTACGATCTGCATGCAATTTATAGACTGCGGAACAGCATGTGATGGCGCAGGAGCTGCAGCGCCAAACAGGCCTCAATTACCCATATGCAGTGCAATGTTTGGCGGCTGTTGCTTGGGATTTTACAGCGGCAATCGCATTGGTGAACCAGGAGCGGGCCAACATCCCAGCAGACGCATGGCAGGCTCCTCGTTTTTAAACAACCAACCTCTTGTTGTTACACATCACACACCAACACAGCACAAACATAGCTTTATGCCTAGGGCCATCCGCAACAACCTGTTTTCTGAACAAACCACTACAACCACTACAGAGTCAAACCAAGTAATAAAAAAAATACGAACATAAAACAAAGGTTCCTTAATGACCAAAATACTGCAAAGAAAAAGCGTGAGGCATACAGGAAGAATGTGGATTGTAATAATACAGCATAGTGTTTTATTAATGGGGGGGTTTGTTGTAAAGATGAGGCGATTAAAGTATTTAATCGAAGAGACCGAATCCCATATCGTCATCGGACTCCTCCTTGGCCTCCTCCTTCTTCTCCTCGGCCTTGGTCTCGGCAACAGCGGCACCACCGGCAGCGGGGGCAGCGGCAGCAGCACCACCGGAGGGGACGGAAGCGAGCTTGCCGGTACCCTCAGCAATGAGCTAGTTAGAGGTAGGCGTAGAGACAAAAGGAAATATGATGGTTAATTGTCTGCGGTACATAAATGTGCGCATCCACCCATTGCATTCTTGGTTTTCATCTTCCTGTGGAAAATGAAAAGAGATAATTACCTCGTTAATGTCCTTGCCAGCGAGCTGGGCAATCAAGGTCTCAATGCGCTCGGACTCGGCCTCGATACCGACGGTGGCGAGGAGGGCGGTGATGTCCTTGGCAGCGGGGGCGGCGTTACCACCGATGGTGAGCAAAAGGTAGGCAGCGAGATACTTCATGGTCTGTTGGGCAAGAGTGGGGAGGAAAAGTTGAGGAAACAAAAAAGTGGATTAGGATCGTTGATTCGACAGGGGGTATTTGTAGGTTTTGAGAGATGGACGGCGTAGGTGCGGTTGGTATTTGTAGTCCTGCTTATTGGTGTTTGTGGGGAGAGGAGCTGCGGTAGGAGGGCTGAGGAGGTCCTGTTGAAACTGGTGTGAGGTTGACTTTGCCGCGCCGCAGAAAGAAATCCTCCTTGTTGCTGACTACGGCACCCTTGAGTTGAGGTTGGTGTACATATGCCTCCCCCTTTCGGACCATCCTACATCTCTACTGGACTGAAAAACGCGATCGTTGCATGGTAGCGTGCAATCCTTTTCCTGTCAGCCGATCCGTGTAGGTGCCTGCAGAGGAGAAAAGCGAGAAGGCTGGTGCTGGTGTTGTCATAGAGCATAACCTTCGTGGTCAGCTTGTCGTGTGATCTCCATTGCTGATGACTTTTTCTCCAAAGGTCAAAAAAAAAAAAAAAAGTCGGTCGGTAGCCGTTGTTGCCGAGTTGATATCGATGAGTATGTGCCAGTGGCAATGGCGAGGTCTTTGTTTGGTTGAATGGTTGGAATGGGTATCGATGGATAGATAGACGGATGGATATCGGTTGACGGATGGATATGTCCCTTATGATCCCGAATGAGAGCAATTGAGTTTCTTCCAGCTTGAGGTGAGTCCTTACAAAGAATCTAGTTCAGTTTCAAGAGGAGGAACTGGCGGACTCGCACTCTACCGCTTTATTTAAAGGGTCTGCAATTAATTTACAAGTCACATCAACGAGCCAAGGGCGAACTCGCCCGGAACAAGACAAACAGGAACGAACGCCTTCACTTTCGCACGACTTGCACCACCACCACACTCAACGTAACTTCACTCTCTCGTCCAAGAACACTCATCGTTCATTCATTCATACTCACATTCAACCTTTACAAGAAAACAGGAAATGGCATCCTCATTGCTGAACTCGCTCAAGCGCACAACAGCCTCACTGCTCTTGACACAGTCAAGGTTGGCTTCCGCTACAACCACGCGTGCTCTTTCAACAACAGCACTCACCCGCCAGGCTACAACCTCGACACCACCTCCCTCCGCCGACTCACCTTCTTCTACAGATTCTGCTCCAGTGCCACCACTGAAGCTCTCAAAGGAGCAACGCGAGTTGCTCGAAGAGATGATCCGTGTCGATCAAGCGGGAGAGCTCGGCGCCAATTGGATCTATCGCGGTCAGTATGCCGTCCTAGGATCCGACAAGAAAGTTGGTCCTTTGCTCCAGGTAAGCCTCCTGTTCTCATTTTTTTTCCTTCCATTCTTTTGGCTATCATTCGTAGCAATGACATTTTGCTCTTTTTAGTTCTAGGAGCTATTGGCAATTATTTTGACATCAAATTATTACTTGACCTTCCCATTGCCTTTATAGCACATGTGGGACCAGGAGAAACATCACTTGAAGGTGTTTGACGGGATTGTGAGTCAATATCGCGTACGCCCGACGGCATTGCGACCCATCTGGGAAATGGCCGGATTTGCATTAGGTGCTGGCACGGCGCTGTTGGGCAAGGAGGCTGCCATGGCCTGTACCGAGGCTGTCGAGACTGTCATCGGAGGCCACTACAACGAGTAAGATTTTTCACCTCTTTGGACTTACACACACGCATGCCGCGTTGTTGTATTGTTGGGCTGCGATGGTATTGCGACTAATCGCGCTGGATCACCGCCTTTTCTTTGCCAATGATTAGTCAATTGAGAGAGCTGCTGAAGATCGATCACCCAGACATTGCCGAGCTGCGCAAGGTACATTGACAGCGTTCAGGAATAACCCCTGTCGATAATGCTTCAGAGGGAATAGCTGAAAGTGCGCCTCTATTGTTATTAACGAGTTGCGATATCACTCGTCTACGAATGCCGCTCTTTTTTTTGTAGGTGGTGAAGCAGTTCAGAGACGACGAGCTTGAACATTTGGAGACGGCATTGGAGCATGACGCACACAAGGTAATGAGGTTTTTTTGTCTGTTTATCACTCATAACAGGGAGAGATCAAGATGAGAATCTGAAAACCACATTTACGATTGTGAAAGACAGTGAGAGGAGAATGACAAAGAGATGACTAATGCTTTTTATTCTTGTTTTTATTCCTATTCTTACTATGTGACAATTGTACTCAGGCGCCACAACACGAGTTGTTGAGCAATGCTATCAAGCAGGGATGCAAAGCTGCGATCTGGATCTCAAGCAAGGTCTAGAAGAGTGTAACCAATGATCAATTTCTTCTTTGGTCTACCATGTCATACCCATTTCACGAACCAACCCCAAAAAAACTCTGCACAAAAAGATAGCCGCATACTCCAGCATACAACACACACAGAAACTACAACAAAATATGATAAAAAAAGACATGATGATGGTATGTTAATGGTCTACTAGCTCTACCTTATTGGAACAAAGGCGGCCGCAATGAAAAAGAAAATCGCACGGTCGCAGCCCTAAACTTGTCTGGCGCACAGACTTTCCTTCTACCTCTATTCCGTCTTTGCGCTCCTGTAGTCAACACGGAAGGTGATGGTCATCTTGGCAACCGTTTCCATTTGCTCGTTGGTGACAAGGACTTCTGCGTTAAGGTCCTTGATCGTATAGTCCTTGATCTTAGGGATCACTGATGTCGCTGTCAACATTCCCCATGCCTTCTTGAAGTACTATTTGATCCATGAAAAGCGTACAAGGATTATAAAAAATCATGATTGAGCTGTGGAGTTTAAGTACGTGGCGTTATTTCCATTATGGGATACAAAGAAAACCTCCCTTTCCCTGGAAGTTGATGTTGGTAGCGAGGGCGCGGTCCTTGGGTTTGAAGGTCGAGAAGAGTGTGATGGCTCCAGTGGTTTCGGCAAAGGTAACCATTGCTCCTGAGTGGACCGTTCCATAAAGATTTGAGTTCTTTCTCACAGTCTCATTTTCGGCCAAAAAAAAAAAAAGTGAAGACGTGAGTACAACTCTCGTTAATTGTTCATATTTTTCCCTTTTGTACATTACCTTCGTAGTGAGGACGGCTTTGCCTTTGGACAACTCTGTGACACGGTAGTCGATGGCAGAGAGGAAGGGGCTATTGAAGCTGAGGGAGGACTAGAACCAGCGACGGAGACGGAGGGGTACCCTGTGGTAGGAATTGACCCAGTTCCAAAATTCTAGTGGATTGTTTCCCTTTGTCACCTGGTGGATCGCAAGGCCGATGTTGACGGCAAAGGTCCCGAATGGGATTGCGGTCAATGCGCAAAGGAGATAGAAGAGTGACATTGGTGTTGGCGTTGATTGGATTTTTTTTGTGAAGACAAAAACGAGGAGGAGAATGAGACGATTGCTCCAGTGTTGTGGAGACCGTTCAACTCCTGCTACTGTCTTCTTGATCGAGGATATACGTGTTCGCAAGAAGGGGGGCGTGTAGAAGTCTAGGCGAATCTCTTATGGGCGAGAGTGGATCGCATAACGGGTGTTTGCTCTCTTGCACCAGCATGTGTCTGTAGGAATACGTTTGAAGCGAACCTGCTATGGAAGAATCATATACTCTCCTTTGTGTTAACCTCCTCGCTGACATGGGTTGTTATATATTTTCTTTATGGATCAGGTTAGGGTGGCGTTGCACACTCATAACTCTACGCGGATGAGAGGCGGAGTGTCTTGGCAGGACATGCACACAGCCAAGTAAGCACACTCGCCGCCGCCGCCTGTCTTGGCAATTTTTGGTCTATTGACGCCTGTGCACCCTGCCCTCATCGAACTGTACTCTGTCGGGGTCTATTCTTGTTCCGTCTTCTTCACTTCCACTTCCTCTTCCTTCATACTCATTCAATCGTTGTTCATCCCGTATACACTCACAACACAGACAACGAATGACACAGGGCCCCGAGAACACAGACAGGGAAACGTTGCTTCATGACAACCCGAGTCGCCGCGACCAGGACAATAGCGACGACAACGACGACGAAGAGGCCTTCCCTCCTTCGTACGAAGAAGCTACTTCCCACTTCGACGACAACAACACCGCCGCGACTAACCCAACAACTGCACTCCAGCAACAACCTGTCCTCTCCCCACCACCACTCCCTCAATCACAGCATTCACAGCAACCATCTCGACACTTTCAACACAACGATGACTTCCATAATGAACAACAACAACAACAACAACAACAACAACAGCAACAGCAACAGCATTCTCGACAGTCAACAGAGAATCGCAGCACAAACAATACCATCGGCTTGGCTGATTCCTCGGCTCCCCTGAAACCAACCCATGCACCTTCTGCACCGCCAGCTGCAGCTCCTGACTCAGCAGACAACGACGACAGCAGCGGTCAAGACAACAGCAACGTACCCCCTCAATTGAACGCCTTTGGACATCCGCATATCGACCCTTTCCATCAACACCCTCGTCACCAACACCCTTCGTCCTCAGCGGGTTCTACTTCACCGTTCCCTCCTATGCCACCATCGTCGACGGTACCGGGATTCGGTGGTGTTGGCGGACTGCCTAATATGTTTGGAGGACTCCCACCAGGCCCGTTTCCGTTTGGACATCCACCTTCAATGTTGGCTCCTGGCGTCGTTCCTGGTAGCGGCTTTCCTGGACTATTTCAAACGCCGATTCCACCAGTTCCACCAGGCATGTTTGGTATCCCAGGACAAGGCGGGTTTCATTCACTTGCAGATTTCCCTGGCTTTCCATCACAAGGACGGTTGCCTGTCCACCCTGGATTTTCATTTTCGGCTTCGCCAGGAAGTCGATCAGATGGCAAGGGCTCCTTCGGTTTTGGAGGACCAACTGGTGGTCAGACAGGAAGCGACTCGACTACACCTTCATCGTCGGGATCTGGACTCTCGTTTGGGCAGACGGAGGCAGCAACAACGGGTAGTTCACATGGATCATCGCCTTCTTCAGGGCGCGGGTTTCCAATGCCACCGGTACCGCCTGCACCGCCTATGTCCCCAATGCCCCCGATGCCCTCGATGCGTCCAGCACATTCGACCTCTCCGCCCGATGTACCCGAGTTACCGGGATTACCAGGTATGCCCTCCTTGCCTATAGGCTCAGTATCGATGCCCTTGGACACAGTACCGACGTCTGGAGCAGGAGCAGGAGCAGGACAAGGCGCCGAGTCTCTCCCACCATCGTTCTTTATGGCAACAGCGACTTCAGAATCACGGCCAGTGCCACCGTCAGGAATCGCATCCTTGGAAGGTGCCCCGACATGTAGCGATATCTCGGCGGCGACTTATAAGCGCACTGATCGCGGAGTAGAGACGCAGGATCTGCTGCTTGATGATCCGTTCCAACTCTACCGGTTCTTTGTCGCGCATAATGACAAGCCTCAAATGCACGTCCTCATCACTGGTAAGTTTATATCTCTTCATGTAAAGGTATCTTATGCGAGTGGATCTTGAAAATTGTTTAAAAGCTTAGTTGTTGCTAATACCTGTTCTTGAATTAATTTCTATTTCTCTAATCGTATACAGGTTCTCATGTGGAGAAGAAGTCGACGGAGAAGCGGGTAGGCGACGGGACAATCTCGACAGTGCACAGCAAAGTGAAGGTGTGCGATTTCAAGATTGATCTGGACCTTACATCCTACATCTCGCCCTACGGAACTATCAAGACCCTTCCGGACCCGAAAAACTCCAACAAGTTGACCCTCCGTGAAGTCATCGAGCAGCATGTCACCGAAGAAAACCCCTTCAAAGAGATGCATATGAAGAAGGTAACCCTTTCTCTTATAGGAGAAAAAATTGACATTGACAGATAGGATTTTTGGTCTTTGGTTGACCTTGCCTTTTACACTAACTTTGCCATTTTCTTTTTCACCAATGCAATGTTCATAGAAAGTGAGCTGGGACTATGAGGATTTGACGAGGGCGATTGTACACGCGATTCGATCGGTCAATTACCGGTACAAAATAGAGATCTCGTACCCGACCTCCAACAACCGGGTCATAGTCCATTCTGCATCGCCGCTCGCCCAGTTCATGAGATCTACCTGGACAAAGGCCTTTTGCGGCATTTCTCTCGTTGGTGTTGTCTTGTATCCCTTGGTAAGCTTCTTCTCCATGTTGAATGAAAACCATTGGAAAAATAGGCAATTTTTGTAGTACCGTTCTTAACTTTCCAATTTGGTACCCATTTGTTCTCTATCTTAGCGCGAGTATTACAAGGTGGTGAAGGACAAGAACATCCAGTCCGAATTCCATATGACGATCTCGACGGCTGACTTTATGCGCAACAGCTACTGGAAGATTGTCGATCAAGTCCAGTTCAAGAACGAGTAGTTCTACTACCATTCCAACCCCAACATCATCCAAGACTAAAGCTTTTTCTTCTGCATAAAAAACAAAAAAAAATAATACCAAAAAGATAAATAAACACTATACCACTGCCATCATTCGTGTCGATAAATGGAAGCCTGAATGTCCCCTTTGCCATTAATACGAGTACAATGGTGGCGTTAAATTTTTGTGTGCATCGGAGGGTTTTCTTTTTGCGTGGCGTAGGTGGGTGCTGTTCCCGTGTCAGAGATGGCCTGTGCGGAGCTAATTACTTTTTCGATTGAAAGAAGAAATCCTTCCGAACCCCGTTGGGTTTCATATCCTCCCAAAAAAAAAAAAAACAGCAAAACGCAATAAATCTCTTTAATTTCATCGGGAACAGAAAAAGGAGACAGAAAAAAGAACAAAGGTCATCTACAACGACATGTCGGATGTCTGTCTGCGTCGCCGGTTCTTGTCGTCGTTGGTGGTAGAGGCACCAGGGGGTCGTTGCGCAATCTCCGTGAGCCAAGTCCCAGCCTTGCATCGACTGCACCGTTTGCCAGAGGTCTCCATCTCCTCCTCTACAGGAACGTAGAAGCACGCTGTGCATCGCGAATGATGGCCCAGATACTGGTTTCTGCAGGCCACACACAGGATCGCATGAGTACCCCAGGTCTTGGGCAGTCGGATCTCTCCCTTCTCCTGCGCCAGCTTCCACGCATCCTTCTCGGCCGCCGACAATTCCAACCGACATGAGGTGCAATCTGGATCCTCGCCACCTGTCGAGCCCGATCCACTTCCGCCTGCCGCCGCACGTCGCAAGACTCGACCAGGAAGAGATTTGGATGATCGGGGCAAGTTGGTCGATTCGACCTTCTGCGCCTTGGACTCTTCTACCAATCGACCCTCCAGCTTGACTCTGGACTCCTGCATCACTTTCTCCTTCTCCAGTTCTATCTCCTTCTCCTTCTCCTCTTCCTTCTCCTTCTTCAGCGCAGCCTCCTTCGACCGTACCTCCCGAAGCAAACCAACCCGACTGCTGCCCTTCCGTCTCGACTCCAGCATCTCCAGATTTTTGCGGTGAATCAGGCCCACAGCAGAGTTGAAAAACTTGGCCTTTTCTGCCGAGGTGAGAGTCTTGGCAAACCTCTGGTTTTTGGGTTCCCCAGGGTTGCCGCCTGTACCATTTGCATCGGAACCGTCATCATCCGAGTCCTCGTTCGATCTGTCAGATTCAGTAGACAACCTCCTGAACGCTCTGGTAGGTTTCCATGTTGTTATAGGTTGCGCCGAGTCCGACGGCCGTTTCGTCCGCGCTTCCTTGCGCAACCAGCTGTCCGGAATGCGCGTCTGCGTAGATCCTGACGCCTTCTTCGTGCTCGGGACACCCTCGTAATCATCGTTGTGGTCCTCATCGTCCTCGCTGCCGCTCTCGCCCGTTCCCGTGTCGTCAACCTCGTCCTCCTTTCTCGAGTTCCTGCCACGGCTCCAAAACTTCTTGTTCCGGCGAATAGGCTCACTTCCCTTTCGGTCCGGACGAGGCGCCTGCTTGAACGTCTTCCTCTGATGATCCCTGGATATACTCGCCAGGTTGTCATCCGCACCCCTATGGCGCGAGGAGTTGTACCGCTTCTTGCCGCCCTTTCCGTCTCTCTCGTCGTCGTCGTTGTCGTCATCGCTCGATGATTCTGACGTTAGGGCGTCGTCGCCCTGCTTGTTGTTGCGCCGAGAAGCATTTCTTTTGGTGAATTTTCGTTTGGCGCCCTTTGGCAACGAGTGATCCTCAGACTCTCCGTCATCCGTGTCATCGCCATCATGCGTCGTCCTGCGTGAAGTATCCCTCTTATCATCGTCTTCGTCGTCATCCTCATCCTCCTCTCCATCCTTTGAAGTTGTCCTGCTGCTCTGTCGTCGGTGTTGCTGCTCACGCTGCCGCCTGCGCTTCTCCTTTAGGTGGTTTTCAATGTCTTCATGCGCCACCAATTTGCCTCCTCGGGATGACACCTGGGCCTTGCTCCTGGTAGCACGTGCTGGAGCTGACCGAGTCCGCATACTCGGCGCGGCAACAGATCTCGAAGCTCGACTTGATGAATTAGGGTGGGTGGTGGTACCGCCACCAATAACGCCATTGTCGGATCCTGTGAACCCAACAGAGAGACCTCGATGCGAGTCGACTGGGGTGAGACTCTGAGCACGAAGCCGTTCCTGCTCCTCCTGCTCGTGTTGGAGTTGCAGAGCATACTGCTGTCGCGCAATAGCATCCTGAACCACCCCCTCCAGTGTATTCAAGTCCTCATCGGGCTTGCCGACAAGCTTGTTAACAACGCACTCTCGGGTGGCAAAGTTCTCCCACGACAGCGGCATCGATCTGGCATCGAACAGGCCCTGCATCGCCGCGAGGTTTTCGGTCGAGTTGGTGTTGGAGGATGTCCAGGTGAGGGAGGAGACCGAGCCAGGGAGTGATTTTGACCATTCCAGGCTGCGGTTGGCGTGATCCGTTGTTGCCGTCGCTGACGCTGTCGAAAGTTGTTGTTGGGCGTGGCCAGGGACTCCTGCCGGCGATAAGTAAGCATATCCTGGACGGCCTGAATCTATAGACTCCCGAACCTTGCGGATGTCCTGTTTCGCCTGCAGTTTCTGCGCTGGGCTCAGAGACTCCTCGTTGCCTGACTGGGGTTCCTTATAATCGTCCAAGGTTTTGAGAATCTCGACCTCCAGCTGATCGCCCTGCCTCTCCCGCTGGATCCTGATCGTGATACCAGGAATACGCTCCACAACTGATGGGTGGACAGGGATCGCCTGCTTCCGTTTCCGCCGAATGGTCCCTGAAGGCAAAGGCCGCTGTTGCTGCTGCGGGAGGCTCGGCACTGCAAAGGAAAACGACGAGGTTGTTGAGGCCGCCAGACTGGATGGTGCCGTGGAGTGGACCTGATTCGACGAACGATCAGTCCCATCCTTTCCTGGTTGTGATGTCGCATGAGATGGCGAATCGCGAGGTGGTGTTGGGGGCAGTGCTGGCGAGCTCGTGATGGATCGGTCGTTGGAATCAGCAAGGTGAATGCCAAGTCCGGCGGGTCGAGATGCTGTTGAGTTCTTGGCTGGAGACGATGTCGAAGGTGGTAAGGACCTAGAGTCATCGTCACCAAGGCCACTTATGTCGCTGGAGCTGATATCCGACAGCCTCCGTGCTCGCTTCAAGCTGCCAGCGGACTGATCCCGAAGCACCTCTGCCTTCTCGGCAATAGATGCTGCAGTCGCTATTGTTGAAGGTGTAGTTGTGGCAGCAGTCTGGGTTTCTTGTTGAAGGTTGTTGTTGTTGGGGTGAGAGAGGAGAGGGGTGGTTGTATTCTGGTGGAAGCGGCGGAAGGTTTGGCGTTCAAAGGGGATCGCTGGGAGGGGAATGATGCGGTCCTGGCTCCTGCTTGGGTACCCTTGGCCCTGACGCTTGGATGATTGCTTCTTTTGTTGTTGCTTCAGCAGCTTTTCCCGTTCCTTTCGCTCACGGACCAGTTCCTGCTGCTTGTCGTCTTCGACCTGGAAGAGATCGGCGAGGCGCTCGTTCTCGGTGTAGGAGTCCATGATGCGCTGGAAAGCCCGCTGGGAGACAGCCTGGACCCGCTCGAGATCGTCCTCGGGGTTGTAGACATGGTAGGCGATGTTTGAGACGGGCGGTTGATAGACGGGATTAGGAAGCATGTGTGAATATTAATGTGGCGTGGGTGTCGTGGTTTGTTTAGGTGTGGTTGAGGGAGGATGGTGCTTAAATGCGGGTATGTGTTCTAAATGTGTTCTGTGTGTGTCCTGTGTGTGTCCTGTGTGTGTCGTGTTCTTTTGTGTTGAGCGAGTGAGCTGGTGATGGAAAATCAGGAAAAAAAGGTGTGTTTTTGTGTCAATCAATCTTTTCAATCAAGTAAGATAAATAAATAAAGCAAAAGCACCAATGCAGCGATTGCCAGTCAGTCAGTCAGGAGCAGCGTAACAGCTTCGAAGTTTGGTTACAAAAATATTGTGTAGTTTCCTTCTTTCAACAAGAACGCTTTCAGCGACAACAAGAAAAGAGGACGCCATGTCCGATCGAACGCAGCCTTTTCTTTCTGTTTTGGCTTTCGGATGTCTATGCCGCATTGAAAGGCTGCCGTGGATGGCAATGATATGTGTATCAAGGTACCATTCAACAAAGATGTATTCCTCCGTAGTTGAACCCAGACCAAAAGACGTGACGTTGAACAAAACATTCCAAGCAGCAAAGAAAAAAAACGGGTGCCCAAAGGGACCAACAGAATCAAAAGGTACAGCCGCCATCGTCAGTCCCTCTTTTGCGGGTTATTCGCCTTGAGCGTGAGTTGTCTCGCAACTTAATTCAACCAACTCAACTCAGCTCAACTCAATCCATAATGAACAAAGAAAATGAATGCCCGATAACTTTTGGGGGTAGTGAAAGAACAGAGTCGATGAAAAAACGAGGCCATTTACACCTACTCATTACTGTTACACTCCCACGCACAACAACACGCAAAGGGAACAAGCTGTTGTTTCGTTTTGTTGACTTCATATTGTTGGTTGCGATCCCATGGTTAAAGTTGAGAGGTGAATACCATTTGTGGGTCTGTTTGGTCTTTTGGGGCAGTCTAGAGTGTGCCTCTTCGCTCTCATTGTTTTGTATCATTCTCACAACTCGCTATTAGATGATAAGGGTAAACCATCGACATTCGATGCCTGTTGTTTGTTGCTCAGCTTTCATAACGTTGTCCTTCTGTCATGTCAATGAGCAATAAAGGACCTTAACCCCCCCCCCAGGCGCCGAAGTAGGAAACCCACGCGGCAAAATATTCCGAAATGAAAGCTAGTTCAATGGTGATCATACCCTTCGATGAACCATGGTCATTGTAATGTGCTCCGCGTCTGAATCTCATACCCTTTAGTCAGATCCCCATCATCATCCTCCCTTTTTTTCAACACTTCCGCTCTTGCGTCAGCACACCTTCAGCGACAAATGATAACATACGCGCATGTGTACGTATGTATACCAACCATTCTCAATCATCCTTCCAACTACCTTCATGTAATTGTAATTTACCGCCACTTTAGATGCACACACTTGGGCGAATTGCTGCCTTTTTTTTTGTTCATACTATGTTGACATCTTGTTGTTCTTTCTCTTCCCCATTTTTAATCCCTGTCGTTGATCTGATCATCCTCTCGCTTCCCCCTCACCCTTAGTTGATGTATTTTCTGTTCAGGCCGTATCTCTTGCACTTTTTTCGTCCTTCCCCTGCCGCTACTTTATGCTTCCACATCCCTTCTCCTTGAGCTCCGTAACTTACCACTGATTCCTCTTTACACCTTTCCTTTGTCACCATCCACCTCTCTGCCCCTTTTTCGTAGCTCGAAAGGCACTGCAGCGATGAGCTGTTTACATTTGCATGTTGTTTGATTGTGTGATTGATAATAACAAAAAAAATGTGGCGATGTGTCGACCGTTGCTCATCCACATCTGGCAAACCCACGCCTCCGGAAGTCGAAGGTGAGGATATACATTAAAAGATAAAGTAATGCGCCGATCGAAATGACCTGCAGTTTGAAAATGATTGTTGATCGCTGGCTTGGAATTGATAGGTGCCTGTTGTGGCATTGACACGATGTGCATGTGCATGTGTGTTGTGTACGTGAAAGAGACTCAAAAGCTGCAGCTACCCCGGTTATAAGCTCTTTTTTGTTGTTGTTGTTGTCGTTACTGTAAACAGGCAGTAATGGAGACGGGTAGGTGATATGAACAATAGATATATAGAAGTAGTTTTGCATTTTTTTTTACCTTTTGAGAACTGGCCAATGTATTTCAGAAGCTTTTTTTTTCGTGCAACGATGGGTTGAGCTGGTTTGGTTTCCTTATTTTTTCGTGGACCGCCAAATCACGTCGGAAGGCCTTGAATGGCTTGGCTTAGATTTGGCTTTGACTTGGCTCGACTTGACTGGCTGCAGAGAGGGAAAAGATATTCAGGGCGAGTCAACGCAGACGGTTGGAGAGGAGGGAAAGAAGGTTCGGGTCGTGGTGTTTGTATAAGAAGAGAAAGGATAGCAGGGATGCGAGGCGATAGCCTGGGATGGGAAAGGAGGGATGTGCAGCGGAGACAATGCGTCAAATAAAAATGGGAGTGTCTATGCGTATATGTGCGTGTATTTTTTTTTTAAAAAGGGAGGAGATATAGCTGTGTGACTTGGGGGATATTGATGGGAGCACAAAATGTGATGTACGTATGAGAGCAGTGTAAGAAAAGTGAATGGGTGTGGAAGTATGGAAAGAAGGAGTGGAATAAGAAATTGGGGGAAGAGAGAGGAAGTGGAAAGGAGTGAAGGAAAGAAGTGCAAAAAAAGATTTTTTCATTTTTTCGCGGTCATCGCTCCCTTTTATCCCTCAAGCCACGCTACGCCACTTTTTTTTCTTGTTCTTCGTTGGTTGCTGGTCTCTCTCTCGCTATCATTTTACTCTTTTCAACCACATGCATCGCCAACAACTAGGTATCTCTTCACGCACTCTCTCGCTACTAATATCGTCTCGCTTTTTCCTACCCTCCTCCTTATCAACCTTCACTCTTCCTCATACCCCCACTCCTTGAAAACCTTCATCCATAACGCCGCCACCGCCGCTACCAGGCACCTTTAGCTTACAGGAACTATCGTTACTCAAGCGACCTCAACGACCCGCCATGACCACAGATGTGTCTCCACTAAACGGCCGCATGCACAGTCAACCCGAAAGCAGGCAGCGTCGAAAGACAAAGAAAAAAAAAGTGAATAACAATACGCACCCGGCCATCTTACTCATCAGAGATTCGTCTTGCTTACGTTTGAACCTTTCAAAACATGGATTCTATGAAGCGTAACTATGTAAGTGAAAACTATCATCTACTCTTTTCGTTTCGTATCGAAGACTCCATCGCTGCCATAGATATGCCATAAGAGGCCAGATACTGAATAAAACAGCAGGTTGTTTATTTTTGCAAGTGCCAATTTGCTGTTCCGGATACGGTTTCAACCATTGGATTATTTCGCCACTTTTGAATTTTCTTCCCCTACCACAACAATCGGCACAAGTCCTTAAAGGCTTCGCAGGTATGGAAGGCCTTTTGCGTTGTGTTGCGTAGTCGGGCATATCACAAACGCCGAGAACCGAGTGATAACGCTGAAAAGAAAGATGGGTGGCCTGCGTCTATTTTCAGGGAAAAGAAAGGGGCTGTTCAGAAGAATGGGCCTTTGGGTTCAAGCAACAACCATTGTTGGCTGTGAAGAGTGGCAGTGATGAGTAGCCAGGTACCTGCACAAAATACCTACAATCGACTCAGCCCTACAGCATCAACTGTGGCCTCTCTAGTCCACCAGCGCAGGTGCCTCCGTTCATAGAAAATGCCGGCCATGAGAGAAAGAAAAGGGGGGGTTGACAATGATAATTGGCCTCTACCTTCAAGCAACAGGCAAGTTGCGCAGAAAAAAAGGAGGTTTGAAATTGGTCCCAAAAAGCATCAAGAGGCTGGTTGTCCCTACGGAAAAAAGAACGTAACGAGGAGGCCCTCAGCTGACCTGTCAAAAAAGGCTGAAAAAAAAGTAGCTCCGTTTTGCCTCGATGATGGGCCAGCTTGTATGGTGGTAATGAACAGACCATCCGTGCTTAGGATATTGAATAGGTTACAGAGGTGGCTATCAACCTTGATTGAGAGGGCGGCCGTATTTCCATGCAAATCAAGCAGTTTGTGCTGAGTCATTCAAGATATTTTTTAATAGAGCTGTATGTATCGTGTAAGACTGATACTTTGGTGTGGAGTAGACAACAAATCACATAATGCAAAAGACTGGATGGTGCAATGGTCAAGGCCACAAGGCCAGTATTTACTTGTAGAAAGATGAACACAGGGGGTTATCATCATTCAGAGCCTTACGGTTCCGTCTCGCTCCCGTTTTGATCCTTGAAGTTGTAGAGTTCCGATGACGTTAGCTCAAAAGGGACCCGATCTCTTTGCTTTCGTTTTTTAGTCGCCTTTTTTTAGCTCTGGCACTTGTTTTTTACTCATTTTGTTCTTCATCCTCTTTTATTCTCTTTACTTTCTTTGTACTCTTCGATGGTTTTGCCGCCTCGGGGTGCTTGGTACTCACTCGTTGTGGAGTTGTTGTTTTTTTTGGTTTTGGGTGTTGTTCATCATCGACACCCGCATTCGATGTAAAAGTTTATTCCATAGAGTTCCACAAAAAGTTCAGTCTGACATGAAAAAAGCAAAAGAGAAATACCCGCTAGTACCAGCGAACAATAAAAGATAGGCGCCGTGGGAATAAGTTCGTAAGCTTGTATACCAGGAGAGGTTGCCTACGGCAAAACAAGAAGAACCTCAAAGACTGAAAGAAAGGCAAAAAAAAAAATGAAAACGAAGGCAGCAAAATGAGCGAAGATGCCGGCAGAAAGGCTATGAGTCAGCAGCAAGCTGCCACTGCAAAGAAGTAGAAGAAGAGCCCCACAAGCCGTCTTGTAGGAGGCTCTCTTGGTGAATAGTACTGTATGACAATGATAGCTTTATGTCACCGCGACTCAGAGAAGCAAACTCAGGACACACTTGTACTCACTCAGACGCCATTCAACACTCTGAATTGCCACCAAATTTTACACATGCTCAGAGCTTCATTTATTCAACCAGCACACAAGAGACAGATGACGTGGATACAAGACAGTCGCCGCACAGAACAAGAACCCAAGGTGCTAAAAAATCGTTGCAGTTTTTTAGAGTCCTTGCAACATGGCCGTTCATAACCCTTATCTGTTAGTTTTTCCTTCCTCTTTACACTTACCTTATTTTATTTTTCTAGCATGATTGCGTTGAGAAAAAAAAAGAGGCAATCACTTGCGCTATTCACCATGGCGAAACACTTGAAGCTCATTTTTTTACTTTTTTTGCACATCTAATCATAGAGACACGCTATTTTGTTTGCTTTCGCTCGCATATCCTCGTGCATGTCTGGGATAAAAGTAATGAGGTCGCCGTTTTATCACCTTGGCTTTTATTAAGTTGGTTTTGACAGACCTGAGACGGGGCTGGGCAGGGTGTCTTCGTCTTATCCCCATCCACCATTATTGTTTTCTTTGCTCATTTCCACTCTTTTTCAGAGAGAGAGCCCACAACAACAAAAGATACATATATTACCTTACTCCACGCGAAAATCAAACACCAATGAAGGAAATTAAACAAAATAAGGCAAGAAGAAAAAAGAGAGAGAAACGAGAGTGAGGGCAAAAACCTGCGGGTTGTGATATATTGCATTCCAGGTCGAGGCGCCGATGGCGTTTCTTTCTTTTCGGTAAGGTGCGGGTTAGGAATGGTAACGAGGATCTTTGTACACGTGGCATAGAACAAGACTCGCGAGAAAACGTTTGCAGGCAAGTTAGAGGAAGCCTTTATGTCCCAGAGGTAAATGATGACAAGAAACGAACTGGCAGGTCGCGGTCTTTCAAGGAAATGAAAATGGTGTGGTATATGGTGCCTAAAAAAAAGGATACATGAACTTGGTTGTTGTCGGTGGTTTCCGTTATTGCACCTTCTTTTGCGCATTTTTTTTCATCTTGGGCTGTTATTGTGGGTCAGGCGCCAGGGTCTCCTTGAACATCAAGCTTTTCCTTTCAGTAAGAAGCAAGAGCCATATTGGTGCTGAATCTCTCAGGGTCTAATAAGGATATGGGTACAACAGTGGGACACGCCCATTCAGGACCTTCATGTACAAAACTTCAAAAGCTACACACACCTTCAAACTAATAGATCAACAGGTTCAAGAAAGATGATCACTTCCATACTTAAATAACCAAATATCCCAAGCGGACCCAATATATATCCCTTCCACTATCATCCAGTGGCCACCAAAATATCATGACAGTCGGGATGGGATTGTCTCCTTTTTTTTTTGGTGCTTGTCAAAAGAGACATGCTCTCTCTTCCTATCTCACTTCTCCGTCTTCTTTCTTTCTTTCACACCCCCCTCTTCCTCCTCTTCCTCCTCCTTCTCACTCCATTCCCTTCTTCTACCACTTCTTTCACCACCGGCTGCAGGATGAAGAACAAAAAAAAAGACTGTCTGTGTACTCACTAACTGCAACACCGATGCCCACCATTACCTACCGCCACCACCATTTATCCATTGGGGTCCCTTGAAAATCGCAAGTTGTTCAAACACAAACGCAACCTGATTGGCTGAAACCCAAAACACCTGCAAGATTTCGACACGATCATCCCTCCATCGCATCTCCTTCGGATAGGGAGGGGAGGGAGCCTAGGCTCATTTCATTCATGTAATTTTTTTCCAATGACGCTAATTCTGAGGGTTGGGTCCATGGAGAAGAAAAGTGAGGAAAGGTAGATGGTTTATCACGCGTCAAAGTTTTCTGTCTTTTGCTAATCGGTGGCTGTGAGGGAGTGGTTTATTCAAAATATACACATGCGGGCGTGCCGCTGTCTACAGCACGGTTGCATTGCGACTTTGGCCAGATGGTCGCTGGGGTACAACAATAATGACAGGAACTAATAAGACACGATGAAGAAATAATGACAAGTGTTTTGTTAGATATAGCTCATTGAACAAAGGTCCAGCAAAAGAAAAGAAAAAAAGGACAGTTTGGCCTTCTGACGGGACGGCTCGTCAACGATGTACCTTCGGCGACGATGGATTTGGTTTTTGATTCTGGGGCCACTCGAGTCAAGACGAGGGAATGATCGATATCCAGGTACGTAGTTCTTGTACTCGGTGCCAGCACTGGCGCCGATGGAAGCTGTAACCAAGCAATCTTGCCATCTTCCTCCTTCTCATCGCCACCACCTTCTGCCTTCCTACCCCCATCAACTCCTTCTAGTGACGCAGAGCGCGTGAATAAAGGAATATCAACCAGCACTTGAACAATTGTGTCAACTGTTCCTTGGACTCCTTTGGCGCGAAGAGATCGCCTCTGAAAAAGCGCCAGTCGAACCTGTTCCTCTGTTGTTTGTTGAATGGTGGGGAGAAGTCGAAGCGGAATAGTTTGCCCGAGCTCGAACTGGGTGGTTGTTGTTCCATGCAATTGAACATTCCACGGATGCCCCTGATCCAGAAGAAGCAATCCTGGTAGATTCCCAGTAGATTCGACAACGTCAGCTGATTGAGATTCATCCATGATATCTGAATCCTTGACTGGAAGGTACGATGGTGACGGCGGTGACAGCGGTGAGGATGACGACGTGAGACTATTGTGGACCCAGATCTCAGTCACAGATTTGACCTGCATAGTCCGGTTGGTCATCAGTTCGACCGTGTACCGGACCCACCCTTGCGGATGAACGCTCGAAGATGGCCATGTCGGGTCAATCACGATAGGATCCAATTGGTGAATAAACCGAGCAAGAGCGTCGCCATTGTTATGGCTATTGTCGCTGTCATATGTTGTTGATTTGGCGGGTGAGGATGATGAAAAAGTAGGAGAGCGGGGTGAAAGGTAAGGAGAGTAGTGACGAGTGCTGCTATCGTTTTGGTAGTGGTTATAGTTGTTATTGTTGTGCAATGTGTAAGGGAGCGATTGGGTGCCTGTGCGCCGTTGTTGCTGTTGTTCTTGGTTGTCACCGTCTACTGGGAGGGGGATATCGAACCTCCTGTAGAAGAAGACCTGCTCGGACTTGAGTTGGGTGTCTGCATGAAATACGGATGATGGACTTTGCCCTGTTTGTGTGTGTGTGAGCAATGCACAAGGGGAAAAAGAGGAAAAGTAAATCGATTGTAAGTTACTCATGACGCAGACCTGCATACAAACAATTCTTCCCTTGATTGTCCAACGCAAAAGAAAAAGTACCTTTAACACTTGTCCCAGCGACACCACGGACAGTCACCTGTGCCTCGTCCTCAGCTCTCCTGCTGCCACTTCCAACCATCAAGTCCTGCGCAGCCCTCGTCATCTTCATCAAAGGAGAAGGACTCGTACTCGTCATACCATTGTTACCTCCTTCCCATGCTCCTCTCACCACAACCATAGCATTACTAACAACACTCAATCTCAACACACCAGGCCGCTCGAGGGACCCACAAAGCAACGGAATCGTGGCCTTTTCAATCCCTCGGCCAGATGCTCGACAGGTCAGTGTCTCGATAGTTTCCTCGGCGGGTGAATCAATCGAGAGGCGGTATTCGGAGACGCTTGCAAAAGCGTTGCAGCATGTCCGGGTGACGTTTCCTGCTCGTGTCGTTCCGATGTAGTAGCACGCTGTGCTTGGTGTGCAGTTCATTGTTTTGCTATTTTGTTTGTTGTTGGAAGGTTGAAGGGAGTGAGGGGATAGAGGAGAAGGGAAGGAAATGATGCAGGATGCGGGAGCGATGCAAGGTTGGCTGGGAAAAAAGGGAGGAAGAACGAAGGAAGAAAGGAAGTTTTTTTCTGGACGAGCTGAAGGATGACTGGGAAGTATTATGAAGAAAAGGGAAAGAGGCTTGAAAGATAAACGTGGATGAAGAAGCAAAGTACAACGCAGAGGAAAAAGAAGTGCAAGAAACCAACTGTGCGGCGTGGCGCGGTGGTATGAGCCAACTCCAAGGTTGTATCTACCCTCACCACAGCCCGTCCTCGTGAACAAATGGATGGAGAAGCCGAAATGCAAAAAATAAACTTAAAAAAACGGACGGAAGAGTGAAAGGTGGGCCTGCATGGTGTCCATGAGAAAAAGAATGTACAACATGCAAAGTAAGAAAGAGTGAGCCCTATCGGATTGTTGTGTGTGAGAAATCGTTGAAGGATTATCCTCTATCACCCCTCCCAGATGACCTTCGGTATGGATAGCCGGTAATAATTGTCAAAGCGTCAAGAGAGAAAGACGGTCCATGGTGCAATCATGGTATCGGTTTGTGCTTTATTTCATTATGGACGGTCTGTGGCAGAGAAAAAACTATATTCTTCGATTCTGACATAGACTGGTAGTTCATCCTCGGTGGTTGTTGATAGGGTATAAAGGTGGCCATGGCCGCCCAGTTCTTCGGCTTACTCGTACTCAGGAGGTGCTGGGGAGGTATGCTGGGCCGTTGGGCTTCGATATGAACATCAACTAGGACATTTGTGTTGTTGTCATGTGAAAAGTGAAAATAAAGGTACTGTTCGTGGCACCCATCCCATTTTCTCACCTGCAACCAAACAGCTATTTCTTCGAAACAACAAAGGCGAACATACCAGCAACCTGAATGGACTCTGCTCGGAAATCGCGCACAGACTCGCCATTGACTTTCAAGACCATCGACAGAGAATGCAAAAAATTCAAGTACTTGATCCTATAGTCGGTTGTAAAGAATGGCTCATTCGGGACCGTCAAGGTTACAGTCCGCCCCCGCCCATCCACAGCCTTTGACCATCCCGTCGTCAAAGGGACAGTCATCACTTCAACCAAACGAATTACACTCCAAGGACCACGGCAGCGCGACCTCCATTCTTGAACTCACTTGGAGAATGAGCCGACTTGGACTGACTGCTACTAGGACTTGGGACCCCAGGATGGCGTAGCTTTGTGGGTTTGATATCGAGATGGGAAGTAGGCCTCCAAAACCAGTTCCTGAAGCGATAACTGCGGTCGCCGTTTTAGTGACTTAACCAGGCACCACAGGTGACGAAAGCTCTGACAATAGCGCAGGTATGGGCACGTTCAAGACCCAGAAGGACTGCCCGAGGGCCATGCAGCAGTACGGCTGAGACCCCCCCCCCCCCGAGGTCGGGCACTTCAAGCCATGGACTCGGAAATCGTATTGGATCGAGGTAATGGACCCGAAGAGGGAGGAGGTCCAAGCCGGGTTGATCGTGAGAACAACCTGTTATTGTAGAATCCTTTGGCGATTGTTCGTGCTGTAGCTCCGGCGGTAGTTGGGATTATCTATTTCTGTGTGGCGAGTGGAACGTCCAAACTGATCAACGGCATAACCCGCGCCATGGCTGCTCCTATATCGAAAAAAAAATCATTCCAACATATATGCGTATATTGCAATGGGGTTAGTTTTGACGACTTTCTTTATTGGTGATGGGAGAGGCAGGTATTCTCTGCAATATAACATTGAATTACTGTGCCATTATTGAAACTTTTGCGACACTTACTTAGTACCAGTGCCATAAGTCCTCGAATTACAAATGGCTCTGAAGGTGAGAGTCACCTCGTCTGCTGTCCAGACTTCGTCAAGCTCAAATGTGGCCGTGGCGTCAATGATTCCAGGGTTGTCGTGTGATACGTGAAGAAGCGGTAATGGCTCCTTGCCGACTGTAGTTATTGTTGAGCAGGTGCCGGTTACAATATGGATTTGTAGATCCTTGACCTTGGGCTCCTTCTTGACCGTTGCCAACGACAACTTGCTTGAAAGTTGTTTCATAAGTTTAATTGTTGCCTGCGTGGTTGTTGGATGCGGTATAATGCAAGTGAGGTCGAGAAGGAAGTAAGAAAAATGAAGCGAAAAAAAAATATTATTTTCAAAAGAAGAGTTGGCTATTGCTGAATATCATTTCTTTGAGCGTCTCAATGGTGAAGAGTAAAACATTCCAGCCGCCTTCCTCTTCTTGCGCATGAGACCAAAAGCAGCAGCTTCTGTTGCCACAGTTTTTTTTTGCTTGTAAATATGGACCTAAAGGGCCTTTTCCATTTCGCTTTTCGCCGTTGACCTTTGCTCTCTCTCAAGAAAAATTAAGGGATCGAGAAAAAAAAGATCAGAGACGGATAGAGTCGCATGCTTCGATGACTTCGCCCAAGCGCAAAACAAATACCTTCCTCAACCACCCGCCGTCTCGACTGGCCGAGTACATTTTCAGCAGACATTTTCTTGCTCTTTGAGTAAACGATCAAGTAAAACTCGCTTATGTGCGATTTTTTATTTGCTACAAGGTATATGGTATGTTTACTCTTCACGGGAGTAGTGAGGCTGGTACTTCTCATCACCAATGTGTTTCTGTTGGTAGGCTTGAGCGTCTGTGGCGCTGTAGGTGGGCAAGAAGTCGTCCTGTGCCTGAATATTGCGGCGAGGAACTACCAATTGGAATGGCACTACAAATCACACACATAAACACCAAAAAAAAAGGTTCGAATAAGATATTGGGAAAAGAGGTGAGTACATGACCAACAGCCTTTTGCTAACCATGCAAGGCCACAAAAGAGAGAGCGAGAGTAGCAAAACAAAGCACGAGAAAGTCAAGAAGTACAACATACCTTCAACGGTGATCTCTTGGGCTTTCATATCACTATCGTTCTCAGCCTTGTACTTCATAGTAAACAAAACCAAGTGCGAAATATCCATGACCTTGGTAGTCATCGAGGCATTGATCTCGGGCGCGGTCGGCAAGGTAATACTGACCGTCCGTGTCCATCCTCCAACAGTGTTCTGAGGCCACCCATCACGGATCGCAATCTGGGTCACATCTGTAGAATGGTTAACGTCGACCCCGGCAGAAACCCTGCTCCACCCTTGAACCTTCTCCTTCACCGAGAACCCAGCCGAGAGAACCACAATGTTCTGTCCAAACCTCTTACTGCCCTTCCGGAAGGGTTCCACACGGACTGTGAGGGGCACCTGCTCATGAAACTGCAAAGTCTGGTTGGGGATGGTGAGTGAGACAGGGAGGTCGGGTTTCTTGCCCGGTACATAGGCAGTCAGGGGTTTGGGAACGCTTGAGGGAACACCGGCTTCTGAGGGTAGAATGGAATTGACGACCCAGACTTCGTATGGCAGGGTGACCAGGATAGGAGACAAGACGCCCATGAACATCTTGACGAATGAGGCCTCGAAGGTGTAACGGACCCATCCCATCCCTTTGACGCTGGCTGATGTGACGCCGGAGGAGGGCCAGAGGGGGTCGATGGTTGCGGTGACGGTCTTTGTGTATCTTCCTGCGGCGATGGTGCCAGGGGTTGGGCGGACGAGGTCGCTCATGGTCCAGCGCTTCCGTTGGAGGTTGTGTTGAAGTTTGCTCTTGGCTTGGAAAGATGTCATCGCTGTTGAAGGGAACGGTAGCCGAGTATGGAGAAAAAGGGAGGTGAGGGTGTCAGAAATATGTTCGTCAAGGTAATGATAAGAACGCATGGTAGCAGCATATTGATGTTCATGTGTATCAATCCGAAGAGGTGCGTTACTTGTCACTTCATAGACAACGGCAGCGTTGTACTTGATCTCCACATCTTGGCCCTGACAGTCCTGGTCGTTCTCAAAAGTGACAGTGGCACGGATAACAGCAGGGACCTCGAGATTACTGAAGAATACAGGCATGGGGCGATTGTCGACGATGATGTAATTGTCTGAATGAGCCTCAAGCGAGATTCGCCTGTCTTTGGTCGAGGATGATGCCCTCCCCATGTTCTTCATGCTCAATGGTTTAGATGTCGACATTTTTGATGTTTTTTTGCTGTTTGGTTTTTGTGGTGGGTTGGTTGGTTTGTTGCGTTTCGAGGGGTCCTGTGAAAGGTGAGGTATAGTAGAATGTTCGTTGGTGGAGGTGAAATATTGAAAAGAAAGAAGGAAGGGATGGGAAAGTTGCTTGCTTTTAAAGTTGTGTTTTGTTCGCAAGAAGAGAGGGGATGGTGCATGATTGGTATTCTGTCGACCAAAACGGCTTTCTTGATTCTCAACCTTCAATCATCAATTGTGTTCATGCATGAGAACGTGCCAAAACAAATGCTTTCAGCGAAAAAAAAGAAACCCCATAAAAAGGGCATTTCTTTGCGTTACATATTGCCACATAGCATAGTCTTTACAAAGTGCTCACGAGGAGCTGGAAAAAGAAGGTTAAAGGAGGGAATTGTTCTTTGACACTTTGAGGTGCCACCGTCGCACAGAAATCGAAAGTTCGCTTTTTTATTTCCAGGGCCACTCACGTTTTCCCCTTGCCCCTTTTTAATTTTTCGTCCCTCACAACTGCCACATGAGAACCTAAATGTGTCATTCTGGGTAGCGGTGTAATAACAGGGTCGACTTTGCAGTGGCGAGAGGGAGGAAAGAAGAGAGGAAAGAATAGAAAGTTCCAGATGGGTTTCCATTTTTTCTAGTCCTAATTGTTCTCATGCCACCACTCGACGAGCTCGTGCACTCGGGCAATCTTATTTTCGCTGGCAGCGGGTTGGTTGAAGTTGTGGTTCAGCCACTCGGCGGTGGCAATGGTAGTGTACCATCCCCTGGGCGAGGAGTACATCTCGAAGCAGTGGTGGCCACCTGGAATCTCGAGGTAGTTGATTGACGCGGTGCTCTCTACAGAGGTGGTTGTGGTGTTAGCCGAAAGTCGACAGAAAAACACAAAGGGACTGCTAACTTTCCCGGATCAACAGGGCTAATATGCACGGCGAAATAAACAGTTCCACCTTCACTTTGTTTGGACATAGCAGACCATATTACTTACTCTTGCGGAACTCTTTCACAAAGTCGCGGGCTGTCTCAACAGGGCACGTGTCGAGGTCTCCTCTAATGGTTTGTAGTTTTTGTTTTGTTCATGAGAAAGTCGACGAAAAAAATGGCGCATTAGTGGCTAGATCCTATATCTCCCTTATCCGTGGCCAGGGCGTACATAACTTCGCCATGTGCTGTAGAGAGTCACTGCAGTACTTACTGTACGATGAGGAAGGGAACATTGGTTCCTTCGACTTTGTAAAGTGGAGAGTGCTCCTTCAGGAACGCGATATCTATTTTCAAGTTTGCGGAGGGCCGGCGGCAAAAATAAGTCGTGCTAGGTCAGTCTTTCATGCATGATGTTGTTGGCTGATTTGTTGCACTAGACCTAATTTGCTGACAGATGGCACATTGCATACTTTCGGCAGACTCGGGGAATCCTGGACGAAGAGCCACCTCCCTAATGAACCGCTCTCTACCGTTCGCAGCTCTATAATCGTTCGCATCCACCAAATCCAACACGGCGCTCTGGACAAGACAGCCCTGGACAGAGGTATCAACCTTCTCGAATCCATGTTGATATGCCGGGTCGTTGGGTGTGAGAGCAAGCATCGCCGCTAATTGACCGCCAGATGAATCGCCAGTAACAACAACATTGTGAGGATCGCCGCCAAACGTCTGAACCTCTTCCCTGATCCAGCGGAGAGCACGCTTGCAGTCGATGAGTTGAGTAGGGTATCCGTCCTTGGTCTTGAGGCGATGGTTGACAGCAACAACGACCCAGTTCTGAGCAATCATTTCTGTCACCAAGGGTCCAATCGACTTCTTGCTTCCTGATGTCCATCCGCCGCCATGGATATACATCTACAACAAAAAAGTTCAAAGATATGGACGATGACGTTTAGTGGCTGGTTTTTGTAAGAGGGTACTCTCTGTGCTCTCGATGCCATTTTTCCCGGATAATTTTCTCACCAAGCCGAACATCAAGATGGAATAATATCGGAGCTTAGCAACACAAACAACCATAGCATGTGCTAAACGAAAAAAAAACAAAGAAAAACGGTTGAACAGGTGGAGAAAAAGCGCATCAGCAAAAAAAGAAACTTACAAGCACAGGCCGATCATGACCACCCTCAACGTTGTCGGGTCGGTAGACATCTACAGCCATCTCCAGAACCGATTCCCAGCCGTCAGTGTTCATGGCATACATCTGCTCCTTCGACGTCCAGTAAGGGACTAAGAAATGAAAGTGAGAGCGCGAGAACAGGGAGTAAGCAAGATTAGCGTAATGTGATGTTAACAAAAAAGTTCAGATATCAGTCTCTTCTAGTAACTGTTCATCGCAATCCCATGGATCTCCGGACATTGATATTTTTCAATCCTCCCTTCAAAAAAAAAAGCAACGAAGGAACACGTACTGTTTTCATTGAGAGTAAAGTTGCGAGGCCAGTGAAATGGGTTCATGAACTGTTTCCAGAACTTGGGTCTATTTTCAGGGGATGATGCAAGAAAGCATGATTGGTATGATGTGACTACCCACATGCCACAAAAAGGGAGAGGGAAGGAAGGAGGTAGAAGGCGTTCCAACGATAAACAACAAGGACCTGGCAAAAAGGGTTGATGGATGACTTACGAGGTCACTCCCGGGAGTTTGAATTTCGTCTTGTTTTCCTTAGAGATCTCGCCGAGGAAGTTTTCAACGACAACCTGACACTCAAGAGACCGCTTGAACAAGTAGAGAGTTCCTGCAGCCGTGATCACATTGACATATGAGAAGAACCGGGCCATGGGTGAAACATCTATACATGCAAGAAAAAAATCGCTTGTTAGAACATGTCCTCATCAAAGCACCGTGGGAGATTTCTGCGTCGCCTTTTGCTGGTGGAATGAAAAGGACTTACAGAAGGTACCGGTGACAGAGAGCCAGGACTGGAAGAGGAGGTCCAAGAAGAACATGATCAGTGGGAACTCAGAATACTGGTTACTGGTCAGACTGAGGACGACATTAGCGACACGGTTGGGAGTCCGTTCTCCTAAGATGGCGAAGCCAGTGACGATGAATGATGTGAGCGAGAAGGCGGCATAGGATACGGCCCAGGTCAATCGGACGAGAGAGATAACGAGACCCATTCTGGGATCAGCTGTGTTGGGACCAGTTGTGGGCGAAGAGGGTGATCAGAGGGAGGTTAAGCTTGATCAATTGAAGGTTATCAGTCTCACGATAAACTGATAAACTGCTACGATTGGTCAGCTCGGGATGAAGGCGTAGAAGAGGAGGAGAAGAGGATGTGGTGAAGAGTTTGAAAGAAAAGGAATGAATGAAAGAAAAAGAAAGTGAATGAGGAGAAAACTGGATCAATCACTTGCACTCAGAGAAAAAAGGAGAGGAGGCTTGGAAGGCTTTGGTATTTTTGTTATGAAGGAGAGAGATCGTATCGATCGGCTATTGATCCACTGGCCCGCCAGGCTCAGCAGACGTGGTCTTGCTCGACGTTGACTTATGAGCTCATCGGTGCACTTGACAATTTGACACACACGGTGGGAGAAATCGATCGTTTGTCTGTGTTATCGGACATGAAAAGACTGCAACAAAAATTACCACAGACGGGTTGTCTGTCTGTTCCCTGAAATTGTGTGTAATGAAGTCACTCGCTCACCAGAGCCAATGTTCATATCCCCGTGCTACACCCTCATCCTTGCAACGACAACAGACAAACACCTCACACAGAAAGTGCTCACTATTTTTGTTTACTTAGCCGCATTGATAGACTGTCGAAGTTGCCATGTCTTTTGATCCTTCTAGCGCGCTATGTCAGCCATGCTAGTCATTGTCTAAAACGAAGCTAGTAGGCATGGCACTCCACAGAACAGAACCAACAGTTTTTTTTTTCTTTCCGTCGATCTTCATTTTTTGCTCACCTTTTTCGCATCCCATGCACAGCTAAGGAGGCCGCATGCTCCCATGAGACCTCCACTAACTTGTTCATTCAACCTGGTTTCACACTTTACTGTCAAGGTTTCCATTGTTGCACGAAAAAGGGTGCTCTTTAGTGGCAGGGACATAGAGCAGGACGGGGCATACTGCCATAGGTGCTGGCAAAGAGATAGTGGGAGAGAAAGGGAGATACAGTCGAAAGAGGTCGGCATACCTCACACAGGGATCATTCAGATACCCTGGCCATTTTTTTTAGTAGATCTACAATGTTGTTAACCCCTGTCCAACGTACTTTGGGCAAGTACACTGTCTTGTCTGACAACATTAGAGATAGGTCTGTCGTGATCTTTATTTTGCTTTTCGAAAGAGAGAGTGAGCCGGACAAATATTAAAACGGGTAATGTGATTAGAAGATCCGCTCCTTTCCCCAACAACATCAATTGCCTTGAGGGTAGAGGAAGTCAAGAGGAATGAGAGAATCCAAGAACAAGAAGAAGAAGAGGAGGTTTGGAGAAAGGGTGATGGTGGCCGGACACTCACAAGTTTATCCTCGATATGAAATTAAAGAAAAATGGACAAGAAAAGAAGGGCTCTCAATGGCTTTTTGTGCAAAAGACAGGCAGATGAGTGGAGGGAAAAAGAAATGCCCAGAACGGAGGGTTCAGGTTCCTTCGTCCAACTCATAATAAAAGTTGCTCTCTGTCCGCTGTCCGCTGTCAAAATAATAATCTCCGGGGGTTGGCTGATTGATGAAAAAGAAGGTTGAATGAATGAAAAAAATGAATTAGTAGTTGGGGGAACGGAGGACAATTATCTTTTTTCTGCACTTCAGTATGTCGGCGAACAATGTGACAAAGAGTTCCAGCGGATTGAAAGTGGGCGCACTGGTAACAAGAAGCGCTGACAAACGCCGAAGTGAAAAAAAATAAACAATTTGAGAACAGTTTCGAGGACAAGTAACCTTGCGGCCATAAGAAGTCAGAGAGATGGACAGACAAATCAACGAGGATAGGGGTGTAGAGGATAAGAGCATTTTGGTCGATGGGAGTACAGACGAGGACGGGTGCTAAAGAGAGAGAGAGGTGAGCGATGAGCAGACAACGACGACCCATTTTGAGTGAGAACGAGGAGTGAGAGCCGACCACCTTCGTTGAAGAAAAGGTATTCGTTGCCCTTTCAATTCTCACTTGTCCTTCCTTCCTTCCTTCCTTTCTTCTTTCTTTACACCTCTTCTTCTCGCCCTCCCTCCCATCCGTGACATGCTGTGGTCCCTTGTCTCGCCTCTGTCATCCCCTCACCTTTTTCAGTGACCGATCCCAACCCATTCACCTTTTTGGTTGTCTTCCGCGTTTTTATTTTCACGCTACATCTCCTTCCGGCACAACTAGACTTTTAGTCATCCTTCCGTCTCTCTTTCTTGACTGATCCTTTCCTTTTTTTTCTTGACCATTCTCTCTGCGAACTGGCATTCACACCCGCAATCACTCGGCCCGAAGCGTCCATTCACCCTTCTTCATTCGTTCCTTGTTCTTTACTCCTCTTCCCTCCCCTCCTCCACTCCACTCTGTCTCGTTCACTTTTTTTTTAAAATATCCCCCCTGAACTCACACTAACCGTCATTTGTTCCACCCCTCCCTGAACCTGAGTCTTCCACTTTTACCCTCCTGGACGCCCACAACAACAGTCAGAGCCAGTATCAATCTGCACACGCCAACGTTAACGACACCCGCCCTTCTTTACACTCTTGGATCCTCTTCTCCTCCCTTCCGCTGGACAACAAAAAGCCCCCTTCGCTCTCTCTCGCACACATTTATACCCACCCAGCAATGAGGACTCGTCCGACCAACACGGTTCTCGCAGGATTGGTGCTCTCTCTTGCCCTCTCCACATCCTTCTTTTCCGCCACAACCTCAGCGGCACCTACTACCACTCTTGCCCCCGCTCCAACCAAAGGCACGACAACAACGCCCGCTGCACCCGCCAACCCATCATCAACTGCTGCACCGGCCCTGAATATGCCGTCCGCCTTCCTGGGCGTGGCTTCAGCAACAAGCGATGGTCAAATCTTTTTCCAAGGAGGACAGCTCAACACACAGAAAGTTCAATACTCCAACGAACTTTATTCTCTCGATGTCACTAAATCATGGCGCATCTCTTCCCCTGCCTGGACAAACTTGACCACCGTTGGAGGACCTGCCGCCGGAGGCCATTCGGCAACCATGTCCAATGACCTCAAGAGCTTGTACCTGACAGCCCCGAGCGACAACGCGGCCAGTGCCTTCTGGTTCAAGTACGACATCCAAGGCAAGACCTGGACATCTGAGCCTGCCCCTGCAGCGTAAGTGATGATGACATTTTATTTTCTTGTTTTAAGATTGTCTGCAAATATTTTTTTTCGCTCGTGACCGTGGTTGTGGTTATGGTCGTTGGGCGTGGGAGTTGGAAGACAAAGTGGCAAGGTACTCGACAACATCTCAGATCATCACTATATCTTGCAAATGGGCGACGCGAAGATAGAGGGCGGGTATGTTTCTTGTTCATACAGAAAATTGACTTCAGTTCATTTGTTCTTGGAGTTGACAGCATTGCGGAGAGTAATTTTAACGTTCCCACTTTTTAGTTGGGTAAAAAAGGAGAAAGCGAGGGAGTTCAGCCATGACGCATCTGGTCCTTCTTGTAGTTGTCGTTAGTTTCGTTGAGTGTGAGCGGGGCCGTGTCTACATGCTTTGTGTATTTGTGTGTGAGACATCAAAAAGGAAGATTTGGATCCAGCCGCCACGTTGTGCCTCCGCTAGGACCTCCGCTCATCGCCCTTCTGTCAGCCATTTTCATAAGGAGAAAACCACAAGAGATGCACCTGTTCATTCAAGCGACCATTCTTCACTCAGTTCCTGTTATCTCATCTACAGCAAATGGCATCGTCCCTAATTCTGTTTTGTTGTTTATTTTATTTTTTTACCATCTATCCCGCCCAATCTGAATAGTCAAGCGCCGGTTTGGGCAAACAGGCGTGAAGCTCAACTGGTGACGGACCCAGCCACCGGTGCAATCTGGTACATTGGTGGCGCAACAAGTGGAGGAGACACGAACGAGGTCGACAAGTTTTTGAACAACGCCTGGAACGCCAATGTGCCCACTGTGAAAAAGGATGCTGGTTCTTCAGGAACGGGAACTTCGGCAATCATGGGCTCCTACAGTGCGGGCACCTCGCACCTGATCGACAACAAGATCTACATCTTTGGAGGATTTGCCTCGGCACCGTCCTCCCCAAGGACATACCAGACATTTCAGATTCTGCCATATCTCGATATATCGACCTCGCCCCCCACCATCGGCACGCAGGTAACTTTTTTTTCTTTTTCTTTCTTCTTGTTTGAGCCTTTGAGGGGTAGGAAGCTAACTGATAATGACTATGGAGCAACTATTCTCAGTTGTCCCGAAGATTTCTCACGCCGAAAGCATACTTTTTTTTTTTACCATGGTCACTTCTTTTTTAGTTTACACTGGGCGCTGTTCCACCCCCACGGCAGGACCATTGCAGTGTACTCAGTAAGTATCCCCATGCCGTGCTAAGCATGCAGGCAATATATGTCCGACGGCAGATGCAGAGACGTATACATGTGGCGGAAAGGATAACATCTCTTCTGACCCAGTTTCTCCTTGGTTTGCTTTGTTTTCATCTCCCTATTGCAGCATCCAGCAAAAAGATTATTATGTATGGAGGGTACGATTCCAACTCCATAACATCCTACAACGATGTCTGGTCGCTGGATCTTGTCACTCTGACCTGGCAGCAGATCGTCACCGTCAACTTATCTCGACCCCGTTACGGACACACGTGCAACATTGTCGGCGCCAACATGGTGGTCTATGGAGGGCGGAATGGTACAGATATCGGATACAGTCGGGATATTCAGGTGTATGATGTGATGCTGTCGAGCTGGATGGGCTCTTATGCGCCCAAGCCAGATACGACCACCATCTCGGACCCACTCCCAGGAGGCGTCAATGGACCTGGAGGCAACCATTCTGCGCTCTCGACTGCGGCCTTGCTCGGCATTATTGTTGGCTCGATCGCAGTCCTCGCATGTGTCACTGGAGTATTCATTTACCGGAGACGGCAGCGCAAGATCGAAATTCGGGAAGCTGAGATGGAAAAAGAGGCATATCTGGCGTCACTTGGAACGGACGGGAATGATAAGGCCGGAGGAGGAGGAGGAGGAGGAGGAGGAGGGAAAGGCAAACGGCACAACAGCCCCTATGGCACATCATCGTCGCCTTATTCGACTTCCACTCGGCATTTGAACCAGCGCGAAGTCAGTATGGATGGCATGGATACCCCTGCAACCAGCCACTACGATCCTGTCGGATTTGAGAACTCGATGCATACTCCATCGGGAGCTGGCAATGTCCAGTACTTAATGCAGCAGTTGCCTGATGGTACTATTGCTGTCCAACCAGTCTACCTTGACCACCAGGCAGTCAGCCCCTACGGAGGCACTCCACAACTCCAGCATTCGCCCAACATCATGTACTCTGAAAACAGCAGTTTGGGTGGCGTGGTCAACAGCCCATCGCCTACTGTGCGGAGCGGTCCCATGGGAGGAGGAGGAGGAGTATCTGGATCTGGAACAGGATCGAAGGGGTATTTCTCACCCCCACCATCAGCTATCAACTCTACCAACCCTGCAGGAATCAACCCCTATGGCGGTCAGTCTGTCCCAACGACACCCAAATCAGGTTATGTCCTCCCGCCTTCATCCTCGGTGCCCTTCCCTCGCCCGATCCATGACGCCTCTGGGGTGCCATCTCCCATGCTGCCTCAAGCGCCCCTGCCACCAAACTACAAGCCTGGCGGCAGTGGTGCTCCCTCTCCCGGATCCTATTACTAGGACAATAGAGACAAAACATAGGAGCCGGCTATATACCTTATTGCATAAACCTTAATAACTGAAAGTGTTTTCCTGCTGTTATATTTTACAAATAGCACGCGTGCTTTGGGAGAAGAGTTGATATAATTATATGCTTTGAAAAGTACGTCTCTTAGAATCCCCAGTCCTCGGTCGTACCGCCTAATGGATCCATGCTGTTGAGTTCGTCGACCATAACATCCCTCGCCATCACTTCCAGTTCCTTTGATACTGTCGCCAGTATTTTCTGTTACGCACAATCATAAAGGGGGGAGGGGAGAGGGGGGAGTCTGTTGTTAGAATCTGTACTGAAGTATTGGCAAAGCTGCGTCATTCTTTGTTGTTCTTGACATTGTGATTTGTTACCTTGAACCGATTGTCGACACGCTGGAAGAGGTCGAGGGTTTGCATGTTCCAGATGTTTTCATGTCCTGACAGCTTTTCGTAGACTTGGGCGATCATGTCGCACAGGGATGCGAATGTGATAATATAGTCCAATTGAAAAGGCTATTTGGTTTGCAGCAATTTGATTGACATGGTACGATACGATTTGTTAGCAGGAAGAACAATTTTACAACACCCACTTTGCAAAGTCCTTGTTAGTTTGGGGTGAGGCCTCTTACCAATGGTCGAACGTCCAGTTGTGAATACTCTCCCGTCTCCTCGAACGACTTGCCCTCCAGTAACGCCTTTCGACCCGTCGCCCTTAAAAATATCTACAAAAAGCGAACAATGATATCCAGTATTAGTACCAAGACCTGCAACGGGGCGGGTGATCATCAATTCAATTGAGATGACTTGGGATCTGTCATTCTACTTTGTTTTTTTTGGGAAGGATGTGTGTACTGTACCATTTTGGATTTGGACTCGGAGGCGATAAAGTAATCGTATTCTTGGACAACAACCTGTAATGCCTTGAGACAGTCGGCTTGGCCAGGGATCTCTAGAATGGTCGCCAGAGACGAACCCAGTATAAAGTACTGCATCGTCCTATCATATCCATTACCAAACAAAAATGTGGTTCGTCAGTTAAATGAAACCTTTTCCCCCTTGTCCATTGCGAGTTCCCCCCCAAATTGCAAGAAAGTTAGTATGAGAGAATTGTGCGTGTAAAGGTTACCTCCGCTGCATTTTCTCATCATTGTATGGGTACCCCTGCCGGAGGTCAACCTCGGAGAGGACGGCTGTGTTGTAGAGGACCATGCCGCCCTGATGGACCCGCTGGAGGTACCTCCAGGTTGCGCTTCGTTTTGTCACCAAGTCGCGTTGGCTGCTGGCAGTATGGAATTGTTGTGGGATGCCGCTTGATCCTGGAGAGAGTATCGCTGTGGGCGAGTTGATGACGGACATGTGGTGCTTTGTTGGTTGCTTGGCGGCCGGCGGTTAGGGTATTGGAAACGGTGGAAGGTGGGCGTGAGAGAGAGAGAGGCTGAGGGTATCTGTTTCCGGAGGTTCTGGTGATGGTGTTAGGTTTGGGTGTTGTTCCTGTTCCTGATGGAGGAAAAGTAGTACGCTGGCAGGGGGTATTTGTGTAGAAAAGATATGGGTTCTCGCTAGTGGTGTGTGCAGAGATGTCGGATGAGCTTGTTGCCAGGTGAACTCCTGTGAATGGTGGTGATGATGATGGTTTTGAGTGTCCCGAACTGATGTCCTCCTGATGTCCTCTTGATAAGTTGTTTGTCGAGATGAGAGATGCTTGAAAGTCGAGTTTGGTTGATGCGAGAGAAGAGATGGAAGAAGAAGAAAGAAGACGAGCGTGAAGAGGTGGAGCCGAGGAGACGAAGGAAAGGGCGCCGGGTGGGTCACAAGGAAGTGGGTCTTAATGGTCGCAGGTTCTTGTGTGCGGGTGATAAAGAAAGAAAAGGGGTAGGCAGGCGGAGGATGAAAAGCGGCACTTTTTGGGTTGGGCCTCGTTTAGTTTGTGCTCAATTGAACAGGGAGGAGCGAGAGCACGGATAACTCATAAGCAACCTACATGAATGCTGGGCGCAAATTGACAAGGGGTAAATGCATCAACAAAAGGTAGCAATTCAATGGCCTATCAGCTTCCTCCAGGACCACTGGCCATCCTTCCTGGGAACCAGACCCTCGGCCTTCTTCTTCGCATGGGCACCGGCGGCCATCAGTCGCGCAACCTCCACCTCGGGACTCGCGCCAAACCCACATGTCCGATAGATCGCCACCCGGTCAAGTCTTGTCCAGAACGACGACTTCTGTTGCTCCTGGGGCCACTCGGAATCACGATCGATAATATTGTCAATCACAGACTTGACGTCAGTCAACATCCCACAACTGCTCAATTGGAGCATCACACCCAAATCGGCATCGTGCTTCTGTCGGATCTCTTCAGGACTCATGCCTTCAAACCGTGCGACGTTATTGGCGATCCTGGATCGGTCTCTGTCAATGTCTGCTTGCCACTTCGCTGTGATGGCCTGTCGTTTCCGTTTGCTCCACTTTCGGTGCGACCATGATGATAGCTGGTTCGGCGCAGCGCTCACAGAGGAGGAAGAAGTGAAAGAGGAGCCAGATGCCGACGAAGGTGAAGACGACGACGAGGAATAAGCCATCCAGTCAATAGCACAGCTCTCGAGCAGCAAACCATTCAAATCTACTTGGTCGATCCAGAGTCTCTCCAGATCCTTCAACCGCGCCAGCAAACAAAACCCACTCTCTAGGTTCAGGAAAAATGAAGCCTTAGCGCCCGGGCCCAGTGCGCTTCTATGCTCCAGAAACACACTCGGGAAACAAATCTTAAGGTCGCGGAGACGGGGACACACTTGAGAAAGGTAACCATAGACAATACGACTCGCACGCTGGTCTTGGCCCCCCTCGGAAAAGGAGAGGTGGCATGTTTGGAGTCCTCGACAGGCCCATACTCGGATCGAGTCGCCGCGAAAAGGGTCATAGGTCGAAGATGGCCGAGGTTGAGCGCTAGCCGGCTGGAGAGTCGGGGCCATTCGACGGAAGGATGAATAAACGTCCAAGTTCTCATATGGAATGTTGGAAGCGACAGCCTTAACCGAGAGGAGGTGTGGTAGCTGACAGAGCAAGTCGTGTAGGTATATGGAGTGTCCAAGCACCTCCAGCGCTGTGATTCTGTTGGCGTCGCTTCTGTTGTTGAAAGGTTTGAGGAGAAGGCGTGACGTGTCAAAGGACAAATCTGAGCCTTGAACGGTCCATTCTGTCGACTGTGGGCAGACATCCATCATCCTCGCATAGTCATCGTACGTCAATTGAGGTCCAGCTTCGATCGAGAAATGAAACGACCGCAGTTTCAATGCTGGAAGCAACTGCAAGTGTTGGCACAGCCTGGTGAGGTCGTTGTCGTCTGTCACAACGTGATCTCTCAGCACAATCTTGAGTTCTTGGAGGTAAGGAGTCGAGGCCAGGAACTTCTCCAGACACGGTTGGGGCAGCTGGACATGGATGAGTTTGAGCGACTTGAGAGGGAAAGGCGGCGGCGGAGATAGACTTCCAATGGCAGAAACCCTTTGTGGCAGCCAGGGTCCGAGCAAGTTGATGGTCCAGAGTGATTCGATATAGAGATGCTCCAGCTGGGTACAGGTCTCGAGGAGTTGGGACATGCGAAATCCGCTGTCCCACACTTGGTGGATGGTTAGACGGGTCAGCGACGCCATGTAAGGGAGGAATCTTGGGACTCCCATGCCGATCTCAACATATTCCTGGAGTGTCATTTCTCGTAGTGGTCGCGGTGCCAAGTCCTGAGTAATATCGATGGCCGAGATTCCTTTTCCTGGAGGAGCACCGTTCTTGGTCTTTGAAATATTGTTTTCAGGCGGACCCTGTACCAACCGTTGCTGGTGCTCTTGATGCTCGTCATGCGTCTGTTTCAAGACATCCAGGAGCCAATCTACCTTCTCACCGCGTTGAAGGCCGGTCCTACGGAAGAAGTAATAGAGGTGAGTCGCTCTTGGGATCCGAGTGCGCATCTTGTGTTTGAGAACCTCGAGTGGCAGCCCGCTGTCCCAGAGCACCTCACGGACGATCCGGTCCCTGTTCATGGAGAGCCATTGGCGACAGACGCGGATGACTGTCCTGCGGATGGTAGTCTCGTCGATGTGGGCAAAGATGTGGTCAAGGAGTTCTGGAATATCCAGGATCCTAAAGGGCGATTGTTGGCGGGTATGCTGAGGCGAGGATACCATGGTTTGTGTTTGGTAGAGAGAGAGGGAGAAGTGGAAAGAAAGAGACAAATCCCAAATGCAAGAATAAATAGCTCTGATGGTCCAAACGTGTTCGATCCCCCCTGGACAATCAAAAACGTTGTCACACTTGCAGGGGATGTGTCCCATAGGGGTGTATGTGGGACAGACAAACATACCAACAAAACACACCTCGTCAGCAACAAAAAGGCACTGCAGGTAAAAGTGGCGACTCGATTCTGCAAGACACTGTGAACGTGCTTGATCTGGATTCTCTCTCTCTCACCCACTCTGCCCTCCCCAGGTCACAGAAGGCAGAGCCTGGACCCGCCGCAATCACAGTTGATTTTTGCCACTTGTTTTTGCCACCATCACTGCTTGCAATAATGTCATAGTATCAAGGCTCTCATGTTTTTTGCCACACCCTCTGCAAAAGGTACAAAAACTCAACCTTTTCTTCTTCTCCTCCTTCTTCTCTTCTTCTTCTTCATCACCACTCACTCTTTCAACAAACCTCCCCTCTCGTTATTCTCACGCCCTTTCACAAACACCCAAACGCTCAAACACCCAACAACCCACACACACTACCCAGCACCACAAACCAAGAAAATGCCACTCCCTAACCCCTGGACCGGAGACGACTACGAGGACGGCTTCCCCGTCACCCTCATCACCGAACTGACCATGATGGCCGTCTCCAACACCATCCGCGAGAAACCTAATTGGTGGCTCAAGTACAACGACCCCGACATCTCGGCCCGTTGGCGACAAGAAATCGAGGCTGCCGGATTGGAGCGAGAAGAGCGGTACCGTCTTGGCAAGGCTGAAGTTGATTTTGTTTTCAAGGAACTCGAGTGGTATGCTCAGAAGCGGCAGGAACAGGTGGATCAGCAGGGAGGGGAGGTGACGATTGATGTCGGTGTGGAGGGGACCAGGAGGGCGGATGGGTTGATCTCCGAGGAGTTGAAGAAGCGGTTGATGGACAGTGTCAAGAAGTTGGAGGATGTTCCTGAGCACCTTAAGGACTGGCATCCTGGTTCTGACCGTCAGGTTCTGGACTTGGTTCATCCTTCGTTGTTCCCTTTTGTTGCTGGACGCACCCGTGTGACCAAGAAGGAGGCTCTTCCAGCGCTCAAGTCGATCGGTTCAGGCGACGTTTTGCAAAAGGCACCCAACCCCCAAAGGATGCAACCAATGTATCTCTCGAAAAAATTCCAGTGGCTCCCCACAGACTTTGATGTCTCACCCGAAGGGAAGTTTAAGGCCAAGTCCTACATCAACAACCTGCACCCAGAGGAACACAAGGACATCTACCCGGTCCTGGAGGAGATCTTGGAAAAGTTCTTGCCGATGTTTGAGGAGGTGGTTGGGGAGATGGCGGTGTTGGAGACCAAGGCCAAGAAACTCTCGGTGGATCCTTATGGCTGGTACCCCGATCGACCCGAGGCCGGTTCGGACGAGAATGAAGACGAGGTCTATGATGCATACTACGAGAACAGAGTCCCCAAGCCCCTCGAGATCCCCGAGTTCACAGCCCCCGCAGATGTCCCCAAGTACGACCTTAAGAACACCGGCAAGCCTCTTCAAGTCATCGTCAAACTGGCCAACATTGAGCTGACGCCCGAGAACCCCACATACCAGGGCGGTACCTGGCATGTCGAGGGCATGGCCAACGAGAACATTGTCGCTTCCGGGATCTACTACTACCACACCGAGAACATCTCCGACTCGCGTCTCAACTTCAGAATCCAGGTCCAGGAGCCCGGTTACGAGCAGAGCGACGACAGCGGTGTGCGACACATGTATGACCTGTGGAACGATGGACCTCTGGTCCAGTACCTGGATGGCGTCGTCACCAAGCAGGACCGCTGTCTCGTCTTCCCCAACATCTACCAACACCAAGTTCAGCCCTTCACACTCGACGACGCCACAAAGCCCGGATCGCGCAAGATTCTCGTCTTCTTCCTTGTCAATCCCGAGGAGCCTACCTTATCGACTACGAACGTCCCGCCGCAGCAGAAGGAATGGGCGACCGAGGATTACATGAAGGTGGTTGCCAAATTATTGCCTCCAGAGTTGGTTCATGAGATTGATCAGTTGGTCGATTGGCCTATGGAGTTAGAGGAGGCCAAGAAGCATCGAGAGGAACTGATGAAGGAGCGCAAGTTCTTTGTCAAGACCATGGAGGAGGAAGTCTTTGCCCGTCCCTTCTCTCTCTGCGAACACTGAGTCATGTCGCTCTCCTTTGCATGTAGCAATAACAATAAAACTAGATACATTTCTTCTATACCTTTTTCTCATTGTTCCTGCATGTGCGCATTGTGCAACATAAATTAATTCAAAAGCCATTTACTATTGTATTCAACAACCCATCCACGTTCGGGCCTGGTCGACTGCGAAAAAGCTATAAGATTAAGTGGTCAAGAGCACTAAACCCCCTCAAATCCTTGAATCATAATAAATGTCTCTCTCAGCGTGGTCTTGGGGCGTCAGAAGCGCATCTTCCTCAAACAAGTACGACGATTCCTGAGGATGACAATATCAACCCCACGCAACTCATTAAACACGGCTCCTTTTCAAAACTCTTGCCCTCTGCTGCTCTAGCTTCTTCTGATCATGCGCCGGCTCCTCTTGTGATGTGCAAGCTTCCGTTCGGAGGTCGTTTCAGTCCATGCTCGCTCGTGATCGCTTTGTTGTGTGTCGGTCTTCTCGATGCGTGAAAAAGTGTATGAATCTTCCTGCGCACTGTTGCGACCGTTGCTGCTGCTATTGTTGCGCTGGCTATTGGAGTTATTAACTACATGTCGTTGAGGTTGTGGGTATCGGAAAGAATGGCACAAAAAGTCACACTGGCAGGGATGAGCTGCTATGATACAAAAAAAGAAGGTTCTTTATCTAACCGTGTTTCTACATGTACAATCTATGGTGACACCTTCGCCTTCTTGGCAAGATGAGCCGCTATGGCATCAGTCTGAGCGTCCTGGGAGTGGTCGCTGGTCTCTACCTGGTGCTTGTGCTTCTTGGAGACTTGGACCACGCGAGCAGCCGTCGAGTTGTCATCGTCATCGTCATCCTGCTCCATGGCCATACTGCCGTTACTGTTATTCTCGTTGCTGCTGCCCTCCTGCTTCACTGCCACCAACGGTGTCGAAGATCGCTCCAGCCGACGCTTCTGCTCATCAATAGTCTCGTTGGTGTCCAACTTCTCCTTCTTAATGATCGGTAAACTACCGCTGCTTGCGTCATCCTCATTCTCCTCAGTGATCTCCTCCAGTCGGCTGCCAGTATCCTCATCGTCGTCCTCGTCCTCGTCCTCGCTCACAGGCATCGACAGAGATCCGTCAGCATAGGCAGATGTTGTTGGTGGGATCAGGAGACCCATCTGGTCCGAGTTCTGAGAGAGCTTGGGATCCACCAGTAAATTTTGGGCGCGGGCGATAAAGTGAGTCATTTGGCGCTCAAAGACGATCAAGGGGTACTTTTCCGCCAGCTCTGCAAAGTGGTGCTCCATTGTGTCTCCTTCCAATGTCAAGAACTATATGACATCAAGAGAATTTTTGGTTAGTCTCGTTGTGAATTGTCTCCGCCATACATACAATACAAAGAGAAAAAGGATGAGAATAATGATGTTACCTCATGGAGGCGCTCGTCTTTGGCTTTTTTGAAGGCAAAGTACTCGGGAGTCTTGGCAAACAAGATATCGTCCTGTCGATCCTTGGTCGTGACATCGTGCAGTTGTGATCCGTGGCTCTTGGGCATAGATGTTGTCGATCCCAATCCACCGAGATTCTGGAACTGCAAGCCCTCGACTCCAACACTGGATGAGGGGGACGAGGCGACAGTCACGTCCTCCATAACAATGTCCTTGAGTGCCACCTCTTCCTCCTCCTTGTTAGGATCGTCTCCAAATGAAAAGACGTCGAGAATGGTGTCGAATCCAGTGTTTTCGTCGCAGAGGTAAGACTCGAGCACAGCCTGAGTCATCATCTCAAGCAGCAACCTGTACCAGCCCTCCAGAACCTTGACCTTTTCCTTTTCTGCATCTCCATTCCCCTGCTGTTCCAGGTTCTCGTCCTTGACTTTGGAGTCAGCCTCTTTGTTGTTTTTGGCTTCCTGGTCCTTCTTATGCTCAGCCTCAGAGTTGTTGACAATGTCGCGGTAGCTCATGGCAGAGCACTTGAGAAAGGCGGGGATAGCATCGACCAATCCTGCGACACGCTGATGCTCCTGTTTCCTGACCGTGTTCATAAAGTAGCTATTGGCCAGCTTCTTCTTCAACTCAAGGGCCAATTGCTGTTCCTGCTGGAGTTTGGCGAGTGTGCAGCATGTTCGCTTGCAGTCCCTGCGATGGTGACGGCGACAGTAGGAAGAGGCGAGGATCGGTTGGCTGAAAAGGGGTTGCATTTGTTGACCCCGTTCGCTATTTGCGAACCGCTGCTTGATTGCTGCGCGGGAAACGCCGTGTCGCCGGGAATGGAAGGCCGAATAGACGTTGAGTCCAGCCGAGTTTGTTGAAGAGGCGACGTCGAAGCGGCCAAAGACCATGGAGGTGAGTTGGCAGAGATGGAGGCGGATCTTGATGTGTCGAGGGAGAGTCTGCAGGGGGCCATTGGATCTATGCGACTTGAGGATACCTGTTTTTGAAGTAAAGAAAGTGAATTGTGAGTAAGATCGGGAAGACAAGGGAGTGAATGAATAATGAGAGTAATAGATGTTTTTTTCTTTTGTTTGTGACACCATTAGCCTTCCGAGATGGTGTCAGGCTGAGAAAGGGGGCAAAAAAAATAGAACGAAAGGATCGAGGAGCAGCAGCAGCACAGGTTGAGAGATACTCGAAAATGCGTCCCGGTCCCCACTTTTTGAAATATTTCTTCTTTTAGGAGACGACCCGAAGAGAAGGACAAACGACTGTACAGGAGGCGATCTGACACCCGAGTTATATCGAGATGGAGCACCAACAATAACAACACTCGAATGAAAGAAAAATAACAACAGATAGAAAAGGGATAATAAACACTAGCACACATAAACGAAACATGAATATTGCCAAGAAAGAAAGCGCTGCTTACCATCGACAATGGCTTCGAGATTGGATCCTTTGCGCCCAAGAACAACTGCCTCGTCCACAAGAGATCTCTGTCTCTTCCGCCAGTCATCCTGCTTCACGCCGTTCGTGGTTTGCTGCTCGACGGCAAGTTCCTGTCTTGATGCCTGATACTGGGCCTCGGCTTGCTGTAGACGGGTCTCAATCGAAACATGGAAGCAATGGTCAAGGATTCGATGGTGTGTAGAGGGCGTGGACGATGATGCGGTGGTTGAAGATGGTGTGCTAGCCGATGTTGTTAATGAAGAGGCCTGTCCTTTCCTGCCGTTCCCAGAAGCATTGGAAGTCTGAGGAGGAGGCGGGGAGCGGGGAGATCTTGGAGGCGACAAAGGAATGGTACGAGGGGAACTAGGGGCTGCTCCTACGCTGGTGGTAGGGTAGACAGGAGGGGTATAGGTCGCAGAGTCGGGGAAGAATGTCCAGGTTGGATAGGGATCATTCGTGGTTGATGGAGAAGTAGTAGTAGGTAGTGAAGCAGTTGTTGCCTTGGATGTTGTTGTAGGAGCACTCTTTTGCGGCGAGAGGGGCATTGCTGCTGTGGTAGAAGAGGAAGAAGTGGATACGGGCATGATGGGCAAAGCAGTAGGTTGAACTTCCATGATATGTTTTTGTAGAGTCAAAGGCGTGCTGAAGGCGTGCTGAAGGCTGATTCAAATGATCCAGGGGAGTGTGTGTTGTGTGAGAAAAGGGGAAATGAAAATTATTAGTAAGGGGGAGGTGAAGGTTGTTGGGGTTGAGTAGTTGAGGGTAGAAGTGAATAAGAAGAGGAGATGGAGAAGAAGAAAAAGAAGAATGAAAAAGAGATAAAGAAGAAAAGAAATAAAATGTTGTTGTGTTGAAGGAGAAAAAAAAAAGTTGCCTTTTTCCTTTTTCAGGCGGAGTTCCGTGAAGGAGGACACTGATAGGGCATCTCTCGCCGGCTTCGACCGAGAGACATCCACCCCTTCCCACCGGTACATGAACAGTGCCTGCCAAGGCAACGATGCTGGGGCCACTCACCCACTTCCCGCCACCAGCCAGTCAGACGTCTCCCTGCTCGCACACACACTCTCTCCCCTTCAACTCTCTCTCCCCTGTGCGCAAACAAGCACAACGTGTGTGTTCTCTCTGTCAAAGCATATCCCTGTTCCCGTCCGCAATACTGTAGCGAGATTGCGCATGTGCCTATTGAACGAATGCAAACCATATCCAACAGACAAAGTTGCCTTTTTCGTCAAACCATAGCTCGCAACTCTCCTTCTCTTCCTTCCACTTCCCTCCTTCCATTCGACATTGACTCCATCGCTCATCAACTGCACGCTGCATCCGAATCAGGCATCACTCCCGACGCACTCCCCACTTCCGAATCGCCCACTTGACCACTTTTCATTCCCTTGCGCCTCTCACCCCTCACTCGTCCTTGTTTATCGTCTGATAACAAGTAACCCGAGACTTAAACATGTACGTGGACGATGGTGCGTGGGCTTCCAAGCTCGCTCTTAAAGACAGGGCTCAAGGAACAGCAAACCACCTTGTAGCCGTGATCAAGGTACGTCTTACTTCTCGCCTATGTCTATCAATTCCCTTTCAAACCGTAGGCGAGCCTAGTTTCTCACACCCCTTCCTCCCCTTCTTTCCCCTTCATCCTTCTACCTTCCCACTTTTCCATTCTCACTTTATTGCATTGTCCATAGGCTGCCAACATCGACGCGGAACTACCCGAGGTAATGAAAGGAAACTTCAATTGAGATGTTCATTGCTCTCTTCCTCCACACTTATGTGACAAAAGGAAAAAGAAGAGACGCAAAATTGGAACTCATACCCGTCTGTTTCGCCCGCTCTTGTCCTGCCCTGCCTTAACTGTCCTTGCCCTTCCTTTGCTCGACCTCTCTCTGTCTCTGTCTCTCTCTCTCTCTCTTTCTCTCCCCCACTCTAACCGCTTACTTTTGTCTTGCCACAATGTCGTGTATGCAATTGAACGTCATTTTGTAGAGCTTATCGGAGACGGCGAGACAGTTCTCTGCATTGGACCACACGATGAAAACCACACGACAGGTAAGTTGATACCCTCCAGCGGACTAGATTTGCTCGACAACGTGTTGAGAGAGGTTCTTATGCAAATGTCCGTGTGTGATGTAGCCCATCGGAAAATGGATGTGATCTTCATTGATTAAACACTAGATTGCTATTTTTCACACAATTAAAATGTTTTAGAACGTGATGAAGTTGTCGCTAGTGTTGAGGCAGGTCCAGGACGCCAACTTTAGTGTGCTCGACAACCTACGAGCGACAGACCAGGCCCATGAAAGTTTGCAGATCTCGCCACCACCACCTCCTCCTCCTACTTCTTCTGTTCCACACTGCGAGTAATCATATGTCTACGGTATCGATTGGCTCTGCAAAGGGGAGAGAGTGAAAAATAAAGAGCCTCTACGGATGTTTTTCTATGTATTATTGTTTCTATGTATTATTGTTTCTATGTATTATTATGTCTATGAATTATTACTTCTATGTGTGCTTTTCTATGGGTACAACTTAAAGGAGCAGCTCTACGAAGGTGTTGTCGATCCATTGATCAAACTTGAAGCCATTCTCCTTCATCGTACCGACAACTCTAAATCCAAACTCCTTGGCCAGACGGAAGCTGCCCTCGTTTCCTCCACTGATGCTTCCTGTAGAAGGAGCAAAAGAACGGGAAAGTAATAGAGGAAGAGAAAGAGCCGGTATATATTGTTAGAAAAGCAAACGCCAAGACCACGATTCAGCATTGATGTGATTATGTACATTAATGGGCATTTTACTTACCAACGATGGCGTGAAAGTTGCGTGCCTTGGCCTCAGCCAAAAGATCCTTGAGCAAGATGCGGCCTAATCCTCGTTTACGGTGCTCATGGTGAATGTAGAGGGAATACTCAGCAGAGCTATTTAACAAAAGAGAAAAAATGTCTCGGAGTCAGCGTTTATCCTTTCAAGCCATTTCATTGAATGGTTATGGCGAAATGGCGAAATCCAACCAGGATCGTCCGTTGAGTCATCACAAATTTTTTTTGTTCATTCCTCCCCCCACGAGGTTGCTGTGAGGTATTTTGCCCGACTATGTTGCTCTTTTCACCGGGAAAACCATAGTGGGGTAGAAAGGGATATAAACATACAAGCGGAATCCGTCCTTTGCCCTGAAGACGCCAAGAGAGGCATATCCGGAAACGAACTCCCGACCATCGACTACAGTTGTGGCAACAAGGATGGGGTATCCTCCAGCAATGGTCGTCCTGAACCAGGTGAGACCGTCCTCCAGTGACCGCTGGCCGTAGTTGAAGTTGCTGACGGAGTGCATGACCTCGTAGTTGACGATGTCGTTGATCTGTGGTGAGTCTGCCTCGGTTGCAGGGCGGACGATGTAGGTGGGTGTTTCTGTCATGGTTGCCTGTCTGTGATGTCGTGGGAGAGTGAGAGAGAATGAGGATGAGGAGAGAGGTGATGAGCGGAAGAAGGAAGGTTGATCTCAGGAACGTTTTCAAATAGGGTTAACCTGCAAAAGCAGTCCTGATCACCTGTGAGGACAAGGGTTGTACAAAAGGACAGGGAAAGGGCTTTCTTGAATCCTTTGAATGACATGGGGCGGGCATACCACGATAGACTTGTAGGACAAAGGAGTGATGGCTTCCTGTCTTTCCTGGAGATGTGATTGGGTGTGTCTCAGGAGTAGACAGGCGGCTGCCCCCCGACTCACACACACACGCACTCACACATCCCGGACACCAGGTTCAGGATGACAATGTGGGGAAGAAGAACAAAAAGTCAATCACTTTAATCGGCCTATATCCCCTCTTGAGGTCATGATTATTGAATTGGCTTGGTATTGATGATAGAATGATAGACCAGAGCGGTTACGGTAATAAATAGCCAGGCCATCGTTGCTGGTTCCTGTCCCTTTTTCTTTCTTCATTCCTTTCCTTCCTTTCCTCTTTCCTTTTTCCTCCATCCTCCTTCTCTCTTTCCCCTCTTCTCTTTCTTTACCCTCCCCACTCTTTTTTTTTCTTGTTCTTCAACCTACACCTCTCCGCACCCTTCACTCACTCCCCACTCCCCACTCTTTCTGTACCTTGTTCATAGACCTCTCCTTTGTTTTCTCACTCCTCTTCTTATTCTTCTTCTTCTTTGCTTTTCCACTCGTCCATTCAACATAAACACACCCGCGCCTTCTCCACACTCCTTGTCACCTTTTTTTCACTCCGACTCCGAACCCGCCGCATAATATGCCTCCTCACAGCGAAAAGCTCGGCTCTATGCTCTCGTCGACACTCCTGGGTCGTCTGTCGCCCAGCAGCCAAAAGAGCGCCACCACAGACACCACCGAAGCCGACGCCGCCGTCGCCGCTCTCGATGCCTGCTCCATCATGGACAAGGGCCAGTCCGACCTCCCCTCGTTGCCCATCCCTCCTTTGGAGCAGACCCTCTCCCGCTACCAAGAATCCATCCGGCCCCTGACCACCGACGAGGAGTATGAGCGCGTGGGCAAGGCCATTGAGGAATTCAAGTCCTCCGGCCAGGGGACATCACTGGACGAGCGCCTCAGAGAAAAGTCCAAGGAATGTCAATCACGATCGACCAGTTGGCTGGCCGAATGGTGGGACGACTGGGCCTACTTTACACATCGCGACTCTTCGACCTTTTATGTCAACTACTACTTTGGTTTCCAGGACGATCCCCGCATGCCCACCCAGACTGCCCGTGGGGCCCTCCTTGTCAGTCTTGCCCTCGAGTTCAGGCAATTGATTGCAACGTAAGTTCGTTTCTTGCTAATGACATTCAAATGGTCGTCTTTTCCTGCGGCATTGATGTTGTGCTTTGATATTCTCGTTTTCTAAGGACATTCCTCTTCCCCAATCCCACCAACAAATGACATGCACTTGAAAAAAAAGAGACGAAGGAAGAACAGAGAAGGGTCAAAGAGGGACAACAAATTTGTTGTTATCCCCCTTTCGCCATTTTTCACTCTTTTTTTGTCCTTATGTCCGAGTGTATCTTGGGGGCTCGGCTTTTCCTTGTTTTCTTTTTTATCTTACCTTTGATCTCCATATGATCAAGGTTTGGCCGAAAGAAAATAACGAATGGGAACCGGTGATGGGATGAGATAATGGAAATAGTGGGCTCTACACTTTGGCTCCCCTCACTTTTTCCCTCATGGTGTTTGGTGGCTGGTACCCTCCCTAGCCCTCCTAATCTTGGATTATCGCATTACGCCCCTACTCAGGAGGGGCGTTTCAATAGGATATGTGTGGTCATTGGGCCGTGTAACGTTGATTGGAGGAGATATATGGATTGGACAGAGATGAAGACGGAAAACGAGGGAAGGGGGGACACAAGGAAAGGATAGGTTTTCCTTTTTGGGCTTACCGGGACATGCCGCTGTGCTAGTGTGTGAACTTTTTACAGGATATACAAGGCTTGTCGCCACGCATTAGTTCTTATTTATTTTTTTCTTTTTCTCTTTTTATCAGAGATGAATGGATGACCCAGATCATGGTTACCAGTGACGATTCATGTGATGGAGGCGAACTAATCATTCAATCAATGGCATATTTCCTATTCATAGGCGTACGCTGACACCAGACATGGCGAGGAATGCGCCTTTCTGCATGAACATGTACCAGTACCTTTTCAATTACAGCCGCATCTCAGGGCTGGAGAAGGATTGCGATGTAGGGTTTCCCTACGAGACCAATAGCCACATCTGTGTTGTCCGCAATGGGAAATTCTACATCTTTGACACCCAGCTGGACCCCTCCAAGCCATCATCGGTGTTGAGCCCACGTGAAATCATGATCCAGCTGGAACGTATCAAGAAGATGGCAGACGACGACAAGTCCTCTGTCCCCGCCGTCGGCATTCTTTCCACAGGACAGCGAGACCAGGCCGCCCAGGACCGCGTCACGCTGTTTGAGGCCCACGGATCCAACAAGGCCCACATGGCCATGATCGAGTCGTCTATGTTTGTCCTTTGTCTGGACTCGACCTCCCCCACGACCTCTGAGGAGTTCTCGAGAGCCTTGTGGCATGGCGATGGCGCAAGTCGCTGGTTTGACAAGTGCTTCCAGCTGATCGTCTTCGCCAACGGACGTGCAGGAATGAACGGCGAACACTCCAAGATGGACGCTACTCCTACATCCCGTCTTTGCCGTTATCTGATTGACGAGGCCCAGGCACGTGCCCTTCCTGATTTCAGGAACTTGAATGCAGAGGATCTTTACGAGATTGCGTCGGCCCTGGACAAGCCCCTGCCTCTCAAGTTTGTCTCGAGCACCAAGCTGTCCAAGGCGATTGAGAATGCGCACGTCTACTTCAAGGAGACCGTCGATGCTCACGAGATGGTCCCGACAGAGTTCAAGGGATATGGCAAGGGATTGATCAAGACCTTCAAGATGTCTCCCGATGCTTATGTCCAGATGGCCCTCCAGCTGGCCTACTACCGCAAGCATGGAGAGCTTGTCGCCACCTACGAGTCGGCAGCCACGCGCAAGTACCGCCATGGACGTACCGAGACTGCCCGTTCGTGCTCTAACGAGAGTAAGGCGTTCTGTCTGGCGATGCAGAATGAGGATGTCGGCCTCAAGGCTCGTGCGGCAGCCTGTCGTGCGGCAGTGGCAAGACATGCCCAGTACACTGCTTGGGCTGTTGATGGACAAGCAGTCGATCGTCACCTCTTGGGTCTTCGCCTAATTCGGGATTCGGACGAGACCGTCCCTGCCCTGTTTGCCGACCCTGTCTTTGCTCGTACCTGCAGATGGAGGCTGTCGACCTCGCAGATTTCGGACGATTGTTTTATTGCCTATGGATGGGGCGAGGTTGTGCCGGACGGATATGGATGCGCCTACATGGTCAAGGAGACGGAGCTCGACTTTTGCATCACCAGTCTCAAGCTCGGATCCCGTGAGTTGGGCAACTATATTGTCGAGGCGCTGGAGGACATGCGGTTCATGTTTGAGGAGGTCCGCAAGATTGAGAAGGTCGAGGCGGCTCAGGCAGCGATGGTTGCAGCTGCTGCAGTGGCCTTGTCGAATGCAGAGCGGTCTGGCGAATTGGCCATGGCCAGCAAGTCCATGAACCCGACTATGCAATCGACCGCCCATTTCAGAGAAGGACGAGTTGCCGTCCCGGACTATGCTCTTATTGCTCGGAGCCCTTCGCCCGCTCGTCCCCCCATGCCTGCGCCTAGAACCAGTCTGTTCTTCCAGAAGCACGATCCTGTCCTCCGAACTGCCCTTGCCCGTAACGCGATGGCGATGGCTCAAGAGAAGTACTTGTCTGGAATCGACGAGATTGCGTTTGACATTGGTGGCGGTTCTGCATCCCCTATTCCCCCCAAGAAGGTCATCTCTACCTCATCGCCCACTTCCACTACTCCTACTCCAGCTGCTGCTTCTGGTGCGACTACTACTACTACCGATGCAGGAGCAGGAGCAGGAGCAGGAGAGAGACGCCCTTCGACGGGTCAGGTTGTTGTCGGTACCCGTCCTCGTTCTGACTCTGGAACTCAGCGGACTTTCATGGCTATTCTGATGGGCGAGGATAGTATCTTGAGTCGTCTTCGGTCCAGGAGAGGAGCTTCCAACTTGAGCAAGGATTCTTCTTCCCATCCTACTAGTCCCAAGTGAACCCGGTACCACGTTTTGTCACTCTCTACTCCTCTTCTTGTGAATAAACATTGTCATATATACTGCATAGTTGTTTCTGTGGGCAGTGATATATTTTGTCGGATTAGCAAGTTCGTCACAAAGGATGAAAATAGTTCAGGAGCTCATGATTGGCAATACGTGGTGGAACCTTTATTGGTGGAATTGAAAACCAAGCAAGGGGAGAGCTGAGACAGGTAAGCATTAATGTTATAGATTGTTCCGCTTGTCTCATCTTCTCCATTCCCATTTGTCCTTGTCTCTCTGTTCTGTTGAGAACAACGCGACTGGTTGCCACCCCAGCACGCGTTTTGATGTTTGAATGTGAGAAATAGTACTGCTTGAACATTTAAGACAGACGCGTCTTTATCAATGATCAATGATACGGCGGCAATGCATGGTCACTTACCAAAAAGGAGGGGTATAGACCCCCCCCCCTCCTCCCCCGCTATATTTTCTTTTTCCTTTTGTTCTTCATTCTTTTTGAATTTTCTTTCCCTTCTTACTTCCTTTCCTTCCTCCTTTCCTACCCACTTTACACCTCCCTTTCTTTCTTTCACACATGCCCTTGCCACCACCAGAGGCGCCTCAGAATCTCGTCTGAACTCCGTGGCTGGATTTTCGAGTGTGAGAGCGATGAGACACGTCAACCGGATTTTTTCTGGAAGAGTGCACCTGGCGGCAGCGACGACCAATGCTAGATGTCGCTGTCACAGAGGACTGGATCCGGCACAGCACGGCGGCTTTTGGTGATCGATGGTTAGTTGGGGCGTAGAGATGGACTTGAATGAGGATGAGGGGGCGGGGGGGCGAGGACGGTGTTTTTTTGGCCCTCATCACATCAACCTTTTGGAGACTGTGATGATCCTGAAAACAGAGATCGACGGACATGATGCACTTGATCAAGACGTGATTGATTAAGACGTTGTTGAAACATCCAGTAAACCCCCGGACATGGAGGGCCGTTGACGAAGAGCTGGAAGAAGAAGCGCTTGATGACAAGCCTTTTGTCCCTGAACCCCCCCCCCCCTCCTACAGCATGTCTCCCAGGAGCCCAACACGTCTTGACGATGCCTGGGCTCGCTGCAAGATGCGATGGCCATGTCGGACAACTTTCATCCCCTCTTGCCTGAACTTGGGTGACTCTCCCCCCCCCCTGAATTCGAAACTCTTGCACGACTTAAGGATTAGATGCGGCGGATTGGTGAATAAACCTATAGGCGGCGCGGACTCTAATAAACCAGCAGTCATACGTTTTTGTTTTGATGGGGTTTTTATTCTGTAAAGATGTGAAATAGATGGTAACAAGTAGACGAAGGAAAGAGGAAGCGGGGTATATCTACATAATTGTGGAGGGTAGGTGATGTAAGGTGAGGGGGGAATATGAGGTTGGATGAAGTTTCCTTTTTGCTGTTCGTCTCTGAAAAAATGTTAAATAGTCAATTGGTAATTTTTTTTTCTTTGTAAAAACTCTGTGAGGGTATGTGTAATCCTCACAATGCCGAGAGATAAAGTGAAGAAGAGGAAAGGAAAACGAAAAACCTGCTCTCGTTTTTGCCTTTTTTTGCTAATTGACAGTGTTATATCCTCGCTACTATTAGATGGCGACCGAATGGGTGGGTGGGGGTCTCTTGCGTTTAGGAGAGGGCAGAGAGACAGTTGACGGTCTGGGGGGCGGAGGGGGAGAGGAAGGCGAGGATCTTGTGGAAGACGATGGGATCCAGCATCTGGAGGGCGTGCTCGCTGACGTCGAGGCTGCAAAGATCCTGGAGGACGACGTTCTTGACAGCAGGGTTGTTGTCACGCAAGAAGCCGTTGGTGTAAGGGGTGACGATCTCGTCGTACTTGGAGGCGATGAACTGGTACTGGACTCCAGGGACAGAATCTCCGCCGGCGTTCAGGTTGTTGAGGAAGTCGGAACCGATGAGGAATTGGAAGCAGGATGCGCAGACTGGGTCGAGGATCTTATAGATGGGATCATACAAACCGAGGGAGGTCAAGAAAGGAACAACACTACTCAAAGTGGTTCCATAGGCAATCGTTCCAAAGGCCGCAAACTTGTTAACTTTGGCGGCACCGCCCAAGAACTTGAGGTAGTAACGGGGCATGAGCGAACCCTGGGAATGACCAACCAGATCAACCTTGGTGGCCTTGGTCGCAGCTAGGACCTTATCGACAAAGGCCGACATCTGGGCAGCGCCGTTCTCCATCTTGTCCAGACCGGCAATGAGGTAGATCCCGGGGAGAGTTCCGTAGGTAAAGCTGTACACACAGTATCCAGAAGCCTTCAAGCGGGGACCCATGTAGATCCAGTTGTCGTCCTTGTTGGCGATCTGTGGGAGGAAGATTGCAAAAAAACGCGTGGACGAGGGAAAAAAAAAGGATGGAGTTGGACGCGTCAGTCATGTGCAGAGGCAGGAAAAAATCCTCCAATCGACGCGTGTTTTTCTGGTTTTTCAGGTACAAAAAACGAAACGCACAAATCACAAGCAAACTTACCAGGCCATGAACAAGGACGATGGGGAGCTTGCCAGCAGCAGGGACGCAGCTCCAGTCATTGATTCCAGCACTAGAGCGCTTGACCCATTGATGGTGCTCTTCAATCTCTTCGGCGGTCCAAGATCTCTTGCTAAGAGGGACAAAGGCAGCGGCAGAAGCGTCAGCGGCAGCGGACTCGACCGAGCGGGCAACGAGGCCCTCGGGAATGCGGATAGGCGAGGCTTCGACAAAGGATGTGGCGATGGTGGCCAAAGCAATGGCGACGGCGGAGGAAATGGTCTTGGAGAACAACATTTTTGATGTTTGCTTGCGGATGTGGGGGGATGCTTGGAGGGGCGTGAGCGTGGAGAAGGCTGGGAAGAGGGATGGAGAAAGGTTGCTTAGGCTGAAGGTGATGGGGCTTGCGACAAGGAAAAAAGTAAAATATTGTGGGATGTGTAGCTGCTTTTATACGTCGTCGGACAGAAGAGAGAACTGACCAACTATTCTTCCTCTTCCCCTGCTTTGCTCCCATTTTCTGGTTCGTGTGTATGGATGTGTGTATGTGGGAGAGAGTATGAATGTGTGTGTATGTCTTTAGAGTTGAGAAAAATAAACTAAGAAAGGCGAGCTTGATTGAGTTGAAGACGTTGTCTGGTGCTGCAATGTTTTTGCTTTGTTTTGTTTTGTTTGTTGGCTTGATTTGTTATTGGTAATGTATTGTTTGTTATTCGTGAAGGACGCCCCCTTCGACTAAACCCGCCGAATAAAAACAACACAAAAAAAGAAAGGCAATGTGGAGAGGGGCATGCATGGGTAAAGGCAAAGGGGGCGAAAGAAAGGTACGAACGGGAGGGAGAGAGAAGGTCATGAAAGGAAGAGGTCATGGCTTTGGATTTTCATGAGACAGTCCATTTTGGAGTCGTTGTTTTACGCTCCTACCCCCTTGGTTTGTTGTTGTTTTGATCGATACGTTCCTTTTCTCTCCACAAAAGGAGAAGATATCCATCCTCGCATTTCCTCTGGCCTGCTGGACCGTTTATTTGGATTCTGCTGATGCTGGCTTATCCTACTTATTTGTTATCGCTGTTGTTGTTGTTGTTGTTGTTGTTGTTGTTGCTGTTGTTATTGTTGTTGTTGTTGTGGTGGTGGTGGTCTATCCTCAATGCTCCTTCGGCACTTAATTCGCCGTGCCTGAAAAAAAAGGTGAAAAAGAAACCAAAGGCGCATGAAAATTAGGCCCTGGCGACAAAGCATGAAGAAAGTTTACCATGTCGTCGACATGTCCCTTCGCAAGTCCAGGAGCGGCTGGAAACATATCTGCTGTTTGAACCGTAGCTGTCTTATCAGATGGCTTTTGTTGGTATGGAGGGACAACAAAGACCGCGAGTTAGGAATACGGTTGGTAATTCAATATCAACACCCAGGCACGAAAGGAAAACCACAAAATGACCAAAAAGCTCATTGTCCAGGTGTTTCTCTATTGTCTACTTCATTTCACCATCATCACAGGTGCATGCATAATGCAATGGAAGAGGCATATGCAGGTTTTTTGCAAGGGCATTTTCTCCACATACCCAACAACACCTCCTGGTCGCGTTTAATCCAACTCAATCAAGTACACTCTTTACTTTAACAGCAGCATCCATGTGAGTGTTGGAAGACAACGAAAAAAATAAATAAACTATCGCTTCGCCAAGAAAATCGAATACAGACCAAATAAATGTATGAGTGAGCAATGCACACGGGATTCTAAGTACCAATGAAAGGTATTTCCGGAACGTCAAGTTGGGAGGAGGAGAGGATTGAGAGGTGAGTAGCTTGGTGGCGAGAAGGATGGCGACATGACATTTGTGGGCTGGAATAAAGGTGATGCCTGGAGATGGAGTTGAGTTGATACAGAAAACCATTTCGACTTTTCGGACTATCGAGGAAAACAACTTTGCAAGGGCTTTTTGCCTGGAAGAAGGGCTTCCTTGACAGCATTAGCCTTTCCAATCGATCGCGAAGAGAGAGAGGAAGGGACTTGTTTGTCTCCACAGGGGCACATAGAAGGCAAAAAAAAAGCAAACAGAACAGGACTTTTACTGTCGACTCTTGGTTCATCTCTCTTCTGTTCCCCCCTACTTCACACCCTTTCGGACCTGGGTCTCGAATAAATTATTGTTTTTTCACAGGACAGATAGGAGGTGTAGACATAAAGCAAAAAAGGGGTAGGGGGAGGGGTATGGTGTTGATGGTAAAAACGGTGAAAGTAAGGAAAGGGCGGGTGATCGAAGGGGTATTGTTACTTTTCAGGCACGCTTGAGCGGAGGGGAACGTGGACATGCAAGGGGAAAAAATAAAGGCAAAATAAGGGTCTAATACAAGACAGATGTATATACTCACCCACACACCTTGGAGCGTCATTGGGTGACACAGAACCTTGTGCTTGCGAGGTATGTTAGGTCAAGAGGGGCAATTGAATAGTAAACAACAGAGCAAGGGGAAGGAGGAGGTACCTTTTTGAACATACCTCAATCTCGCTTTAAGCAAGGGACAAGGACCGGAATGCCTTTGAAGACAAAAGACGTGACCAATAGAGGGAACCGAGCATTCTGTTTGTTGCTGTTTGTTGTTGTTTACCCCCATTCGTGGGCAGGCCGGGTCAGATGTGGCTCTTTGCTGCTCAGATTTTTTTGACGATTCTTTTCCCCCCTGCACTACCCGCACATGTCCCCATTCTCCAAGTTGGCTGTACTCTTTGTGGCGATGGATGGTTATGCAGATTTGTACCCTCTTCTGGCGCATATGTACGATGGGGATATAATTTTGTGCACAAGAGAACAAGGATGCATGGTTGTCGTTCTTCTATGCAGCAAGGCAGGTGTACAGGATGGATACTGCAATGATAATGACACTACCCTCAAAATACGCCATTATCCTGGGCCGAAGGAAGCGAGAATGAGTAAAAGTGGATTAGCGTCAAGAATGGAATAGAAGCTCGTGCTTGTTGCTGGACCTTACCCATCTTTACCCCAAAAAGGAACGGTGGAATGGACCTTGGTTCTCCTGTCGAACGTGCTGAACAGCCCTGTCTCCCTTCTTTCTCATTGATCTATCGTTGATTAAGGGAGGGTGTCAACGAATTAGTGAAATCGATTTCTTTGACAAGAAAGCTCCATACCTTATCTTTCCTTCTTTCTCTCGATCTTTCCCTTAGCCAAGGTGTGTCTCCTTTCGCCGCCTTTTCGATTCCACGAGAATAATAACAACAGATACAAGATACACAACATCAATTGAAAGCGCGTTCTTTGTTTTTCCTTTCGCCAGCCGACCGACAGTAATATGCGCAAAATACATGGTTCTTCCCCAACGACCGCAACGCGTCATCCCATTAAACTCGGTCAAGTCATCGGATAGACCGGCGCGAACTGTGTCCTCTCCTACCATACCATTGCAGGAGAGGCCCTCTCGCAATTAATGGTTTGTCAGTTCAAATCACCAAACCGCTTTACTTTCTCTCTCCTTTGTTTCTTCCGCCTCTTTGTTTATATCCTTTGCGTGTTCAAACGCCCTCAGTTTGTAAACATATCGACCAGTTTGTAAACATGCGTCTGTGAAGCTCTTGCTGGATTTGTGTTTTTGTTTATTGGGGGCTCCGATATTCATTCAAAAGGCTACTTGGGTACATCTACCAAGATACCTTTATTGTTTTTGTTGTAAAGGCTAAAAAGGACGCGTGCTCATAATACTCTTCTCGATGACTCTTCTAAACCCGGCATCTCCACTCGTATACCTCTCGATTATTCCGACCATCAACCTTGTTCCTGTCCCAGCTGCACCTCTCAAACGCTCTCATCAACATTCATCTGCCATGAGGAGGGGCGAAAGGGCAACAACATAACTAACCTCGAATGCTAACATCTAACAATTCAAAAAAAAAACACCTACCCCTGGAGACACCTACCCTGGAGAACGAGGTTTTGTCTTGTATTGCATGGCCAAGTACTCTGTTATTGTTTGTCGTTTTGCGGCTCGGCTCGAAAGTCATAAACAATACTCAATCTCTCTCTCTCTCTCTCTCTCTCTCTCTCTCTCTCTCTCTCTCTCTACTCTACTCTACTCAACTCCCTACCATCCGACATGGTTTCGCATGTGGATTTGGAGGAAGGACAATACACATCCTTATTATGTTTACCCCGAAATAGCCCTTTGTCAGGATCTTGTGATGTTCAGGTCCGGTAGTTGTGGTGATGAAGGTAAACAATTCCTATGTGGAGGAAGAGGAGTGTTACGTGCTCCCTTTTTCTGTGGAGAGAGCAAACCATGTGGGCGGATTAGAATGTCTGGAAGGGGACGAATTTTATTCAACTGAAAAAAATAAAATAAACACATCGTAGGTGTAAACGCGTCAAAAGGGTAAGTAAGGCCTTAAGTGAGTGTTTTTTGCTTTGTGTATTGGGCTACTTTAGTTAACTACGAGGGTGGCTTTTTTATGAGCCGCAATGAAGGAATAAGAAGGAGTACGAAAGTTACTTGTCAGACGAGGAGGCAGCAGCAGCGACGGCGCGCTTCCGGACGACGAGCTCCTCCTTGAACTCTTTATCGTCCTCCTCATCAGCGTCAACCTTGGAGATATCCTCAGCTTTGTCATCGGCAGTCGCTGCATCGGTCTTCTTAGCCTTAGCAGCAGCATCGCGCGCCTGCTGCGCCTCGGGGTCGCCGTGCATCAGGCCCGTGATGATCAACATCAGACCGAACGAAACACCAACGACACCAGCAAGGCAAGACAGAACGAGAGGATATGCGGTCATGGCCTGCATGGGATCCTCACGAGCCACATTAATGAACTCTCGAAACTGTCTCATCATGAACTGGACGAAGCTCTCGTCAGCCTTCGAAGTATCCTCCTCAGACTTGGGGGTAGGGTGGGCCAACTCTTCCTGCTCCTTTTCAGCCTTGTACTTGATCTCCCAGGTTTCGGCAGCCAATGACTCGGCATCGGCGGTAGAGTGACCAATGTAGATGTTATCAAAGAGAATATCTTTCTGCATCGTCCAAATTTCGAAACCGACAGCACCAATCTTCTCAAAGTTGGAAGGCGACAAGTCCTCAAAGAAGTCAGGGTTAGGAATCTTGCGAGGTGCCCACACGCCCTTGTAGTCGGGGTTGTCGATCAAAGGGGCAGACCATTTGCCCTTGTAAGCTGGGTTGGAGATACGAGGACGGACCCAAGGACCACATCCATTGCTCACACATTTGGGGTTAGGGACCGATACAGGAACCCAGTCGCCGTCCTCCTCATCGTCCCAGTCTTCGGGTTTGATAGCCTCAGGGTCGGGGATCTCTGTGGCCTCATGCTCGAGCCAGTCTGCAGGCTTGGTAGCCTTCTCATCCAAGATGGTGGCGGGTGCGTCCTCGTCCCAGTCCTCAGGCTTGGTTGCCTTGGCGTCAGGGATGCGAGCCTCCTCGACCCAATTGGCAGGTTTGCTGTCGGTTGCGTCTTCGATCACTTTGGGAGGGTTGACGGGCGGCTGAAAGTTCTCAAGCAAAGATCCCGAGGTGGCAGATTCTCCATTGACCTTAATCTCGAATGTCTGATCAGGGCTATTGGACCATACAGTAAGTGTGTTAGGCTATGAATGCTTCTAGTCCCCCCCACGCTCATGGCCCTTGTGATATGAATACGAATAAAGACGTACAAGTAAACTTACTTCACGATGAGGGTGTAGAGGGTGGTCCGCTTGCTCAATTTCGAGAGGGGCGCTGACTGGAGATGTTTCTCCTCATGGACTCCAGTGACAGGGTTCTTGTGTCGAAAGATGAAGTGGATCTTGTCCGTTGCTCCACACTTGTCAGGTCCGAACATGATGGTGTAAGGGGTCTCGTTCGAGAACTCCTTGAACTTGATGCCCTGAGGAGACTCTGTCAACAGCTTCATGTATGCGCCTCCGCACTCCAAACCATCCTGAGCCTTGACTTCATACCTATCGCAGAAATAAGCAATCCACACATGCCAATTAGTTCCAATGGTGAAAAGTAAAAATAAGGAGGAGTGTGGATCAATTACTTAACGACAACGTTTTTTTCCCAGGCCTCCTGGTCCTCCACAACTGTCCATTTCATTCCATTCTTCTTGAACTTCAATATGGGGTATCGATCTGACGGACTTACTGGACGACGAGGGTCTTGCCCTTGTTATCGACGACCTCGGGCAATGAAGCGGAGATGGCGTGGTGGGTGGCTGCTGATTTTGCCACCAATCCGAGATCATTCTTCAATCCTGGATAGACAGAAGGCTCCTCTACTGACCACTGTCCGACATAGCTAAACACTTCGCCTTCTGCGTTGGATTCTTTAGTTGCCTCGCTAGCTGTCCAGCGGTCAGACCAACTGGTGGCAAACTGCTCCAGGAAAGGTGCTTTGATCGATGTAGCCTATAAGTTTGATCAGTTATGAAAACACGTTAGTCACATCGTTGGTGTTATCTCTCGTCCTTGGTAACTCGCGTCCAAGTCTTGTTACCAGGCAGTGGGAGAGGCAAGAGATATGTGAGAGAAAGGGTGTTACTGGCGTACCTTGAACTCTGCGAGCTGGAAAGTTGCATCGTCGGTGGCAAGGTTGTCGTTGTCTGCGTTGAATGGTTTCTGTTCTTCTTGTGCATGGACCATAGAGAGGGCGGATGAGAGGGCGATGAGACCGACGAGGCCTAATGTGAAAGTGCGTGCCATGAGTGTTGTGTCGGATGAGGAGGAAGGGTTTGCTGGAAAAGGTAAAAGAGGCGAAAGAAGTGTAAAGAGTGAAAGAGAGAGTAAAGGACAAAAAGACGAGATGTCCTAGAAGCAAGCTGCGAAGGGCTCTTGGGTCAACCTCAGGAAGGATGTCTCGACAGTCCACAAGAAACCCTATGTTCGTCACGTGGATCCATTGCTTGAGGGGTAAGGGTTGCGAAGTGATCAGGTCGGTACGATCTGGGCCTTGCGCCAGGAACGATCCCTAGACGAGTTGCAGTCGTGTAGACACTCCCTCAAATAACGCACGACGCGCAAAAGATAGGCCAGGACAAGTGCCCGCGCCCATGTAGATCGTGTTTATTCCGACGACTTTGTATCTTCACGTCGGGAGAGGACGGACGTTTTTAGCCTTCCCCAACCATTCGTCGTTCACAAAACAACAGATCGCCACCGAGTCCAAATAATTCAAAAAAAAATGTGTCAAGAGGAGAGGCGTGGGATAATGATTACCACCCCGTCAACGCTATTTTGAAGAGTTGTCAGTCATTCCCGCCCCAGAAGTTAGTGGCTCGTTCTTCCTTTACGAATAAAAAGCTATTGCAAGGAGGTCACGGCATGCTTGCTTAGAGCCAGTTCGGGGATGCTACTTTCGGTTGTTCGGAGTAATATTTGACAAGGATGAGCAAAAGGATAACCAGAAGGATAAGCAAGGAGAAGGCGGCCTTATGTTATTTAGGGGAGGGTTTACCGAGACAGCTCCAGGTGCCATAAAGTGGTGCTTGAACCCTTATCTCTTTTCGTCAAATGAAAGAATGATTTACAGTGCATGGAACGGTGTCGGTCCCTTCCGTCCATTTGTCGACCATGGGCATTAGATCGCTGTAGTTGGTGGCTGTTTTTTCTTTTGCCCAGTCACACTGGTGATTGCGGAAGATTCGTTGGGACCGATCCCGTCTTTAATGCCCCCTTTTTTATCTTGCCCTTCGTCTTCTTCGTCTTATTCTTTGCTGTTTCCTTTCACTGTTTACCTTTCGCTCCACTCATTCCATCCCAACTTACTACCATCTCTGCTCTCCCTCCCTTTTACATCCTCATAAAAACACTCTTCGTATTCTTCACACGGCCCGGTTAAAGTTTCACTCAAACATTCACTCCCTTCAAGTCTCATTCACCTCCCCAACGTCCGAATCAACCAAGAGACAAACGCCATGTACATCGCCAACAACCGCACCACCCTCTACCGTCTCTCGAGCCGCGCTTTCTCAAAGCGCTTTATCAATACCAAGAAGCCCCTCTTCTCCGGCGCCAATCGACACGCGCGCGATGTGGAGGTTGGTCAGGTACCCTCTCCAGCAGCAGCGAGCACAAGCGCAAGCACTAGCACGGCAGCCAGCAACGCTCTGAAGGACCCCCTCGAGAAGGCCAGGAATGATCTGCTGAACAAGCTTGGATCCAACTCCTCGGGAACCGTGGTCGCCTCAGTAGGTAAAGGAGCACCAATAACAAGGGTGATGTTTGATTTTGCACCTCCTTGCTGCATATGCATATGCTTACTGTTTGTATTCAGAGCGAAAAGAGGCGGTCATCCTTAGCAGAGCAGATCGTACACTTGCTCTGCGAAGAGGAAAATAGATGGGGAAAGGTGTATTGTTCGGGGCTTTTTTTTCCTTGACTCCTTTTGTTTAATCCTTCCTTCCACAAGGCATTCTTTGTATATGTGTACCAAGGGTTACTCATAATGGGATCGTTCAGGATGAAAGAGAAAGGGAAGGGTTTGTGTTAATTGTCGATGACACTTTAATCTTTATTTTTTTCACGGTGCTATTGTTTTTCTGTGTTGAGAGTGTTTCCATTTTGGGCATTCCATGCGGGTGTTTGCTGGTCGCTCTTGTCTGTCAATGGACAGAGATGATACAGAAGGAACTTAAGAGTTTGTGTCGGGGTAGCAACACAATTGATCCTTCCTTTTGCAATGCCGTTGTAGCCCCTCCTGAAGCTTCGTTTTTTATTTTTCATCATTCTCATCTGTCTACCATCGCTTTACAACAACTAGGCCCTTCCGACTCATCATCCATCACCGCCGCCGCCAAGGCCGCAGCTGCCAGCAACTCGGCACTCCCCCATGGCAAGGTCTTTACTGTCCGACCCATCACTTCGTGGATCGACAAATTGGCCAACCAACACGGAGCCCCAACGGGAACCCATATCAACCCCACAGGAACGCCTGCCGAGCCTCCCAAGAAGACGTACCAAAAACGCAATCTTCTTCTCAGGACGATGCAGGACTCGTACACGGAGATCATCTTGCCTTTCAAGACGGACAAGGCACTCTTGGAAGAGTACATCAACGTTGGAGGATCATTGAGGTACGTCTGTTTGTCTAGTCCCTCTTCTCACTCCACGCATGCATCTATCTTTATAGCGCCCAATTTGTTCCATGTGGTGATACCGAAGGTCTCTCACGCCATGTGTTGCGGAGAAAAAACAACGAAAATCTGGGGTACGCAATTCATTCAGACTCACATTATTTACATGTCCGACTTTCCCACCTTTTCTCTTTGGAAAATCAAATCAATCTGTTGCTCTCTCTGGCACATAGACATGGCAAAATCATGGAGGATCTCGATGCGCTCGCTGGCGCCATTTCATACAAACATACCGATGATGGCAAGCCCGACAGCTCGCCTCTCACCATCGTCACTGCTTCGGTCGACAGAATTGACCTGCTCAAGTCCCTTGACGTCTGCGACCTCCGCCTGTCTGGTCATGTCACCTATGTCGGATACAGTTCTATGGAGAGTAAGTTGCTTGTCTCTTTCCACATTACCTTTTCATTGCCTGCGAACACGTGCACTCACCATATACTGACATATATGCACACTACTGCGTTTAGTTTACATGAAGATGGAGGAGATCAACAAGGACAAGCCAGGCCAGCACGGAGACACCATTTTGGTCGCACGGTTCACAATGGTTGCCAGAGACGCAGTCACCGGCAAGGCCGCCCAGGTCAACCCTCTCTTGCTCCGTGACGACAACGAGAAGAAGCTGTTCCAAATGGGAGAAGGTATGCATCAACACAGTGGATATGCTCAAGTTTTTTCCATCGGCTAGCCTTACAAGGGATCTGATGCTGACTGTTGATAAACACCCTGGGATCCACAAATTAGATCACAAGACCAAGAAGCGGGTTGCTACCGATTCAGCATTGACAAAGCTGCCCCCAACACAGGAGGAGCGCTTCCTGATCCACGACCTGTATCTTGAATACTCCAAGTACGATGACCCTCAGAACAAGACCAACAAGCCAGACAATGTCGAGTGGATGGCAGATACCAAGATGAGCGCCGTTCACATCATGCAGCCCCAGGATCGCAACATTCACGACAAGGTACGACTGGGTGACAATTGCTAATCCGCCACCAATTTTTTTGGTTTCACAATTATCAACCCACTAATCACCAATCACTAATCATCAATGTGTGATCATAATAGATTTTCGGTGGTTACTTGATGCGCTTGGCCTATGAGCTCGCGTTCTGCAATGCATCATCATTTATTGCCTCCCGCCCAACATTCCTGGCCCTGGACGAGATTTCATTCAGGAAACCTGTGCCAATCGGCACCTTCTTGGGACTCGACTCTCAGATCGTGTATGCCGAGGGAGGCGATCACCACTCGTTCCAAGTCATGGTCAAGGCTGATGTCTTGGATGTGAAGAAAGGTACACGGGAGACCACCAACACCTTCTGGTTCACGTTCACGGACCCCGTTAAGGGAACTAACCGGATTATGCCCAAGACCTATGCCGAGTCGATGTTGTACCTCGAGGGCAAGCGTCGTAGGATGTTGGGAAGCCAGCTTGCGGGCATCAACCGCAAGAGCCTGGGTATTCAAAAATAAGAGGCGTCTTGCTTTGCCATGTGTGTCGGTCGATGTTTAAGGAAACGGGGTTCGTTACTCTCAATCTCTCTCTTTTCTTTTCTCTTCTTTTTTGACACTTTTATGAGCTCCTGTTTTTTGTTTTCATTGCACGTTTCATGTCTTCCCTCCACACACCCTCCTCTTTCAAATCCATAGATTATCATTATCATTATGCCTGTGCTCGCCCTTTTGTAGACCAGCACCTATAGAATACACTTGTTGGTGCTCACAAGTAAACAAACATTGCATTTCCCACCACCCGTCCATCATCGATGACGATTCGTATACTTAAACCACTGAATATGCCTTTATTTTACATGATGGAGCAGCCGCCACTGCAACCATCGCAACAAGCACAACAGACTCCACAGCATTCACCTACGGCGTTGCAACAGTCGCCAAAGAGACTACAAAGGCCGTTGAAGGCGTCGCAGAGGTCTGCACAGGGGTCGCCTGTACAGTCGCCACAGCAGTGGCAGTCGCAGTTGCAATCTCCGCAATCTCTGCAGCAGTCTCCTCCATCTCCAACATTACCACCACCACCACTTCCTCCTCCTCCTCCTCCTCCTCCTCCTGCGGATACTGCTGCACCAGAGTATGAAAAGTCGGCGCTTGGTCCGGAAGAGCTCACCTGGGTGACGGGGAAGATATTCGAAGAGGGCAAGGCATCGGTGCCAGAGGTCATCCCTGTATTTAAACCCGGAGGGACGGAAATGACCGGAGTCAAAGATGGATTGCCGTAGGCGACATTAGCGGCCGTGGAAAGGTTCACACCATCGGCGGCGGCGGCGAAGGTGGTGTTGGCGGTGGAGAAGTTGTAGGTAGGGTCGCTGAAGTAGACAAAGTTGGTGGTGGTGGTGGTGTTGTTGTTGGTATTGGTGCCTGAGCCTCCTCGGCCAGAAGAAGAGTTCTGTTTCTTTTTGTCGGATTGGGCATCGGAGGATTGGGATTGGCCCTGGTCTTCGTCGGGTGATGATGAAGACGAGTATGGGGGTGGCTGTTTTGTTGGGTCACTTTGGACAAAGTCTGTGGGATTCTTTTTATCCATGTCGGCCTATTGATCTATGTTGTGTGGTATATGAAATGTGAGATGTGTATATGTTGATTTTTGTATATGTGCGCTTAGGCGTTGCTGAAAGAGAGAGTAACGCAGTGAGGTAAAATGAATGTGAGAGGTGAAGTGGAAGGGCTGAAAAGGGTGTAACAAAGAGCGAAAAAAACGAGCCAGTGTGAAAAGAAAAAAGACGTTGGGATGGTAACTTTTTTTTTTTTGGACGCGTTCGAACAGAGGTATATATACTCGTTTGTGCGAGTGTGGCATTACATCGTCTGAATGGCCAATCTACCTACTCTCTATGTGCTGAAGGCCAAGCAATTAAAGAAAGTCAAGTATCCCCTTCATCACTTTTTCTCGTGGGTTATTTTTGGAATTATTGACTTTTGGGCAATTGGCCTTCGTAAGTTTGTCTCTGTGTGTGTGTATATGTGGCGACCGAGAGGGAGGGAGTGGCGGTGGTAAAATGAGAGAAAGGAAACTTGAATACACGGAGCTGAACTGTTTGTTTTCATTGAGAGCATTCTCGATGTGTGAATCTCCGGTCGTCCTTCTTTTCATCCCGTCTTTTTTGCCCTCCCTCACTCTTTACGCCGTCTTGATTTCTCTCCCTCTCTCCCTCTCTCTTGGTCAAAAGAAGGGTCCTTTCTCCTTCAGTTGCGTTTTCATCCATTCTTTTCTTGTTCACCATTCCATCGGTTCCTTCCATTCTCGTCATTCTTTTTCGCGTGTGCTTCCCCTTCCTTTTTTTCATGAATTTTGGATTTTGTGGCAGCTGGACATGTGAAGTGGGGTCGACCTCGCCTCCATTCCTATTTTTGCATGCTGGAAAGAATAAATTTTTCTAGAAGCCCAAAAATACATGTAAGGGCGTAAGAAAAAAAAGGCACAAGCACAAGGTAAGGAGAGAGGGAGAGAGTATGAAAGGATGAGGGCAGGGGAGAAGGAAGAGATGATGCGGGTAATGCAGCGAAGGGGTGAACACTCTTTGAGCCTTGTTTATTTTTGTTGACTGTTATCAGTTCACGTCGATTCAATCTAATAATCTTCTTGGTCTCACACTCTGTCTCAGCCGCAGTATTTTTATCGCCAGTTTTGAGTTCAGGGCTTTCGGGCAAGGGTGGCGATGCGCAGAGAGCAAGCACAATGACAGGGGTGTCAGGGGTTGCTCCCTTCTACTTTTTTTCGGTTAACGCCACCATCGTCAACACACACATAAAATCATGATACACCTATTGTTGTTTGGGTAGCAACAGCACGCTATAAGAGAAAGATAATGACGCTTTTGAGGAATCTTTCACGCTTTCACTTTCTTGGCTTACCAAGGAAGGCGGGGCCAGCCAGGTTTGCAATGCATCGTGACATATCACTTAGCAAATGAGAAAGTGAGGAAAAGTGTGGTTATATGACTATTTATTTTTATTTTACATGATGATGCAGCAATCGCCATCATCGCCACTACCACCGTCACAGCAGCAGTCTCCAGAATCGTCCAAGGTTTGTCCGGCGGCGGGGGCAACTTGGACGGGCTGGATATCGGTCGATAGAGTGGCATCCATAAGGCCCTGAGGTTCTGGTACGGTAGCGACGATTGCAGGGGTGGCGTCGATTGGAGGGATGATGTCGGCGGTTGTTGACAGGTGGCTGTGAGGGTAGGTGTCGAGAAAGACGAGGTTGTTATGAACGACGACGTTTGACTTTTGCTGTTGTTGTTGTTGTTGTTGTTGCTGTTCCAACTCTGCTTGTGCTTGTGCTGCTGGATCCATGGTCTTGTATGCAATCTTGTGTGGTCAGGAGGAAGGGAGGATCGAAGGCGGGTCCTGGGAAAGTGTTGCTGTGATGGGAACAAAAATATATTCTTCGTCCTTTTTAAAGACGGGGTTAAGAAAACAAACGCAAAGTGGGCTTTCTCTTTGACATGTCGGTGGTGATCGAATCGCCTATGCGGAGTTAAAAGAGGAAGCGTACCAAGACTAAGAGCTTTGTCGGCAACTTTTTTTTTTTCCTCTTGTGAGAATGACTGGCCAACTTTACTCTTTTTCATTCATCCTGCACGCAGAATGGGTGTGAGAATAGGGTTTTTTATACCCTAAATGCTGCATGTGAGCACGCAACATTGGGCTGCACCCACTCCGAGGAGGAAACCTGACACTGAGCAAGAGGGTAGAAGGTTCAACTGCGATGACAGCCCAGAAAACATAGCTTAATCGGTGTGACATGATTCGAGACCTATTTTATTCTTTTTGCTATTTTTGCTAGCCTCTTTTTTTTTTCAAAAGCATCGAGCATCGATACTCCTCCCGCGCCCACACTCACATCAGAGCCACAACCCCGACGATGAGAGTATTGAAGATCGTACTCGCGCTTTTTCAAAGAGGACGAATGAAAAGGAAGAGGCGCGTGTCTTGATAGACTGCCGACGACGCGGCTTAGATTCAAGACACGAGTTGTCTTTCTATCCAACTGTCAAATCATTGGTATAGTGTGGAAACAAAAACAAAAAAAGAGTGAAAAATGATTGTGTGTGGGGTATATTTTATTGTTGTATTGTTTTTCACATAATGGTGCAGCAGCCACCACCACCATCACATCCGCCACAATCACCACAATCACCACAATCGCCACAATCGCAACAATCGTTACAACAGTCTCCTCCTGATGTATCAGGGATCTGTCCGGGCGGCACGACGGCAGCTGCAGAAATGTCACCAGTAGGAATCGCAGTGGCAACCATGGGTGCGCCAGCGATAGGAGCATCGGTAATGGTGGTCACAGGGATGACGGAAGCAGGTTCTGTGGAAGAAGACGACGAAAAGAGGTTTGCGTGGGGGACGTATACGATGCCGAAGTTGTTTCTGTTGACGACCTGATCTAGTAGTTGTTCTTGGTTCCGTTGTTCTGAATACTGGTTGAACTCTCCTTGGACTTGGGCGTGTGGATCCATTTTGTTGGTTTGTGTGGCTGTTTCCTTGTTCAATAGAGGTGTGTGGGTTGCTTGTATGTAGAAGCGGCTTGCGAACGGGATTCTTTGAAAAGAAACAAGAGCGACGCGGACGGGGTACCGAGGATTCGAAGTGGAAAAAGAGGAAACAAAAGAAGAGAAAAGTGTGTGCCTGGATGTTATTTCTCCTCCTATTCGGGCTCCAGGGCAGACCAGAGTGGCGGAACCCAAAGTCGAAAGTTGCAAAGCATTGACTGCTTTCAACTCGGCGTTCTGTTATTTTTGAACAAGAATAAGGTTTTGGGCTGTATGGGATGGAACGGTTGTTGGAAGGAAAGATCTCATTATGGGTTCTCTGTCTTTTCGACCTTCTTTTTTGTTTGTTTTTTTTCGTTTGAGAGCACTTCACTGTATTTTCATTCCCTCTCAGTCCCTCTTGGTCTCCCGCTCGATCCTTTCTTTACTCCCCTATCCATTCTACATGTACTTCACCCAATGTCCTTCCTTGTTGCGCAACAAAAAAGAGCACAAGTAATACTTGGCAAACCTCGTGCTTTGAACTCTTCAAAGAATGACCCTGGCTGCATCCAATTGATAGTAAGAAAAACCCTTAAAAATCCAAACCACTTATTAATAACATGCTCCTTGCACCATACCATCGAAAGAAAAAATACACGCTTTGTATCTTACAATGTCACAAAACAACTATTAGGGTATATAGTGATGATAAAGTGGTAAGGGAGTGACAATGCGGATCAGATCGTGGTCGATCCACAAGTGGTGGTGTTTTCGTCGGCCTGAATGACGATCGCCACATTGGGTCTTGGATGGCTCGAGAACTGGATATCTTCCAGTGCGTAGGGGCTGTTGCGGATGTCGTGGTTGTGCATGTGCAGGGGCAGGTGTCTGATCGTTGATCATGATAGCGGTATGAGCTTGTCCAATCCCCTGAGCTCGCATACACTGGAGACGGTGATACAAAGGTATCATGGGATTTACTGGCGCTGGTGTTGGCGTTACCGACAATGATACACTTGGAGCGCCTTGCAATCGAATGCTCAAACTGTTGGTTTACTCTGTTGGTGGGATGGCGACCGGTGATGGCGAAATGATTGGCAGCTGCTGTTGAGCTTGTGGAGGATTCGTCCGAGGGGCGGATCAACCCCCAGGCAGAAGGAACCGCGGGTGGTTTGTAGTGGGTAGTGGCAGCCGGTTTTGTTGGAGAAACGGGTTGTGGTGACCGAGGTTTGATAATGATCGCCCTTTGACTCGTTCGATGGGCTTTGGGATGCCGGTGTTGTTCGAGGGGGTACGAGGCTTGAGGACGATGAACCCATCTTGCCGCTCGGTTGGTGGCGTCTTATTTGATGTGTTATTTTGGGTGGCGTTGCCTGTTTCTGCGCGGTAAACGACAGTCGATGCCATTGGGTTTTGCTTTGATGGAGCAGAAAGTAAGGAGTGACGGGATAAAGTATGAAGTTGGAAGGAAGGAAACGAGTGGGAGTAGAGGGAGTGGATCGAAAGTTGCTGAGTAATAATGACTTTTTTAATAAAGCAAAGAAAACAAATGAGGGCCAGTGGCGAGTGTGAAAACAAACAAACATAAACCTTGCCCTGGGATCCTTTGAAGAAACCACGCAAGAATCACCTTGCAGCGCTCTTGTCTCAAAAGCAGGACGCGGTGTTGCAACCTTTAAACCTGTTTTTCCTCTCTTCGACGAGACTTTTCTGCTCTGTTGTCAGATGATGCGTAAACAAACGTACTTGTTATTCCTTTTCTATCTCTCTTTCCTCCTCCTCACTTCTATTTCACTCACCCAATCTCCTTCACCAACCCCTCCGTCTCGTTTTCACCACCACGACCATGAAAGTCTACATTGTTGTTGGCATCATCTTCGTCGTCGTCCTTGCCGTGTTTGGATGGCACGACTACGGAAAATCACAAGCCGAGGAACATGAAATCGCTGGAGGAATGTAATGGGGGTTTGTTTCGTGTCTTCGTCCAAAACGAATTGTTTCCGTTGTTGGTGCTGCTTGAGGTGTTCATCTGAGGTCCATTTCCGCTCAGAGGGTCGGTATTGAATCTTGTTGCTGTAGAGGGTGGTGAAGCTGAAGCAGGGACACCTCTAGATGGAGGTACGTAATGAGGATTTTTGCGTGTTTTCGCCTAAAACGGACCCTCGGTCAATAGCGTCGTTGGTTGTTGTTTATATCTTCCGCGAAGAAAGCTGAGGACAAGGACTGCCAGGACAAGAAACGCGATCGAGACGTACAGTACAGCAATCGGGCGAGGGGCGGGGGGAATGAGTGAATGAGTGGTGTTGATGGTTGATATCAAAGTTGGTGATGAGCTCGGAAGATGAAGTAGAAAGGTTAAATTCATTTTCATTGACCGACACTGTGTTCCAAATGCCAGGTAACTGATGAATCAATGGCGAGGTAAACTTAAGCTTCTGCCACAGCCCACTTTTCCTTCTCTTTCTCTCTCTCTTTCTCTCTGTTGCCTCAGAATATCACAAGTAAACTAAACAAAATAACAAACCCAAACAGTTGCAACTTCTTCTTGTCTGCAGAAAGAAAGTGGGGTCGAGTGTATTATAATGGATAAGAGGGGGGGTATATACAAAAAAAAAGACGAAGTATGTGCTTTGTTAAGACTATGTTCTCGTCACTAACTCCACGGGTTCGGGGACTTCGGCAACGGTGGTAACATAGCGGGGCTGTGGATGACTTGAGAACTGAATGTCCTGGAATGATGGATTCGGTGTATACATAGGCAGCGGGGCATTGGGAGACATGTCGACGGTGACTGGAGGAGCGACTTGTAGCTGGATACCCATGGTGTTTGTATATGTGTTTTCGCTGGCGAAGTTGGTAGCAACAGGCGGAGGGTAGTTGAGAGGCCTGCTGTAGTTGTTGGTAAGTGGTGCGTGGACAGGGAGGACTGTTTGGGGAGGTTTGATGGTGCTGTCGGGTTTCTTTGCGCGGGGATCTGCAGTAACCCAGCAGCACATCACAATGGATATGAAGAGAAGGACAATAATGACCCAGGCGTTCATTTTTGTGTGTGTGTGTGTGTGTTTTTGTTTGTAGTGAAAGGAGCAAGTGAGTGAGTTGGAAGGGTGAATGGATAAGAGGTGAAACTTTTTGAGAAAGGAAGAAAGAGCGAGTGAAATCCTCTTCGCATGTTTTTGGAGTTTTGAGAAATGCAACAGCCCAAATGTTCGTCGACTTTGCTCCTGGGGCGAGGGCTTGAAAAGAGTGTTCCTGCAGGAACAACAACCCCTCTGCAGTAACAGACGTCATGGTATCTTTTCACGGATAAACGTACTGTCCTTGAAGAGCATAACTATCGTACCCGCCCGTTGGTGCCAACACGACAGTAAGAACGTGTTTGTTCCAACCCAAGCAACCTTCACTCCCCTATTGATTGTTATCTCTCTTCCCATGTTTAGTTTCCACTGCTGTTGTACAATGGAGGGTAGACTTGACCTGTGCCCATGTTCGTTTCGCTCGTCCATTTATTTTGTTGCAAATCCCCCTTCGCCAGAATTGATCATTCGAACCGCTAGGAGGAGTGAATGAATGGCAGTTGTTGTTAAAACTTCAATACAAGGTGCTTCTCGAGAAGCGAGGGTAGTTGCGATAAAACTAGAAGTACTTTTAATTGTGGAAGTAAAGGGTTGATAAAAATACAAGATGTGCTACAGCTAATAATAGTATTAGTGCAAGTGCATTCCAAAAGAAGAACAAATGCTCGATTCTTTTGACAATTATTTAGCAAAGCTTGACGCCATTGAGGCCGCATCCGACTGTGACGACGCCTGCTTCGACACCACCGATAGTCATGGCAGCGTTAACAAGACCAGCGATACCGACACCGGCAATGAGACCGGCCGAGACGGAGTACATGAGACGCTCGTGGGTCCTGGGGCTGGTGCGAATCCAGATCTGGCCCGAGGTCCAACCAATGAGCATGGCGATGGGGATGGCGGGCGCGGGGTTGATGAAGCCGAGACCGACAGCGTTCAAGTTGATCCAGTAGGGCTTAAGGCGGTCGGGGACTAACTTGACGCGGACAATGACGTTGATGACGGCCAAGATGCAGCAGACGATGGTGAGGATCATGGAGGCGTGGGGGACAGAGCCATCACCGGTCAAGATCTTGCAGACGTTAGCCCAAGCAACGACGGCGGGAACGGCGAACTGGCACTCAGTGATCGACTCGTCGAGGACGCATGGGTAAGCTTGGGTGTAGAGCAAGAAGAGGGGAACAGCAATGGCGATAGCAAAGGTAGAGCCGACCAACTGGGCCCACAACATGGCACGGGGGGAGGCACCAATCAAGTGACCGGTCTTGAGATCTCCGACCATGTCGACGGCCTGGGAGCAGACCGAAGCAGCAATGTTGGCGCACATGAGGTTGGTCTTTTGAACAACCCTAATATCGGGGTTGGGGATACGAGAGAAGACCAACTGGGTGACCTTGGCGACGGCACCGGTAGGGTTGATATCGGTCTCACCGGAGGCTTGGAGACCGACAAAGGCGAGGAAGAAGGAGAGGATGATAGCTCCGATGGTGGCATAGACGGGGACGTGGAAGTTGAAGTACATGACCAAGATAGTGAAGACACCAGAGACGAGAAGACCGCCGACCCACCAGCTGGTAGGGATGAGCTCGTGCTCGGGGGTGGTGTCCTTGGAGACGTAGGTGGAATGGCTGACAATGGCCTCCTTTTTAGAGAGCTTGCGGATATAGTTGCGACCTTCACGGACAGCGGTCATGACGGCGTGGCCGATTGACTTACCGTTTGCGCCGAGCTCAGAGAAGGCAGTGAAGACCATCATACCGACACCGGGCCAGAGGAACCAGGACTGAGCAGAACCGATCACAGGTGGTGGAAGGAAACCACTGCGACCGGTCAAGTAACCAGCTGAGGTCATGAGGGGGCCAGCGATACCAAAGGCAATCAACTCTCCGAGGAGGAAGGAGAAGACAGTGCTTCCAGGGGTCATCAAACCAGCACCGAAGAAGGCAAAGTCCCAGGTGAAGATCCAGCCCCAGGCGCGATCGGCGTTCATCATGGCGGCGTAGGAGGCAGCGTTACCAATGTACCAGAGGATATGAATCTCAGTGAAGAGGCCGGGAATGAAAAAACCGATGATGGCAAAGGCCATGGCAATGAGAAATGAGTACGTCATGGCACGGCCAGAGTCACGGGCATCCTTGGCAGCAGCCGAGGAGTTCTTGTGCAAGTTCTTGATGGTCTCGGCAGCGGCACGAGGGGTGGGGAAGACGAGGTCCTGGTTGATGACAAAGTGGGCGCGGAGGGGGACAGCAAAGAACATACCAAAGAAGGCGGCAGAGGCGGTCCAGAGCAAGAGAGCGACGACATCGTCCTTGGGAGAGTTGTCGCCCATAAGACCCATGCGATACATGGCAGGGATGGCAGTGACGAAACCGCTGGAGAGACCGCCGGCAGAGGTGGCAGCAGTCTGGCAGACAGCGTTCTCCTTGGGGCCAAAGACGGTGTTGGTCATGCGAGAGATCGACTTCAAGATCAAGAAACCAAAGATGGAGCCCCAGAGAGCGGCACCGAAGGTCCAGCCGATCTTGAGACCCAAGTACAAGTTACTGGCAGCGACGACGCATCCGAGCAAGGATCCAACGATAGCCGCGCGCCTGTTTGATCGAAGGAGGTAGCAAGTAAAGGGAATAGGGTTAGGAAGGGTTGGATAATGTTTGTGGCAGTGTTGGGCACAAGTCGAGCAGTAAAGTTGAGTAAACAGACGAAAGTGCTTACCAGGTGAACTGACGCTCCTCGTAGACGTACTCCTCCTCCTCATCCTCTATGTTCTCCTTGACCTCGACGGTCTCTTGCTGGAGGGTCTTTTCCTGAGGGTATTCGTCGTACCGAGTCTTTTCGTTGACTGGAGCGGACATGTTGAATTAATGGGGTGATTAAGAAAGAAGTGAGAAATGTACAAAAAGATGAGAGAGATGAGTGATGAGGAGAAGAGAAGACAAGAAAAGTGAAGGACGCGGGAGACAGAGAAAAGAGAGAGAGAAAGAGAGAGAGAAAAGGGAGATTGATTAATGGTGAATGGTTATCAATGAAGATGGACAAGGAAGCAAGAAAAAAGTGGGCGATCGGAACTGCTTTTATAGTGTTTCGTAAGTTTCTTATTACTTCAGGGGATGTATCTCTGCTCTTTAGAGGGGTTGGAACAATGTACATTCACAGAAGAAAACGAAGAAGGTCCAGGGCACCAAGGCAGGGCAAGGTTGAATCCTCTCGGGCTACTACTGCCTCTGTTGGTTGGTTGGTTGGTTTGCTGTATCGCTCTCTATCGTGCGATGAATGTGGTTTGATATCAGTGTTCGTGATGACCTTGACCTGATTGAAACAGATTTGTATTACTCCAATCCAACTCATTGGCAACCCTGATGCTGGATCTCACATGGGGAAAAAGAACAAAAGAAAAAGGTGTCTTCACTTTGAACGGAAGGCCATTCCTCTTCTCATCGAGCCTGTCTCATTCACTCACTCACTCGCTCACCCACTTCTCCCCGGATTTAATCTCTCCCTTTGATACATGGCCTATCTTCACTTCCCTTCTTTCCTTCAAGGAATACGCCACAAATGGATCGGACAATACCTCGGACAGGGCAAGCTAACCTTCTTCACCTGAAAGTCTGTCAGAACTGCGAAGCCTGGACCACATCTTGTGTGTTTCTCTTGCATCGTACCCAATGTACCGATCGAGAACCCACATTAGAGCAAAAAATGAAAGAAGTGGGCCTTTCCTTTCAATCCTCAGGCTCTTTTTTTGTGAGAGAGGGGAGGCCTAGGGAAAGAATGTTCCGAACAAAACACCCATCCTACAATTTGATTGGCTAACAGTCAACATAAAGCGCAAAGGGTCCACAAGAGACTTGAAGGGAATAAGGTTGTCGGTATTGTTGTTGTGCTGTTGGTGTCTGGGATCTAACACAAACGTACTTTTTTAGCTATCAATGAAAAATAAGAGGTAGTACGCTCGTGATACCCCTGTTGGTACAGTGGGAGGGAGGGAAAGAAACTTGGAACAACTCTGACGCCCGCAACAAAAGAATTCCAAGAAAGAATCACAACACGATCTCTCCTTTTTTCATATCATTCCACCTTGGTGTTTACTTCCTCCTCTGTCTGCCTCTTCGCCTGCGTGCTTTGTTCTGGCTTTCCTTATCTGACTTGACCTTATTCATTTTTGTTTCCGAAGCAGAGAATCGTCATCTTCATCCTCATCATTCCATTAGTACTTTCTATCTCCAATCTCGTGCTGATGAAGAGGAAGAATCATTCCACTCCCGCGTTTTCTCCTTGATAGTGTTATTCCTCAAAGGACAGCACCAGAGCGGGCAAGAAGCAAAAAGCTGGCTACTCATTCACAAGCAAACGAATCAGGAGTACATGAACATCGCTTAATCTTCTTCGTCTTTCTCTGCCTCAAAAGGAAAGCAATACAACATTCAAAGACGCTATTTCGTTACCCCCCCCTCCTCCTCTCCTCCTCCTCTTTCAACTCAGCAGGGTGTTTCTTTTGTTGTCACAAGGGAGTCAAGTCCATCATCTAGATCTTTCAATTGGTTACCCTGAGCTTAGCCTTCCCTTTTCAGGCACCTTTTTGAAGACAAAGTGGATACCCAGGAGCTGACATTGATCTTAAGCTCTTAACGAACCAGAATGACAAGAGGTGTTCCTGAGAATGGGAGCGAGATTTCCAGCTCTCCTCCAAGTCGTGCGAATGGTGTGCTTTTTCCCATGAATCCGGTCATACTTGGGCATAATGATGTACTTACTCCTCGTAGCCTTGGTCAGTTGCGGAACATTTGTCTTCCTGCCTTGCACTTTGTGTACGCGACAGGTGCCAATAACAAAAAACAACAACAAGAGAGCCCACTCCTGTCCTTGTTAGCTGTAAGCATATATATTTTTTTATGCACAACTTTAGATTGGATACATGCATGTGAGTAATGCACACTGCTATGTGTGCAATAACTAGAATTCTTAGTCACCCACCCACGCACCAAACTCACTTTTCCTCGGGAAATGCAAAACTCTCTTTTTTGAGTTTATCATTGTGCATTTTTTTCCTTTCCTCCCCTTTCAACGCCTCATACCTTCTCGGGCAATGACCCCGATCTCCAAGTGTGCCTTTCCCATCAACAACCAACCACATGGGTATGGAAAGAGTAGTACCCTTCCACCCCCCACTCTTCCGTTAGTTTCTCCTTTTTTGACTTATCACTTTTGGTAGAGGAAGACACCCATACCTCATGGGAAGACACATGGGTTATTTTCCCAGGCAGTAGCGTGAGAGATCGATACTTTTCTTATACACGGATGAGAATCTTGTAACAGTGATCATGTATCGATAATGAAGAAAGATGGTGAGGGTTCATGAAGTAGTTATCTTGGGAATGAACAAGATCATGGTTCAAGGCGAATAAAAAAGAGTGAGGGCAAAGAAAGAAATTTATCTTCCGTCCCCATCATTCGGCCCATTTCAACCCTCAATAAGCACAAAATTATCGCTCTCGAATGCAAACAACCCTGCTTTTTGTCTACATTGTACCACCATTCGTGCAACAACATCAACAACAACAACAACAACAACGAAAAAGGGTCCAGGCTGCTAGGCATGTTTAACAGACCATGGAGAAATCCTTACGGTTCTCAAAAACCTTCTCATTTTATTTTTCACGCAAGGTGCAGCGAATCTCGGTCATGAAGAGTGTATTGTCAAAACCAGCGTTTCCATCATCTTCAGCGTCCACAGTTATCTTTGTAATGGCGTGTGGGACCCAGGGTGTCTCAACTTTATTTCTCAAGTGAGTGGCAAATGGACCTAATGACCCAACTTTGCCCTATCGGGAGCTACTCCGTACCTCCTCTTTCGTGACCATGTTGGGCGGGGAGTTTTCTGGCGCCTTCTCATCAATCCAGCTCAAAGGGCGAGCGACTAAAAAGGAATGAAAAAAAGAGTGTGATGAAAGTCAGCTCTTTGAGCGAGTCATGGTGACTAAAAATCCTATCGGCAGCTGCTCCGCACCTTGCGTCCTCATCGAGCTGGTCTTGTTTTTTTGGAGCGCCTTCGCATCAATCGGACTTCCTCCGCCAACCCTTTTTGCAACTTACAGTAGTCAATCGAGACCTCGCTACTCTTTCCCGTTTCTTGATCGTCGCCCTCGTTTTTTCATCTTACCTAGCCCTCAGACTAATGACCGGAGTAGCAGAGCGTGAGATAGTTAGTGGTTCTGATAGTGTTAGTTTGAAATATAAAAATGAAAGCAAAAGAAAAGGAGAGACAGATAGAGGATGAGTATTCTCGACTATCCTCGGTAACTGGTGTTCATTGGCTACCAGGGTCCACTTCCCATTGGCTCGCCTTCATTCCCTTCCGCGTGGAAAAAATAAATGAACTCTGTTCTATCCAACGGGTTCATAGTCCATGTCTGATGCCTAATCCCAAATGAACCAAAACTCACCTCCTTCTTTCTTTTCCTTCAGTTTTCTTTGTTTAACTGTTCATGAAGAATGCTCAATGGGTTTCTCATTTTCTTCAATAATGCTGTCATTTTTTTCTTGACCATGTTCTTCGCCCTGAGGTTGTTTCATAACCCTGGATTTTTTCATCATCCTCATTGAATGGCACATTGATGTTTGTTGAATTGTGCACAGATACAGCAACACAACAACAGCAACAACAGCAACAACAACAGCTCTACCAAGGAAAATAAGAACTGACGAGAAGGGAACAGCAGGAGAATTTACGGAAAATATTTCTTCTTGTCAATCACGTTTTTTCTTTCGCTCTCGATTTTCACAAACACAAAAAAAAAAAAAAAAAACGCACACACTCTCTCTGCCTCTCCTCCACCTTTCCACGCTTTCCATTTGTCCTCCATATCTTCATTTCCTCGCCAATCAACAAACCTGTCTATCCCCAATCCACGAGCACCCTTCTGGTCGCTCCAAGAACATAACATATTTCAGCCTTCATGGACCGCCCTTTATTCAACTCATCTCGCCTTCCTTTTCTTTGTTGATGTGTTTGTGGAGGGTTCCTGTTTATCTTGGAGCTAATCCAGCCCGCTCGTCGTAAAAAAAACCCCCCAACAACAACATGGCTACACATATTTGTCCTCATTTTTTCTTTCTCGAATATCATTAACCTCATGGCTCACAGGAACAAATCTACAAACACGAACACAGAACACAAACACAAACACAAACATGCAAGAGCACGCGCACAAAAAAAAATCATGCACATTTCACACGGATTAGAAGGAGCAGGGAGTTGTGAGAAAAAAAGTTGGATGGTCGTGCTGTTTACAACCCTTTTTATTCTCGTCATTCCATTCATAACTTCGCACGATCGAGTCGTTGGAGTCACTGGAGTTTCACTAGACAATCTTTTTCACAGCAAACTCGCGTCCAAAATAACAAACAAACAGACAAACAAACAAAAAGCAAAATACAAGAGAATTGGCGTGTGTATTACGAATAAACAAATACGTTCACTTGAACTTGGGTTTGGTAGAAAGGCGTAATGGCGGTGGGGTGGCGGGTGTACTAGACCTAGGAGGAGATATCACACCTGCAGCCGCTTCCTCACCCGTGGCCGTAGGCAAGATAGCGTTAGGGCTGATAGGCGTGCCGATATCTACAATTCCGCCCTGAGCCTCCTTGGACAACTCGCCCACCCTTGCGGGATGGATTACGTTCGTCGTCGGCGTAGGAGAAGCAAATGTCGATGACTCGCGAGCGCCGTGGAGTCGAGCACTGTACTCTTCTTTGTCATCCGTCCGCTCCAGGTACTCCTCTGTTCCCATCGTTGGCAATATCTCGCCCAAAGTAGGCGCCCTCGACAGACCTCGGGTTGGCTTGGGCTGGCCACTTTCCTTTGTAGGCGCTTGTTTGGTGTTGTTGTTCAAGAGAGAGGAAGACGAAGATGAGGTCGAATCCAGACCGCGGTTGTGACTACTCCTCTCCCTTGCCGCCTTGACACTCGGCAATGGCTCAAACACAATGTCACTTCCGACAATCACTGGCTCGCCGCTCTGTTGGGAGTTTGAGGACGGTTCGTTCTGTACATGTTGCTGTTGCTGCTCGGCCACATATTCCTCCTTGTCGACCAAGTAGCGGGGCTGGTTCTGGGGACGATCCTTCTGTCCTGCTTGGCGGTCATGGTATCCAGGCTGTTGGCGAACTGCGTGTCCTCCCTGAGCTCCCGAACCTACTCCTGCTCCTTCTCCATTGACGACCGGCGCTGCAACAGCAGAGGCACCTGGAGGAATACTGCTGAAAGTGCTAGTGTTGCTGGGTCCTTGATGGTTCGAGAAGTTCAGGACGGAGCTCAAAAAGTCGCCTCCAAGATTGAGATCCATCGGCAAGGAAGGGTTCGGTCCACCCTGTGAAGTTGTTGCAGCAGCCTCAGCAACTCTCTTGGCCTCCTCCTCGTCCTCGGCATCGGGTACAATCTTGAACAGCCCTTGGCTGAGCAACAGTCGAGAAGAGTCGCCAGGGAGGAAAATGGATCCGGATTCAGGGGTTGGAGACCGGGGTGCAGCTGGGGTTCCAACGGCGGCAACGGTTGTAGGAATTGTGGCTTGGGTCGCTGGAGGTGGCGGTTGGTAAGCCACCGGTGGCTGTTGAATATGGTGGTGCGATAGTGGTGGCACATGAGATGTAGAAGCAACCGAGACCGGATAGTGCACAGGCGGAGGTGCTGTTAGAGGAGGCTGGAAAGATTGAGGGGTGTATGGCTCAGCAGGAGGTAGCGAAAGTGGAACTGAGACAAGCCCCGTCCCTGGCTGGTAATAATATGGCTGTGTCATAGGGGTCGTAATGGTGGTAGGCGATACCATGCTGCGTTGCACTTGTTGCATCTGGACTGGCTGCTGTTGCTGTTGTTGGTAGGATGGGTGTTGCAGCTGGTGTTGAGGGGTCATGACTGGCGCTTGAACAGCAGGAGGCAACGCCGCATATCCTTGCATAGGCATGTGCTGCAATTGGTGCTGATGCTGTTGCTGCTGTTGATGCTGGTACTGCTGCTGCTGTTGTTGTTGTTGTTGTTGTTGATGATGTTGTTGTTGTTGTTGTTGTTGTTGTTGTTGTTGTTGTTGTTGTTGTTGTTGTTGTTGCTGAAATTGTTGTTGTTGCTGCACCTGCTGTTGCTGGAGTAGCTGCTGCTGTTGCCAGTTGAGTTGCTGTTGGTCCTGTGGAGTTGGGGGCAAGTAGTGCGGTTGAGAAATCAAGGCGTTCCCTGGAGTCGGATAATTCGAGCCAATGCCATTGTTTGCGGGTGTCGATGGTGAGACCACGTTGCCCACTAAAGTCGGGGGAGGTGAAGACGCGCCCCAGTTGGCTGCAGGAGCAGGGGCCGGGCTGGCTGCCCTCGCATGTTGCGCCTGCTGCAGCTGCAGCTGCTGCATGGGAACCGCAGGACTAGGACTTGCCGCTGCTGCCGCCACCACCGTAGCCGAGGGCTTGTTACCCTTAGGAGCAGCAAGGTTTTGTGTCTTGGAAAGCACGCCTGTGACAAGTCCCCGGAGACCGCCACCACGCCTGCTCTCGTTGCTATCGTCGTCATCCTGTTTCAGGTCTCTAGACCGAGACGACGTGTCTGGATATCCACTGTACTGCCCGCGACCCATCATCCGCTTTCGACGCTTCTTGAGTAGCATAAACCCGCCTACGACCGAGCAGACCAGAACAAGGAGAATACCGATCACCAGACCGGCCACGGCCCCTCCACTCATTCCACTACCTTCCGCTGTACTTGCGTCATTGGTTACTGTAGGGATGATGGTGGAGGAAAGAGTGGTGATGGGCGCTTTGCGACTGTGGGATGTCGTGCTGACTGTTTGTGCTGTTGACGCCGGCCTTAATGGTGTGGGTGCTGTTGAAGGTATGTTGGGTATTGTTGCAATAGGAAAAGGAATCAATGTGGAGGTTGGGTGGGTTGTTATAGGGGCTGGTAGGGCCATGGTGGATCTGAAAAAAATGAGAAAGAATGAGAATGGGAGGTGAAGAAGTTGTGTGGCGGGAAGGAGGAGGAAGAGAAGGGAGGGGCCCTTGCAGGAAGTGAATTATTGCGTTAAGGATGGAGGAGGAGGAAGAGCGATGTGTGAAAGGGTAAAGAGACCAGGACACAAAAAGGAAAAGAAGAGGGTGTGGGATAGAGCAGAGAGAAGAGAGAACAGAGAAGAGGGAAGAGAGAAGAGAGTGAAGGGAGAAGAGAGCGTTGAGCAAACACAAACAAACATAAACAACATGTCCTGGTGAATGTTCACCCATTGCCTTCTTTGATACATGATACATGATAGAGTGATAGAGTGATGGAGTATCAATAGCTGAAACGATAATGATATCTAACCCCTCAGCCCTATGATGATCATGATGTACTCGCACATGTGTACAACGACAGGAGCCCTCGTCTTCTCTCTTTCTTTGTTGCATGTTTTTTCTTTGTTGTCGTTGAGTTTGCGTTCCTGCAAACACAAAGAGTCGATGGATTGGTCCTCGCCTTCGCTCTTGTGTTGTTGCCACCCAATGCCCTATCAACAAGTTCGTTAGCACGAAGGAACACTGTTCAATTCAATTAAAATCAAATTGACAGGGTCTAGATCCGCTTGTCATCCTAACCGCATAAAGACGCACACAACACCGTAGCCAAATCCTAAAGGCCAAAAGGTCGAAGGCACAAGGCGCAAGGAAAACAAAGCACACAAAGAGAGACTGAATCTCTATTCTCCAACGAAAACATACGACCGCGACACCTTTTTATCTACCCAGCTGTTATTTTTATCATCTCCATCATGCCTCTTGTCCATCGAAGCACAGACGCGTATCTTTTTTTTATGCCACCCAGCATGGTGAGTTCTATTTCTGCTCTCACTGTCCCTTTGTCTTTTGGGCATAGCCCAAAGGTCGGCATATCCGCACTACTCCTCTGCGCCACGGATAAGCCATCAAAAGGATGAAAGAACAAAACAATGCCTCCTCGGCAGGTCTTTTTCTTTCATTGCCGTGGTTGGCCGCCACTTTTCCTCGAACAGGCCTTTTTCTCAATGCCGCATGAAAACCTGCTTGTATAATTATGTTTGATCCCCTATATGCTTGTGGGACGCGTTTCATAGAAGAAGCAATTGAAACGTCAAGGTGTCAAGGTGTGTGTGCGTGCTTAAAAGTATGTGGGCAGTATGTGGGCATGTGTGTGATGTGAATGTAATCAAAGCATCGAATAAGTGAGCAAAGTGACTGCCTTTTCCAACAAGCAAACGTGCTTGGGCGTCAGAGCTGGTTTCAAGACATCTCGGAAGTCCCACTTCGGAGATCTGCGCTTTTGTCGGTAACTGAGTGTTTGTTGACCTTCAACAAGGTTGATTCTTCTTCTTCTTCTTCTTGCTTCCACATCCCTTCCTCCTTCATTCATAGCAAAGAACGAAAGGATCAGGAGTTCATTCCCCTTCTCCTGTACAACACATCCACTCCCTTCTCAGCAATGGTCTGCACAAACGCGCTCTCGTCCTTGCTCTCCAGGGCGTTGGTCCGCGCCACTGCGCACTCGGCCTCACCCCACACTACCCGCTCTCTCTCAACAAGAACCCTCAACACCCTCCGGACAAACAACTTTGCGCGCTCCACTCCTCTCGGTGCCTCATGGACTAAGGCGACCCCTTCTACTTTCTCGACAACTCGATCCGCTGCTCTCATGGTCAAGGCTCGCTTTCAGTCCACAGTCGCAGCCACCTCGGGATCCACAACCGCCACCACTACAGCTGCTACAAGAACTGCAGCTGCAAACGCAGTAGCGGCAGCTCCTGAGGTTGTTGTCAAGCCTATTGTCGGTTACTGGATGATGACAATCACTGCCATGACCTTTGGAATCGTTGTTGTCGGAGGAATGACCCGTTTGACCGAGAGTGGTCTGTCGATCGTTGAATGGAACCTGATCAAGGGCATGAAGCCTCCCCGCTCCCAGGCCGAGTGGGAGGAAGAATTTGAAAAGTACAAGCAGTTCCCGGAATACAAGATGTAAGTTTGCTTGGATAAGGACTCGCCTGTTGCCTACTCAATGCCTCATCAGCTAAATCGATACCCGCTCAATGCCAGTTACTTGGATTACGCCCATTAATCCTCCGGAAACTCAAATGATAACAAACAATCGATCCGACGAACTAATAACCTTCCGATTTTGTCTTTAGTTTGAACCATGGCATGACGCTTGAGGAATTCAAGCGCATTTTCTACTATGAATGGTCCCACCGCATGCTTGGTCGTGCCATTGGTGCTGCCTTTATCTTGCCCGGTCTCTACTTTGCCTCTCGCGGAATGCTCTCCAAGGCCATTGCGCGTCGTTCTTGGATCATTGGTGGGTTAATTGGTTTCCAGGGTGCTCTCGGATGGTACATGGTCAAGTCTGGATTGGATGAACAGCTCATGAGCACCCCTGGAGCTACCCCTAGAGTCTCGCAGTACCGCTTGGCTGCCCATTTGGGCAGTGCTTTCTTGATCTACGCTGGCGCATTCATGACCGGATTGAAGGTCCTCACCGACTACAAGATCTCCAAGGGTGCCTATGAGGTAAGAATTTCTTGTGGAATTCTTTGACTAATTATCCGCCGCTTGCTGGGTCGGAACGATGTACTAAACTATTGCTTTCAATTTTTAGTCCTTGGCTTCTGTTACCAACAACCCCATCTTGAAGCGCTTCAAGGGCGCTGCTCACGGAATTGTTGCTCTTGTTTTCTTCACCGCCATCTCGGGAGCCTTTGTTGCTGGATTGGATGCTGGATTGATCTACAACGAGTTCCCTCTCATGGGTGGTCGCTTGATGCCCCCAGTTGGCGAGCTCTTTGACAGCAAGTTCGTTCACGATAGTGATCATCCCACTGTTGGTCTCTGGAGAAACATGTTTGATAACCAGGTCACCGTCCAGTTCAACCACCGTGTCCTTGTAAGTCTTTTTTCTTGCATTGTATATGTCAATGAAAAGGTTGAAATGATTCTAATTCTTCCTTTCCTCCTTCATTGCTTTCCCCTCATCTCTTCTTTATTTTCTCTTTCACTCTCGATTTCATTGTTCTTTTTTCTCCCTCGCTTTTCTTCCTTCGTTATATGAATAGGCTACCTCTACCTTCACTGCCGTCTCTGCTTTGTTTTTGTACTCGCGCAACTTGCCCTTGCCTCCTCAGGCCCGCTTGGGTGTCAACCTGTTGATGGGAGTTGCCTGTTGCCAGGTCGGTCTCGGAATTGCTACTTTGCTCTACATGGTCCCTGTCTCTCTTGGAACTGCTCACCAGGCCGGTTCCTTGACCCTGTTGACCTCTGCCATGTACTTGATGCACACTCTTAAGAAGGTTCCCGTTCTCAGGAAGATCCCTTTGAAGTAGATGTAATAGATCTACTATTGCCTAACACCATGTTACATACACATACACACACACACGTACATACTCTTCCCCATTTCTTTTTTATTAGCATCTGTTTTTCTTTCTTTTCCGAATGAATATTATCACCCACATATATATGTAACTATGGCATGCATATTGTTATTTTCTTTTTCATATTTTTCGCTGTGGGCGTAAAAAAAAAAAAGAACGAAGGAAGGAAGGAAAGAAAGAAAGGACCAATTCATGAGAAGACGGTCCGGACCCATTTGAGGGCATCCGCCTTACTATTGAGTGAAACATGGAACAAGCAAAACAACAATAACAGCCATGCAAATAGATCAGGTCCCGTAGTCAGATTTCCTGAGCTGCGTTTATGTTCTGTACCTAGCGTGGGAAATGAAAGGGTCGAGAGGGGGAGGATTGGATTTGTAGTAGGGGGTTGACTAGACTACGTAAGAGGAACCTGGTGTGAACAACGCGTACCCGTTAGTGATTCGAATGAGCGGCCAGTGTAATTTGAGCGCAGCCCCGTTTGGATACAGTTGATGATGGAGACAAGATTGATCTGTTGAGTTTATCATATCTGAGTGATCTATCCAGGCACAGGGGGTCAGAAATGGGGGCTGTGATGAATGATTTCCATATCCAGCTATGAACCCGTCACATCTGCACAAGAGAATCAATCATTCTTCTTGAGTCTGTTCTGACAGACGATGGATTATCAGCTCACTCACAGATCAACATCCGCGTCATGTGTCGTCGTTGGTGTCCTTAAATACGTTGTCCCTTCTTTCCTTTTTCTTCTTTTCTTCTTTTCTTCTTTCTTTCCCACACACACACACACACACACACACACACACACACACACACACATCTCTCTCTCTTTTCAAGGACGACACTGCCCTCTCTTCACACTTTCACCCAACACCCAAACAACAACACATACACATACAACAATGGTTTACCTTTGGTTGAGAGCTGAGACTAAGGCCATGGAGCACCGCGCCGCCCTGACCCCCTCCACCTGCAAGACCCTCCTCGACCGTGGCTTCAAGATCACCGTCGAGCGCTCCCCCGAGCGCATCTTTGACGACGAGGAATACGCCAAGTACGTCTCCTCTTTTTCTCTTGACTTGTTTAGTCTTTGATAGTCTGTACACGACATGGTTCATTAACACCGTTTTTCTTTTCCCTTGCTCCCCCTTCTAATAAATAGGGTCGGATGCCATATGGTCCCTATTGGCGAATGGCGCAAGGCCCCCAAGGAGGCATACATCGTCGGATTAAAGGAGCTCCCCGAGGGCGAGACCGACCCCCTCCACCATACTCACATCTTCTTTGCCCACTGCTTCAAGAACCAAGGCGGCTGGACCGAGATCCTTTCCAGATTCGATGAGGGTCAGGGAACCATCTTGGATCTTGAGTTCTTGAATGACACTCACGGCCGTCGTGTGGCTGCATTCGGGTACCATGCTGGATTCGCTGGTGCTGCTATTGGTGTCGACGATTGGTGTCATCAGAAGTTGAACCCCGGTCAGGTCTTGCCTCCTTATAAGCCCTTCCCTAACGAGGAGACACTTATTTCGCATATCAGGGAGCGCTTGGGTCGTGCTGGTAAGTTTTTTGCGGAAGATTATCTTGGCATCTTCTTTGCTCTCGTTTTTCTCTGTCGCATCCTTTTCAATAACGTGCCGGATGGAGACGGTCCAACCTTCTTTTCTTTTCCCTTCATTTCATCGTTCTCCAAAACCTACAAAAAAAAACAATGACTAATCCTTCAATATCTCTCCTCTATTCATCCCTCCCTTTACTCCTATAGTCGCGTTGAACAACGGAAACATTCCCGAGGTGATGGTGATGGGCGCATTGGGACGCTGCGGAAAGGGCGCCTGCGATTTCGCACGCGCCGTCGGCATCCCCGAAGAAAAGATCATCAAGTGGGACATGGCCGAGACCAAGGAAGGTGGACCCTTCCCCCGCATCCTCCAGGCCGAGATCTTTGTCAACTGCATCTACCTCAACCAACCCATCCCTCCCTTCTTCACCCCCGCCATGTTGGACGGCGACCGCAAGTTGTCTGTCATCGTTGACGTCTCGTGCGATACCACCAACCCCCACAACCCTATCCCTGTCTACTCGATCAACACCACCTTTGACAAAGCTGTCGTCGAGGTTGTGACCAAGAACCCCTTGCCTTTGGAGGTCTGCTCGATTGACCATTTGCCTACCTTGTTGCCAAGAGAGTCGAGCGAGGCCTTCTCGAGGGATTTGTTGCCTACCATTATTGACCTTGAGAAGCGGGAGGAGAGTGCTGTCTGGGGTGGTGCTGAGGCCCTTTTCAGAGAGAAGGTTCAGGCTATGCGCTCCGTCCGGTAAACTGCTGGCCCTTCATCCTTTTTCACAACCAATTGTAAAATAAACATTCCTCACACTCATCTTCTTGATACACAACCGTTTCAATTATCCCCATGTAAAGAAGCCATTCTTATTTCTCTTGTTGATTTCTTCTGGACAGCGCCCTTCCCTTGTGCAGGATGAATTGACGGCTAGGAAAACTGCAGCATTGGAGAATATATCTTGTCTATTGTAATGTTGACTGAGTTGTAATGAGAAGATATGATAGTGTCCGTGGGACTGGAGCCTTGAAGATCCGCTCATTAACGTAGGCAGGAACGAGCGAGCCAAAGCAAAGAAGGTCGTCGGCGACGATCCACCAATGAGAAGATGGTGACTCTTCCAGCCAATGGAAGACCTTTGATTTTCGAGGGTGTGCCGGAGCGGATAACTATCACATGACGATTTCACTCCCTCCCCGCTTTGCCTTTGTTCGTCCTTCTTTCCCCTCCGGCTCTGTTCACTTTGCCGTTCACTTCTTTTCTTCAACACTTCACTCTCCCTTCTTCCTCCTTCTTCCTTCCTTTTTTCTTCTTTCTCGCCTCACAAACCAAACGACCGGAACTCTTTCAAGAACCGACACTTCTCTCCCTCACCACAATTCATCAACATCTCGCCACACTACCTTTCTTTGATGAGCGACAACGATACCACAGCACCAGGAGCACCTGAAGTAGACCCAGTCCAACAACTCCTGCAGTCCAACAATGGAGGTCAACCCATGTCAACCGAACAAAGAAACGACCGTCGTGAGGCACTCCTGAAGCGTCAGAGGGAATCCAGAGAGAAGGCTCAACAGATGTCTGCCGCCGCCCGGGCTAATGCCGCTCCCACATCTGCACCCGCCACCACCACCGCCACCCCTACTACAACTGCCCTTGCTTCAACAACCGCGCCAGCTGCACCTGCACCAGCACCAGTAGCAGCAGCGCCAGTAGTGGTGGCGGATGCACCAGTCCGAGAGAACATGGTCCAACAGGCAGTCTCGTTCCTGTCCTCGGCCAGCGTCCAGTCGGCCGAGGAGTCCAAAAAGACGGCGTTCCTGGAAAAGAAGGGTTTGACCCTCAAGGAGATTGAGCTTGCCCGGGCCCGAATGGCTGGCACTGCTGCCGCTGTAAGTTTTTTTTTCTGGGTGTAGTTGCAGTACTTTGGAAGAGAAAGAGAAAGAGAAAGAGGAAGAAGGCTACGAGGAGGAGAAATGGATCGGGTTGTAGCATTGGTTCGACGGCAATGTGGGGGAGAGAGTGAAGTGGGTGGGTGGGGAGTTTGACCCTGCCCAGCCGATACGAATTGAATAATGGATCCGGGGAATGGGATTACAAAGTTCGGAAGATTAACGTTTTTCTTCCTTTTTTTTTTTTTTTGATCGGTTGAATTTAGCCTGCTCCCGTCTCAACAGCACCCGTTGCTTTCAACCCTCAACAACAACAACAACAACCACAAGCACCAGCAACATACCAGGCAACAGGAGCACCACCACCAGTGCCTCCACGCACCTATGCTCCCGCTCAGGGATATCCTATCCAGCAACAACAACCCATGTACATCCCTCAACAGCAGGTTGCTGTTGATCCTAATGCATTCAAGAAGAAGGTTGTCTTGGCCTTGTTGATCTCGGGTGGCGTCACCGTCCTCGCCAGTGTCATCGTCAAGGTAAAGACGAAGCGAATGGAGGGATGAAAGAAAAGTTGTTTCGGAATTATGAAGAGATGCTTACTTTGTGGTACACACCTGCCTTACTGTCACTCTCTTTCTGATCTAAAAACTGACCACCTTTTCCCTTAATCCATAATACCTCCAACAGAAATTGATATACCCCATGATCCGTGGCATCACAGGCGCACGTCAATCATTGGCAGTTTCGCAGACCGAGATCTTGAGCAAGCTGAAGGAGAAACTGTTGGACTACAAGGAGTATTTGGTCGGGCTTCATCTCGGATCCAACCGTGCCCCCGTCGTCAAGAAGATTGAGGATTCCAAGGATGCTTCAGGAACTATTACTGACAAGGACGAAAATTCGAACACTAGCAAGAAGACTACCATCGAGGATGTGGAGGAGGATGGTACTTCCAAGGCTGTCATCAAGACTACTACAACCACCACCACTACGACAAAATCAACAACAGCATCAGGAGCACCATACGTCTCGACAGTTAAACAACTGGATGCCTTCTCCCAAAAGCTCGAGTCGCACTCGAACCAGCTCAACTTTGAGCAGCTCAAGGCGACCCGCGCAATGGCTCAGGACCTGGCAGAGTACATCACCAAGGAGACTTACTCCCTTTCGACCTCGATCGCCTACCCAACCTCAAGATACTATGGCTACAACACAGGCGCTGCCGCTGCATCCGGTAAAGCTGGTGGCCTGGCGGATCCTACTACGCCCGAGAGCGCATTGAAGAGCGAGATCCGGTCGTTGAAGGGTTTGTTGCTCAACTGGAGGAATTTCCCTGTCGCCAAGGACGGTGGTGCCGGCGTTGGTGGTTTCTCTTCTCCTGTTCTGCCCAACTTGGTCCAGCAGCAGTAAAAAAAAAAAAAATCACGCCTGCGGCAATAAAAATATACACTACCTTTTCTTTTCATTCCTATCTACCTCTATTGAAATGTCGGAAGTAATAAAAACTTGACCATGTCCGTGTTCGTTTTCGTCCTTTTATTTTTATTTTGTTGGAGACCCCCTATTCTTCTACGATCATCCTACTTTTCCATTATTTTTCAGAGGCGGATGGACACTGGAGCATAAAAGATTAGGATTAGCGTTTTTAATGTCGATCTTATGTAAGCTGTACAAAAGTTTCAAGGGATTGTTCTTTTCTCTATAGAAGTGTGTACGCGAGATTAAGAAAAAAAAAAAAAAGAAAAAAAAAATAGTGAAGGAAAACAAGGTTATGAAAAAGGGGGAAAGAAAGAAGCAAAAGAGAAAGTGGGGGGGTATTTCAACAATCTTCCCCTGTCTCAATGAAACGCGTCATGTCAGTCAATCGCGTAATTTTTCAGAGGAAAATGTTCCATTGTACAAAGCATACTAGAGGCGGCAAGTAGACGAAAATAAGACAAGGGTAATCAATACGTTTTTTTTTTTTTTTTGTTCTCGTTTGATGTGTCTTCTAAGAAAGACGGATTTATATAACAAAAACAAGAAAGAAAAAAAAAAAGAAAGAAAAAAAAATAAAAAAGAGATATGTAATATCGAAGGGTTGTTATGTTCACGGTATGTGTGTGTGTGTGTTGTTTTTGGTGAATGTTTTACGTTATGCGTTGTTTTTGGGTTTGTTTTGGTCATAAAAAAGATAAAAATGGGGTAAAAAGAACAATAATAATAATATGCCAATCAGTCCACAATGACGGAGCGCTCCATGTCGCGGGCAAGGGTCTGGGGGTAGTGATGGGTGCCTTGGCTGACACGACTCAGACGCCCACCAGCTCGGGAGGGAGTGTTGGGAATACTTCTTGCCGCTCCTCCAGAAGGAGTGCCATGGCCTTGGAGAGGGACCTTTCCAGAACCATAAGGACTATGTAACATCACTGGGCTTGCGGAGTAACGGTGCGACATTCCAAAGTAGCCAGGAGATCCGGGTGTGGGCAGCTGGCCAACGCTCATGGCTCCAAAGGCAGGACTCTGGGTCAATTGAGACTGGTCGAGTCCCAGCATCTCCTTCTTGCGAGCGCCCGCTGACGCACTGTGGTGCGGGTAGACTCCAAATGACCGCCGACGGAGATGATTAGGTCGGAGCAAGGTCCCGCTTGCGGTCATAGGGGATGGAGACGCAAAACGATGTGTCTGCTGCTGTTGCTGTTGCTGTTGAAATACTGCTGGGATCAAGGCCGCAGCACCATCAGACCGTCTGCGGGCGTGCATCGCAGGTCGAGACCAAGACGCCGACATGCCAGGGGTTGGTGGTGGTGGGATACTAAGTTTACGGCGACTGGTGCGACGTTCCTGAGCTGGACGATCGTCACTGCTGCGCTGACCAACAGCGCCCGTCGAGGTCTCCAAGGTCTCTTGGCGCAGACCACTCGTGCCTCCTCCATTCCGGCTGCCACGGGAGCTACCGCTGCCATTGCTGTGGCTGCTATGGCTATCCTTATCGCTACCACGGCTCATCAACACCTTGGTGCGGAGTTCAACTGGTGCAGTGGCAGTGGCAGCGGCAGCAGTAGTCGCCGCAAGGCCTCGCGGGGACATGAGCTTCCTCTGCGAGACCTCGTTGACCTCATCCCTCCAGTTTTGAACCGCCGACCGCTTGTCGGAGGACCCCTCATAGTCCACAACAACTCCATCCTCCTCAGCTTCTTCCGCCGCCGCCTGTCTACGCAACGAAGAAGTGCTGGACTTCAACTTGGTAGGTGTGGGGACAGCTGAGCTTCGCGGCTTGGAGACCTGCTGCTCTTTGGGAGAAGGCGACGACATTGAGTATCCAGGCTGAGATCTCAACCGATGAGGTGTTGGTGGCATTGCAGGGATGGTGAAGCGAGAGAGAGGCGACTTGGGAACAACTTGTCGCAATTGCCGTTGGCGTCCCAACTGTTGACGGTGGCCGCTCATGCTCCCACTGTCAAGACTGCTCTGGCGTTTGCTGTTATCCGTGACATCCTCAGGGTCGCACTCGTTGGCATCGAACTCATCCTCCTCATCGCCATTATGCAACGACTCTTGGTTCAACTGCTCCAATTGAGCTCGCTGCTCAATCCACTCGCTTTCGTAATGCTGCTGCTGTTGCTGGTAGTAGTCATCCTCGTATCGGTAACCTTGTTCATCCTCATACTCAAAGTCCTCCTCATCATCCTCGCGTCGGCCATGGGCCAAGTAATTCCGGCCATAGTTGTCCAAGAGATCGCCCAGGACCATGGGAGCCCGTTCTCGCTCCTTGACCTGGATCGCACCTCCGTCGAACCACTCCAGACGTTTGCACGACTTGAGGATCGCCGATCGGTAGACCGAACGCTTGACATACATGGCATCCGGGAGAGATCGCCGGAATCCAACGTCGCGTCGGCGCCAGTCCAGCTCGGTCTCTGAGTTTTGGTTGGTTCGGTATGTGTCCTGGTACTTGGACCCTTGGCGAATCGACATGGCTGGGTACATGTTTGATGTCAATGGATTGTGCCTATTTCAATGATAATGAATGCAAGCTGTGTTAATAATGCTGAGACAAATCCACAGCCGCGGATGAACAATACACATAGCATATAAGGCTTACCGAAGATCGAGTGTGACCAAGGACCGCATGCGCTTGACAAGGGACAACACGTCGCTGAAGCTCTTGAGACTGTTGCCCACAAAGATCAATCGTCGAAGGCGGTGCAGACCATCCAGTGCTGCAAGCGAGTCCAGTCCGTTATAGCTCAGGTTCAAGCCTCGCAGATTGGGGAACAAGGTCGAAAAGTCGATCGGCAGCTCGGAAAGGCAGCCGGCACAGATCTCCAAGTACTCGAGACGATAGAAACCCATCTCAAAGTCCAAGGCGTGGATTGGGTTGCCAGAGAGGTAGAGTTTTCGGCTGTTGATAAACTCTGTCATGTCGATGGCGATACCCTCACCCTGCTGGTCGCGAGCCGAAAAGTTTTCGAGGCGGGTCAAGGTCTGACAATTCTCGAGCGACTGAAGGCGGTTGTCGTCCAGGTAGAGAGTACGGAGACCTGGGAACGAGTCGGCATTGAAGGTGAGCAGCTTGTTCTCTGAAAGACGAAGGATCCGGAGACGACGGAGAGGCTGCACTAGGCTGATATCCTCGATGCAGTTGTGGGCCAGGTTGGCATGGATGAGGCCAGCAAGCGACTCTAGGTTCTCGAGCTGCTCGATCTTGTTGTGGGAAGCGTTCAGGAACTCGAGTCGCTGCAACTTGCTCCATCGGAAATCCAGGCTGGTCAGATTGTTGTGTGAGACATCCAAGCGAATCAACCCATCCATTTGCTGCAATGCCGAGACACTCTTGATGTTGTTGCCTTCAGCAATCAGCTCGCGCAAGTGAACAAGGCTCGACAGCCCTGTGAGGTCCTCGATGGCGTTGTGAGAGATATCCAGATACTGCAGGTTGGCGAGATGGCTAAAGTTAGTCAGGTCGCTCAACAGGTTAGATCGCACCTGCAGGGTCTTGACAGACTTGGGAATTCCTGTCAAGTAAGGCACCTGGTTCTCGTTCAAGATCAACACCTCCAAGTTGGGGACGAGATGGTTCAGACGAATAGTACTCTCAACCTCACGCTTGGTCAGATCTAGGGATTTGACTTGATCCCATTCATCCCAGGGGTGGAGACCAGTGATGTAACGAATTAGCTCGCCCTCGGCGTGGCTGAATGATGACTGCTCGGCCATCATGCCTTGGTTGAGGTTGGGGTTGGAGGAGGACCGCGAGAGGCTGGTGTTAGGTCCATACCGAGAAGAGTCCGCGTTCGATGCTGTCTCGATCTGGTTCTCCCACTTGAGCGAGTGTTCGCCGCGACGCCTTGGCTTGGAGGGCAATGAGACCGCCGTCAAGAAATCCGAACCAGCGCCTTCGTCGTCCGTCTGGGGCTGTCTGCTGGAATTCGACTTCCTTGATGTCACCCTGCTCTCCTTTGCGTCGCCCACCGTCTCGAATGATGTGTCTAAAAGTTTTCGAAGCGCACGATATTACTGGGCGTTAACAATCGACTCATATAATCGCCATGCTACCACAAATGAACAGCCTTCTTTCGCAGCATCTGTAAAACTTACCAAAGTTAAAGTTCTCAAGACTCTTGAAGGCGTTCTCCATGCCTCGGGAACCGGCAAGTGAGTCCAGGTCGTCCATGTCAAGCTCGATGTTGGCCTCCTTGTCACTGACATCCTCCTCATAGCGATCTTGTCCGTTGGTGTTCACGGGTGACGTGGCGCTGGAGGGAGTAAACTTGACTTCCCGCTTCCTCCGGTCATCCAAAGGCTCGTCCAGATCCGCTCCTTCAGTTTGCTCAGTTACTTGACCAAGGCCTGAACCTGTAGCCAAGGATCGTTCGATCTTCTTTGAAGGCGGCGAGGAAGTGTTCTTGAACGACATCTCCGATCCCGATCTCAAAGCGATGTCTGTTGCGTTCGCCAAATCCTCCACGAATGAACTCGACTGCTTGCTCAGGCTCTTCTGGGCCAGGGCCGTAATCTGTTTGGTGCGAGCAGGGTCGCTCTCTCCATCGATCCGTCGGTTGGTGGCGTTGGCAGATCCTGATCGCACCGTCAAAGAGGTGGTCCTCTCTGTGGGCTGTGGCGTCATATCAGTGTCTTCGGAAGTCGCCATGCCAGTAACAGAGAGGAGTCCAGTGGTGGCATGGGACTTTGAATTGACGTTGTCCGGCAGGATCCTGTTTATGCTCTTTTTGGACGAGACAGCGTCCGTAGCAAAGAGCTCGGCGACGGCACCGGTTTTAAGGGCCGAGAAAACATGGGCGAGCTCGTGCTTGTTGATTCCCTCGAGCTGGGCCTGGAATCCCGCAGAACCAAGAGTCGATCCTGAAAGACTGTCCCGATATACGCTGTCCCTTGATGTCGTGCTGCCGCGATCGCCAATCTCCGTATCCTTGGAGCCCTATGAGTTCATAATAAATGAGCGCAGGAAAATAGAGAATTAGAACAGTATTACGATCAGGTCGTCATAATACATTCATATACATCAAGAGTTGTAAAGTTACACATACCTGAGAGCGATGACGAGATCCATATGAGACTCGTGACGATCGAGACGAAGGGGGGATGTTGGAAGGAGTCCTGCTGGGAGCCAACGCTGTTTTGATCGACAACTGGTTCTTCTCAGCCTTGGGGGGAAGGCTTCGATCGTCGTTGGGGTCAATGGTCATGGCCGCCTTGATGATCGCCTGTCGCTTCTGCTTCAAAAACGCCTCCTGAGTACGCTTGAAAAGCAGACTGGCGGCCGAATCGGAAGATGGGCTGGGGATATCCTCGGGGCCGTCCTGAAGATCTCTGGAAGGAGAAAGAGCCGCAATGCTCTGTTTCGCCTTTTCGTACTTGGCCTGACGTGAGGGTGTCCTAACAGCGCCGTTATTGCTCAAGTCCCGATCGTTATGGAGGGCGTCGTGAAGGTCACCAAAAGAATCCTCTGCCGACTGTGGTTGAGCGGCGATTGGGCCATGATCCGCCAACTGCTCCTTTTGTGTCTGGTCATCCAGCAGGTCGATAAAGATGTCGTGGAGTTTGGAATCCCGCCATGGACGGTTGACATTGTCGTTCTGGCTGATGATGCGATCCGATGCTGGAGACTTTCGGATGTATGTGCTGACAAAGGAGGTGCTGCTGTTGTGGTCGCCGTCGCTTTGGCCGTTCTCTGGATCCTGTGCAGCGCTTCGAGAGCGAGAAGGGCGAGGGCTGGTGGTTTGTCGTCCTGAGCGTTGTGACTGTCCGGATGATCTTCCATTAACGGCGGAGGCTGACTTCTCTTTACCCATGTGGGCGTAACCATGGGAAGGTGTGTTGTGTTTTTCGTTATTATTGTTAGTGGTTGAATTGTTTTTGAAGGGGTGGGTGTTGTCATTATTTTTGGTGATATTTCTATCGTTTTGTTCGTTAAAGTGGTTGATGGTAGTTGTGGTGTGGTCGTCAGTGTGGGGTTCCTTCGCTTGGTCGTCGTCAATGCTGTCCATATCCCAACTGCCGTCCATGACATCTGGTGGGGTCTCGTCTGAAAGAAGCCTCATTGGTCCAAGGTTCATATGCTTGTCCGAGAGGTGCGATTGCCGCCGCTCCCAACGTACGGTTTGGCGGTCCGCATCGGCGTCTTCAGCGATTTTGATCCAGGCGTCCTTTGTTTCCTGCGATGCCCACATAGTCTCTTGTTCCTGGTCCTGGTCCTGCTCATATTTTTGTCCGTATTGTCCGTAATCGTTTTCCGTTGCAACCACTATTGTTTCAAAAAGTGAGATGGATGTGGTAATCGGTTAGCGCGAAATTAGGGCACAAAAACCTCCTTGTTTGATGGGTGTTAGATAGAAAATAGCCATGGATCAAGGGTGTGTGCGGTGGATGGGGGTGGAGGGGTTATGATTTGGGTGGGGAGTAAGAGGGGATGCGGGAAGAACGCACAGGGAGCGGACAATTGGAACAAGTAATGTTGAGCCGCACAGAGAGTAAGGTGGTCCATATGCCTCGATGGTGTGAGCAAGAAGGTGGCAGCAGTTGTCTGTTTTTCCATGTGTTATTTTCTTCTTTTATTATGTGGTGCAGATGGGTCGGCACTCCAGACACACGGATATATGTTGCAAAGTGGTGCAAGTAGCGTTGGGTACATGGAAATTAGAATGAACCACACATAACATGAAAATGGAGAACTGACTGACCTTGTCCACGAACGTATCGAACCTCGCCAAGCTTCTGCTGTCGCTGAAGCAATTGAAGTTGCTGTTGCCTCTGTTCCTTTGATGATGAGAGGGACGACTCGGTCAAGGTCGGAGATACTGCAACGGGCGACGACCTTTTGATGGGCGTGGATTGTTTTTGATGTCTGTTGGTGGCGGCGGTCGAGGGCCTTGGCAGGGGTGCTCGGAGCATGATTGGGCGATATATGTCAGTCAATTCGTTTCCTTGTGGACGGACGGGTTGAGATTTTGTCGTTCAGGGACGAGGGACTATCGCACAAGCTGCGCGCAGATTGCGATCACAGAAGTGAAGGGGGAAAGAGAAAAGAACGCCGGACGAACCTAACAATGAGGGATGAGGTTGGAGGCGAGAGGAGGGTAGAGTGGTAAGAGGCGAGGTCAATTAAAGAAAAAAGGGCTGAGGGGCAGGCAGGCAGGTAGCAGTGGCGAGGAAGTGCGGGAAAGTGGCAAAGAGGGTGAAAAAATAACAATAACAACAGTAGAGGTGGCAAAGCCAGGTGTGAACAAGTGAGCGGGAAAAGAGCGTGTGGAAGGAGGGAGAGGAGGAAGGTGGGATGGAAGGAGCGCGGGGCGTAGTGAATTGGACTACCTGCAGGGCCTGCAGACAGTCGTTGGTATATATATATTTTTTTGGCTGGGCGAAGAACTTGGAAGGGAAAGGGGTGATTACGATTTGATTATGAGCGAGGTTGTTGTTTGATGGTGGATGGTTGATGGCGATGGTGATGTGATGGGTGGTGGAATGAGAGATAGAAGGGGAGAGAAAGAGAAGAGAGATAACAAGAAAAACAAGAAGAAAAAAAAGGTTGTGCGGTGTGACAAAAACAACAATAGCAGCAATTGGCGCACAACAACAATAACAACAACAATAGGCGAGGAGGACTCACAAACAAATAACAAAAGAATATATGGACAACAAAAAAGAAAAGGGGGGGTGGATCGTCGTTTCGAGAAGGGGAGTGATGAGGACGGATGGAGGAAAGGGGGATGGAAAAGGACTGAGGGTAAGGAGAGTAGTGAATGGGGTTGGAGGATCGAGGAATAAGATTAAGAGTAAAGAATAAGTAAAGGGCAAGAGTGGAAGGGAGGAAAGTCAAAGAGGGGGAGACGACGGACGGGCAGAGACGGACAGACGAGAAAAGAGCAAAGGGAAGGAAAAGAGAAAAGAAAAAAGAAGTAAAAAAAGAAAAGAGTGGCAATATCTGATGGTAGAGAGAAGGGTGATGGACGATGGTTCGTGAGGTTATTTAAAGTGTTATGTAGGAGATGGCCCTGGCTTGTGAAAGTAGCATGTTATGAATGAGGGATAAAAGGGGGAGGGGAAACAAGATGAATGGGGATGAGACAAAGAGCAAGCATGGCTGCACTATTGCCACAGACTTCGAAGAATAGAATAGATAGATATAGACAGCTCTAATGCTGCTGCTTATGCCCTCCAATGATTTGAGATGACAATGCTGACGATGCAAGGAATGAATCTGTTGCCTACATGGGATATATCTCCGGTGTGTTGGAGAGTATTACGATACATATATAGATAGTGCTATTTTACCTTCTGCAAGTGAGGTTTGGAGCGTGGCCCTGGACTTTTTTCAATGTCAATGGGTAAATCTCTTTGGCTTGGCTTGGCTTGGCTTCTTTTTTTGTCGTTTCTTCAGTGCGTGCACACTTTCCGATCCAATCTGGCCAAGGATAGTCAAAAGAGAGAGAAAGAGGCGGACAGAGGGGAAGTGAAGGGACCACTTTGGAGAGCGGGGGCAGGAGTGGAATTAAATCAAACAGGAGGAAGAGGAGGAGGGGGAAGAGAATATGAGATGGAGTGTCGAAAGGGAACGAGAAGACGAGGAAAGGAAGGGTAGAAGCTGGTCTAGAGAAGGGTAGGAAGGAGAAGGAGAAGGAGTTGAAGGCGATATGTGGGAGTGGGTTCGTGTCGATTGTTGTTGGTTCGTGTGCCTGGGGAAGGGGACAGGGTGTGGATATGTTCCTTATGTTCCTGTCTAGAAGAGGGAGACAAAGGGGTTCCGGGTCTGGTTGGTCTCTGTTCAATTCGTCGGTCCTGCTGTGGTCTTAAGTCGTAGATTGTATCTCTCTCTCTCTCCTTGTCGTCTTTTTTTTTCTTTTGTTTCTTTTCTTTTGTTTTTTGGATGCGTATGTCTACCGGAGCAAGGGGACAGCTACAGAGGACAAAGCGTTGTACTAAAGTGATAAACGAAGAAGTCGAAGAAGAAGGGGCCTGACTGTAGCCAAGTGAATGGACAGCACAGGGATGACAAAGAGGCGAGAGGAAAAGGGCACGATGACAAGACGGAATGAATGAGCGACTTGTCGAGAAGGGAGGGTGAAAGGGTACGAGGAGAGGAGAGAGTAGGGGTTGGCAGGGGACAGAGGACAGAGATAGAGACAGACAGGGAACCGAGAGGGTGTCGGAGGGAAGGGAATAAGAAAAAAAACAAAGAACAAAGCGAAGAAAAGGGAGCAGCAGCGCTGAAAAAGAAAAGAGGACACCTCAACCCTTTTCCTTGCCATGGTCATGGCACTCTCTCCATTCGATCATACAATCCAGAAATCCTTATTTCGACAGGCTCAAGTGTGAATTTGGTTGTGCTCTTGCTTACTCTCCATTCTCCCGTGCATCCTCGCCCATATTCCTGTTGCGTTCTTTTGCTCTAGTCCGCGGCCGAACAACGGACACATCAACGGATTATGGCACAACCATCCTGTCAACTTCCAAATGATCCAATCGACTTTGTTACGCCCTAAGCCTTCAAGGACCGACAGGCATAATTGGATCGATTAGATGGGCCACAAGTTGAACAGCAAAATGCGCCTGTCTGTCATGTTGTCTCATTGTTTTGCGTTTTTGGACAGAAGAGTACCAAACCAACAGGCAAAGCATTGGTCATTTCCCCATGTATGAGAGCCGTGAGCACCAAATCGTAATTTTCCTCATGCCTCTTTACTTCTCTTTTTTCTTTCTCTCTGTACAGTACCTTCCGCCTCGGACAAATTATACTAGTGAACCGGCGTTTCAAGGGTAGCTTCTCTCCCTCCTCTCCTTTACTCCTGTTCTTTCCTTAAACCCTTTTTGTTCGTAACCATGATCAGGAAATGAACTTAAAGGCATGAATTTGAACGAATCCCTGCCGGATGTCACTTTCGCATTGTCCTTTGCCTTGGCGCAACCTAACAAACAGTAAAAAAAAAGACTGACCATGTTACATGCACCGAGCACGAGGTTTGGCACTTTGAGTGGCCTTTGCTTGCTTGTGCGACGAAAAAGAAACACACCCTTTGCAAGTAACCCCGCAGACAAGTCGTGCTCCTTGGCCAACTTTGGCCTAGACAGAGACATGCACAAAAGCAAAGCCTTGTCATGTATGTCCATCTTAACAACAACAGGGCTATTGGAAACCACACACATCACAGCCGGTTGATACTTCATCAGAACATCGTGTGATTGACCCTGTTTTTATTTGGTATCGGATAGTCTGGAAAGGTACGATGTCCCTCGTACCACACTACTCATGTATCACAATTCAAGGCAAAAGGGCATCTTATGTACTTGTTAACCCCTGCCTCTACTTTATTGAAGAGGGTCGATGCTCTGTAGCCCACCCCGTATAAAAATAATAAGGTCACTCACGTCGGTTCTGTTGATCTTGATACGAAGAGAATGGAGAATGTCTTTGTTGTTGACAAGTAGGGGTAGTTTCATTGCTCCGGTGATCGTTTGTTAAAAAGAAGAATGAGCCTCTATTTCTCTACCCTAGTCATTTGGTCGGTCAGAGAAGACAACGTTAAGATTAGGAGCGACTTCACTTTACTCATTGGGTTAGAAGAGCTAGCATAGTCAGTGAGGAGCCGCCCTGGATGTGTTAGAGCGCAAAAATTATGGGGAAGCAGAGAAGGATAGCACGCACGGGCCACGATCAGTGATCAGTACATAAGACTAACAAAGTAACAACTGATGGTGTCTGGTTGTCGACGGTCAGTGTTATGATAAAATGACCAACAATCGTCTCTACACATTTCATTTGGATGCGTGCTCGCTATTTTTTTTGCTGCTGGTTGTACTAAGGACAAAGTTTAGCTTGGAGCTTTATCCTTTAAACCCTCCGTTTGTCAAGACACCATGCTCCTTTGCCAATCGTCCTCTTGCAACGAGGGTGAAGGCAAGCCGGGGAGAGAATGAAAAGGTGCAAACTGCAAAAGAAAAGGCCTGTCAAATTTACACGCGAACTTTTGTCCATAGGTTGGGCATGTGCTTAAGGGGGCCGCTGATTTAAGGACGCGCAACGCTCGTATTGCGTATCTCTTGAAATGACAGTCCTTTTCACGTTCATGGAGGCGAATGGTGAACCTTCCCTCTTTACCATTCACACATCTACAACCCATCAACACAAGACACACCCTTACAATGGTATATCAACTCACGAACCAGGAGTAACCAGAGAAAACCAGGAACGCCCACCACCTCGTCAGACAAACATTACTAACGAGTCACTCCATCCCTAATGCATCGCGTTCTCTAGGACTTTTCCGAAGATCACCACCGTTACCAGTCAAGCGACGAGGAGGACTTTCAAGAGTCGGTCGATAAGGCCGTCACCCTGCCAAAACCAATCCTCCTCTGGCGCACAGATAATTCACCTACATCTACTTCAGCACCTTCTTCATCAGCAGCAGTCAGGACGTGCTCGACTTTGATTGTCGGCACGGCATTTGGTGGCAGTTCCTTGTTGCACACCGTTCAGGGCAAGACTTTGCTCGGCAGTTTGATCCTGCCTGGAGTGGATCTGGTACACACTTTCTCACCATGCACCTAACGTCCTTTTGTTCAGTTTGTTGAGGGTGAGTGGAGTACGCTAATATTAACTCAATTTGCTACTTTATGGACTTTTAGAAAGACAACTCGTTGGATGTGAACTCGCCTTCGAATGCAAGCTGCAACATCTACAGACTGGACGCCGACCCAACAATTCTTTTGATCCCCTGCAACTACGAAATCAAGGACAAGGATTCCTTGAACTTTGCCAAAGCTATCATGAACAACATCCAGGCCAGCAGGTTTGTTCTCTTGTCTTGGCTGTCGACCGGATGTGGCTATTTAATTTGTCTTTTGTTAATTCAACACGGGCACTAACGCGACACTCTCTGCATATGCCTGATAGAATCATTATCTTGGATACCAACTCTCCTTCAACTTACTTGTCAGGATCACCCGACACTGAATACAACTACCCTTGGTTGCGCCTTTTGCAGACAGCTGGATCGACCACCGTAAGAACCGAACCTCGCAGCCCGAAAACATATACGTTTACATGGACAGCCTCCTGCCTCGGTTTGATCACTAACATTGTTTATTTTCTCGTCTGTGCGTTTCTATGAAATAGGTTACCAAGATCCCTACGCTTGAAGTCCCCAACCTGGTCCAGAACCTCGGAGCCGCCTTGATGGGCTACGTAAGTTTTCACATACACACATCTCTCCAAAATGAAAACCAAATCAGCTATTGACAGCAGACAACAACAACACCTTTGCTAACGTTACCTTGCCGTCTCTCTCCTTCAACCTCTCCCATACGAACCATAACCTAGTGCGAAGTGCGTGGACTGCACGACACATACCTGCTGCTGAGTCTTCAGGAACATGTCTACGGGAAGGCCTTGGCCACAGCAGCAACATTGAGAGGATTGAAGGAAGGTCTTGCCAGTCTGGGCTGCCCCCTGGTCGCCAACGCCGTTGATGTCTCCAAGGCCGTGGTGCAGATCCAGGACAAGCGAGTTGGATCCAACAGGACCCGTGAAGATCGCATCTATGCCTAGAGATCTCTCCTTCTTTTCGCTGCTGTACATACTTAAAAAAATAAACACCCTTTGCAACATAATTGAAGGAGCATTTGGAATGAAAGTGGGCATAGGAAGAGGAAAATCAGTAGTATGACGGTGATAGACAAGTAAACCGAATTTGCTTGCTCCTCCTTACTCCTGATCCCATCCTAACACAAGCGTCTTGCAAGACATCCCTTTTGTCCTTCAAACCAGTACGAGTTTTTTTTATCTGCACCTGTGTTGTTTCTTCGAATGGATTGATTTGACCAAACTTGAATACAAACAAGCGCGGATACACAAGACGTGAAGAGGGGAGAGGGTAAAAGATGGATGTGCATTGAGGTAAGGGGGATCGCTCAAGATCGACAGATATAAGGGATCACAAGCACGAGTAGTTGCCAAGTTGTTTGCCAGGTTCTGGGCCGGAGGTGAGTAAGGGTGAGAGAAAGTGACGGAGAGTGACGGAGAGTGACGGAGAGTGTGGACAAGAGAGAATGTGTGAAATTGCTAGAATAGCATGTTTTTATTACAAGATGAAGAAAAAGGGGAACTATGACTATGAAGAAAATTTATAAGAATAATAACATGTAGAGATAGAAAAGGTGCAAACAGATGTAAAGGGAATAACATGTCAAGATAGAAGAGGTGCAAACATATGTTCACGAAACAGCAGGAACGACGAACGTGAATGCCGAAATGGAGAGCGCGAACAACTAAGCCCAAATCTTTCTTTTTCTGTGAGGATAAGGGAAATATACTTTTGTCACAAGCCTCATAGTTTTTGTTCCCGTCTGAAAGAAGGAAGGAAGGAAGGGTGGGAGAGGAAAAAAAAGTCCCGTTGATTTTTCTTTGTCTGATGCCTTCTCCGAGTGGCGAAGGATGGCGCCACCAACACATCCGTTCTCCAAGCATCAGTCATCAAAGGGGTCCATTTGAGTTGTTGGATCGAGTCGACCAATGAGATCTCAGAAGACACAGGCGATAGCACAATTCATGGTGCAATTTCACAATCGAGCAGCAGTCACGCAGTCGTGCTCAACAGAAGTCCCTTCTCGGACACATTGAAAGTGCAAAGAAACCCCGCTCGGACATCTCCAACTGATGGAATCAACGCAGCTCACTCAAAGTGAGTGAGTGTCCAGATCTTTTTATTGATATATCAATCATAAAATCCTTATTACTTCCTCTTTCTCTTCTCTTTTCTTCTTTCTTCTTTCTTCTTCACTTCTCTCCACTCTTCCTTCGACTCCAAGACATCAACACAGCAAGACACCTCCACCATCAGCATACGAACACTCACGCGCAAGCACAAGGACAAAGACTCGCAATCAAGGAACCAAACAACCAACAGCCAACACCAACCACGACGATCAATCACACCAACAACATGAACAACCCATACGACAGTCCCCCTGCCTCACCCCGGTACACAACCCTCGGCCTAAACTCTCCAACCCTCTCCTCCGCACAGCAGATCCACCTCCAACCTCCTTCTACTCCCTTCGGAGAGATCAAGCTGATCGGCGCTGGACCCGGTGACCCCGACCTGTTGACCATGGCCGCCTACAAGGCCATCACCAACTGGGCTGATATCGTTCTCGCCGACAAGTTGGTCTCCAAGGAGATCTTGGCTCTGGTGAAATGCCAGCTTTTTGTTGCGAATAAGGATAAGGGCTGCCAGGCTTCGGGTCAACAAGAGTTGTTTGAAAGGGCGACGCAGGCGTTGAAGCAGGGCAAGAAGGTTGTTCGTCTGAAGCAAGGAGGTAAGAAAGGATCTTTGTTGACGGGGTTTTGAAAGCCGATGAACGTGGGAGGCAAAAACATACAAGAACATTCAGTTTTTCTTGGATGGCAAAAAAGAAAGATCTTCATACTAAAACCTCGATGTTGAACGTCATGTAAAAAAATAGATCCATTCATTTTCGGACGTGGAGGAGAAGAGTTCCTATTCTTCCGCCGTCTCGGTTACGAAGCAACCATCGTCCCTGGTCTCTCCTCTAGCATCGCAGGACCCCTCCTGGCCCAGATCCCACTCACCCACCGCGGAATCGCGTCTCAGTTTCTCGTCTGCACAGGAACAGGAAAACTCGATACCATCCCCGACATGCCGGCCTATGTTGCCTACCGGACTACCGTCTTTCTGATGGCACTCCATCGACTCGAGGATCTGGTTCAGGACTTGATCAGGGCCGGGTATCCACTCGACTTGCCCGTCGCGATTGTCGAACGAGCCAGTGCAAAGGATCAACGCTGCATCCGGGCCACAGTCGAGACCGTGGTTAAGACACTCAAGGAGGCCAAATACAGACCTCCTGGAATCCTGATCGTCGGTTGGGCTTGCGATGCCCTGGCCCAGAACCCCGAGCAACTGGGAGGATTGACGGAAGGCTCTTCGGCAATCACGGACTCTCAGGAATAAGTTTTTTTTCCCTTTCTTTCAACTTTTTCTCTGCTTGCTTGCTTCTTTTTTTTTTTACTTTTATTTTAGAGCGCTTTTTTTGTATCTCTTATTGTAACATATCTCATATTTTGGCTCTCTGCACAAACCCCATTCGCTCGCTTTTATATCTATACCACGGAAACGGCCAGAGTCCTTTTGTTTTTTTGTGCTTTACAATCCATCCATTCTTTTCGCATTGCTTTTTAATCCCTCCGTCTCTCTTTCTCTTTCCAGCGGTAATTCCGTTTGTCCATATTTTTTTGTTACAAAACGCCGAACAAACAAACAAATAGGCAGAGTCCCACGTACATAGCACACCGAACATTATTAAAAAAAGAAAAAAGCAACAACAATAATCCAGTCCAAAGGTACCATTTCTTTTGCTGACCAACGGATAGAGCCAGCTTTGCCAAAGAGGTTTTTTTTGCAAACCAAGTCTGTGTTATTTGTGACGATCTATGCGTTGCAAAGAAAAACGATGGGTGTTCTGGCTCCCATCTCGTCGAGTGGTACGTCTCATCAAAACACAAAACAACGGGGAAAGAATATTTCCTTTCACTCTTTCTGGTTCGCACTCGCCCTGCACCACATATAAGGGTTGATCCTTTGTTTTTGCAATGTCGTGTCAGTCACTCACTGCCCTGTTGAAGGAACCTGAAAAGTGAATAGCCCAGCTCCCGTTAATGGAAAAACGTGCATTAATGTGAACGTTCATTTTTCTTAATGTTTGTTTCCCGATGTTCTGGTTGTTACTGCCGGTCCATTTCATTTGCATGCATAGATCGTTTCGAGTTGTCTTGTTTATTCGTTGTGAAGGAAGGTCACTTGAACGGTGTGTTTTGGCCCGGGTTCCCCTTTCTTTTCCCGTATATTTTTCCCAATAAAACAATAACAAAGCATAACAGTGAGAAAGAGAACTGCGTTGATAGTTTTACAATGGGAATATTCATACATTGGGTTTTGCTACCAAGAAGGAGCATATAAAAAAGGGCGCGCGTGTGTGGTGTGGGTGTATCCGTGTTTCTCCAGCTTCTACGCAATGGTATCTCTGACGCGACTCCTACTCCTCTCATACGTTAGCTAGGACGAGGAAGACGAGGAAGACCCTGAAGACGGTGCCAAATGCTGTTGGTTGGTAATATTGAGTCCTGCAGCAATTGAGCTGGGCGCACCTTGGTTGTTGGAGGGCCTGATCTGATCGTATGATGGTGGCTCATCTGGGAATCCCGTGGGGCTGCCTCTAGATCCTGTAGGCTGCAATGAGGGCAATGCTTGAGATGTCGACGAGATCGTATTGGATCCTCCTCGAGGATGGCTACTGCTGCTTCCACTACTGCTGCTATTACGATGGTGAGCCAACAATCCATCCTCATCACGGATCTGATCCACGTCCTCTTCTTCCTCGTCATCACCCTCGAGCAAAAAGTCCCTCATGTCGGCCTCAAGCTCCCTTCTGGTCTGTGCGCGGCGTCCGTTGGGCAGCATCTCCAGAGTGTCGTCGCAATCCTCTTGTCGGTTTCCGACCGTTGCACTCCTAACATTATTCCTGATCCTGGTGAAAGCAGTGCCCACAGCAGCAGTAGCTGCATTGCCGCCCTCGACCAACGATTCACTGATCTGACCCCAGCCTCCTGCAACTCTCCTTTGAGTGTCCTCAGCCAGCCGTCTCAAAATCGAAGCCTCGGCACTCGAATCCACAGGCTCCCAGATCTGTCGTCGTCTCGCCTCTTCGTTCTTGAGCATCTTGCGCATCGCCGCAAACATGGCGATCAGGACGACGATCATCCCGACCATCGTGATCCGACGTGACTTGACCTCTTCCTCGTGTTCTTTCTCGTACTCGGGCGTGAACTGACAAGTGTTGTTGTTGTTTGAGCAAGCCGACCCATTCATACAGGGCATCGTCGATTCGTCGCAGTACTGACCCGGGTATGCACGGTGTTTGCATGCCATGCCATGGTCCTTTGTTGCACCCTCAACGCGGCCACAGAACCAGTTCTGGTCATCAAAACACTGATCACATCTCAATACTGCACATCTGCCGGTAATACAGAACCATCCCTGGCATTCCACCGATGACCTGTCACTGCAGCATTCGTCTCCTCGAACTGTACATATCCCCACTACAAGCCGAGAATGAAACAAATGAGTGTAAAAGCAGCAAGTTAGTTGTATGTCTGAAACAAAAAATAGGTCCAAAAACATATCAAAACATGTCAGCTTGAGGAATGGTGATCAGTGTCGAGATTGGTGGCAAAAGGAAGACGACAGGCAAGCCTGCTTTTCTGGTACTGTGTTCCGCTTGCCTTCACTCCCTGTATCCTTTCGAGCCATGTGTAGGTGCAGAGCAATAATAGAACTCCTTGATTTGTCTTGCGCTGGTGGTCTCTCACACTCTATCATTCCTGCGGCCACATATGAGCAAAATGGTGTCTTGTTCATTTGAAACTTTCTGCTGCTGCTGCTGCTGCCTCTGATTGTTGATATTGCTGGTTGGTGTTTGGTGATAGATTAATTAAAGAGCGATGTGTCGTATGGGTACGTCTCTCTCTGTGTGAGTGGGCAGGGTGTCTACTGCCTGGCAGCCCAGGAGCTTGACTTACTCTCGTAAAAGTCGAACTGCCCCTCAGTTTCGACTCCAATGGGCCGTACGATATCTGCGCCAGTGTGGGCTGTGGCAAAGAGAAGGGTGAAGCAGAGCCAGATGAGGAAGAGGGATGACAGGCCAAATCTCATCTTGGGAAGAGGAGGGGTCCAATGCGAGTGCGAGGGCTGTTTCCTGCTGGTGAGGGATATGAGTGAGTGTGGATAGTCCATGGTTATGTTTCTGCTGTGAGGAGGGGAGAGCGTCCCAGTATATGTAAGTGTGTGTTTGTTGTTGTTTGAGAGAAAGAGAACACTTGGCGTTCCTCCTATGGAGAGAGGCGGGTGTGTTTTCTGCCTGTTAGCCTGGCTGTCTGTGGAGCAGAGATAGGTAGTGGCTGTACTAGGAGGTGAGGAAAAGAGGGTCCAAGGTGTGAGGAGAATAGAAATGGGTCGATGGGGATGAGGGGAAGGGTGTGGAGTGACAAGAAAGAGAGGGAGCGATGCGTAAAAAGAAAAGAGTAAGGAGGAGAAAAGGTCAGCCCACAGTCTAAAGGTGGTGCATGCGAAAAAAAAAGAAAAAAAAGAAAAGTGATGCGAAAAATGAAGGTCTCTACTTCTCACACCTCTCCCACTCACTCGCCGCTTCTTCTTGACAAGCTCCCCTTGACGGCAACCCAGCAACCCACCGACCCTGGCTCAGTGACGTCATTATATTCGAAAAAAAGTCCCCTTTACCCACTTTCGGGCAAACAATCCTCCCTGCTGCTCCCTGCTCCCTCCCTGCACCTTGCCGCACACAGAGAGTGGTTCCTGCACTTGTAAGTTTTTTCCCAGCCCACATTTCCTCCATGGCAAATGGCGTGACGTGCGATATCAGCTCGATTCGCCATTTTGACTCGCTCTGGGGGGAGGGGCAGTTCCTCCTTCTTTCGGGTTCAACAAAAAAAAACGTAAATAATGACGGGTCCATGTTGCGTAGTTTGAGTTTCCTCTGTTTGTCTTTGAGCTATCAACTGAACCACAGAAAGTACTTTGCAGCTACCCGTCGATACTGGAGGTGGCGAAGGCTAACTATTGGCAGTTGCGGACAATGACAAGTACTGACCCACGAACTCGACGTATAAAAAAACCACACCTCAATCACACAATAGGACCCATCAAATAATTACAACCGATGGATAACAACACTCAAGCTCTGGTCTTGCTGATCAAGCGTCAAGTCTTGCAAATGAGACAGCTCCGCCAGTTCCAATGGTCTTTGCCCGAAGGAACCTCAGGAGAGTCAACAATTACGCCGTCTGTTACGAGTCCCGAAGTTCAACAGGCCATCCTGGACCAGGTTCCTTCACATTCCCGTTCTGCAGAAAAACACCTAGCAATGTCAATGGTTCGCACAGTCGCCAATGAATAACACCGCTGCTTGTTCTTAGATATTTTATGACCCAGTAGTGCAAAAGCATCCACCATCACCAATTTATCAACACTCGTTCGTCAAGAAACTTATCTTAATGATTGAGAGCGAGGGAATCCACGACATCTCGGACGATATGTTTGAAGTCTTTACCGATCTCATGATGGTCGCGCCTAAAAGGTACTGGAGCAACATGTTTATTAAAGCGGATGAGGGCTTTGGTACGCCACTGTTAGTGCTAGGAGAACGAGCATATGTCCTAACTCAAGTCACTTGCCTGGTTGATTCTCAAACGCATGAAAACAGACCTGAGAATGGCGGTCCACCGTTAAAACCCTGCTTTAAGTCGTACAGCTTGGACAGATCGTGCAACAAGGTCGTGACAGTCATGGAGGAGCAAACCACCATCTCGGCTGGAACAACCGGACTCAGGACATGGTAAGTCGCTAGTAAATAGGATAAGAAAAGTTCCCATGTTGTGATTGATTGACGTACTCATTTTATTATTTATTTCCTTTATTATTAGGGAGGCAAGGTAACGGGATTACAGCAATATTGACTTTTTCTCTCAATGTTGGTAGTATATCGTTGTGTAGCTATGGAGGTTGACAGCGTAATTTTTTTTCGATGTTGTATAGCTTTTGGTTGGCTGAGCATCTCATTGCACATCCTGGTAAGAAGAAGAACGAAAATGAAGGCACACTTGGCACCTGATCTCTCGACCACTCATACTCAACATTGATATTTTGCCACCAATTTTTGCACTGTAGAACTATTGGCTGGAAAGAATGTGGTCGATGTTGGATGCGGCGTTGGCTTTCTGGGAATCGCCTGTGCTCTCCTCGGCGCAAAGAAGGTCGCTCTGACCGATGGCAACCATGATGTCTTGGCTATGGTGCAACAGAACATCGGATATAGTAAGAGCTCCTCTTGTTGATTCTTGCAGATAGGCGCGAATGATGATGAAAACAAACTCACATTAACATTTTTGTATGATTGCACGTTAGACAACGTTCCTTGCTCCACAACAGCAAGTCTCCTTGACTGGGAAAGCTTCACGGACGAGCAGATCGCGGCCCTGGAAGCACAAGTTCTCATCTTGTCTGATCTGGTATGTTGTTCGTTGAGCACCTTATTTGGGTCTGGTAATGTTGATGGGTCTATAAAGCTGTGCTGACATCCTTGGCTTTTGACGATCACGTAGACCTACGATCCAACAAACATTGTGCCGCTGGTGTCGGTCCTGAAGGCGCTCCTGGTCCGAGGTGTGGATGCCTACATGTCATCTGCGATCCGCAACCCACAGACGTTTGTCGACTTTTTCATACGCATCCGTAAGAGCTCCAAAACAAGTTGATGAATTGTAAAAATTGTGAAACTGGTGCGCGTTTCATTTTTTCGTACTGATAACTGATAACTGATAACACTTGCTGAAAATAGGCGAAGAGTGCGTGGGTGTTCAGATTGACGAGATCCCTTTGGAAGATACCGAGCACCTCTTCTTTTTTGACGAGGGGACCGTGCAAACAGTCAAGGTCTTTCATCTTCACTTTCCTTAGCTAACCCCTAACACGTTTTTCACACCGTGTGAGAATACTACATCACAAAAAAATTCCGGATCTGGTTTCGCCTGATATCCCTGCTTGGCCAATTCGCCTCATCGCATAAAGTGTGCCATTGTCTGGATGATGCTTTCCTTCCTATATGTTTACGCGCATGAGGTCCCGGTGTAGGTTGTACTTTTCGTACGGCTCAACCTGATCCTCTCAAAAGGTGGTGGCGAAGCAATAAACTCTTTTCTTCCAGCTTTCTCCAGAAGTGTCTTCCTTGTTCGTCTTTAGGGTTTCGCCTGAGTAATCCTGTGAGATCCTTCTGAGGTGTTCTCTGATGGAGGAGTTGAAGTGATGAGGAGAGTGATGAGGATGGCGGCGACAAGAAAGAAGGATGGCGAAGTTGCTGGAACAACAGCGAAGGAACTCGAAAGAGCCAAAAGAACAAAGAAGTTGATTAGATCATCACGTACGGGGTATGATTTCATGCCGTACGTGGGTCGGGTTGAGTTGTTTCACAGAAGCGAGAAAAGTCTCTCATGCTGGCGCTATCATATCAGACATACCCTCGCCATACAGAGAAATAGATAGAAGAGCCGTGGAAGGCGATAGAACAATTCCGATCGATATAAGAGAACGGTCGCGCGCCTCTTTTTTGCTTTTTTCTTTTCTTCTTCACTCATCTTCCCCTCTCAACCCCACACACTCACTACATCATGTCTGAAGGAAAAGGTAAGATCATCTCGACACACACACACGCATACTCATCTTCACTCCTCCACACCTCCTCTTCCTTGCTCTACTCTATTTCCTCTTTCCCTCTCTCTTTTTCTCTCTCCTCAGGAAGACAGGCTGGACTTTGCCTTTTCTTTAACGCGAAGGACACGCCTCTTCTCCCTCTTTTTTTTTCATACGTCTTTATTCTTTCTACGGACAAACGAAACCCCTTCTGCAACGTTGTTCACTTGTTTATTCGCGCTTTTGAGCTTTCTATGGGCCCGATCTATTACGCCTTCGATTTGCGGACAGCATCTAAGCTACTGCGACGCCTCATTCGACCTCACTGGACGATACAGGCAGGCCTATCAGGATGTTGGCTACAACCTCAGGACTTTTACTATCGAGCAGCCGAATCTGGAAACACGTACAAACGGTCGTCGCGCTGTTGATCGGGGTCGGTGGCGCCCGGATCGCGCGCTATTGTGTATCGATGGCATTGCGCATACTTGACTTTTCGTTATGAGGATCGGGCGCGATCAATGCCCTCGTTTTTTTTATTTTATTTCACACATTGTCATCGCTTCTTGTATGCAACAACAAGAAAGGCGGTTCGTGATTCGATTATATTTCTTCCTTGTCTCCCGCCTCCCGCCTTCCGCCTTCCGCCCTCCCTATCCTCCTACTCCACGGTTGACCAGTCAAAATTTTTCTTGCCCTCTTTTTTTTGTTCCACACCCTTCTTTTCGAGGGCACCCCTTCTCTTGTTTCCCTTCTATCCATCACGTGCATACCCCGATCACTGTCTATCTATCCCTCGCGCCAGAAATCTAACCATTCCTTCATTTTTCGATTGATCTTCGTTAATAGCCGTTGGTATCGATCTTGGTACTACCTACTCTTGCGTTGCCGTCTGGCAGAACGACCGTGTCGAGATTATCGCCAACGACCAGGGTAACCGCACCACCCCCTCCTATGTTGGATTCACCGACTCTGAGCGTCTCATTGGTGATGCCGCCAAGAACCAGGTCGCCATGAACCCCATCAACACCGTCTTCGATGCCAAGCGTCTCATCGGTCGCCGCTTTGACGACAAGGATGTCCAGTCCGACATGAAGCACTGGCCCTTCAAGGTCATTGACAAGGCCACCAAGCCCTACATCCAGGTCGAGTACAAGGGCGAGACCAAGGAGTTCACTCCCGAGGAGATCTCCTCCATGGTCTTGACCAAGATGCGTGAGACCGCTGAGGCCTACCTCGGAACCACCGTCACCAACGCCGTCGTCACCGTCCCCGCCTACTTCAACGACTCCCAGCGTCAGGCCACCAAGGATTCCGGTATGATCGCCGGTATGAACATTCTCCGTATCATTAACGAGCCCACCGCCGCCGCTATCGCCTACGGTTTGGACAAGAAGACCGTCGGTGAGAAGAACGTTCTCATTTTCGATCTTGGTGGTGGTACCTTCGATGTCTCCCTCCTCACCATCGAGGACGGTATCTTCGAGGTTAAGGCCACTGCTGGTGACACCCATTTGGGAGGAGAGGATTTCGATAACCGTCTCGTCAACCACTTCGTCCAGGAGTTCAAGCGCAAGCACAAGAAGGATCTCTCCTCCAACCCCCGTGCTCTCCGTCGTCTCCGCACTGCTTGCGAGCGTGCTAAGCGTTCGCTCTCTTCGTCTGCCCAGACCTCCATCGAGATTGACTCTCTCTTCGAGGGTGTTGATTTCTACACTTCCTTGACCCGTGCCCGTTTCGAGGAGCTCAACCAGGATCTTTTCCGCAACACCATGGAGCCCGTTGAGAAGGTCCTCCGTGACTCCAAGATCGACAAGGGTCTCGTCGACGAGATCGTCCTCGTCGGTGGTTCCACTCGTATCCCCAAGATCCAGAAGATGGTCTCCGACTTCTTCAACGGCAAGGAGCCCAACAAGTCCATTAACCCCGATGAGGCCGTCGCCTACGGTGCCGCCGTCCAGGCCGCCATTCTCACTGGTGACACCTCCGAGAAGACCCAGGATCTTCTCTTGCTCGATGTCGCTCCCCTCTCCCTCGGAATTGAGACCGCTGGAGGTGTCATGACCGCCCTCATCAAGCGTAACACCACCGTCCCCACCAAGAAGTCCGAGACCTTCTCGACCTACGCCGATAACCAGCCCGGTGTCTTGATTCAGGTCTACGAGGGTGAGCGTGCTCGCACCAAGGACAACAACATGCTCGGCAAGTTCGAGCTCACCGGTATCCCCCCCGCACCCCGCGGTGTTCCCCAGATCGAGGTTGTCTTCGATGTTGATGCCAACGGTATTTTGAACGTCTCTGCCGTCGAGAAGTCGACCGGCCGTGCCAACAAGATCACCATCACCAACGACAAGGGCCGTCTCTCCAAGGAGGATATTGAGCGCATGGTCAACGAGGCCGAGAAGTACAAGGCTGAGGATGAGGCTGCCACTGCCCGCATCCAGGCCAAGAACGGTCTCGAGTCCTTCGCCTTCAACATCAAGAACTCTTTGGCTGATGAGAAGGTCGGAGGCAAGCTCGATGAGTCCGACAAGAAGACCTTGGGCGATGCCTGCGAGGAGGTTATCTCCTGGTTGGACGCTAACCAGGAGGCCGACAAGGAGGAGTTCGATGCCAAGCAGAAGCACCTCGAGGAGATCTCCAACCCCATCATGATGAAGGTCTACGGTGGTGCCGGTGGTGCTCCCCCCATGGGCGGTGCTGGCGGTGCTGCCCCCGGTGGCTTCCCCGGCGAGGGTGCTTCCGAGCCCACCATCGAGGAGGTCGATTAAATACCAACCTCACTTCGTTTGCTCCACTCCCTTTTTTCATTTCTCTTTTAGTTTAAACTTGTATTTTTTTCTCCCAACCCTCCTCTCATTTTAATCACATTGCAATTTGTACATAAAACAATCGTGCAATAATAAAAAAGAAAACAACCATAGACTGGGATCATAGCTGCCTCTCATAAATGACTATTGTACAAAGGTTTTTTTTTTTCGCTCTTTATTTCGCTTGAAGAAATGCCTGGTTACTTGGCCGACATCTTGTACTTGGACGTGTCGATAATGGACACTCCGCAGAGCGCACATTGTCCAGCTTTGTACGCGCAACCTATGAGATGATTTTTGTATGACGAAGCAACGGTGTTAGTGTTGATCAAGTGGACAACGACAGTGTGCGAGTGAGGAAGAGAGTGGAAGTGTGCGAAAATGTCTTTGTGTACCTTGACAATAAATGGCACCGTCCTGATGTACTTTGGACTTGCATGTTTTGCACTTGGCATTAGCATATGGGTTGAACTTTGCCGTCCTAATATTGCATGAATCAAAAAAAAAAAAAAAAAAAATGAAAGCAAACGTTAGTATCGAAAAAGTCCAAGAGATGGAGGCGAAGTAGTCATTTTCGAAGCGTGCGTCTTAAGCCAGTGGATACGCTTAGCCCTACACTCGCTTTTTGCTCAGGAGCTTGTTCTCGCCGATCTTGCGTCCGGCTGTGGATGAGGTACCGACGGTGGTGTTGCGGGCGCCGTCCTTCCACTTGTCAGGGCAGATCACCTTTGCCAATTTCTTTTCACCTATGAAGAGCGGGAGTTAAAGAGGAGAGAGAGAGAGTCAGTCAAGTGGGTCCTTTAAACGGCAACAACGGGCATCGTAAACATATAGTTATTGGAGCTGCCAGTAGAGGATGTTAATGGTCGAGTTGATTGGATGGTGTTTGCTTACATTTAGTGCACACCATGGTCGTGGTTTGTAGTTTGCTGGAGGAATGAATGGAGGAAGAAGAGGAGTGATGCAGTTTCTGGGGTTGCATGCATCAGTATGCCCATCCCACTCTCATTTACTGTCAGTTGCAAAAGAGAATCGCTAATTGAACATGGATTGTGCAATTAGATAAACATCACGTGTATTTATTGACTGCCAGGCGTTGTTTACCAACTTCCGAGTGACTGCCTTGCTCTTTTTTTTTCTTTTTTTTTTTGAGGCTCCAAGTTTATTGATAAGCCTACTTTTGACTTGACAGGTTGAACCTGATTACCTTTCTCCCATCCACCCATCCACCCCCCATCCCCCCCCCCCCCTTACACCATGGCAAAAGCCTCTGCCAAGCCCGCTGCTGCGGCCCCTGTAGCAAAGGACGGAAACGCCATTAACAAGAGAAAGCGCGAGGAGAAACTTCTCGAGAAGACCAACAAGAAGGAGAAGGTCCAAGAGCCAGAGTCCGAGGAGGAAGAGGAAGTGGAGGAGGTTGAGGCTGAGGCTGAGGATGATGATGAAGACGACGATACAGTTGAGGATGATGAAGACGAGGAGATGCAGGAGGATAAGGCCGAACAGACAAAGAGGCAGGAGGACTTGCCCTCGATCGACTTTTCCGCCAACGAAGTTGCTAACGCCACAGGTAACCACTCTTCCCCACCCCCCTTCCTCGACCATTGCATCCGTACTCAATACAGTCATCACCCGGATCAGCGACACTCTCTAACATACTCCTTACCTACACTCTCTTTACCATGCAACCATTCCATCACTCTCGACCATAATGACTACTAGGCGGCAAGAAGATCAACTACGATTTTGCTGCGCTCGACCTCTGCGAGCCCACCAAGAAGGCTATTGTCGACATTGGATTCACAAAGATGACTGAGGTCCAGGCACGCACCATCCCCCCACTGTTGGCTGGTCGTGATGTCCTCGGAGCTGCCAAGACAGGATCTGGAAAGACCATTGCCTTCTTGGTCCCTGCCGTTGAGCTGCTCTACAAGCTCAAGTTCAAGCCTCGCAACGGTAAGAAACAACCAAACAGCTTTTTTACATTTTTGTTATGCGTAGAACTGTTTTTTTTTTTTTTTGCGTATCAGAGTGAGTTTAGCGAACGAGATACTAACCATTTTGTTCAATGTTCCTTTTGTTGATATTCAGGTACTGGTATTATTATTATCTCGCCCACCCGTGAGTTGGCTCTTCAGATCTTTGGAGTTGCCAAGGATTTGCTCAAGTACCACAACCAGACTTTCGGAATTGTCATTGGAGGCGCCAACCGCAAGGCTGAGGCCGACAAGCTTGCCAAGGGTGTCAACCTCTTGGTCGCCACCCCCGGTCGTCTTCTCGATCATCTTCAGGTAAACCCCCCCTCCCCATGGGCAAAACTCTTTGTATCTTGTGAAGAAGTATGATTGCAGTTAAGATTCAAGTACTAACCCAATGCGCAAAATTAACATTTTCGATCAATAGAACACTAAGGGATTTGTGTTCAAGAACTTGAAGGCGTTGGTTATCGATGAGGCTGATCGTATTCTGGAGTGCGGATTCGAGGATGAGATGAAGCAGATTATCAAGTTGTTGCCCAAGGACAACCGCCAGTCGATGCTCTTCTCTGCTACTCAGACGACCAAGGTCACGGATTTGGCGCGTATGTCGCTCAAGGCTGGACCTTTGTACATCAACGTGGACGAGAAGAAGGATACCGCAACCGCTGACGGACTGGAGCAAGGATACGTGATCTGCGACAGTGACAAGCGGTTCCTGTTGCTATTCACGTTCCTCAAGAAGAACCTCAAGAAGAAGGTCATTGTCTTCTTCTCGTCCTGTAACTCTGTCAAGTACCACGCCGAGTTGCTCAACTATATTGATATCCCTGTCCTCGACCTTCATGGACGCCAGAAGCAGCAGAAGCGGACGACGACCTTTTTCGAATTCATCAACGCCGAGACTGGAATCCTGCTGTGTACCGATGTTGCCGCTCGTGGACTGGATATCCCCGCTGTCGATTGGATCATCCAGTTCGACCCCCCAGATGATCCCCGTGACTATATCCACCGTGTGGGACGTACAGCCCGTGGAACCGCTACGGGCAAGTCGCTCCTCTTCTTGCTCCCCTCCGAGCTGGGCTTCCTCCGGTACCTGAAGCACGCCAAGGTGCCCCTGAACGAATACCAATTCCCTACCTCCAAGATTTCGAACGTCCAGAGTCAATTGGAAAAGTTGGTCGAGAAGAACTACTACCTCAACAAGTCTGCCAGGGACGGCTACAGGAGTTACCTGCAGAGTTATGCATCCTACGCACAAAAGGGTACATTTGATGTCAACAAGTTGGATCTGGTCAAGGTCGCCAAGGCTTTTGGATTCTCTGTCCCTCCCAAGGTCAACATCTCGGTCGGATCTGTCAAGGGCAGCACTGCCAACAAGAAGGCTTATGTCTCGGGGGACAAGAAGACTAGCAACCACCCCAACAGTGGTCGTCGCCCCAACGGCGATGGTGGACGTCAATTCTCACGCTAAGTGGGGGGGGGAGGTTTAGCATCCGTTATTCTTAATTCCCCCTCCCCCTTTTCATCTTCATTTTTCCATAGCATTTTTTCTTCTCTTCCCATCATCATCTTATCTAAAAAGTAAAAACATACATGCACAGTTTTAGATTTCAAAAGACTTGTTTGATTGTAAGGATTAATAATGTCAAAAAGATATGTACGAAAAGAAGAAAAAAAAAAAAAAACTATGCAAATGGGCAAGGTAAAAAAATAATAATAGCAAGCGACTTCCATTCAGTTATGTAAAGTTTTTGCGTTCTATGAAGGTCCAAGATCAAGAAGCTCTTCAAGACCTCCATCCTCTCCCAAGGTTGTTATCCGAAGATTGGCGCCAACATGAAAGCTGCTGTTATGGTTGTTGTTGTTGTTATTGTTGTTGGAGCCCATGGTGTTTGACCATGCTGGCACCGCAGAGTTCGTGGTGGTGGTGGCGGTGGTAGATGTTGGTGAGCCACCAGGGAGAGCGACGTGATCTGAAGTCAGGAAATCATGTAGCTGGTTGAATTGGGCTGTTGTGTCGTTGGTCTGGTTGAACCCACCATAGCCTCCAACCCCATCCTGGAACGATCCCAAGTCTGGGTACGCGCTTGTATCTAAGTAGTGTCGAAGAACATGCGGCCTTGAGGTCAGATATGGCACGGTGATATGGACAAAAGAAAACAAACCTTGGAAAAAGAAGAAAAAAAAAATACACGAGAGTATATACTCACCGAAGGAGTTGAGGTAGGAATTTCCTCCACCATCAAAATCGTCATCCAGATCAAAGTTGTCAATATTAAGCCCATGCTGTCCAAGAGCATCCAAACTCTGTTGCAACCTCTCCTGATCCATCGTAATCTGATCGACTCCCTTGGTGATATGCGCGCCAGCAGGGCTCTGACTGAACGTTGGGCCGGCCAGCAGAGCAGATGACAGAGAAGAGGGGTTGGGTGGAGGTAATGGCGGAGCCAGGGACTGAGCGTTCTGGGTCGTGTCCCGCGCATTGGCCATCGAAATAGACCGGAGCATGTCGTGGTGTACTGGGGATGTCAGGACGTTAGGGTGGAGGGTTGTTGGGAGGGTTAGGCTCGAGGGATCGAACTGAAGGCCTCCTCCTCCTCCTCCTCCTCCTCCTCCTCCTCCTCCTCCTCCAAGAGCAGATTTGATATTGTTGGCAGAGGAGGTGGTGTTGGTGGTGTTGAGGTTATTGGCCTTGTTGGCGTTCTGTTGGGCATAGTTCAGAAGGCTGGGAAGGAGGTAGTCGGGGATTTGTGAGGTGGATATCAAGTTGTGAGCAGTGGCGGCTGATGACAAGGTGGGGATTGTGGGCAGTCCTGTTGTCGATGTTGCTGTGGTGGTTGTAGCGAGTGGTTTCTTTTGCGGCGTCTGCATGGTGTTTGAGAATATCGACAGCATGTCTATTATGATAGCAACAAAGAATCGCGGTTTAGAAACGAGAGGCATAACAAGACTTCCTTGAACCAAGTATTAGAACGGACGAAGTAAAAAACGCACCTGGAGTGAGCTCGCTGATGTTTCCGGCATCAGACTGGCCTCGTTTCCGCTTGCTACCCGACAGAACAATTTCCTCCGCACCTTCATCCTCATCCAGATCCTCATCCTCATCATCCTCATCCTCAGCCTCAACCAACCGTCTTGAAGTCGATACACCCGAGTTGCGAAGAGCAGTCTCTCCATCTGTGATCGTCAATCTCGCCTTCTTGTTGGGTACAAGTGCGCGTTTCTTCTCTCCTGAAAAGACACTCGCCAAGAACCTCAGGATCTTGTCGATCGTCTCTTGTTGCCTCTGATGTCTCTCCCTTGCCTGAATCGACTCTTGCCAGAGCGATTGGTGGTCCCGTTCAATATTCCTGAGATCGGTAGAGATGGCAACCTGGTGTCGCTTGATGGCGTTCACCTCCTTCACGATATGTCCCAGATCCAGAGTGAGAGCATCTCGCTTGTTGACACCTCCGCCGCCACCACCACTACCACCACCACCACCACCTGCCACTCCTACCCGACCACCGCCGAAACCACCACCATCATCGACATCCACGCCAACACCACCAGTAATTGCGCTCATCAAGTTATCCTGCCCTGTCTTTGCGTTGTTGACAGCCGAAGATGCTTTTTTGCGTTCGACCAGATGTAGCAAATCTGGTTGGCCGCGCTGGAAGTGAGGGTTACTGAACTCGCAGTGCTCCGAATCTGAATCTGGCATGAGAACTCCTTGCTGCAGATGTGGCACCTTGTGAAAGTCGTACATGTTCAATTGGCGGACAAAGGACGTGAACAGGTTGTGCTTGAAGAACTTTGGCAGTACCTCCTTTGCGAATCTGACTTGATCCGTCACTAATTATAAGGTATGGAGAAAAAAAAGGAAGAGTTGAGGTTGGAGGTCAGTACACTTTTGTGTGAAGGGGAAACAAATTTCGACCAAAGCGTTTTTTTGTTGTTGTTGCATACCAATAAAGGAGTCGCCATCGTCGGACCAGTGGATAAGATCGTTCGAGCTGGGGTTGCCAACCATACTATTGATTAGAGTGACACATAAAGGGTAACGAAGATCTCGTGTTAGATAGGTAGCATTGGGTTCATCGCTGTTTCTAGACGCATAAACGTCGTCCGCAACATGCAAGGATACGTTACTTGTAGAGTTTGGACAAAAAGTTGGTGACGTTCCCCCGGGCACTGTTGTTCGTCGCCCGGGTGAGGGGTTGCAGTGACTGTGAGGTTGAGTTCAAGGCCGCATCTCCTGTTGTTGCTACTGCTCCGCTACGCCCCTTGGCCTTTGTAGTGGTGGTAGTAGTGTTCGCTGGTCGAGCAATAGTGCTCACAGTCTGAGAACCTGGTTGTAATACCACAGAGGCAGCAGAAGTTGGAGGGTTGTTTGTCGATGTAAGGTTGTTGAGGGCTGAGAGAGCGGCATTGGCATCCAAGGTGACTCCAGCATTCTGGAGCTGCTGGTACTGTTGGAGAAGCTGAAGTTGCTGGCTCTGTTGAAGTTGCTGAAGCTGTTGGAGTTGCTGCAATTGAAGTATCTGCTGTTGCTGTTGTTGTTGCTGTTGTTGCTGTTGTTGCTGCTGTTGCTGTTGAGCAGTATTGTTGAACATGGAAATGGGGTTCAGGACAGCGGCCGAGGGAAGACCATAGTCAGAAAGAGATGGCGAAGGCATAAAAGGCAAAGTTGTCGAAGTAGGGGTTGTGACGATTGGTTTGGGGCTACTGTTACTATCGGTCCCGCTTTCGCTTGCTGTCACCGAGAGAGGGCTATTGCTGGAGAGTTCGACTATTCTGGGATTGGTGGATGAGTCGTTTGAGGTGAACATCATGCCTACCGACTGAGTGTGTGAGTCTGAGTGTAAGAGGGTTGTTGGTTAGGATGGAGCCAGAGAGGGGAATTGCTTATTCCTCGCTTGTATGAGTAGGTGGTGCAGTGATTCCTTGTAGCAAGGAGAAGGAGGGAGCTGTGCTGTTATTGGGTGATGTGTTCCTTTGGTTGAAGACGAGGTATAAAGATGACCTTTCTCTTTGTGATGCTGGTCCTGGTGATCCCTTTGCCAGAAGAAGAAGAAAAAGAAGAAGGCGAGATAAGGTGGTGAGCAGTGTGACAAAACGAAAGAAGGAAAGAGGGGTACAGACGGACGGTGCAGGCAGAGGGCGTGCGTGCGTGATGGCAAAAAAGTGACTGGCTGTTGTCGTGGCAACTCTGATTCGCCAATGGCGTACAAGCCTGTGAACAGCGGAAACGCTTTTCTCCTTCTCCTCCTGGCACTTTGACAAGGTCCATTCTTTTCACTCTTCCCGTGACATTCGTCTGCAATAGCAGAACATGGAGCTGACGTGCCATCCTATCAACGGTGCCCAACAGACCGAAGAAGCCTCGTTACCAAGGGGAAGAGGCAATTGAGTTGCCAAACTCAAAAGGATTTTTTTTTTTCATGATCGATACTGTACTTCACTTGCTGCTTGGTCCCCCACGTTTTGTGCAAAAGGGTATGACGGATATCCTGTCATTTGAATAGACGTTTCGAGAACAATAAAAATTGAAATGACACGAGCGGCGGAGTGTGCAGTCAAGCCGTATCTTTTATTTTCCTACCGTGCCTGACTATTGTCACTACGGACACGGCCTTGGAAACCTACAGCTACGAACGTTCATTGTCATTTATAAACACCGGGTTAATGTGATGGAGGTCAACTCTATCTGTTTCAGCACTTTCAGGGCCATCAATTTCTAAATGGCCTTGTGCACATCCAGGGGTGATGGAAAGCTCCTTTTTGTTGCCGCCAATTTTTACATAAAGTGCATTCCTTTGCTCGCTCACTTTTCTCTCTCTCTCTCTCTCTCTCTCTTCCTTGGGACACAAACTGGACCTGCATGTTCTGATCCGCCCACGTTGTGGTTAAATAGTGGCATTCGAACACACTCTCTCTTTCTCTTGCTCTCTCTCTCTCTCTCTCTCTCTCTCTCTCTCTCTCAAGTTGAAGCCCCTCCATCTGCAATATTTTTTATTGTTTACATTGCATGTCGAGAGCAAGGCTCTTGTGATGTTCTTTTTTTCATACCTTGTATGGTCTCCGACATGCTTGACAGTAGCAAAGAAAGAGAGTTAATGCCGCATCAGCTGCGCTTGCTTTTGTTCACAGGCTTATTGGCAAACATAACAGGAACAGGGAGCAGATGATGAGCTGAGATGGTAATGTTGCCGCACTTTTTTTTTTGTTGTTGTTGTTATTGTTTTCAATCTTGGTCAGCCAACTAGTACCTTTGGGCAAAATGAACAATGCAAAATAAAAAAATGAGATGGAAGACGGAGGATGGAAGAACTAGGTGAGAGATTTTGGTGCTTCGTTTCATTTACTTTTGCTTGTCGCATTGCGGACATCCAACTGAAATCAATGCTCATCCAACGCCAACCATACCCTACCCTGCCAGTTTGTTTGAAGACCAACTAGTCTATTGTAAAGGTACATAGTCTTGTTAGTTGCCCTGGATGAGATGAGTAAATAAGATCGATGACCCTGTGATTTTTTTGGCTGACAATGGGGTTCGGTCCGTGACAAAACGCAGTTCAAGGAGCTGAATTTGCAACAAACAATATTTTTGACATTGTCAACCGTCCGTCGTCTCATGTGTGATGATTGAGTGTCTCCCTTTTCCGTTGAAAGTGTTACAGAACGTGCAAGTGTTATGTTTTGCTGACAACTGAAAAAATGAGAGAAAAAAAAAGGGGGTAGAGAAGAGGCTGTTCTTTGCTCATTAGTGTAGGGACCGAATCAAAACATCAAACTATTGAGCGTCTCAAAAAATGAAAAGGTCTCTCCGTTCATTTTCTCATTATGTCCCTTGCACTTCTCCCCTTGAAGTTTTGATCATTTCTTTCGCTGAGTCTTTGGTATTTTTCTATTCGCCCTTTGACTTTGTAACTTTTTTCCTGTTGGCAAAACGCCCCCTCCAAAGGTAAAAAAAATAAAATAGTAAGAGACAGCAGACAAAATAGAAATATGTGGCTCAAGTGCTCTATTATATGAAAGCTCTCGACCGTTTTTTGTTTTTGTGGTTGTTTTCTTTTGTCTTTTCCAGGCAGGGTGAAGTGAGGAGTATGTTGGGCAAAATGAAAAGGGTCATCAGGTTGTGTAGGGTAGTTTAACAAACAAAATGGCGGCACGGTCGTCATTTTTCATTTCGCCTTGTCGACATGTGTGGTGTGTCGAGACCAAATATGTCTTTCGTAAACCACTCATAGGAAAAAAAAGAGTTTAATAAAACACAAGTTGCATGTTGTTAAACCCCAGGATTCATGGTCATTGTGCATAGCTATTGTCTCTCAACTCTTTCGCCTTTTTTTTTTTTTTTTTTTTGTGCGAAGCAGTAAGAAGAGGCTGTGGATGGAAGTGGTTTGTCACACAAATGGGTTCCAACGAGCCCCAACGGGTTCCAGCGGGAGGGAAGGGGAGGATAAGAGACGAAGACGGAGGAGGAGGATAAGGAGAGGGCGAGGGAGGTAAGAAACGGGAGAGTCGGGATAGAGAAAGAGTGAGAGAGAGAGATCGAGGGAGAGAGAGAGACCAGAGGCAAAATATCGAAGAGTACCTTTTGTTTTGTGCCATGCGCATGAAAAGGGAGGCGGACTTTTTGGGCCAGAATGGAAGTTCAAGGAGGGGACCCACTTACTGCCGACAAGGAGAGAGAAGGAGGTAATGAAGTAGCGAAGAAAAGAGAAAAGAGGAGGAGAGTATGTGGCATGTAGATAGTAGCTTCGAGGGCCAGCCATTGGAGGTGGTTTTCTGTCATTGTTTGCTCCCTGTTTGCTTGCATTGATTTCAAAAGAAAAGACAGAGAGAGATAGACCATGTTCAGAGGACTACAGACAACGACGACATGGTGTTCATCGGGGAGGAGATGGGTTTTCTTCTTTCTTTTGGTTTTGTTTGTTGATGTGTCCTGAAGGGGCAAAGCGTTCACACTGCACCAAATGGGGATATAGTTATATTGTTCGCATCGACCTCTTGCCAAACAAGAACCTTGTGCATTGGTGTCCCATGGTGCATTGCACTTTGATGATGTAGATGAAAAACAGCAGGAAAAGTAACAAAAGGGTGTTTGCCCTGAAAAAAGAAAGAGAAATAGGAGGTTGCATTGAGAGATTGTCCTTCTTGAGTGATCTGGGAATAGCATGCATCGGCATTGGATGGTAGGATGATGGCTTCCATTCCCGAGCCCCGCAGAACCCCCCGCAGGCCCCCGCATGCATTTATTTTGAGAATGACGATTGGTCTTGCTGTTGTTTGCATCGATAGGTGAAAGACGACAACAAGGCTAGAAAGAGAAGAGAAAGAAAGAGGGAAGAATGGAGAGAGGGAGAGAGAGACAGAAATAAGAACGGCAAGGGAGGGATGGGATGCTCACTCGGGATATCTCTTGAGCCAGCTTTCAGAAGAAAAAAAAAAAAAAAAAAGGAAAAAAAAAAAAACTTCATGCCGAGAGCCATGAGGATGAGGATGAGGATGAGGATAAGGGTGGGTGATCGATTGAATTGGTTATTCAATTTCTGGGATGATGTTGAGACAGGCAGGCATGCAACCCTTTTCTCTCACTCTCCCACTCTCTCTCTCATCCACACCCATTTCATTCCCCATTCATGGGACAGGAATACGGTACATTCATATTATTTATGATGTGGTGGACCCAATTAGCCCAATGGCAATGGGGCAATGGACGATGGATGGTCCCGTTGGTTGTTGCTGCATTCACTCTTGGTCAATTGTTTACTATTATTATTGTTGATGTTGCTGTTGTTGTTGTTGTTGTTGTTGTTGTTTTTGTTGTTCTCTCTCTCTCTCTCCCTCTCTCTCTCTCTCCCCCCCACCTCTCTTCCTCTTCTCCATCCATCCTCCCTTCACTGCTTTCACCTTTTTCTCACTTATCCTCTCACCTTCATCATCCTACCCTCACTCTCTCACTAACTCTCACTCACTTTGCACTCTTCTTCACTTCACCCTTCCCACCTCTCCTTCTCCTCCTTTTCCCTTCAGCCCACACTCCTTCCCTCCTTGCTTCTCTTCTACTCTCATTCATACACTTCATCCTCTCCATTCTCATTCACAATCAACTATTCACCATTCACGCCACCCTCACTCTCTCTCTCTTTACTCTCCACTCCAACACTCCAATACCAACAAAGACGCACAACTTAACTTTACACAACTCTACTCCCCCCAATCCTTCTTTGTCGTCCTATCTCTCTCTCCCCCTCGTCCCATCCGAACCCCTAGCTCTAACTAGAACTACCTGCTGTAAGTACCCTCTCCCTCCTCTTTCATTCATTCATTCATTCGTTCTCTCGTCCCACCCTCTCTCGTTCTCTCTCTCTCTCTCCTTCCCCTCTCCCCCTTCCTTTTCTCCCCTTCCTTCCCCTTCCTCGCATCTCTTTTGTTCCTGCTAGGCCTGTTATCTTGGCTGCAATCTGCAGTGTCTCCTCTTTCCTCCATCGCCCCTTTTCTGGTCTCCACGTCTCTCCCTTGCTCGTGTCCTTTAGTCGCGTCGAATAGGACATTTTTCTCATTTTGGGGGTGTTCGACCACAGACCAAGTGTTTTGTTTTCATATCAACACATAATTCCTTGCTTTGCCTTTACTTCTCTGCCCTGAGGGCACTGGCTCCACCCTCGACTGTCAAAAGGGGGTAAAAGTAGGGGGTTAGGATAGACAACTTGATAAAGACCTCCATGGAACACTCCTCTTTCTTTCTTTTTTTTTGCTTTCCAGATTCACACCCTTCTGAATCACATTCCCCTCTCCCCGCTTCTCCCACTTTTCATCCCAACCTCAATGGCACAACGATCTTTTCCTCTCATCACTACAGACACTAACCTCGCCCCTCACCTCGAACTTCCTCTCCACCATAACCAAAACCACCACCAACACCAGCGCGATCACCAACCTCGCGACTACGACTTTATCACCTGGCGCCAGCAGCAGATCCTCCTACCCGACGACCCGCAGCAAGACAACTATTCAGTCAGCCCTCAGCCTGTGTACCATATCCCGCACCCGCCCCGCTCGACTCCATCGCATTATACCACCCAGCAGCCCGAGCCGCGCCTTCGCCCGCATTATCGCCAGCAGACGCGCCCCGTGTTCATGAACCCAGAATTGATTCTGGATAAGCCACATTTTAGGCACCACTCCGGAGGAACCTTGTCATCTATCGATTACGAGCCAGGCGAGGATAGCTCCGTCTCGTCCATGGATCACTCAGCCTCGACAGCCTACAAGCAGCATGAGCAGCACGGTCAGTCGTCCTCATCCCTCGGATACTCCCTCGACTCCCAGCGCACCCTCCAACCACGCCACTCTCACAACGCCAACCAGACACTCTCTAACCTGACCACTCCACAAGGCTCGCCTCAAACGGTACGCGGAGTTGGAACGGGTGGTAATTCATATCACAACGGACATGCATCCAGCTCCTACCAGTACAGCAGCGGGAGCGAAGGAGACCTTGATCTATTCTCTTCTCGACAGCCCGCATTACTTGGCGATCTGACAACAACAACTGCAACAACTACGGCTGCGTCAACCCCAACTCACCAACAGCCACTACGAAGCAACTCTGTCATAAAAATGACGGCCGCCAAGAGACTGCCCCCCTTCAATGCCAGTCGGACATCAATGCCAGCCAACGCAGTCGCAGAGGGAAGCGCCGAGGACGACGACGACAACCAACGGACAATTAACCGACAACAGGCTGATAGACGTGCTGATCTGGAAGACGACGTTGTGAGCATATCCTTGGATGACGATGATGATCGGGAAGGTGGAATTCAAGATCGGGACACGCTCCTAACACGAGAAAGAGGTCCAAACAGGGCTAGTGAGAGTAGTCGACCCAAGCAGAGGTAAGGCATCATTCATCTTTCATTCGTTCGTTCATTCGTCCGTCTAGTCCTGCCCTTCCCATTGAACATTCCCAGCTGAACATCCACATGATGTGCAGGCATGATCTCTGTTACAGCCGGTATATTTTTGTACCATCGGGATGGTTCCTTCCCTCCCAGTGAGGTTACAATATGTCGTTCTTCCCAGCTTTACGTTTTTTCAAGCCTCTAGGCATTGTGAAATGTAGACATGCCGTACTGCGAGCTGTCCAAGGGGAAGGCATCCCTATCTTCCCGCCAGCTTTTTCTCTCCTCTCTTTCTCTCACTCTCTCATTCTCTTTGAAAATTTACCGCTTGACTTGATCGTATTACAGCTCATGCGACTAACGCGTCTCCCTCCCGTCCTTGTCCCTGTAAATAATTCTTTTTATTCGCCATTCTAATAGCTTCACAGGGGCAACTTCACAGCCATCTCCTTTTCACCCTTTCCCCCCACCATCCTCCAGGACTGTGGTCTCCGCAGTGTCACCATCAGCATCGTTTTCAACAGCTGCACGTGGCAGTCACTCCCAGCTCAACGGGGCTGGCTCTTCGACCCCTCGGGCCGAGCCCGACAGAGGGCCTGCAGATCTGAGTAATCCCAGCACTGCTTTGGCAGAGGCTCTCCGGATAGCCAGATCGAAGGCCAACTCTACATCGAAGGCCCCTCAACGCTCCACATCCGACGCTATTCAACCAAGCAACATTAGAAGCCAAGATCAGAGTGCAAATCAGCGTGGAAAGGAGGGCAAGCTTCCAACATCGACCTCCTCTCACTCAAATGGCTCCATGGCGGTTGGGCAGATCAGGATCCCTGTTCCGGACCTCTCACCTGGACTGCGAGGTTACGCTTCCTACCATGGAGAGCAACAGGACATGCGGAGGAATCCAGATGGACTGCTTTATCCCCGTCGCTGCTCCTTTACACTATCCCCGACATCGTCCAACCCAGAGTCAAGATCGGACAGCCACTCTGGATCACTTGGTACGCCACGCGCCAACATTAACAGAGATGGAGCCACGTCTGCGAAACTCAGCAACGCGTCCATTCGACCTGGCGGACCCAGCATCTCATCGAAATACTCTGATGACTTTGGCCCACATCGACAGTCGCATCATCGCCGCCAATCCAGCTACATGGAGACATCTTACGACTCTGGTCAGTCTGGACAGAACCATGGTGAGGATCGGTATTCAAGGTTCGCATTCCCAGGGCAGGATCATGACCAGAGCTCGCTTCCTCATCAGAGCTACGACGACGGTCCTAGGCATTCATCCGAGTACCCTCAGGACCCATCTGTAGAGTCTTTTCAGCAGGAGTACACTAGCCGCCGTCGTTTCCAATCCTCGTCAGAATCCGCTCCCAGTAACTCATATCAGAAGCAGCGCCAGTCTGACCAGGGCACTTCTGGAAACTCCAAGTCATCAGCAAGTGCAGCGGCATACGACCAGACCCACTCGTCGCATTCACTCGGAGTATCGGAGGACCTTCAGGATCAGATGGAGACCGAGGCCGAGTACATTATGACTAGGAATACCGAGTTGCTCCGGATACTCAGCATTCGCGACGACGAGATCAAGACCCTGCAGCAGGAGCTAGACCACTCGCTCAAGGTCATGCATGAGTACGAGGATGAGCTCTTGAAGTTGCACACAACCGCCGCCAAGCCCTATGAGAGTTACCATCAAACGCTGGACCAGATCGGACACGAGATGACTCAGCAGGATGCAATCGTCAAGGGATACCAGGAGGAGAACGAAAAGCTCCGAGAGCAACTCAAAACCTCTGTAGAACTTCGACAGGAGGCTGAGAAGCGCCATTTGCAGGCAGTGGACCAGCTCAAGACGGAATTGACGCAGCTCCGAGCGGACCTGGATGAGTCTGATGTCCAAAAGTACGGCACAACGGATCTGAGATTGTTGCTGCAACAGGCGCAGGAGAGTCAGGATCGTGCGCGCAAGAATTTCAAGGACAAGGAGGATGAGCGGCTGGCCGAGATGACCGACCTGAAGGAACGACTTAAGCTCACGGAGAGAGTTCTAGAGGAGGAGCGAAAGGCGAAGGTCAAGGAAATGCAGAAACTCGAGCGCGATATTCAAGAGTTCAGAGAAGGCTGCAAAGGAATACTGGCCCAGCTCCAGTCGATCGAATCTGTGGACTCTGCCAAACACTCCAAAGGTAGCTCCTCGAGTTCTTCTGCAGAGGCAGACACTACCGTCGGTCAAGATTCGGATACCCATACGGCAAACAAAGGATCACCTACGCCTTCACACTCTGACAGTCAACAGCAACACCAACAAAAGGATCCACGTCCGAAGACCTTGGACCGGAAGCCGACATCGACCGAGACCCTAACAACCACCAACATGCCCAGCCACCCCGACGTCGGCAAACTGAATCTGGAAGAGCGACTCTCCAAGTTTGAGGCTGATATCCGGCAAAGCCTCCGACGGACCGCCTCCGTGGAGAGCTTCCACAGTATCCGATCGTCCAACAACTCTGGTATCCCGATGGCAACCCTGGTCAAGCCCGCTCAATACCTCCAGTCTGGTCACACTCGTCCAGAGCTGCGATTGACGGGCTCTGGGGATGAGACACACTTGGAGAGCGCACTTCGGGAACGCATCACGAGTCTGAACATCGAGAATAGACGCCTGCAGGTCGAGTTGTCGTCTCTCGAACAAGTGCTGCGTCTGCAGCAAGCCGAGCGTCAACGCAAGGTTGCTCAGCTGGAGGAGCTATTGGACATGCATGAGGCCATGGGAAATCAGAAGCTGGAGGATGCCGATACGGAGGAAGGGCAAGGCAGGATTCGCAAGGTCATCCAGGGCTTGCTGGTGAGGATCCGGACGAAAGAGGCTGAGGCCGAGTTTTACCACAACGCGTACTTGGACAAGGTCATGGAGTTTGACCAGATGTCTCTTGCCAACCGCAAAGCACTTGCAGTGGGAGGAGGATCTTTGAACGTCGATGCGGAGGAGCCCAACATTTCCCAGGCGACAGTGGAGGGGCTTGTGGTCGCATCACCTTCGACCACATCCCCCACTTCCTCCAACGGCGCAAGCGGGATCGTCGAAGTTTTAGAGGCTCGGGTCAAGGAGCTGGAGCGGATCAATCTGGAGACTTCGTTCCGTCTGGCTGCTGAGCAGCGGCGTGTTATTGCCTCCGAGGCCGAGAACGCTACGCTGATCCGTGAAAAGCTCACGTTGGCAAGGATGCTGGAGGATCAGGTCGAACAGCTCCAAACCAAGCTGAGCACTGCCGAGATTGCCAAGGCCCGTTTGGAGGACGAGAACAGCGCTCTGCGACAGAAGGATACAAAGGACCAGCGGAACCAGCAACAGCAACAGCAGCAACAACAACAACAAAAGCAATCGACACAGAAGGATGCAGCCAACGCCGAGTCGATGGCGATTATGCGGACTAGGATGATGTCGCTGACATGCCAGCGTGACCAGCTTCGTGAGCAGCTTCAGGAGGCGTTTGATATCCAGTTGGCGATGCGTGATCGAGGCGCAGGTGGTGTTCCAGAGTGGACAGTCGACGACTACAAGCGCTTGGAGCGAAGCTTGGAGGAAAAGACCGGCGAGCTGGGCGTTTGGAAGGACCGGGCGATTGCGTTGGAGAGGGTGGTGGAGCGTATCCGGATGTTGAAGGACAAGCAAGAGCCAATGGGAGTTTCGATGGACCGGAGGTCATCGACTCAGGACAGCGAGTCGATGAGCTCATTGTCCGCCTCGGGTGGACCTGATGAGCGACGGAGGGCTTCACATCACACGCTTGAGGAACTGGACCAGGTGGTCCTGCGACTGGAGCAACGATTGGAGAGGCGGGATCAAGAGCTCCAGGAGGTTGTGCTGGAGGCGAAGCGACAGACGGATCAACGGTTGGAGGCCTGGAAGGCCAAGTGGGTCCAGGTGGTGCAACGTAAGAATGCCGAGATCCACCGGTTCCAGGTTGAGCTGGAGTCCTTGATGGCGGCTGTCGGCCGCGACCGAGCTCGCATGGCTGCATCAATGCAGCAGAAGTAAGCGTTTTTTTTTTCTTTTTTCTTTTCTCTTTTATCTTTTCACGTTCCTCTTTTCTCTTTTCTCTTTTTTCTCTTGTATTCTGTATTTGTTCTCCATGCTACCTATACCCAACTGCACTCATCATATCACCCTAATGCAACGCTTGAAGAGCTTCAATTACTCAAAATAAAAAAAAGACACCTGGCGTGCTGTTTTGTTCAACCCTTGGTCTCAACTTTGGTAAGGAACATGCTATCGGCTCATGAAAGCGATAATTTTCATGCTGGTCTCTGTCCCCTTCCTGTAGCTCCACGCATTACTATGAAACAGACCCATGCCTCTCCATACATTGGATATTTTTTTTCTTTTCTTTATCCTCCTTTGGTTCTTTCCCAGGCTTCTTTTACACTCTCTTCAGTGCTTCGTCAACGCTTTGCTCCTTCCATTCCCACTTTAATATACTGTACCCTCTTTTTCTCTACTCTTACTCTCCGCTCTTTCCCCCCCCACCTCCTCTTCTTCACCCTCACACACCCACCGTCCTCCCATTGTTGACTCACTCGCAAGCGATGACGCCTATCGAAATAAAGAATTTTATCGATCGCACTTGCTGCAAAGAAAGGACGAACGGGAAAAAAAATAAGTTTTTTTTTTTTTTTTTTTCTCTGGCACTGAAACTTGTTCGTAAGCTGTCCTGTCGATGGATGTTTTCCTTTTCACTAACACTTTTCTGATTCCCCACTGCTCCGACCGACATCGGTGATTGAGATTTTTTTATTTTTATTTTAAGTGGCATAAGTCAAAGTCTTCAAAGGAAAGCAAAGGTAAGTCGTTTGTTTTTAATGTGTTGGAGTATGGATATGTTGGAGGGTGGGTGAAGGATGAGAGAGGAGGAAGGCAGGGTATGGAGGGAAGTGAGATGATGATGGGAGGGGAGGAGGAGAAGGGGGTAAGAAGGGAAGTAGTAAGAGACAGAGAAGGAGAGAGAGAGAGTGCGAGTGTGTGAGTGTGGAGGTGAGAGTGAAGAAGGAAGTAAGGAAAGTGAAAAGGGAGAAGAAGAGAGAAAAGAGTAGGGACCTATGGAGAGAGGTAGCATTTGATAAAAAAAAAAGAGAAAAGGGCGGCAAACGCAAGGCAAGGAAGGCAATTCCAAGCTGGGCAAGGGACGAAGAGCGACAGTCGACCCGCCCTTCGTCTTCCTTTTCCAGTATGAGGTGTGTGTGTGTGTGTGTGTGTGTGTGTGTGTGAATGTGTGCGTGTGTGTGCTTGGCCGTTCTTTTGTAGTCGTACTGGAACTGGACTGGACTGGACTGGACTGGCAACACATTATTAATTTTCCCTTCCCTTCCCTTCTCCCTCCTATTCTCCCTTTTGACCGACTGACTGGCGGACGGACTAAAGTGCACAAACTGATCTGATCTCCTTCCTCTCTTTCTCTCTCTCTCTCTCTCTCTCTCTCTTTTTCTCTCTCTCTCTCTCCCCCTCTCCCTGTCCCACCTCCCCACTTCCCGCCTCCACCTTCAACCCTCCACCCTTACTTCACTCTTCTCTGCCAATCCACCTCTCTGAATCACTTGGACCTTACCTACAACCTACCTACCCACTCCTATAGCTGTGATCTACAGTCATCCAACTGGCTCAATCTCACCCACATTCGACACGACCCACCACTCGTCGCCTCCGCTAAAAAGAGATTGCCAACGACTACAGCGAGAGAGCGAGAAAGAGTGTCTACATTCCAACACCCTACCCCCTCTCTCGACACACACAACAGCCTCGCTCAACCACTCCAACTCTTTTACAACCACCGGACTGCCCGTCGACTCTCCCTTCCGACCTAGAGAACCTCCCCATCACCCTTCTTCAGTCCGCCCGAGACAACTGACGATCCCCTACCTTCCGGCCCACCCACACATCAGCTGCTACCTATTCTGCCGCAGATCAGCATCCGCTATTTCAACCTTCTGAGGATCAACTTGCAACCATTTTTGACCAGCAAGAACAAGCACTCCTCTCCTCTCCTCTCGACGACAACGACAACTACAACTACAGCATATCACATAGACGATCATAATGGATCCTAATTATAATTATCAGGCAAGTGGTTCAGCAACTCTTCGATTGGGCTTTGAATGAGAAGAGAGCGTATGCATGTCCATGTTTGATGGCATATCCTAGTACAGGATCCAGGAAGAGGACCATGCACAGCTGGAACAGGACTCGCAATAACAAACAGGATGTTGATATTATATGTTCTATTGACTGCATGCTTGCACTGCACAGCAGAACCCTGGCAGCCATTTCATGGTCGCCAAGTTGCACACTGATCTTTTTGCCACCAATATAATAATCCCGGTAGTCGCGATATTGACTCCTTTCATGTCTTCATACCTCCTTCTCTTGTCGTGGATCACTAACATGATACTTGATTGCTTTTGTTCACTTGAATAGGCACTCCTGCCAATGATGCAGCAACAGCAACAGCAACAACAACAACAGCAACAACAACAGCACCAGCACTCGCCCCACCAGCAGATGCAGTCGCAGCAGCAGCAGCAACAGCAGTTGCAGCAAGGGTACCCTCACCACATGCCCATGCACCAACAAGTAGTATCACCACAACTCCACCAAATGCATGCCAGCCATCACCACCAACCACAGCAGCAGCAGCAACAGCAACCACAACAACAAGCGCAGCAGCAGCAAGTTCAACGGACGCAGCATTTGTCGCACCAGTTGTCTCCTCAATTGGATTTGCATTCGAGTAACCTGACGCCTCAGCAGCAGCAATATCTCCTCCAACAGCAGCAGCAATACCAATACCAACAACAACAGTTATACTTGCAGCAGCAACAACAGCAGCCTCAGCCTCAGCAACAACCGCAACAACCGCAGCAGCAGCCTCAGCACTTTGGATACGGTTCACCTGTTGTCCAATACACGAGCCCGACGATTCCCTACAGCCAGTCATTGCAGTACGAACCGTCCACCTCCTACGCTATGGATTCATCGCATTTGACCTCGCCTTTGACATCTCCACCCATGTCCTCGGCGCAGGTGATGGCACTGGCACAGGTACAGCAAGCGCAGCAGGCCCAGCAAGCACAGGAGCTTGCCAGGCAGCAGGCACAGGCTAGAGCTCAGGCACAAGCTCAAGCGCAAGCACAAGCACAAGCACAGGAACTGGTGAGGCAGCAGGCGCAGGCACAAGCACAAGCTCAGGCGAAGGCACAAGCCCAGGCAAAGGCACAAGCACAAGCGCAAGCTCAAGCTCAAACCCAAGCGCAGGCACAAGCACAGGAACTGGCAAGGCAGCAGGCACTGGCTCAAGCGCAAGCTCAGGCACAGGCCCAACAAGCACAGCAAGTCAAGCTCCAGGCCCAGCAGCAAGTGCACATCATGGCTCATCCTCAGCATCCTCAGCAACAACAGCCACTCCAACACAACCAGCATGTCCATCAACAACAGCAGCAGCAGCAGCAGTACCAGCAGCAACATCAACAGCATCAGCAACACCAGCAGCAGTATCAACCGCAGCAACAACTGCTTCAGGCGCATATGCCATCTGCCGTCCATCAAAACACCTACAGCCAATTGCCAGCACATCTCCAACAGCAGTTCTCGGTCAATGGACATGGAATCGCAGCTCCGATGGCGCCACCCCAACAAGTAATGGCTCAAGTTCAGGCTCTGGCCCCTGTTGCTGCCAAGCCACCACGACAGACATCGACACGAGGACGAGGAGCCAAAGCCACCGCGGCATCGACCAGGAAACCTTCTGCAAGAGCGTCAGCCCAACAACCAAAAGGACCTGCCTCTGGTTATGCTAGCGATGATCTTTCAGGCTCCGATTCTGGATCGTCGAGTTCAGGTGGGGATGGATCATCCTCCGGTTCCGAATCCGATTCTGAAGAGTCCGACCTCGAGTTCAAGGGCAAGACGCCTCCACCTGCCAAGAAGGCCGTCGGCAGGAAAAAGAAGGTCGCTAAGCCTGGAGGCAACGCGTCTCATTGGGCTGTCCCTTACGACCCTGTACTGGTCCCCATGGGAAGCAAGACTCTGGAAAAGATTCTGGCCTGGAGAACGCATGAAGGCAAGGAGGAACTCTTGATCAAGTACAAGGTAAATGCGGGTTCTCTCATTTGTAACCGCAAATTTAAAACCCTTCACACAAAGTCTGGCTTATGAAAGGAACATCTCAACTAACTACGCAATGATACAATTACTTTTTCTGTAGTTCTCGAGTTATCTTCATGTTGATTGGGTCCCCAGGAAGCGCATTGAGGACGGCGAGCATTTGGGCAAGAACCGCGTCAAGAAGTTCATGGAGAAGAATGGACAGCAGGCGGACTATGAGTTTTTCAACCCATCGTTCGTAAAGGTGAGAATACCAATATTGCAAGTGCATGACCTTAGTGAACTGTTGACCAAGCTAGACCCGGAAAGCTAACGTTTATCCCTGAATGAAACTAGATTGACCGTATCATTGATGAAGGAGAATTGGCGACTCCCAACGGCGAAGTGCAGATCTTCTTCTTGGTCAAGTGGTGCAACACCCCCTATGAAGGTTCGACTTGGGAGCTCCGAGATGAGATTCTGAAAATCGACGCTACCAAGGTGCACGAGTTCTACTCGCGCAAGATCATCCCCGATGCGACTGAGGCACGACAGCTTCCCCGCCCACCTCGTGGAGCGTTCCGCAAGCTGAAGGAATCACCCCAGTTCAAGCATGGCAATCAGCTTCGTCAATATCAGATGGAAGGACTCAACTGGCTTCTTGACTGTTGGTTCAACGATCAGGCTTGTATCATGGCTGACGAGATGGGTCTCGGAAAGACAGTTCAGTCGGTCACCTTTTTGAACGAGATCCACAACACTTATCACATCCGAGGACCCTTCCTGGTCATTGCGCCGCTGTCGACGATCCCACATTGGCACCGCGAGTTTGAGGCTTGGACAGACATGAACGTGATCGTGTACCACGGCAACTCGCCTTCAAGAAACTTGATTGTCGACACCGAGTTTTACTACAAGGACGCCCAGGTAAATTGCATCTGTTATTGTTATAAAAAGTCTGTGGAAAATTGTAATTGTCAAAGAGTGTGGACTAACATACATACTCATCTCATCTCCTCATTCTCCAACATACAGGGTCAAATTGTTCCTGGTCTGTACAAGTTTGACGTTTTGATCACGACCTACGAAATGGTAATTGTTTTAGGCCTATCACAAGATGATTTGTTATCATTGTTATCACATGTTCAGGAGGACTGATGTTCTATTCAATTTTACATATTTAGATCGTGGCAGCGTCTGCACAGCTCAAACCTATCGCATGGAGAGCCATCGTTGTCGATGAGGCCCACAGACTGAAGAACTCTGTAAGTCATCAGTTGCAACCTGCTTCAATGACCCGTGCCGCAATCACACCTAATTGCACCTTGGTTCTAACCCAACTCTCAATTCATCTTGATATTTTGATGTAGGCCTCTAAAGTGTCGGAGATCTTGAAGACGTACAACTTGGAGCACCGTGTTCTTCTGACAGGAACCCCTCTTCAGAACTCGTTGGACGAGCTCTTTGCTTTGCTGAACTTCTTGGAGCCTAATCGTTTTGTGTAAGTGACATTGCCCTTCGGTTTTTCTTCGATAACATCATAGATATGAACCCATACATAGCATATTAACGAGCTCTCCCCAATTCCATTCTATAGTAACGAGAAGGTGTTCTTGGCAGAGTACGGCAACTTGAAGACGGCAGCCGAGGTCGACAGGCTCCAGCAACTTCTGAAGCCTCTGATGTTGAGACGCTTTAAGGAGGACGTGGAAAAGTCTATTCCAGTCAAAGAGGAGACCATTATCGAAGTCGAGCTGACGACCACCCAGAAGGCTTTCTACAGAGCTATCCTCGAGAAGAACTTTGGATTCCTCAAGAAGGGCGGATCTGCCGGACCCAGTCTTATCAACGTCATGATGGAGCTCCGCAAGTGCTGTATCCATCCATACTTGATTCAAGGCGCCGAGGACAGGATTGTTGCCGAAAGGAACGCCATCTCGCCTGAGGCGCAGTACCAGTGCCTAATTGAGGCCTCCGGAAAGCTGGTCCTGATTGATAAGTTGCTGAAGAAACTGAAGGAAGGCGGACACAAGGTTTTGATCTTTTCGCAGATGACACGGTGCCTGGATCTCCTGCAGGATTACCTTCGCGGCCGTGCTTATCCTTACGAGCGCATTGACGGATCCATTCGAGGAGACATGCGTCAGGCTGCCATCGATCGTTTCTCGACATCGCCGGACTCTTTCGTGTTCTTGCTCTGTACCCGTGCTGGAGGAGTGGGAATCAACTTGACGGCCGCCGACACTGTCGTTATCTTTGACAGTGATTGGAACCCTCAGAACGATCTTCAGGCGACAGCTCGTTGTCATCGTATTGGACAGACCAAGCCAGTTCAGATCTACCGACTGGTCACCAGGAACACATACGAGAAAGAGATGTTTGATCGTGCCAGTATCAAGCTCGGTCTGGACAAGGCTGTCTTGCAAAAGATGGACGTGATGCCCAGCTCAGACGACCTTTCGGACATGCCCAAGCCCCCGTCATCGCTCAGCAAGAAGGAGGTCGAGGAGCTGTTGAAGAAGGGAGCCTACGGAGCACTTCTGGATGACGACGAGACTAGTGCTAGGTTCTGTGAGGAAGATATCGATCAGATTCTGGAACGCCGCACCACCGTCATTAAGCATACCGGCAACGAGAAGGGCTCTGTGTTCTCCAAGGCGACATTCTCGTCCACCCCAAGTGGTGAGGAGGTCGACGTGAACGATCCGCAGTTCTGGGACAAGTGGGCTGAACGTGCGAAGGTCGACATTATGGATATTACTGCCAAGGACCAGCTCATCATCAATGCACCCCGTAGTCGTCGTCAGGTTCAGCGATTCGGCAAGGAACAGGAAGAATCCGATTCCGACGACAAGGACTATGTCTCTGACCCCGATTTCGAGGATGCCAACCCTGGAGAGAAGGTCGAAAAGGATAACTTCAAGAAGCGTGAGGCGCCTCGCCCTTGGAGCATGGCCGAGAAGCTGATGTTCGAGCGCAAGCTGATGATTTACGGCTACGGCCGCTGGGACCAGATGCAGGTGTTTTTCCCCCGTCGTTCAGAGAAGGACTTGAACGCCGTCGGTCGCTGTATGGTCCAACAGATTATGCGCGACATGGCTTCAGGATCAGAGGATGACCACAAGTTGATTGGTGAACTTGAGGCAGTTCTGCAGGAGAGCGACAATGCCAACGGATTCGAACCGGTCTCCGCCAATGATGTTCCCTATGACAAGGCCAGCAAGAAGTCCACGATCGAGTTCCGTTCATTCTTGCTCAACGCCACTCAGGAGTACATTGACCACATCCGCAAGAAGGGCCGCAACTTGGTGCTCAGAGTCCAGCTGATCCACACAATCCGCAACTTGATCCCCAGAGACTGGGAGGTCGCCAAGCAGATGGTAATCCCACATGTTGCCGGAGTTCCCCCAGCAACCTGGTGGGGTGAGGACGAGGATCGTGATCTGATGTTGGCAATCATCAAGTACGGATACCTTGTTACTGAGCCCCAGTACGAGGCTGTCCGCAACGACCCCGAATTCTGTTTCTATGGACGCAAGTACGATTTCCGCGCTAGCAACGACGGCGGCGACGACGATGATGGCGAGGGAACTACCAGCCGCCGGTCCGGTCACACCAGCTACAGCGCCGATCAGGGGGATGATGAGGCATTGCCCTGGCCCTCAAAGTCTGACATTGGTCTTCGTCTGCGAAGGATCATGTCGGCATTGCAACGCCACAACCAGATTGAGCTTCGCAAGTCCAACTTGGTTGAGAAGGACAAGACCAAGGAGAAGCTGCGCCAGGACCGCCAGCGCCAACGTGAAGAGGCCGCTCAGGAAAAGAAGCTTCAGAAGGAGTTGGAGGTGGCCTCACGGTGGACAAAGAAGGACAAGGCGGACTTTTACAGGACGATCACTTCTTTCGGCGTGGTCAGACTCAGGAACGGATCGAAACCCGGCTTGCTCGGCAGTCGGTCACGCACAGCATCTTCGAACGCCGGATATCATCCCAGCCACTCTTCCAGTTCTCGACGACACTCGCGTCATCACACTGCTTCGACGTTGACAGTGCATCACGACTGGACCCGGTTCAAGGAGCTCGCAGGATTGGCGAAGAAGCCTGATGAAGTTATGGAGGAGTACTATAACCATGTCATGAAGATCTCTCAGCAGGTCGTTGACAAGCAGAACACTCAGCCTGGCCGTCACTCCAGGGAATCCAGCCTTGCCTCAAACAACCGCCACGATGCTGAGGATGGCATCAAGGATGAGGACAAGGAGGACAAGGAGGACAAGGACGAGGAGAAGGAGGATCGCGATGATGCTGGAGACGGCCTTCCTTTGGACAGAGCCAAACGTATTCTGAAGAGAGTCGAGCTCATGAACATTATCCGTGATGACGTTCTGACCAACCCTATGGTAAGTTTATCGTGCTGCATGAACGTGAATTGCAGCAGTTGGAATTTGGTTGTTTCGAATTAGGTATCGCTAACACTTACGTTTATTACTTTTTGACTAATATGTAGTTGGACGATCTTCTTGCGGCTGCACGTCGCTCGCCTGGATTGCCAAGCTGGTGGAAGCTTGGCGTCCACGACCGTCCTTTCCTGGAGGGTCTTGCCAAGCATGGCATCAACCGACAGGATCTGATTGTTGGCGACGAGGACCTGCCCTTTGCCAAGATCAGCCAGACGCTCACCATTTTGCGACAGGATTTCAAGGCCGCCGAGGCCGCAGCTGCAGCAGAACGTGGTGAAATGGAGGTCGACCAGCCTCCTCTGAACGGTGATGTTAAGTCAGAGTTGACCGTCGATGGCATCAAGGAGGAAAAGGAACAAACCCCAGCGATCACCTTGGAGGCCATGGACGGAGTCGTCGCGGAGCAGAGCGCCGAGGCACCCAGCTCTGTAGACCAGCCCAAGGTGGAGAGCTCTTCGACAGAGGTTGTCATGGGTAGTGTGGAGGACGTTGCACCCAAGGTGAATGGTGATGCTACTCTGCCACCCACTGACCACATGGCTCTTGACACTAACTTGGATCAGACCAACGGATCTGCGATGGAGATTACGCCTGAGGCTGTCAAGGAAGAGACCCCTGTCACTGACTCCGTCGACACTGTCCTTCCCAAGACAGAGAATGACGAAGAATCTCCCAGCACCCACGACCCCTCAGTACTGGCCGCCGAGACCAAGACAGAAGAAGGAGCCAATGCCCTTCCTGCCCCCAAGGTTCCAGCAGCTCCAGCAGAGCCCGAAGAATTTGTTTGGCCCAAGGAGGCGGTTGTGCTTCGTCGTATGGACCACTTGATCGACATTGTGTTGAACCCCAAGCCGGCGACAAAGAAGAAACTTCTTCGCAACCAAGCAGCTCAGCTTGCCCTCAACAACTCGCTTGCGGCCAGCAGGAACAAGAAGAAGGGGGCCGATGAAGGAGACTATAGCGATTCGGACCGTACCGAGGATGATCTTGACCGCCCGACGACAGCTTCGTCAGTCCCTGCCAGCCCTGCCAGCCAGTCTAAGAAGCGGAGCAGGACTTCAACCAAGGAGAGCAAGCAGTTGGTGACGATTGAAGGAGACGGAGACAACACTTCAGGCGCCAAGAAGACTGGTTTGAAGCTGACGATCAAGTTGGGCAAGATGCCTAGCAAGAAGGAAGCCAAGAGGGATGTCAAGAAGGAGCCCAAAGAGAAAAGGAAGCGGAAGCAGGAAGCCCCAGTACAGGAGTCAGAGCCTATGGAGGATGTCGGAGGTTCGAGTGGTAGCGATACGGACGAGATGATGGCCCTTGCCAGCAAGCAGGTCGAGTATTTGCAACGCAAGATTTTGGAGAGGAAGAAATCCAAGGGCGGCAAGTCGTCGTCCTCCTCAAAGGTCTCACCCAAGCCTTCCACTGTACCGTCATCGTCGTCTCATCAGCGCAAGCCTTCGACTGCATCATTGAAGAAGCATCGTAGACACCGTTCTTCATCTTCAGGGTCGGGTTCATCGTCATCGTCTGGTTCAGGCTCGTCGTCCTCGTCTGGATCTTCGTCTTCTGGTTCATCCTCAGGCTCGGACTCGGACTCAGACTCTTCGCGTTCAAGGTCGAGGTCGCGCTCGTTCTCTGATTCACACTCGGACTCGGAAGCTCGTCACCGACGTCGCGATCGGAAATCAAAGCACAAGAAGTCGCGGCCATCGTCGTCGTCGTCCATGAGGAAACGAGACCGTACGCCAGATCGTCATCGCGAGAGGGAGAGAGACCGTGATAGAAGCAGAGACCGTGATAGGGAGAGAGAGAAGGAACGCGAGCGTGATCGCCATCGTCGCGAGAGGGAGCGTGTCAACTCTTCGTCTTCGTCCAAGGCTCGTCAGAGACACCAGACGTACAACGGCGGCATGGAGAGCTACCACGGAGATGCGTCGGCGTCTGCATCACCCATGTCGATTGTTTCGAGGAATGTGACGGGACTGAAGCTATCCTCGTCTTCGTCGACTCCCCTCCACAAGCGCAAGGTGTCGACACCGCGATCGGATGAAGGGAGCAGCTATCCAAGTAGTGAAGTGATGAGCCAGGGAGGAGGAGGATACGACCAGACATACCATCATCAGCCAAGTAATCACCAGCTGGGCAACGAGTATGTGGACGATGACCGGGAGGAAGATGATTATGATGAGGAATACGAGGATGAGGAAGAGGCGTACCGCAAGCGAGCGAAGGCGTAGAGGAAGTGTTTTTTACTATCAACTATATCATTAACAACTAAATACTATTTTTATTTTTGCAACCCCTATGCCATTGCTTTGAATGGGGTTTGTTTGTGTCTTTTCTGTTTTGTGTTGTTTGTGTTTCTTGCCTACCAACATAAGGCGAATATCTGTGAAGCAAGCAAGCAAGCAGGTGAAAAACAGATAAAAGAGAGTCAACAACAATACGTTTGCGTTGTTGTTAGTAGCCTCGAATAGAAATCAACAAACGTAAAGTCAAAAATAATTCAGGCACAAGGGACACATGCACCCACGCACAAAAGCGTGTAAACATCGACGCCCATTTTTCCAAGAAGCAAGGGTTTCCGACCCCGATTTGTTGTTCAAAGACACGACGCACACACCTCCCCGAACCCAAAAGGGATGCGTGGATCCAAGCGCAGGCAACAAAGACAAAAGGCAAGAAAAGCCGCACACATGCACACGCCACGCAGCTACGCATCATACGCGAGTTTTAGTCTTAAAATAAGAGTGCCAACAACCCTATTTTTGATTTGATGCAAAGCAGGTGGTGGAGAGGGCAGGGCGAGGGATACAAGAGAAAGTAAAGAGAGGGAACGTGTGCATGCAAGTGTACACGAGAAATGCTACAGCCAACGCTGATTGCTTTGCTTGGTCAGAATGTGTTTCTCTTTGTTCTTGTTCTATGTCTGTCCATCCTTGCGGTAGACAACATTCCAAAGTACGTGACCCGTCTCTCCCGCGCCTCGAAGCTTCGCTGTTCTTTTTCTTGGTTTTGATGCCCTTTTTCTCACCTCCTCAGCGTCGTCGCCGCATTTGTTGTATTGGAAACTTTTTTTTGGGTTCCCACATGCTCAAGAGTCGTGCGTTGGGCGTAGGATGGAAAAGCAAAATCTGCAGATGGACATGTCTATCGTGTCAGTCGGACGTTTTTCTTCTTCTGCCATCCTTCATCGTCCTCCACCTATAACTATAAGAACCACAAAGACCTTCTCCCACACCAGTTTTTCTTATCCTTCGCTTTAACGCCACTGCTATTTTCTTAATCCTTTATACCCTTTCCTCACTAATCATTACAAAATCTCAAGAAACTTACATACCGTCATGAAGTTCAATCTGATCCTTGTTGCCGCCATCACTCTGGCCGTCTCTGCTGTTGCCCATGCCGCGCCGGCCAACTCCGCCGTAATCACGAGCACAAGCGTAAGCATTCGAACTAAAAGCACCTCTGCCAAGTCAACGTCTACTTCCACGAAGCCAACGTCTACCTCCACCAAGCTTTCGACCACATGCGACACCAAGACAACTACGACTACCACAACTGCAAAGAAGCCTACCAAGACTCCCTGCACCACCACCACCACCACCACCACCACCACCAAGAAGCCAACCACTATGACTACTACCAATGCCACGCCTCCTGTCACTACGCCCACGCTCCCGACGGTCGAACCCATAACGACGACTACGACGGTCTCTAGTCCTTCTGTGATTACGAATCCTGTTGTCCCGGATGTCAAGCAGCCTGGTTCTGCGGCTGGGGCTTTGGTTGTTGATACCGTTGTTACTATTGCAGGTCTTGCTATTGCCCTTGCCCTTATCCTCTAAGCTTGCACGCAGGCACACACACGCGTCAAGTAGAGAAATATGTGGCCAATGGACTCTCTTCCAACATTAATGTAGTAAATAATTGCACATAAAATACATATCTTTATTTATTCTGCCTACCTGTTCAGAGTAGCAGTATTAATGCTCAGAGAGATAAAAGGGTCGCTCAAAAACATCAGCCGTGAGATTCTTGACAAGGTACTTGCGTTCATTCATCAGTTCCTCCCGGAGCGTCTTGGCCTCCTCCAGATCCATCGGCCAATCGACCATCGAATAGATCTCGTCCAGCAACTCTGTCGGCAACTTGTCCTGCACTGAATGCTCAAAGGCCACACGATGTTGAACCCATTCCTTTTGTTGTGGGGGTACACGAGTTGTCGAGAGCGTAGGTTCTTCTGGGTTAACGAGGAAGAAGACCAGAATCTTGCGTGTTCCGGGACGGGTGGGGTCTTGGAGTTCAAAGGGCTGGACTTCGTGTTGGTAAATGTTCGGGAAGACGAGGCACCGGTCTTGTTTTGTGATGATTCCGTCAAGGGGTTGGACAAGGGGACCTTCGTTTTCGAGATCGTACATGTGCAAGACTCCGCTGTCGTCGTACTGATCGTATTCAGGCTCGTGTACCTGGATCCGGAAGTTGAGACGCGACTCGGAGATGTTGTCGGAGTGGTAGTAGTAAATCCCGGTGGCGGCAATGTTATCGTTTGCCATGCCCTCGACGTGCCAGGTACCGCCTTCGTACTTGGGGTTGTCGGGTGTCAACTCGATGTTGGCAAGCTTCACGATGACTTGGAGGGGCTTGCCGGTGTTCTTGAGGTCGTACTTGGGGATTTCTTCGGGTGGTGTGAACTCTGGGATCTCGAGGGGCTTGGGGATACGGACCTTCTCATACGCCCAACGAGCCTCATTATCGTCGCCGAAATCAGGCATCTCTTCGTGCCATTCATAGGGGTTGACCTTGAACCGCTTGTTTTTTCCTTCAACCTCCATCTCCCCCAAGACCTCCTCAAACAATGGCAAAAACTTGTCCAGAATCTCCTCCAGAACCGGGTACATCTCCTTGTGTTCGACTGGGTGCAAGTTGTTGATGTACGTCTTGGCCTTGGTTTTGCCCTCGGGGGTGACATCAAAGTCGGTAGAGAGCCACTGGAATTTTTTAGAGTAATACATATCCCGGTGCTTGTTGGGCTTGGGTGGGACGTCTTTAGGTTCCCCTTGTCCGATAGACTCCAGTGCTGGGATGGCATCCTTGTCCATGACTCGGGTCCGACCAGCAACAAAGGGGAACAAGGAAGGATGAACGAGATCCAAGACTTTGTTGTTGGAACCAGGGTGCCAATCCTTCTTCTCATCAGGAACATCCTCCAGTTTCCTGACACACTTGACCAACCGACTCTTCAGCTCCTCCGGAACCAACCCATCCGCCCTCCTCGTCCCCTCAATTCCCACATCAATTACTACCTCCCCCTCCTTCCCCTGTCCTTCTCTCTTCAAATCAACCTGCTCCTGACGCCTTTCCGCATACCACTGCAACTCCTTCACTAAATAATCAATCTGCTTATCTGTCATCTGGAACCGCAACTCGCGCCCTGCGTTGGTATCCAAGAATTCCTGACGCCATTTGGCGACGATCTCAGGGTTGTTGAGTTTGATCCACCAGTCGGGTTTCTCACGGATGGTGTTGGACGCCGCGCGGACGAGGAGTTCTGGGAGGAGGGTTGGAGTGAACCCGCAGGCGTAGTCGTTCCCCGTCCAAGGGTGTGGGAGTGGCATTGTGTTTTGTTGATGATTAGAGAAGGAGGTGGTGTGGTTGGTAGGTAGGAATTGGTGATGGGGGGTGAGGGAGGAAGGCGTAATGTAAAAGGTTATGAAGAAAGAAAAAGAATTGAATGAGAGGTCGAAAAGAGGTTAAACAATGGCGAGGGGGAAGTGCGGCAGTGACAGAACAATACAAAATTGAAAGCAGGGGGACAAATGCAACGATCACAAACCGAGACGAAGAAGGTTGGACTGATCAATCAACCCTTAAGTCTGATTACGCGTGAACTTTTTTCATTTCACATTTCGCCCACACTGAACAGGAGATAATACATCGATTAATTAGTGTTCGAACAGCTCGGTATTGACCATCTGGAAGAACTAACGACGCTCCTTCATCATCTCCTCCCTATGCCTTTTGGCCTCCTCCAGTTCCATCGGCCAGTCTGCCAACTGGCCAACCACACGCAACAGCTCAGTTGGCAACCTGTCGCTCACCTCCGCAAGAAAACACGTGAACCCTCTCCTATTGCTGTGGAGGGACAAATGTCGTCGATAGGACCGGTTCCTCAGGGCTGACAAGAAAGAAAGCCAACAGCTTTCGGGATTCGGGCTTGGTCCGGTCTGCTAATCCGAAAGACTGCTCCTGATGTTGGTAGATGTTGGGGAACACCACACAACGGTCCTGTTGCGTCGTAATCCCGTCCATATACTGAATCAGCGCATCCTTGTTCATAACATCATACAGGTGCTCTGCTCCTCGATCGTCCGATTGCTCGCACTTTGGTTCCTTGATTTGGATACTGAACGCGAGTCGCGAGTCGCCAATGTTTTCGGTGTTGTAGTAATATATCCCTGTAGCGACAATATTCTCGTTCGCCATTCTCTCGTCATGCCAAGTGCCGCCCGCGTACACTTGATTATTGGGAGTCAATTCGATGTTGGCCAGCTTGACGACCGTTTGGAGGGGCTTGTATTGGGTCCTGAGGCTGTAACTTGGAAGGTCATCCTGTGGTACGAACTCTGGGATCTTGACTGGCTGGGGTAAACGGTCTTTTTTGAGCTTCCTTACTTTCTTGTCGTCCTTCTATTCGCCGTCGCCACCGCTGACCTCATCATCATCATCATCATCGTCATCATCGTCATAATCGCTTTCGGTCTCGTCGATCTAAATATCGCTCAAGTCCGAATCGTACCAGTCTCTGCTTTCCTTCAGCTTGCTAACCTTGAACGGGAAGGCCTCAATCGCAGACAGAACCCCCTCGAACATCAGTAGGACCTTGTCCAAGGTCTCCTCCAGGACCGGATACATCTCCTTGTGTTCGACCGGGTGCAGGTTGTTGATGTACGATTTTGCCTTGACTTTCCCCTCGGGGGAGACACCAAGGTCTGTCGGTAGCCATTGGTGCTTTTTGGAGTAGAAGGTCGAGTCGACTGCGCTTGATTTGGGAGCCGGGACGACGTCGAGTACTTTTCCTGCGGTGATGAAGTCCAGTGGTGGGCCGCTGTGACCCGAGTACGACCAGCAATGAAAGGGTACAGAGAAGGGTGAACCAGATCCAGGACTTGATTGTTGGAACCCGGGTGCCAATCCTTCCTGGCATCAGCAACATCCTCTAGCTTCCTGACACACTGTACTAACCGACCCGAGCTCCTCCGGGATCAATCCATCTGACCGACGCATCCCTTGGATGCCAATATCGATCGGCACCAAGGCGGTCTTATCGATCTGGTCGCGGTGCCTCTGCGCATGCCACTCGAGCTCCTTGAAGATACAATCCAGCTGATCCTCTCCCAACTGGTACCGGACCTCTCGCTCAAGTCCAACCGCAAGGATTTCTTGCCTCCACTTGTCCACAATCTCCGGTTCCTTGATTTTCGACCACCCAATTGGGTTTCTCTCCGATCGAGTTTGAGGTCGCCCACATTATCAGCTCGGTAAAGAGGGTAGGATAGAATCCATGAATGTATCCCTCTCCGGTCCAAGGGTATCGTACCCATGTTGTTTTTTGCGAAAGAGATGATGAGAATGGAGGAATGTTGAAAAGTGGAGAATGTTGTAGCTTGTCCTTGTAATTTGGAGTCCGTATCGTTTTCAGTGACAAACAAGTGCGGCGTCATGGTGGCATTCACTTGTGCCACCACCACTGAGTTTGACAGACAACGAGAGGGACATACTTTTGTGTCTCTCTCACAACTTTAGCCCAGTTTTCATACTACCTCGTTTACGCGTCAATTTTTGTTATCCTACCATTCGACGACTTCATCACACTACACAGTATCCACCGCATGTCCTATCGTATCGTATGGCCTTGGAGAAAACAAACAAGTACAACCACCATGATAGCTCATCGACGGGCATGCACAAGCATTATAGTTTCGACTTTAATGCAGGGCCGCAACTAATTACTTCTTCACAGCCAATGTCCTTTTTTGTATCGGTTTATGTTACACTAATCCTTACCCTTTTCATTTAGTGCACACTGCACTTTCAAACTGCCATTAAAAGGAACGGGGATACTGCAATGATCAAGAAAAAAAACACCATCCGTGCCTCCCTTGTGAAGCTACTCTTCAAATAAACGACTTTTGACCCCCTGCTCCCTTCCCTTGCTTGACTTTGGAAGATGAAGTGGCAGGCAAGGTCCAGTCAAGTGTAGGACAAAAAGATCAGGAGAGGCAAAAAAAATTCTAAAGCTTCTCGACAGTCCACCCCCAGTGCGTTGCTTCCCCTTCAAGTAGAAGGCCAACCCCTCCCCTTGACAACAATAACAGCCCTATGCTGCATGCTGTTTGGGCGTTATGTTAGGGAACTCCCATCATGCAACTTCCCTGTTGATAACATTGTTTCGTTTTGCGATTAAAATAATTGACAATTGTCCTTGATGTTATGCGGACGGTGAGACGGTAGTCCCGCACATATTCTAGACGTTTTGGTGTTTTCTTAATCCATAGATCGAGAAACAAGCCACATGAGCATGGGTACCATGGAATGGTTTGAGTGTCTAATGACAATCCTGCAATGACACACTTCTACGCCAATGAGCATCTAAAGAAAAAAATACATTACAGCCCAGATTGATGGTCATTTTGTGATTATGTTTTTTTATTCTTGTTCTATGTCAACAGTTTGTCAAGTGTCAGAGAATAGCATAAGTTGAAAAAAGATAAATCACTTTACCTGAGGATGCAACAGGGTCCGACATCCATGCAAACTAAAATTAGTAGGAACGAAATTTTCGACTCTCGGTGAAGCCTTACTGGTCGGTTAGCGAAACTTGATTCAGGAACGCGTTCAATGGAGGGTCAGGCGTAGAATCATTCACCTCCTCCAGCGCCCATCCTCTTGTTTGCTCCCTCTCTCGATGTGCGACGACGACGATGCCATTTATATATTGTTTTCTTTTGTTTTCTCCCCGATATTGCTTGTCGAATAACTCTGTTATCGCATAGGGGTGTTCATGGAAAACAACATAGATATTAATAATACCGATCAAGTCAAAGCAAAAGCAAGACGCAATCATTCAACTTCTAGTACATATTTCTTTTCAAGTCGCGCCCTACATGTCTGTAATACTTGATCTCATTGAAAGACCATCCAGCTCAGCGCCCTATCCACGGCATCCACTCCTACCAAGAGCTTTTTCTCATACCGAACCCAAAGCATTCCCTCCTACCGCTGGAGAAGAAAAAGGTATAAAACCCATCACCTATCCGCAACCATCTCATCAAAAACACAACAACTCAAGCAACACAAAAACCACAAAAAATAATAAAAGTCTTTCAAAATGAAAATCACTTCCTCCATCCTTATCGCTGCAGCGCTGGCTTTCGCATCCACCTCCGACGCCCTTCCCAGGCCTTATTCCTCCTCCCTTTCCTCCCTCATCAACGCCAACACGGCCTTGCCCACTGTTATCCCCACTGGCGACCCTTACCCTACTGGTGGCCCTAACCCCACTGACGGCGGCCCTTACCCCACTGTTATTCCAACTGACGGCCCTTACCCCACTGTTATCCCTACTGGCAGCCCTTACCCTATTGGCAGCCCTTACCCTACTGGCAGCCCTTACCCTACTGGCAGCCCTTACCCTACTGGCAGCCCTTACCCTACTGGTGGCCCTTACCCTACTGGCAGCCCTTACCCTACTGGTGGCCCTTACCCAAGCGGCGGCCTGACCGATTGCTGGCCTGATTGGAACAACACCACTCCTATCCCTACCCCCACCGGCTCGAGCACTTGGACCGACACTCCCGTCCCTCGCCCCACCTGGTCTGGTAGCTCGGGTTACAACAGCACCTGGACTGACACTCCCGTCCCTCGCCCCACCTGGTCTGGTAGCTCGGGTTACAACAGCACCTGGACTGGCACTCCCTGTCCTCGTGCCACCCGGTCTGCTAGCTCGGGTTACAACAACACCTGGACTGCAACCCCTCAGCCTACTTGGTCCAGCGGCGCTGTCACCGCCCCCACCCCTACCCAGACCAGAACTTGGCCCTGGTAAAAAAAGTCGTGTAGCTTCCACTGCTATCATCACTTCTACCATCTCTGCAGTAACGACCCTTTCCTTCCACTATCTCCTTCGCCACTCTTCGTCCCCCCACAGTGGCACTTCCCAGTCATTGATGAGATAACACCAACAAAAAAAAATAAAAGACTCCGATCAGACCCCTTTTTCCCTCTCTGAACGTCAATAACGTCAATAAAAGGTGGATTAAAGATGACTATACAACCCTCTACTTGTTTTTATTCACTGCCGACGTTTTTTTTCTCGCCGCTTTTTCTTGGCAACGACAGACCGCATTGACGGCGACTGACGTGAGAGGATGCAAAGCCGGATAACCATCTATTCCATTCAAAAATGTTAACCATACCATTGGAACAAGCGAACTTGTTTCTGAAAACGTGCCTTGTACACTTTTAATCTTCTTTCTCTCTCTCTCTCTCTCTCTCTTTTTTTTCTTTTTCTGTTTTTGGTTCTGGTTGTCTCTTTCGCATTGGTTTGTTCTTCTCTTTAACAACAACTTAAACAACAACATAAACAACAACAGTAGCAGCCATTATCTCTACTTCTCTCTCATTCCCCACTCCTCACTCCAATTCCTTTCGTCCCGACCTTCCTATCCGTCAAGTAAACACAGCAAAAAAAATGTTGAACAAATTACTTCAATCCAAGTATGACCGCCAGCGGAGAACTAGAGAGTTGACTCGCTCAGTGGGGCCATTCATTTGTGTCATGCAAGAACAATCAGACTTAAGCTGGGGCAGCAATGTCAATTGTCAATTCAGCTTCGCCTACTCCATACCCCCGTTCATGCCATTCCAACCATATGTTTTTCAAAAATCTCTTCATCAAGCAAAAACAAAAAAAAAACAAAAAGGAAACGTTGAAAAGAAAAGGTTTTTATTGGAGGGCTCGCCGTCTGCCTCTGAGTTCTTGCAGCGAGAAATCCCTAGCCCAGGGCACACCGCGAGGAGGTCGCAAACTGGGTACCCGTGGTCAATAGTTTGAAAAGGAAGATATAAAAAAATAAGCCAGCCCTCGGTTTGCCGTAATGCCACTGTTGTTAAGGAACGGCCGAAAGCGGAAAATGTCTTAGACCTCAGTAGTAGTGTCATCATAGGCATATGTTTGCGTTTGTGTGCCCCACTGCTTCAGTTCTGCATAGCTGCAAACGCAAGCTCACAACGGAACGGAGTGCCCCTGAACGGCTGTCACCATAAGCACAGGAAAGCCCGCGCTCCATTAATGTGCCATCATTAAGGGTGGACACACAATCATTCTTCGAACCCATAACCCCGCGACCCCTAGGTTCCCCCGATCCCTTTAGTTCCCGCAACCCATCAGTTAGCCCCCGGAATGCCATATCAGTCCTCAGAATCCCATGTTAGCCCTCTGAAGAAATGCGAAGCACTCCCGTTGCTTCTTCCTCCAACAGCACATGGCCACCGCCATTCCGGCGCACTCACATCCTTGACATGATCAAAGGGCCACCCATCCCAAGTTAGGTACGCGGACACTTACGTATGGGTTTATGACTCCTCTTGGCCCCTTCTTGACATCCTCTTGTCACTAAAGTGATACAAAGACAAGGAAAATTTCTGATAAGTTTGCGCCACTACATTGTACTTGTTCCTTTTTACGTGTTAAATGGTGTGATGATGGTGATCAAACTATACACAAGGGGAGGAAGACTGGGGAGTGTGGGCAAACAGTGTGAAAGAAGGTAGGGGGAGGGAACGAGACAAGCCTAAAGCAGACGCGCACCCCACTGGAAATAGAGAAAGAAGATAAAATGGCGATGAGGAGTGCAGAAGAAAGAATAAAAAGAAACCAATAGTTTGGGCGGGAGATGTACCTTTTTGTACACCCCGGTACGTGCACAAAATGTTGATCTCAACCCTCACGCGTTTCATCCTTTTAACCCACAAACACCATCCACACCGCTCTCTCAGCGTGTTGCAAACCAGGACCGGGAAGCAAGGACACGACCTCGTAAATAACAAAAGTTGGCAAAGAATAAAAAACAGAGGGTCTAGATTGCCATGAAAACTGCGCTTCATAACTTAACGATTATATTGTACACGAAATGGGGCCTACACACAAACAACTCTAACATAGAACCACTACAGAAGGAAAAAAAGAATCAAAAAACAACTGGGCAGATTACATAGGAGAAGAGGGGGATAACACAATCGACGAATGAAAAAAAATATGAAGAATGAAAAATAGAATGAAAGTAAAAACTAGCAGAAAATAAAACAAAAGATGCCTACACAAGGGAACTGAACTACCAGAATGCACAGTAGCCGACCCAGCATTGACACAAGTTCTCTGTGGAAGTGGCCTGGAGGATCAATTTCTGAACCTGTTGAGGGACATCCAATGTCTGGTCCGGGTTAAAGTCTCGTCCCGTCAGCTTGTTGGTCACTCTGTTTAGAATGGTGACAGCCCTCTGGTTCAACTGCTCTGGTTGGATTTCCACTATAATAGCAATCAGTTATAAAGGGCGATTGTTAGTATCCATACTACGCAACAATAGAGCATATGACAACAGTCCGACGACTGCCAATGCGGCGGAGGATTTTGACCGTTATTGCTGTTCTTGTTACTTACCTTCAGAGTTGTCATTGACCAGCTCTTGTTCGCTCGGAAGTGGTCTCCGAAGACTGCGACCCTGATCCTTAGGAAACGACTCCTGCGCTGCAGCTGTAGTACGACTCTGTGCTACAGCCGCTTCTAATGTTACAGCAAAACCAAAAGTCGTTGTGTTAATAATGAAAGCATGACGAACCCTCCAAGTTCACATGTCATTGCTCGAAATAAACAAACTGCTTCGTAGCCTCTCAAACTTACGCTGTCTGGGACTGGTCTGCAAGATCCTCCAGTTAATCAATGGATCGTGAACAAAGGCCTCCAATACCGCCATTACACTCTCCTTGTTCTCCCGCAAGACCCTCATCACATTCTCACTGGTGTTCCTGAAGCTGCCCTCGATACCGCTGACCTCCATGGCCTTTACTAACATCCTTGTCAGGCGGAACGGGATCCTCTCAGGAAACTGAGGTCGATGCATCGCCACCTCAAAACAGTCGCCAAAATCGATATGCACAACTCGTCCTGTGTTCTTTTCCATCATAATGTTCGAAGGATGTCGGTCGCCCAAACCAAGGATATGGCCCACCATCGACATGACCGCCAAACTCCTCGTGTAGTTGGTCCTGCGCTCGAACCAAACCTCCGAGTTTCGACTCTTGAGCCACAAAATTTTGTAAAGGTCCTCGCCCCGATCCACCGTCTTGGTCAACATGTTCTCAAAGATTTCCACCTTCTGCATCACCGTCAGAAGGTCATAGCTCTTCTCCGGCGCCATCTCTGTCAGCAGCTGGTGTTCGATGTAGAACGAGTATCCGCGGCTTTCACGGTACTCCCGAATAAAGTTGTGCAGGGTATCCGTGTCAGGGACCCAGCCGATCAATCCCGAGTTAGGCGAAAGGGGAATGACCGCATACTGAGTAATATTCAAGTGGCGCTTGAATGTTTCTGGGTCTCCTGCCAGGAGAGTGTTAACCAGTCCAAAGAGTTGCATCACACGCTCATCCTGCCGAAGATCTTCGTGTCCCTTCAACAAGTACTCGTACTCGCGTCCATTGCTTCCCTTCATCATCAGTCGACGCGGCTTCTGCTTGGAACCCATGATGGTCAGAGTGGGATTGAAGGACGAGATCCTGATGACGGGTTTGCCGCTTCGGTACGTCCCTGGAATAGCGAGCTCCAGGTCCCGGGCGTTTTGGAGCTGAGGCGACACATAAGGAAGATCCAGAGTGTTTAGCCGAGGCAACTTCTTGATGCTGTGGAAGACCTGGAAATATATATCCCAGGCGCGGTTCAGCTCGTTGACATCTCTCGCCTGCCTGAATCTGGTACAGCAACCATACGCCTTCTCCAGCTTCTCTCCGAATGCCTTCACGAATGACACCTCGTGCATAGTCTCTGGCGGCTATCGACCATGTCATGCATCACATAATATGGTTAGTAAAAAGCAAAAAAGAGAGCATGGGCCAGTGTGAGTTGTTGGAAAGCAACTGTACATCGAGTGCACATTTACCTTGAGGATCATCCTGTGAAGTGGCTCTAGGATATCCAGCATCGCGTCAATATTCCGTCCACCTTGAGCATTTAGCGTGGACGCCTCCTCAAGACCCTCCTCCCACATTTCGTGCCAAAGAATCGCGACACGTAGCAGTTCTTGACTGACCATCGAGGCCTGATCGACCAAGACCGGGTTGTGAAGGCGCATGTTCTCCATGATGGCCAACGCTGCATTCTTGCGGAACACGCTGGGTGACTTGGACGCGACCGTCAAAGAGTAAACCAAAACCTGTGGATGTGCCTTTCCGACGTCCGACAAAAGTTGGTGGATCAAACGATGGACACTCGGACTGGGTGCGTGAATACGAGCGATCAGCTGAGGAATGACTTGAAGCCAGGTGTCGATGCTGACAGTCGGGTAGCCCTTGGCCAGGGCCTCATTCACCTCCTTCCTATGGCCAAACTTGAACCAGAGTGTCAAAAGACGGAGCGTGTCCTGAAGCGAGTTGCCAGCAGAGAGGGCGATCGAGCGGAAGAATCCTGTGACCGATGGGACAACATAGGGATGGACTTGGTCGGCAGCCGCAGGCCCCTCCTTCTCAAAGAATGAGATGACGTCAAAGTTGGCCAAAGCATAGGTGTGCCAGGCCTTGTACCAGCTCTTGTCAAGGTGCTTCGCGTATCGGTAGGGCATCAAGATATGCTCAATGGAGTCCTATTGGTGCATAATAATACCAAGACGATTAGCAACCATTCGTAACGCAAAACAGTCTACTCTGCAAGCAGTTACCAAATGAGCTCAACACTTACATGGGTCCACCCATCCTGAAGAGCGAACTGCCATTCACCTTGCTTGAGGTAGCAGCGGGCCAATAACCGTGAAAAGTCTTCGTCTGAGCCTTCCGAATGACGAGCGGCCGTCAAAGCTGTCCCGTTGGTTCCTGTTGATCCCAGACCCAAGTCCGAGGCGAGGCGGTCCGTGAATAGTCGCAGGCATTCGAGAGTTTGCTCCCGGATTCCAGTCGCCCACATGCACTTGAGCTTGGCATAGATAACCTGTGGATGGGTGACTTGAATCATCCTTGTAAACTCCATCTCGGAATTCTCGGGTCCTACGAGCGACACCAACGCTTGGTCGGCCAGTCGCAGACGTCCAGATTTGCGGCACAGATTCGTAAACTTGATCCTCATCACCATGTCCTCTGCCGGGGTGAGCGCCATCGCATGGACCTTGATAACCCTCTGCCAGATCTCGATATTCCGTTCGCATCCCAGCAAGCGTTTCATCCACGTTTTACGGATTGTCGATTGACGCTCGGGTTGGTCTCCATAGTGCTTGTAGGCAATAACTTCTTCGAGTTCCGCCATCATCTGCACACGCACGACCGTATTGTAGGCTCGGCTGTAACTCTCGCTAACAAGTGCTGTCAGTTCCGTATCCAGTAGTGTCCGAGTGAGCTCGATCTGCTGTTGCGCCTGAGGAATCTGGTTGCGGTGGAGAGATAAGATCGCCTTGAAGAATGCTCGATCCGTCGACTCCTCCTGCATGGCCGAGATATAGTCATCCAAAAGATCCCATTGTCCCAAACCCCATGCACCAGCAGCAACGAAAGGTGCCATATCCCTTCGAAACACGCTAGGAGCATGGGCCCACTTCTCCTGCGCCAATGACGACAATGCATCCCACTCTCCAAGCGCGTGCAAACAACGCATCCGCTTCAGCGTCAACACTGGATCCTGTGGGTTCTCGGCTTGCTTCTTTTCATAGGCGGCCAAGGCATCTTCCCAGCGATGCAGTTTTTCGTACCAAGACTCCTTCAGCTCATGGGGTGGCGCATAGGTAAGAATTCCTGCTGCTGCGTCAGGCTGTTGAAGGTGGTTGTTGATGCTGATAAGACTCTCAATGTTGCTGGTCGAATGGTCCGTCATAAACTCCAGCTCCTGATAATGCAATGCTTTGGCATAGGCGTGGCAGGTGAATGCGTACTTTCCAAGAGTTTTGATGTCGATCGGAAGTGGTTTGTGGTCGTGCTCCATGTACTCGGCCATGTTGAGGAGAACCTGAATGGTTTCCGGAGAGATGTTTTGGGCAGTCATGGCTGTCCTGATAGCAGTAGCGAACTCGCCCTAAAATGAAGAAGTGTAGAGTTGGTTAGAGCTGACCTCAAGGAATTCAAAACTAGAATGGTACGCGTGTGTCTGAACTGTAGCTAACCTTAAACTGCTCGGGGAGGACAGTCCAGCAAGACATGAAGGCCGAGTTGAAGAGTTCGCGTGCAAGTGGCGGGAAGGAAGTTGCCATTTCAGCACATGCTCGGAGTGAATGAGACGACGTCTCCTTTAGCATTTCCAGAGTCAGGCGACGGATCCAATCTGTCCAATCCTCTTTTGTAGAGCGCGATTGAGTGTCCCATGCGCGTCTGAGAGCAACTGGGTTGACTCGGAGCTTCTTGTCGTCCGACAATGGCTGTGGTACATCTGTCGAAACTACGTACCGATCGTCACCCATGCCAACCAATTCTGACACCGATGGCAATGGCTCTTTGTGAAGAAGCTTGGTGGCGATCAGATTGTAGTTAGCGTGGTTGATCCGCTCTTTCACCAGCGCCTGTTGTTCAAGGGAAAAGTTTGTGTGAGTAGAACGGAACAGAGCTTATAAATGAGGCCTATGAACGACAGCACTGAACCAGCTTTACCTTTTGAACAAGGGGAACAAAGTTGAGGTAATCCTGGCCGAGCTGCACCGCCAGCAGACAGAGAACATCCATGGTCACATTTGACAGTTCCGGTCCCGGCGCAGACAAGGTCCTGACTAGCGGATGGATGATCCTGGAGGCATAGTCCGAAAAGTCGATCCTCTTTGAGAGGGCTCCAACTGTACTGATAGCAGCCCTCCGGAGATTCATTGGGGCGTCAGTTCGCTCGAATGTTTTGACGAGGACCGGAACAACTAGATGCAGATACTCCTCGATGTTCGAGCCGAGCTTGACGAGCGCCTGGAGAACCCTCAGCGAGGCACGGTGTTTCTCCGACAGATCCGTGTCCAGAACGACCAACATAGACCGAAGAAGTTTTGGCAGGTACACCTTGAACTCGCCCTCTAGAGCGATAGCGATACTCTCGATCAAGCCGATGATACGTCCCTGAAGTCCGATATGGCTCCAGTTGTCAAAGATCAGCTTGAGGAGGTCGGGTATATAGGGTCGAATGTGGAGTTTGACCACTAGGACAAGGAAACCCATCTTTTCAAAGTAAAAGTCCAGATTGTGCAGGGTCCCTGACTGCATGATGTTCAGGTACACCGGCATGATCTGCGAGAATTATGGAGCAAAAAAAAAAAAAAACGTGTAAGTTGGTTGACTCACGGCATCGCCTCATGATGCGCCACTCAAGCATGCGGTGAATATAGAGTCGACCTACCTGTGGTAAAAAGGGGACCATCTTAAGCTGAAGTGCTTGAAAGATGTTTACGATCGCCTGGGTCGCGGGTTGGTACTGCTGGCTCAAAGAGGGGTCTTTTAGGATCTTCAAGAGAGCGCTGATGACGACGGTTGGATAGTATTCGTCGTTTGCAGGGTCGATTCCTGCCATGAGTAATGCAACATCCGAATTGTCTGCCCTCTCAACCTGGTCCGGTCTCTGGTTTTCGATTGCCATTTGCTATATCAAACGCACTTTGGGTTAGCGATCACCTTCAAAGGACCCGGGGCATTCAAAATGATTAAAACGTGGACCCAAGACGTACCTTGTGGCGGTAAGGATCCAGTGCTCCGAGAATTCCGACCAACTTCATCGTCTCTTGACGAATCCTGACCGATTGCTCCGTCTTCAAAATGGACATCAAGATATCCAAAAGGATCGGATACTTTACGTAAGGGTCGATGACGTAGCCTGTGCTGCTGGCAAAGCGACCGAGGGCTGTCAACGCCGCTGTTCGCTTTGTGGGCGAACTCTGGTCCTGAAGGATCTCGATAAACATAGGCATAAGCTGGTCCGTATAGTGTAAAAGGGACTCACCGCCGACTCGCGCGATTTCGCCAACCACCTGGAGAATACTCGACACCACTCCTGGACTGGTATCCCGAATGTTTGGTAGGAGGACATCAAAGATCTTTTCGATGTAAGGCTTGATCAAGGTCTCCGAAGCGGTAACCAACAACGTCAATAGCCGCGCACTCTCCTCTCGAGTGCGTCCGACTACAGCATACTCGATCTCCGTCAGCAATTGGATCAAGATTTTGCGGAGCGTTGGGATGACGTAGGCAGGGTTGTATACGGAAAGGCGTCCAATGATCGTCAGCGACAGCTCGCGGACCGCAAACGACTCGTCATTAAGAGCGATAAACAGCGACCGTACGTTCTCAGACTTTGCCAGATGTCGGTCGAACCGGTCGTCCAGCGATTCAAGGGTCGTCTGTCGAATGGTTGTGTCCGGGTCCGCAATCCCGACGAGAAGCAGCTTTTCAAGGACCTCATCGACGACCTGGACTGCATGTGTGCTTGTTTGATAGATAATAGGGTCCCTCGCGAACAACTGACAGCAGGTATGCGCCGCAGCTCGACGAACGCCTGGATGATCGTCGTCCAGATAGGCCACACAAGAATCCCGGACAAACTCGTTCAGCATGTGTCCTGAGAAATTGAATGATCCCAAAGTCCTGAGAGCCAAGATGATAGTATCGACATCATGTGTATCTGAGAAATACGTGCTGCCCCGCTTTTGAGCTCCTTTCTTTGGCTGAGGCGCTCCTGGTGCTCGATACAGTTTTCCGCTGAGAATAATCGAGATGAGATTGAGAAGACGCTCTATCCATCAAAGTGGCGAGTAAAATCACCCTTAGTTTAGTTATTGTTTTTCGCATATGCATGTTATTTTACCGGACATTCTAGAGGCATATATACCTTGAATCCCTGGAAGCGCATGTGGGATGTATGTGGCGATGTCGGCAAGGGACTTGCTCATGGGCTCGCTGAGTCCTGCATATAACATCAGATCCAGCAATTCCGGTAATTGGTATTCCAAGGCCTGACCAACTGCTTGAGCAACCATGCTGATACAGCTGAAAATAGGCGCGTCGGTTGCTGCCCGATTTTTGCTATTGTGGCAACGATGCAAACATGATGAGACAATGCTAGTGTCTACTTGCCATCTTGTTATTTCTCATCCGATGTCTGGGCATGTGTGATGTGTACCTTTTAGCTCGCAGGCCATCTCTGATGCACTGCATGAGTCCATCCAAATATCCTTCTGTGTCCTGTTTGGCAACCAATGCGACCCTTCCGATGGCAATAAACGCTGCTGATCTGTCGAGTTCGCTGAGATATTTCCGCTCCTTGTCCAGCTGAACTTGGTCGAGGAGGTGTAACATAGACTTTTCCAGGTAGTAGTCGATAAAATCTGAGGGGTCGTAAGCAGCGAGCACTGGGATGAGATTTGTAACCGTTCTCCTGATGAGTCCCTCGCGATGGTTCCTGAAGCGCAAGACTATTTCGCAGGTGCCCTTGAACCGTTCATACATGAACTAGATGGCGCAAAGGAGGTATTGTCAGCAGTGTGCAACAATCCATAGCATAGCACGCATATATCAACCACCAGCATACATTTCCTTCGCCATACCATATTCGCGTGCAAGATAAGTTCTCGGATGATGAGTAGCGACCCATGAATACTTTCAGTGGTGGCCAGTCCAAGTCCGATTTGAACTTCGGTAAGCATCTTCGTATACCAGCTCGATTTTTGTGGCGTGTCGCGATCGGCAATGAGAATCAACACTGCGCTGAGGGTGTCGGCTGCTGCATCACGAATCGTTTGCTAAAATAAGGGTTTCAATTAATTAAAATGTTAGATTTGGTTTTTCACATGCACTCCACGCACATCAATTGCCGTAGGTCATATCTCACCTTGGGTTCCCGCAGAGTGCCCCAGATCTGGTTCAGGATGGTGCCCACATAGGGGTATACAAAGACGCTCGCGTGTCGTGCCAACTCGGCAAGGACAAGTACACTGGCGTGTCGTCGCGCCTCCTGTCTGTCGCCTAATTGCCAAAGAAGTGTATCCATTAGGCCAAATTCTGCTCCTTGACACAGCATCGCTCAACATGTGTTCTGCTACACACTATTATATTCATGACATACTTAGCCATTCGATGGCCCTCTTCAGCTCAAACTCGACAAAGTCGGCCGTGTAAGCTCCACCTTGCTGCGCCAGTTTGCCTGTAAAAAATGCCGCAAGAAGACGCGTGACAAAAGACCGAAAAATATGGTAATGGTCATTTGTTAGTTTCTATCGAAGAGAAGAATCACTTCACTTTGAGCGCATGTCATCGACGTATCGAGATTTGATTTCGGCAAACGTACCAAGCGCCCTGGCCGCGACTGTCATAATGGGGACATCGGATGGAAAGAGTTGGCGCAGATAGTTGGCGATTCGGGTTTCCTGTGCAGTGTTGTCTTCATCCTCGATACCAATCAAGTTTTCTATTAAATAAGGTCACGATGGTCGTGTGAGTTGTTCAATTGAGCTCTTTCTCGAGGACAAGCAAGGAACAATGTCTAAAAATAAAGATAGTCGAGTAGTTCTGCGCGTCGTTTTCTGCCTACCGATGACGAGTACTCCACATAGCTTGTCTTCGCTGTCGGCGCTCTGCAGGAGTATCTTTATGATGCTGTTGATCTCGCCATAGGACTTTGTGAGGTCCTGTCCTGACAATTCCTTCGTAGCGAGGGTGACCTGGACAGTTATCAAAACGTTTGATAAAAAGGCGCCGTCAGTCAATGCTAATGATACTTCAATTTGCCAACGCAAGTCCGAGAAACAAACTCACTTGTCGACGCCCTCGCTTACATATTCCTTAAACGCTTCGGTGGCGAGATTCCTTGCCTTTTCGTTCTGTAGGCTACGTTTCCGGCGTGAATGTGATGGCAGACAATGAAGGAAAGGATTCAGGTCTAAATTAGTTCCGAAGTGCCTTTGCCCACGAGGTTCTCTTTTATTTAAAGTGCCGCGCCGCCTGTGTTTTGTGTTTTCTTGGACTCAGTCGGTTGCTCCTGTACCTTGCTTTCAGATCGCTGGTCAGGCGCGTGAGGGTGATGGGCGATGCTGTAGCCATGGCCATTTACATGAGGCTGCGTGTCAGCCTTGTTGACTAGAGTAGCCCTTGTTGGTATTAAGGTGATGATGAAAGAAAAGAATTAGCCTCGTTGAATGCAATTAGAGAGGGAGGGTTCTTCTGAGGGGTATGTGTGTGATCGCGAGAAGGTGTTTTTTGGGTTGATGAGGGAGGGGGATGAGGTGTCGTATTGAAAGGACGTTATGGGAAATAGAAAAATAAAAGTCCGTTTGGGAATCACGAAGAGGAGGAGGAGTGGCGGGTGCAGGAACTGAATTTGAAGGAGAGAGAGGAAGAAGACAAAAGGACAAACAGCATGGGTCTGTCTACACAACATGCAATGGTCACGTGTGGATAGTTGACACAGTCTGACACACAGCGTCAGATGTCATGTCAAGGCTTGATTTACGCCAGGGGCAAAAAATTATTATCGAGACTGACAAAGTCCTCAGCGATGGTGCCAGGGATCATATCAAGACCAGCCAAGGAAAAGGGTGATGGTGATGGCAATGGTGATGGTGATGGTGCCTGGATGAGGATTAACCTTCTGTTAGTGAACATCGATCATATTGTGAAAGTGGGATCGCTATTTTCTGCAAAGTATCGACTACCACGGCTTCCTTTATTATTTTCACCAACACCACTCTTCTTCAAAGCAAGAGAAAAGAGTGAATTCAATCGCTTTGAACTGTATCCTCGTCTTTTACTTTGTGGAACGCGTCGCGATTATCAAAATAACACGAACTTTGTGCATCGCCTGGCGATGTGACGAGAAAAAAGAACAAACAAGTGCGTGTCTCCAACCAACGGCTGCAAGGCAATAAGACTAGCAGCGAACTATCCTTATGGCCTGCGAGCGCGTGAGAAAGCATCCCCCGCTGTTCAGAATAATATTCCGGATGGTGAACATTTTGTGGAGGAGGAGTGGATGTCCTCGATCAGCTGGCGCCATCTGACCTTCAAAGTAGTCTATCTGTGCCTTGTTGTAGAGGGTATATACATGGGCCAAGGTGTTGCATGAACGTTGAAAGTCGTTTATCTTCTCATTGATGCTTCTAGCTTAGCCGACAACCCTAATTGATGGTATTGGATGCTGACTGGACGATCCTGAGTCCTTTGAACCTTTCACGGTTTAGGAACTTTAGACTGTCCGTGAATAGAAAGGTCAAAAAGGAAAAAAAGGTCGAATGCAAGCGACGGACAAACAACCACGCTTCCGCTCGATTGAAGTGCCGCCCATGGGTGTAATTGAACTCAGCCAGGAAGGAATAGGAAAGCCAGGATTACGGGGAGCAAAGTATCCATTGTTTTTTTATGTATCCGTGAATTTGAATGCCTGTTATTCTTATTTCAATTCAACCTGGACCAATCAACCACTACTCGTTACATGAACCCGACATAAAAAGAGTGGGGGTTCGCCTTTTTTAATCTTTTCCTCTGCTTTCTGTATTCTGACTTTTTTCGTTTCTGCTCCTTCCTTCGACAATCGACACTCATACCCTCTCTCGCTCGCTTGCTCGCCTCCCTCTCCCTTTCCTACCTTCCAACAACAAATTCACAGCTCACTTCCCCTCGCTCCACAATTTGTCAAAGCACTATACACATGTCTAGCTCAAAAGATATCTTTGATCTCGAGAAACAATCCCTCCAGCTCGTCGATCATCCCATCCACCTCCACCCACAGCAACAACCACAACAATCGCAGCAGCAGCAGCAGCTTGCCCTCCACGCCCACTGCAAGCCCGAGGATGTCCGTGTTCCCACCTTCCAGATGGACGACATGAACCCCTCCCTCAACGCCGTCCTCCAGCCCACCACCCCTCCCCCCAACCCTGGACCATTCGGTCTCTGCGCTTTTGCATTGACTGCCTTTTGCATGGGTCTTTACAACCTCGGCGCCGGCATCAACGCCGCTACTCCAGGCAACATTATCACAGGCACCGCCATGTTCTACGGTGGTCTCGGTCAGGTAAAATACACATTGAGCCGCCTTTTTTTCTCCCTTTTTGTCTTCAAGCTTCCCCCATCCACTACTTGACAAAGGGGGACAGAGCAGCGTTCCGTTGGAATGGCTGGAGTGAAGACGATTGATGCATACGAACCCTGTCTCTTTTCGTTTTGGAATGGACCACCCGGTCAGCTCTGTGAGCTGGCATCTCTTGACTCCTATCCTGTCCTTCACTTTCCACTCTCCACAAACCACACCGTCCGTTATCCCCGGCAGACTGTCTGCCTTCTCATTTTCTTTTTTTGTCCACTTCTACCTCCCCTTGACCTCAACGCATTTGTTCGTTTTCTCCCCGACTCCTCCTCTAACAAAGAGGACAAAGAAAAATAATAAGGGTCGAGAAACAGACCACCCCATCTGCAGCACCAGAAATAACAAACAACAACGAGCAACGAACCATTCAACATCCATCTAGCCCATCATACGAGTGCATCACTTTTTTTCTTACCTTGCTTGAATATGTATTACGATCTCCGCTCGCTCACGCGCAAATAACCAAAACAAAGAAAAAACAAGAGCAAGAAGAAAATGTTCCCCGCGTTGTATTTCGTTTTTCCTATGTCCCCAGTGAGATACTTCCTTCAAGGAGAGAGTTCATTTCTGTCCCTCTTCCGATACCTTTTTTTTTATGCTCTAAAAAGAATACGCCCACCCCATTCGTCCATCCCTCGAGACCGAAACACACAGACCTTATCCTTTACCCTGTCTAAAATTGCTGAGCACAATTGGCCTGTAAACTATCGTCCTTACGCGATCGGTCTCACATCAAGCCACTCTCCATTTAGCCCATCCTCATTGGTCACCTCCACTAACGCGCTTTCATTTTCCATTGTTCAACGCGTTCTTCTTCCGAAATGCCATTAGGTCATTGCTGGTCTGCTTGAATATCGCAACGGAAATACATTTGGCGGCACCACTTTCTGTTCCTATGGTATGTCATCTCGCTCGACTCTTCGACAACTCTTTATTGCCATTGTTCTTGGCTTACCCAGTCTAACTAACACCATCCCCGCTATTTTTCTTTCTTTCCCTATTGATTGCCATTAGGTCTTTACTGGATCTCGTACGCCACTCTGCTCATCCCCTCGTTTGGTGTCGCCGCTGCTTATGCAGACTTCCCCGAGGAATACAACACTGCCATAGGAATCTACTTCCTCGGCTGGACTATCTTCACCTTCTTGATGTGGACTCTCACCTGGAAGTCCAACCTAGCCTCGACTGCCCTGTTCTTCTGCCTCGGCATGACCTACCTCTTCAGCACTATTTCTAGCTTGGCCCACCTCGAGCCCGGCAATACTGTCCAGAGGTTTGGCGGTGGAATGGGCATGGTCACCTCGAGCATCGCCTGGTACAGCGCCATGGCAGATCTCAGCAACAACCAAAACTCTTACTACACCCTGCCCTTGGGTCAATTGGGACGTCGTTAAATCGAGCTTCCACCCTTCTTTTCAGGGCGTGTGTTCAGATACACTTTACCCCTTGAGTTCCTCCTTTGATCTCCACAGAGAACGACAGCCCCCGCCCTGTGTCATGTGTGCATTTTTCCATCCCTCTTTTTCTTTCACTCATCCTTCCAACCCAACTCCAGTAAAGCGTCTTCCTTTCTTTGTATACCAATTGCCGCATTCTTTTTTCCTGTTCGCTTGTTACTTCTAATAAAACTTTTCCTACACTCAAATCGCACTGACCAGATTCTCCTTTTTTCGGAGTCATTGACCATGCTCCTGCATCCATAATTAGGCGGTGTATGGTTTATGAGAATCTTCGGTTATGCACGGTGGTAACTCATGGTTGAAAGACCTCTTAAACCATTCTGACAGACAATAATTACGCCCAATATATTGGTTGTCTATCAAGACGTTTACACGTTTCTCGTCGTCATGCATCACCAATCCTCAACCTTCGCATTGTCGGCTTTAGCACCTCCACATCCAATATCTCGCCCTATTTTTTTGCTTAAAAAGGCAAGCAATGCCCACCAAGAAAAATGAAACATCCAACAGCCTCAACTCTCGAACGTCGTACATTTACCATAAGCTAGCGCAACCTTCAACTCAACCCGACAACCACTCCGCATAATCGTCTACATCAAGAAAACACACCATCAAAGTCAAACCTCACGCCAGACCTCAACACCAACAATACAACATGTCCGAAAATGCCATAGGATTCGCCATCATCTTGAGTGTCCTTTTTGTCATTCTTGTTCTTTGCGGCGCCTTTCAATGCACATTCTGCAATTCCACCAAGAAACCCAGTCGTCCTGTCCGTCCAGGAGCGCCAAGGCCAAGACCCGATTCCGTCCTGTCATTGCAAGGAGGCTTGTCAATCCGGAGCTCGGCCTACTCTCTGGTCCCACCCACAGAGAGCCTGCCCTGGAACAACCCATCCGTGATCCTAGAGATCCATCAAGAAAGCGATGAAGAGCATTCGCCTACTCTAGCTTCGCCACCACCAACCTATCAACGCGTATCTCCACCACCGTCGACCGGGATGATCATGGCACCAAATCACAACACTAATTCATTTGTTCATGACCATTACCATCAGCACCCTTACTCCTCTGATAGCATGAAACATTCAACATACCCAGTCGTTAGCTCTACCCGATCGACCTCGGAGCGACCTACATATGAACGCACCGCGGCTACATACTACTAGAAGAACAGTACAAAAATACATGTTGCACAACAACACTACACAACCTTATTTCAATTCTTTTTTTCTCTGTTACCTTTTTACAAGTACCCATGTCCATGTGGCTTTCTGCAGGGCCACCGCCCTTCGTCATGTCGTAACAATGCCTTCGCTTTTTTTCCGGGTCGACTACCCCATGATCCCTCCATCTCGCCCTTCCTGTTCTTCTGTATCGCCACGAGTCCGGGGATAAGCATTTTTTTTTTTCATTTGCGTTTGTGATCTCACCGATAAGAGAGAACTTTTCCGAGGAAGCGTAACACAGACTACTAAACTGACACAAACAACGGTCCTGTTTTTCCTCTCTTTCACCTTCACACGCCTCCCAAAGTCGATAAACAGGGTCAACTGTTCCCTGTACCCGCTCATGTTTAAATTTGCCTTCTTCCGGTTTATACGCGCTCTCTTTCTTTCACTTTTCCTCTCTCTCTTCTCTTTTCTTCGCCTTCTCTTCACTTCTCCTTTTATTCCTTTCTCCTATTCTCACTCCTCCTCTCACTCTCACCCTCCCTCGTTACCCCAACACACCACCCTATCAGCCAAAACCCTCCACCACAGGAATGGTCGACGTTGCCAAAGTAGGCATAGTCATCGTCATAGTCGTAGGCTTTCTGATAAGCGTCGGATTCCTCTGCTGGTGGCTCCCCCGGTCATTTCGCAAAGATACCGAGTACAAAAATAGACTAGTCAACGACGATCCGAACGCAGCCCCCCCTTATGTTGCCAATGTTGATGTCGAACTACAGGTCCAGCCTTCGGTCGTGATCAGTATGCCCGTTCCTCCTCCGTTGGTAGACGAGTCCTTGCCACCCCCACCGTCATATCCTGGAGATAGCCGACATTATGCTTCTTTTTCTTCACCGCCGGTTCCTGGATACGATGTCGCCGCGCCTGTTCCAGGTCCTGCCGTCGGCTCTGACTCTTCCTCCGTTCCTGCAACAATACCTGAGCACACCGCATAGAACCCATCTTTTTTTCGTATATACCTCACCTTATAATATAATGCAGTTTTTTTTTACCATCTTTTGGCATGTGCACTGTGATTTATTTATTTTCGTTTGATGTTGGAATAACAGGGCAGAAAAAAATAATATTAGATCAGACAGCACCGCCCATCGTTCTTCGGACAAGAACAATTGGGCGTAGTCGACTGTCGTTATTTTATCAACGGGTGGCTGCTGTGAAATGAACGACCCACTAAGAGGAACCAAGAATATACCATGTATCAAAAGTATCCACCGTCCGCGGCTAAAGTATAATCGGGTACAACCACGCTCAACTATGCCATCATTTAACACAGTTATCAGCAAGGGAATCGTTAGCGATGTTGGAGAGGATAGGTGGCAGGGTAAAGTTGATGACAGTACCACTGGCGTCCTTGGCGGTGACGGCGGAACCCACTTGGTACCCGTTTGTAAATGAAACCTGCCCATCAAGTCCAAAAAAAAATGATATGCCTCTCGAAAATATCGAGATGGGTGAAATTGTTAAACGTGTCATTTCCTTTTTTTTGCTTCATATGATGGGGTGAAGAATGACGGGAGAGGGGGAGGGGGAAGAAGAGAGAGAGTATAGGAATGAGAAAGACAGAAAGGAAGGCTGAAAGGAGGAGATGGAAGAAAGATGGTTCTTTTCATACATTTGATAGAAGGGATCACCATACTACAGATAGCAAGCCATTACACCCGTTTCTCATTCGTGGCGACTTCTGTTTATTATAAATACAAGTTCTCGAGTTCCAACTGTCGCCGTTGGTACTCGTTTACTCATCTCACCCTCCGTTATTCCGTCTCTTCCTTGTTCCGAACTCGTTGCAGGTGGTAGGGTGGGGTGGGTTGCTCATGTCTGTGGGCGTTGGTTGGTTAGTGAAGATGCCCTCCACGACGAACTCGAGTGTTGGATGTGTGAGTGGAGTAGTGGTCGTCTGATGGAGATTAAAGAAAGAAAGAAAGAAAGAAGGGAAGGAAGGATGAAAGACGGTAGGAAAGGATGAAGGAAAGCGTGAATGAAAGGAAAGAAAGAAGAAAGCAAATGTAAGAAGAGAGAAGAAAGAAAGGGAAAAGAAAGTAAGTGGATGAAAGAGAGGATATTTTGTCCCTCCTGGCGGGTGACAGCGCGTTGCCACCATATCAATGATCATTGATCATTGAATAACGCGTCAGTGCTTAAAAAAAATGCTTATCGACGCGTAAGTGATGAGTCGCCCTCAGACCCACCCTAGTAGTTGTTGCGTAAATTGTATAAATTGTATCGGCCATTGGTTTACTTTCCTAGACAATATAGAGGAAAATGTTTTGGAATGAGTGGTACATGCATGGTAGAGCAGGGTGAAGCAAGAAAAGCACACGGTGAACGTAAAGTGAGAAGAAGAATCGAGTACCTTTTTACCCACCAATTTTTTTTTATTCGGACGACTCCCCACATCAAGCGTCCGAATAACAGTTTTATTATTATTGAATTGATTTGTATTCAATGAAAAAGAATATGTAGAAAAGTTACCAGCCACAATTAGTCACATGATCGGCCGTTGCGCTCGTTCGTCCGCAGAAATGAGAAAAGAAACTGCACGCACACCCACGACGCTTAAAAACAAAAAAAAGTAGAAATGAGAAAAGAAACGATGAGCTTTGCTCCGTCTATATCCCCACATCCTTAACTTGCTTTGCATTATGAGCCAGCGGTGACCTCGCAACCGATAGGTAGTGAAGCCGAGGAGGAAGAAGATGAGGAGATGTTGCCACCCCGACGTAACAGACCGAGGAGCGATGATAGCGATCTATACAGCCCCCCTATCACTGCTGAGGATTTGGAGGGGGTCAGGAGCTATTGGATGGACATAGCTGGAGGACTCGAATTAATTAAACCCGAGGCAATGATGGATATCAGGAATGCAATGTCGAATGCAACTGATGAGGACGAGCTGGAGCTTCGCAATATTCTCAAGAAGGCGACGCGTCTAGCTGCTACCTTGGAGAGAAAAAGACGGCGTCTCACGAAGAGCGAGGGAGGTCATGTAGAAATGACCAATAAGGGCACCTTGGAGATAAGGCGGGTGCAAATAATGAGAGATATACAGAGGGACAAGGAGACAGCGACCAGCAGGAACACGATGATAGGAACCTTTCCAACTGCAATGAATTCCATTTCGTTGATTGTGATTTTTGACACTTTTTCTTTTCTCATTTCTGGGGACGAACGAGCGCAACGGCCGATCATGTGACTAATTGTGGTAACTTTTCTACATATTCTTTTTCATTGAATACAAATCAATTCAATAGTAATAAAACTGTTATTCGGACGCTTGATGTGGGGAGTCGTCCGAATAAAAAAAAATCGAGGACACGAAAGAGAAGGATCCTCCCTTTTTTCGCGTCGCACAAACCTTTTTTTGTTTTCTCCTCTACCATCGTATCTTTTTTTTTTTGTTGTTCTCCGTTGTTTTCCCTTCATGTTTTGTTAACACAGTAGGTGCTCGAAATGGAGGAACAAATATCCCCCAACCCGTCCCTCTCACTTTCCGTTGTGTGATGTTCGTTACCGTCCAACCACTCCGTCTTTCATTCGGTTCATTGTAACACTGTTCTCATTCCTCCTTCCCCCTTTTTTTTTCTGGTTGGACGCGTGGTGTCTTCCTTCTCTCTTTTCGACCAGTCGACATCGATTGTCTGTATGCTCTCCTTCGCTGTTGAACTGTGTTTGTGAATGTAATAGTTCCTGAAAATCCTATGGTCGCAATCCATCGAGAGACATGATGCTCAGATCCCTCAGCGTCCCCACAAGAAGCCTCAACACCTACTCAAACCCTACGCCAGAATAATCCCACCCACCCAGCGACAATCTCTCAAGGTGCCTAAACCCCGCCAAAGACCCCGACATACATAACCACACTCCCAACCTGCCCTCATCTTCATGTTATTTCGCTGGTATTTTTCTTTCAATAAAGTAACATGCTCACCGGCACCCTCCCATGTCAATGCGCTCCAAAAATATGTTTTCATCATAAAAAAAAAAGGCAACCCGAGACGGGCTTGTATTTTACAACGGTGCGGCATCCGCAGGTTCAGTCGCCGTAATAGCCTGCTTTGACCTGTCCAGCTTGACCGACTTGGTCTCATCATCCCAAGCCAATCGAGGCCCGCGAGAAGGAACACGTCTCGGGACAAACAAGTCTCCACCGCCAGTGTAGATCTCTCTGATCATTGGCGAATCCGACTCAACAACATCAAGATCCACGGTCAAAGCGCCAGTATCCGCCTGTAGTTCCTGCTCACCCTCCTCACCAATACCTCGCTCGATTCCCTCCAGGGCTCTGACCGATGGGTGTGCGTCCAAAGACGACGACAAGGACGGCGTTGAAGTGGGAGAAGACATGGTTGAATCCTCCGGAGTAGCAGCCCTGACAGCACCAACCTTCTTGACAACAGGCGACCAGATCGCACGATCGACATGCTTCCTTCGGAACTGCTGCACACGCGGCCACTGGACTCGATCCACCTGCATCTGGTCCGTAATCTCTGTCCAGATCGGCAACGGAATCCTGGCAGTGTTTTCTAATGACTCCCGTGTAGCCTCAGTCGCACCGCCAGCATCCCCTTCGCCTTGCTTGACCATCATCTTCTTGTTGCTCCGTTTCCTAGGCTTCTGTGTTGCCGACTCCTCACTGCTCAGCTCTGCTGTCGATCCCTCTAATGCCTCAGCCATCGCGATCGGGTTAGGCAGCGACCGCTCACAGAGCCGAATCAAATGGTAGTAAGTGATTGCGTTCCTGGGTATATTCGACTCCACCATGTTCCTCCACACCTTCCATCCAGAATCAAAGTCCCTCTGGATCGCAAACCCCTTGATCAACGCCGTCATGATCGCCGTGTTGGGTCCAACGTTTTTGTTGATCATCTCCAGGTAGACATGCTGCGCTAACTGCATGAACCCTCCTCGGACCGTCAGATCCAACAGTCCTCCAAAAATGTGCTGACTCGGCTTCAGCCCTTGGTTGCAGAGCTGGTTGTACAGGTCGCCAGCAAAATTGAGTCCGATCCTGTCTTCAATCACCGTTTTGACCGGGAAGCGAATGTGCTCTCGTCCTGGGATGAAATGACGCTTGACAATCCCACGCCCTGTCCGGCTCCGAGGATCCAGGCATACCAAATCGATCAGAGTGCCATAGGTATGCAGCGTAGGCTTGACCGACTTGCGCATCATCTCATCGTACAGACCCCAGCCCAACTCGACCTCGCCCTTCTTGACCGCGCAGTTAATCAACGTCGTGTAAGTAACAGCGTCCGGTCGACCACGCAGAGTCCCTTTCATGTGTTCCAACACCAAGAATCCATCGTTGGGGGATCCGGCATTAGACAGGTAGTTGACAAGGATGTTGTACGACGTCGTGTTTGGCTCCAATCCCGCATCCGCCATTTTCTTGAACGTCTTGACAAACTTGGTGGTATTCATCGCATCAGCGCACTCCTTGAGACGGTGGTTGTAATGGATCACCGTGTTGAATCGAATCTGATCAGTCACTGCAGCCTCATCCTCTGACACATCCGTACCTTTGGAGACGTCGGCTCCACCCCCACTCAGGGTTTCCATCGCTCTACGGAAGAGTGCCGAATGACCAGCATCCTTGCGACCCCTCAATCGCGCCAGTTGGAGTACAACGTTCTTTGACCGCGAATCCAGCCTCAGCCCTGATCGGTTGAGCTCCTGGAAGACCTTCTGCGCCTCATCTAGCTTGTCGGCACGGATATAGTTCGACATCATCGACGTGTACATCTCGACCGTCAGGGGGTGTCCTGCATTGTTCATCGACTTTAAGATATCCTTGATCCTCCGCTCGTCCATCTGTCGTCCATAGCCCTCGAGCATGATCCCGAATGTCTGGGACGAGAGTGACATTCCCTTGCGTTTCATGCTCTGAACAGCCTCCTGCGCGTGGTCCATCCGTCCCTGATGCGCCAGTCCCTTGAGATACATCTGGTAGATCGCCTCATTCGGTGGGCTTGCCGTGTGCTGGCTCTCCATGTAGTGTTGAACCGCCAGCTCGAGTTCCAGAAACTGGTTGCCCTTGACGCAGCTCATCATAAAGCCGATGTAGTCCTGATCGCCCAACCGCTGGTCTCCCAAGGCACGCGAGGCCGCCAATTGTAGCCGGAATCGACGGGTCTGTGTCCTCCATTCGGCATACTCGATCCGATTCGCGTCTCGCTTCTGTAGCGCTAGCGCCAACACTCGTGTCCGCGCCCGCTGTGTGGACTCTGAGTCTGACCAACTTCTCGCAGTGGGTGAAAAGATAGATCTCTGAAGGCGCAACATCACAGGCCGATCCAACAGACGCACCCAATCGCGCTGCTCCAGCGTATCAAACAACAGGCCCAGCCAAGGTGTCCTGTTCACTCGTGTCAGGGGTGACACGACCGCGTGAATACCCATCGCCAGAACATCCTCCTCGTTCGCGCTAGACTCAATAAACGCCGTCGGAACTCCATCAATCAACATCTTGGCCTTTCCGATCCTCCGCAGACTCATCTCCAGTACATGAGGATCCGTCCATTGGCCAGAGTATGCGAACTGTCGCTCAAACTCGTCCACCAGGAGGTAAGGGTTCAGCTCTGGGGCAATAATCTTGGAAAGCGCCTCTGGGTTGATTTTAGCCTTCCCGAGGTAGCCTGGTGCCGAAGATTCTACACGCATATCCATGCCTGGTCCTGCATTATACACGCCGACAGCCTCTTCCAGTGTGATCGGGGTCTCGATGCTGTGATCCAACCGAGCGCCAGATCTCAGCAGTGCCGAACCGTTCTGGGAAGACGCCATTCGCAGAGAGTTGATACCCCAGTAGGTTGGCGGTAAAGCATCGGGTCCTGAGAATGTCGAGTCAATTGCGTTGGCTGGGAGTCGTGTAGAGGTCTTGGAAGACGGAAGCTGGTTCATAAAAGGATTAAAGTCCTGACTGCTCGGGCCACGGGGTTCTTCTCGAACATCCCGAAGTCGATACCGTGGCGGTTCAGCTGCCAGCTGGTGACGGGCGCTGCCAAAGGGTCCTCGTCTTGTTGTGGAATGGCGGCCAAAGAGTGGCGCGTGTTGAGCGTGAGTTGATCTAGGTCGTGATGTTGGTTTTGCTGATACTTTTGATGCTGATTGTGTGCTTGATGACGGTACAGAGGCATTGACCGAGAGCTCTTTAATCCTCCTCGGCCCCGAGGCATTAGAAGTCGTCGTGGCTATCCCGTCAGAGACCCGATGCTGGACATAGTTAAGCTCAGCGCTGCCGTTCTCTGCCACCAATACTGCATTGTTCTGTGCCCGCGAAGAGCGGTGATAAGAACGAGTGGCACAGTTCCGGGGCATATGAGCAGCGAGTCGCCCCGAGGCAGTATGCGGTTTGGTTGCCTGGAAAAGGTGAGGGTGAAGGGTCATTCGATGGAAGGACTGGATCCAGTGTCGCGTGATCCCGGACTCCATGATGGGTGCTCCTGACTGGTTGGATTGAGCTCGGGCGGCGGCGGTGGTCGAGTAAAGCGTTCTGCTTATGGAGGACGCTGCTGAGGTAGAAGATGAGGTTCCTCGCTTGACCAAGGTGACGGTCGAGATCATGTACGGCTGGTTGTTGTGTTCAGGGCACGGAGTCCTGTTGGAGAATGGAGGAAGCACACAAAAATAATAAGATAACGGGAAAGCACACACCAACAAGAGCACAAAGTCAGTCAGGGGGAGCAATGTTCAACAAGTTTTGGGCAGTACCTTGCAGGTTGCTAGGTGTCGTGAAGAGGGATGTGCAGGGTATGTGAGGGTGTGTAAAATGAATAAGAAGGGCGAGAGCGGTAGAAGAGGAATGAACTGACGCGACCGAGCAAAGAAGTAGTTGTGATAAAAAAATGTGGTGTAATGGTTCCTGGCCTCCTTCCAACTTCCACTTATGTTTACCGCGGAACACAACCCTCTGTGTGGCTTATCCCTAAATTATCCATAATCCGAAAGTGCACATCCGAACTGGCGGCTCTCTCATAGCAATCCCACGGGCACTCCTCTTTGACGTAAGATATCATACGCCCATTCGCATTTATCGCGTCTCTCAAAAGTTCTACCATTGATGATTGTGTTTTATTTTATCCGCCCTAATGTGCCGCGGGTTGTCTACTAGAAAATGATGCAAAAAAAAAGTACAGAACGATGTCCCGTTTACACAAAGCACGGGGTGTTGTCGATATGTCGCCCTCGCTCGTGTGATGAATGTCTCTTCTATCCGCTCCATGTGTATCCTCAGCAATGAGAGAGTCTTTTACATGCCACTAAAAGACAAACAGCAAATGTTAGTTTCAATTCTAATCACATTACCATAACTGCTTGCAATACTTCAAAAAACACCTCCAAGTCAAAGAATGAGAGAACTAACAGGCAAAGTGTACAAAATACTCACCGAATCTTCATGAGCTTGATGAGCTCAATCTTCTTACGGACCATGGCACCAAAGAGCTTCTTGTTCCGTTCCTGGTTCTCGCGTCTCATCCTAGTATGACCGTCCTCATAAGTCCTCCTCAACCTCAACTCCCGCTTCATGTTCGACTGGTTTACCGCCGACCTCAAACGTCTATAGGTTTGATCGATCGTCGCGGGAGAGTTGACCCTGAAGGAGCGGCCCTCGGTGGGGTGGTTGGTGTCCAGATGGATAGGGTTGGCGGTCGTGTTGGCCTTGGGAGGCAAAAGACCGAACAGGGAAATGTCTGACCGGCTGTTGTTGTTGTTGCTACGAGAGTTTCCGAAGAGGCTGCTTGTCCTGTTGTTGTTGTTGTTCCTGTTGTTGTTGGAGGAGGAAGAGGCGAGGCTGCTGAGGAGGTCTGAGGCGCTGTCCTTACGGGTGGCAGAGCTGTGGAAGGCAGCAAGACCCTGGACACGGGTCTGCTGGGCGGTTTGGCGTTGTGCCAATGCAGCGACGATGGTGCTGCTCTTTGACAGCGCACGGAACATGATGTATATAGACGGAGTGACAAATGGATGTGAGTGGGAAAGAAATGAACTCGCAATGGAAATGACTGACCCGATCAGGAGGGAGTGGGTAGGACCAGGGTATGATGGGAGGGAGAGAGTGTGGCTTGGCTGAATTTTTGTTGACTGTTGTTTTCTGTCCGAACACCAACAAAGACTAACCGATCGTACCTGAATATTCAGGGCTCAAGGTGAGCGACAACAGGCAAGCAAGAGGCAAACACAAGAAAGCAAACAACAAAGAAGGTCTTTTCAAAGGTCGATATTTATTTGACGCATGCAGAGGATAAATACAGGTGAAATAATCTATCATTCACTTTTTTTCTATTTCTATGTATTCTAAAAAACAAAAAGGAAAGGGTTGATAAAAAATATTATGATGAAGGGATGGGGAATGTGTCGTCGTAAGTAAAAATGGGTGTGCAGCAAGAAAAAAAATAAAAAGAAGCAAGCAATGAAAGGAGAAAACGGCGAGGCTGATGATGGTACAATGGGAGAATTGAAGAAAAATAATAAATGAACAAAACAAAGATCTAAAAACACAAGAGAGAAGTCAGGAAGAAAGCCGTCAATCTAGTTTGAACACTTAGTTCTTCTTGGGCTCCTCGTTCTCAACGGTGGTGCCCTCGGAAGAGGAGGAGGCATTGGCGGCGTTCTTCTTGTAGACCATCTCGAAGAGCTTGAGGGATCCCTGCTGGAGGTCGGTCGACTCCTTCTTGATATCCTCGGCCTCGACAGACTCGCCCTTGGCAAGAACATCACGGAGCTTAGTAATCTGCTCCTTGATCTTCTCAGCCTCGGTAGAGTCGAGCTGGTCCTTGAAGTCGGACATGTGCTTCTCGGTCTCAGTGATGATGGACTCGGCCTGGTTGGTGGCCTCGATCTGCTCCTTGCGCTTGCGGTCAGAGTCAGCGAAGAGCTCAGAGTCCTTGATCATCTTCTCAATCTCATCCGACGACAAACCGGAGGAAGCAACAATCGACATGGACTGGTCGCGACCGGTGGCCTTGTCCTTGGCTCCGACGTTGACAATACCGTCGGCATCAATGTCGAACGAGACCTCGATCTGGGGAACACCCTTGGGGGCGGGGGCAAGACCGTGGAGGTTGAAGTCGCCCAACAACTTGTTGTCGCGGACCAACTCACGCTCTCCCTGGAAGACACGGACTTGGACCTGGGTCTGACCATCGGCAGCGGTCGAGAAGACCTGGGACTTCTTGGTGGGGATGGTAGTGTTGCGGTTGATCAAACGGGTGAAGACACCTCCGAGGGTCTCGATTCCGAGGGAAAGAGGGGTGACATCCAACAAGAGAATATCGGTAACGGAACCGGCCAAGACACCTCCCTGGATAGCGGCACCAATGGCGACAGCCTCATCGGGGTTGACGGACTTGCCGGGCTCACGGCCAAAGACCTGCTTGACGGTCTCGATAACTCTAGGGACACGGGACATGCCTCCGACGAGGACGACCTCGTTAATCTCGTTCAACTGGATGCCGGCATCCTTGATGGCCTTCTGGCAGGGCTCGACGGTGCGGTTGATCAAATCCTTGGCGAGGGCCTCGAACTTGGTACGGGTCATCTTGATGTTGATGTGCTTGGGGCCGGTGGCATCGGCGGTGATGTAGGGGAGGTTGATATCGGTCTGGAGGGTGGACGACAACTCGATCTTGGCCTTCTCGACACCTTCACGGATACGCTGGATGGCCATACGGTCGTTGGAGAGATCCAAGCCCTGCTCCTTCTTGAACTCCTCGACGACGTGCTTGACGAGCATGGCATCGAAATCTTCACCGCCGAGGGCGGTGTCTCCGTTGGTGGACTTGACCTCAAAGACGCCGTTCTGGATCTCAAGGATAGAGATATCGAAGGTACCACCACCCAAATCGTAAACGGCAACAACACGGTCACCATCCTTGTCGAGACCGTAGGCCAAAGCGGCGGCGGTGGGCTCGTTGATGACACGGAGAACGTCCAAACCGGCAATCTTTCCGGCGTCCTTGGTGGCCTGACGCTGGGCATCGTTGAAGTAGGCGGGGACGGTGACGACGGCGTGGCCGACCTTCTTTCCGAGGTAGCCCTCGGCGGTCTCCTTCATCTTTCCGAGAACAAAGGCACCGATCTGGGAGGGGGAGTACTGCTTATCGCGGGCCTCGACCCAGGCATCGCCGTTCTGGTGCTTGACGATCTTGTAGGAGACGGTCTTGATGTCGTGCTGGACGGCCTTGTCGGTGAAGAGACGACCGATCAGACGCTTGGTGGCATAGAGGGTGTTCTCGGGGTTGACGACGGCCTGACGCTTGGCAGCCTGACCGACGACCAACTCGCCCTCCTTGGTGAAGGCAACGATCGAGGGGGTGGTACGGGCACCCTCGGCGTTCTCAATGACACGGGGAATCTTGCCCTCCATGATACCGACGCAAGAGTTGGTGGTTCCAAGATCGATACCGATGACGGGTCCGTTAATGGCAGAGCTGTAGGAGCGGACAGCCATCTATAATGATGCAAAGGAATTCAGGTACAGGGGTAAAAAAAGGGGAGTGGTGAGTTGAGTGATTTTTTTTTGCTTCTTTCGAGTTGAGTTGAGTTGAGTTGCTGTTGTAGTTGTTGCGCTGTGCAGGGATCAAGTTGTCGCCACAAGTGTCCCGTTTGTGTCCAGTGCTTTTCAGTCGACTCCTGCTGTTCCTCTGAACGAGATCTCTTTTCCTTGAAAAAAAAGGTAGAAGCGGGTGAAGATCAGGGATGCCAAAAAAAGCAAGCGAGTGTTTTCGTAGTGGACGAGAGTAGAAAGGAAGAGAAAGACGTACCTTCTTGGCGTTGGTGATGGCAGCCGAGCGGGACAAGCGAGCGAGATTCAACATGGCTGCAAGTTATGAATGGGGGGGAAGGGGAGGGGAGGGACGGGGAAAGTAAGGAATGAGAGGAAAAGAAAAAAAAAGAGGGGAAAAAAGATCCCGGCCCTGGACTATATAGCCAACGGTCAAGTCGTTGCGCGGTGCCTTTGGAGGAGTGTCCTCTCACTCTGACTCGCCTGGGCACACTCTTCCCCACTTTGTTGATGCTAAGCCACTCACCAGTCGAAATGACATCGAGACTGAACCTTCTTTTTGCTGTTGCTGTCCAGATTAGGGAAAAGCAGCGAACGCAAAAGAACGCCGACGAAGGAAAAGGCGGACTTTCGCGGAAGAGACGAATCCATACCCAACAACTCCTTCCCTTCCTTCTTCTTCTTCTTGTTCAAGTTCAAGTTCAAACGATCACCACTGCCAACCAAACTGCTTTGTTCTCTCTGGCACCTTCTAGTCAACTCTCCCTCTCTCTTTCATCGTCAATTAACCTTGGCGAATGAACTTCTATTGGTGTTAATAGAAACAAATGACATGCTAAGATATCCCACCACCAGACTCTCCGTGGTTTGGATCGGCCTTTAGCCCTGCACCAACCGACAACAGCTCTTCCAACTTCGCCTTCTCAAACCCGATCTGGCGCTGACTGTATTGGCGCAGCGCCCGCAGCAAATCTTCCTGACTCTGTACCCGGTACCCTTCAAGATCCTTCATCAATGCCGACGACACCTGCTCCATCCTCCTCCTCATATTCCCCTCGAACAATGTCGCCTGTAAGAAAACGGAAAAAAAATATCCAAGAATGTTGTTAGTCGACTTGCTTGAAATGTTTTTAGTTCGCACGAGAGAGGAAGGGAAAAATAAATAAAAAACCTTAATATGTGACATAAAAGTTGTGTCAACTTACATCTTCCAAGTCATCGATACTGTCAGTCACTTTCTCGGGGTTGATGTTGGTCGACGATCTCAGCCGCTCCATAATCTTCCGTTTACTTTCTGTGTTCTTGATTGCTGCCTCATATTCGCCTACAACCGATAAACGGTAGTCTAATGCGCCACTCAGAGTCTGAACGTGCTGCAGCTTGTAGTCCAGAAAGCTACCTAGCACAGTTGCGTCGCCACCGACCTAAGAATTTAGACAACCAAAGATAAGAGGGGTTACCAGTTAGGTCACCGGGCTACAAGACGTCAAACGAAAAGTTCATCATGCCGATCAATCCTATGCACTTGCGCTCCTACCTGAGCTTTGCTGGCCTTGGACATGCCATCTAATGGCTTCGCTAACAGTTTGAAAGTTCTAAAAAGGCAATCGGCGATGTGAGTACTCAAGATTTCACCTTCCGGAAAAAGATACAACCGCAGAATCTTTCCTCCGCCTTTGCCCAATACTCGCACTGATGCTTACCTCGCCAGCTCAGGAAGACTCTCGCCAGCAGCCCAGGCATTACTGACTGTGGCTAGCTCTGCCTCCTTGGAACTAAAATCTGTGGAGATCAGGCAAAAGCAAAATGTAAACGTATGCATCAGGGCACAGATCGCAGAATCGAGGAATACATCGTTACAGTCGCTTCTAATATCTTACCTCGCCTGGCTTTGATCTCCTTGTCGAGACATTTTATTGCTCCCTGAAGTTTCGCTTCTAGTTTGACCGCCACAGCTCGCTCCTCCTCGAATTCATCATCAGTGTCGCCCAAAGACAGCGCCGAACTTCCTCCAGAGCTGCTGAATCGCTTCACCCCAATGTCGAGAAGCTTCCCCAGAATTCTTTTTGGTTTGGCTGGTGGCAAGAACTATTTGTGCAGGAAGTGAAAAAGTGCGTTCAATAAAGTGGGTCCCGGATATGGGAGAGATCATGCATATGTCTAGAAGAAAAGGCCCTACTCCAAACTCAGACTCGATAAACATCTGCAACTCAATGTCGTGGGAGAGAACAGGATGTCGACTGATGCGTTCCAAAAAGAGGCGCATTGACTGGACATCTGATGCGCTAACAAGAGATCGCTCAGGAGGCAGAACTGGTACCAATGCCTCAGGATGTTCTGCCACGAGGTGTTCCCGCAACCTTACAAACTCCAAGTAGGACCGTGTTACATTTTGGTATGATTGCCGCTTGTATCTAGGCATGTTTGTCTATTCAGACACCGATGGACACTGTCAATGCATTTTTCTCAATTACGGATTGCGGGTATTATTTGAGCATGCAATATGTGTAACTTGGTCATACCTGAACAGACAGTAAGAACATGCCATCTTTGCCACGCCTATCTGTATCCGGGATGGTGATGTGGAGATATTGGGGAGCCTTGACGCGTTGCTGGTCGTACGAGGAGTCGCGTCGAGTTATCCTTGGCGGCGAGACTGCTTTAGGACTGCTGGAACGAAAACCAGGAGGTGTGGTGGCGCCTGGCGAAGAAGAAGCGACTGGTGGTGGTTGTGTTGGAGCTGGCGATTGGCGGGAGCTGTTGGGTAAACTTGTGGTGTGAGCGCTTGTGGTTGGGAAGGACGCAATAGTCGAACGGTTGCCAGCTTGGTTATTAAAATGGGTGCTATTGTTGTACTGCTGATAAGTACTGTAGCCGGAGGTTGTCTTCATGTAGGGTTCATAGTCGCCTCCATTACTGTGTCCGCTGTCGAGTGGATCAGCAAAGGGATGTGACAGTGGCGACGATGGCGACGAGAATGAGCTGACTTCTTCTGAGAACCGTTTGGGTTTTGTTACTGTGGTCGCTCGTTTTGGTAAAGGAGATGCTGGCTTAGGTTGGGTGGATGCAGACTGGGCGAGGCGACTATTCTGATGTGGAGCAGGTGAAGGGGATGGGGAACGGGAGGATGAAGAAAGAGGGTTGGTGGAGTGGGAGTGAAGGGGCGAGTCTCTTGTCTTCTTGGGTGAGCTAGCTTGACCAGACAATGGACCATTGGTGGGAGTGGGTGCCAACAAGGGGTCGCTTCCCGATGCTGCTGTTGTCTTTGAGGAGGCATAGGCAGCCGATGTCAGCGGGTCGCTAAAGTCTTGCGCCATGGATGTCCACAGAGAAGGTGAGAGTTGTTGGTGAGAGAGAGAGAGAGAGAGAAATTGAGCGAGAGCGAAAGTTTACTTGTTGCAGCCAGGCCATGAATAGTTCACCCCCTCATGCTGTCAGTTGAGCTTACTTTGAAAAAGATGCGCCCAGCGCACACCAACCACGCCCTTAATAAGATACGAATGCTGATTTATTTATGGATGCAAAAAGAGATAAAATACAAGTAAGACTTAGTCCTTGGAGAAGAAACGATCAGAGAACTCTTTGCGGTCGCGGCCGCGATCGTTCCTGTTGTTGTCGTTGCGGTCAAATGTCCGGCGACCACTGCTGTAGCCGTTGCTGTTGCTGTTGCTGTTGCCGTATTCTCTGTCGCGGCCATATCTGGATGAAGAGCGATCTCGGCTGTTGTTGTCACGGCCATTGTCGCGACCACGAGAGTATCCGCCACGGGAGGAGGACGATGATCTGGACGATCTCTGGTTCAATCCAAGTTTGCTCAAGAAGGCCTCGCTGAGGTGAGGAGGCTCATCAGCACCGAGACTAGTTACGTACTCCTTGGCATTGTCGAGGATATCGCGCTTAGGGCAGGTGAGGACATCAGTACGTCCGGTATCTATTTGTGTCAACAGCGTGCAAATTAGAGGCGGGTTGTCAGTTATCAATATGTCGTAAACAACAATTAATATTTCACATCTCTTGTTGGCACAACACTTACAGTATCCAAGGTAGGCTGTGAAGGCGTCGTGAATCATCTCGGGATCCTGGGCCTGCTTGGCAACAGCCAACTTATCCATCAGCTGGGCATCCTCCATAATCTCGTTAATCTGCTTCGAAGTCTCATTAATGGTCAAGGGCAAGTCCGACATGGTGTTGAGGAAGCTCTTCTCCATGGGGGTGATCATCAAGATACCCTCGCCAGTCTTTCCTGCACGACCTGTACGTCCGACACGGTGAATGTACTGCTCCTTGGAAGAAGGGATTCCGACCTGGATAACGAGCGAGACATCAGGGTAGTCAACTCCGCGAGCAGACACATCAGAGGTAAACATAATCGAACTCTTGCTCTTGCGGAAACGGTCTGAAGTTCTGGTGCGTTGTTCCTGAGACTTCTTGGAGTGGAGCGAGAACAAACGGTAGGAGGTCAACTCCTCAAAGAGTGATGCATAGAGCTGGGTACCACGGGTGGTGGGCAAGAAGACCATGACCTTGCCGTTGGGGTTCTCCTTCTTGTGATCCTCAATGATGCGGGTCAAGAGAGGCAACTGCTGCTCGTAAGGGGTGACACTGAAGGACTGGTTGACCTGCAAGTTGGTGTTGGCTTCGTTGGGGTCCACAGTGTCGATGAAGGTAAAGTCGGGCTTGAGCGAGGTTCTGGCAATAGCCTTGATCTGCTTCGAAACGGTGGCCGAGAAGAACAAAGTCTGGCGCTCCTTGGGCAATGCAGCCACAATGCTCTCAATGCTGTCCTTGAATCCCATGTCCAACAACTGATCAGCCTCATCCAAAATCAACTATGTATAAAAGCAAAGAATCGACAAGGTAAGTATCATGGAAAGATAACCGAGTTGCACCGCCTCTTCATATAGTCCAAGAGACCAGAAGCAACTTACAGTCTTGACACCCTCCAACTGCTCACGGAACTCTCTGACGCTCTCAATCATGTCGTTCAAACGACCAGGGGTTCCAACAACGATATCAACACGCTTGTTGTTCAACTGGCGAATCTGCTGGCCCTTGGACTCGCCTCCGACAAGGCAGTGAACGTTGAAGCGGTGAGAGGTGGCCAACTTGCGGGCCTCGTCGGCAATCTGCTGGGCCAACTCACGAGTAGGCGAGACAATCAAAATAGTGGCCAGGTCACCCCGGGCCAAGGTCTTCTTGTCGCACTTGGCATTAACAGTCTCGAGAGCGGGGATCAAGAAGGCGAGGGTCTTTCCAGTTCCGGTCTTGGCCTTGACAAACATGTCAGTGTCGGTGGGAAGTAGGGAGAGAACCTCGGATTGGACCTTGGACATGGTCTCGTACTTGAAGACGCTCTTGATGGCCTTGGCAGTGTTGGGGTGCAACGAAGCGATCTCATCGAAGCGAGTAGGGAGCTCCTCCTCGGTTTCCTCGACTTGGACGGAAGCAGACAGAGCGGACTGGAAGCCAGTGGACTGAGAGTGGAAACCAGCGGACCTCTGGAGGTATGAAGTCAAGGCAGGGAATGCCTTTGCAGACTGAACAGCTATTGTTGCACAAAGACAGGGTGAAGAATGAATTAGTAGGGGTTGTTTGGATAAAAAGAGAGCCGAGTGGGTCGCAAATGGGAACTGACTCGGCAAGTTCAGGGGTGTGTGATTCCAGGGGTGTGCGAGCTGAAAGGAAAAGAATGAGAATGAGTTGTTGTACCTGGGACGGCGGAACGAGGGATGCGAATGAGGGTCGAGGCCTGGGAGGTAGCCAAGCGCATGACAGGGCGCAAAGAAGAGATAATACGGGACATCCTTGCTAGTCGGAGGAGGGGTGAGTAGGGGGAAGGAGGGGAGGAAGGGGAGGAGGGGAGTGGAGGGGAAAGGGAGGAACAAACAAACACAAAAAGAAAAAAGAAAGAAGCTGCACCAGGCACACTCAAAGCCCCGAGTCGAATAAGGAGATTTGTGTAAACAAGTTCGCAGTCACCTAACCGGGACTGCCTTTACAAACCATTGGTGGACGATCTACCTCCGCCTAACAAAGCAGAAAGGACATAAAAACTCAATGGAAAACTTTATATGGAAGCAAATCCCGTTAAAAAAAATATCTACCTAATGCGACCCTCCTTCAACGACTTGAGGCTGACGGGGCCATTTTTGGTCGAGAACTGCAGGTCCTTGTACTGGGCAAGTCCCTCAGGGCTGACCTTGAACTCCTCAGAGACCTTCTCAAAGATCAAGTGCTTGGGGTTCAACTTCTCGGGCGAAGAGCGATCAGCCTGAGCGAAACCCTCAAACTCAATCAAATCTCCAGCCTCCAGTCCTGCGGGGGGCTGCAGCAACTCGACAACGGAGTCATCGGGTGACGATCCAGCCAACAACATGGCGCTGGACAATACACCCTGGAACTTGCCGGGCTTCAGGTTGCAGACAGCGCACACAAGGCGGTTCTGCATCTCAGCCAAGGGGATGTACTTAGCCAATCCAGAGACAACAGTGCGGACATCGCCGTTACCGCAGTCCACAGTCGAGATGTACGAGTTGGGGTTGGCCTCGTGAACCTTGGCCTCCAAGACGCGAGCAACACGGATGTCCAAGCGGGAAACATCAACGGTCGAGCTGGCGTTAGCAGCAGGCTAGTTAATAAAAAGAAACCAAGGGCAATGTTAGCATCGCAAGGTAAATACTTGACAGCGCACAAGATGGATACACGGTAAAATGATCCATACCTTGTTGGACTTCACAGGCTTGGCCTTGACCTCAGGCTTAGGAGTAGGGTAGGCATCCTCGGTCAACTGGCGGAGCTCATCGTTGTCAAACCACTTGCGGATAGGGCCCAACAAGATGTTGACGGCATCAGTGACAGCCTTCTTCAAATCACCGGGGTGGACCTTCTTATCTCTAAAATCGTTCTCGAGATCCTCATAAACAGTGTAGGTGACATCGCCTCCGAACTTCTCGGATCTCAAAATGCTGAAGCTGGGGCTCTTGCCGTTCATCGAGCCTAGAGGGAAGAGGACAGTCTTGACAAAGGACAAGACGCCGTTCTCAGCAATGTTGCCCTCCTCGCAGAAAGCCTTGCTCAACTTGCGCTTGACATCCTCGGGAGCCTCCAACAGATCAATCTTGGAATCGGCTACGGATGATGACATCTTGGGTCCAGCCAATCCAGGGACCATGACGTTCATCAAGTGAGAGCGCTTCTTGTATCCGATCGCGGGCAACATCTTCTCGGCAAAGACGAAAATCTTGCGCTGGTCAACACCTCCGAACTGGGCATCGACGCCCAAGAACTCCTCGTCCAAAGCCTGCATTCCCGGGTATATCAATCCAGACAAGAGGGGGGCATCGACCTGCTTGACGACCTCAGCACCGGCCTTCTTGGCATCACGTTCCGTGGTCTTGGAGCAGAGCTTCATGTTGGCGAGCGAGTACTCGGCAGTCAATTGGTAGGAAGAACCCAAGACGAACTTGAGCTTGTCGGTAGGGACACCGATCGAGGTCAAGGTGGCCTTGATCAGCTGGGTATAGTATTCAGCGCGCTTGCCAACGAGCTCCATGGGAGCCTTCATGTTGTCGAGGAAGGCGTGGATATCGGCGATAAGGATGGTGATGTGGCAGCCGGCCTGGAGGAAATCGGCAATCTTGGTCATGGCAACAAAGTAACCCAAGTGAGGCTTTCCAGTAGGAGCTATAGCACAATCATCATCGACAGCAAAAAATGTTAACAATTTTGCGATGATTTGATGTGATAGTGCATCAATTGAAGTAATCCTGGGATATTCCCTGCGGCATTCTTGCACGGATTCGACCTCTTTTGTTTTAATCGATAACGATGTCCGATGCCAATGAGTCACTGTCGTGAAACTGTGCAAGGTGCAGCCGTCTGGCTCTCATATTTCTTTTTCTTCCTCGCTCCTTTTTTTCCTATTCACAAGGGAAACGTTTTGTCGTTCTTTCTGTTTCGACGAATGAAAAAGAAAAGAAGAGCCTTACCAGTGCCCCAGTAGATGTTGAGATCGCGCTCGGCCAGGATGGACTCGATCTGTTCCTTGCCGAGGACCTCCTGAAGATTCCTCGCGATGATGTTGTACTTTTCGGCGGGGGTTAATGAGGCCATGGTGCTGTTGACGATGAGTGAGGAAAGTGTGGTTTTGAATCGAAAGATGATTGAAAGGCCTCTATTCTGAACCCCTTTTTATCGAAATTCCGTCTTGACTGTGGCTTTGATCTGAGATCGCACTGGACACTCATAGAAAAAAAAAAGAGGTGACTCAGCGTGTGGAGACAGGGCGAAATGCGTGCAGTTGGATTCACACGATTCGCTGACTGACTAACTGTGCCTCCAACCGCCTTGCCATGACTCCAATTAAAAATAAGATACGGGTATCGTTCAATGTCTACGCAGAGCACCTCTATCAGCACTTGCTATTTTTCCCAGGAGTCATTTGTTAGGATGCAGAATACTTCGCCTCAGTCAATGACTCTCTAACATTTTGACAGCCAATTAGGACTCGACGAATAGTGTATTTTCTTTTCACGAGCATAGCTTTATTAACAGTGAAAATGAATTGCTGATAGATGGTATTACAGATTGTGAGTCGAACGCCTAGGTGTGTCTTGTACTTATTCCCTGCGAAGATTGTCCAAACGAGCCTGAAGCGCCGCATCGTCAGCAGACATGCCCTCTGCCTGGGCGACACGCTCCTTGCCAGTGCCTCCTGGTGTCTTGATTGCGGTTCCTGGAGTAGAAGCAAGCTATTGGAATACGAACAGTCAGTTAGTTTTCCCCGCCTGCTTCGAAAAACGACGCTATCGCCGCAAGCACAAGGTACGCGAAGGCAACTTACGATATCATCGAGGTTGATTCCAATCTCGTCCAGGACTTGATTTACAATGGCGTCCTGTTCCTCCTCGTCCTCTTCTTCTTCCATGGCTTCGTCAATGGTATCCGACATCATCTCCTCCTTCATATCCATGATCTCGCTCTCCTTCTCAAACTCCATCATGATATGCTGAATCTGAGGCAGGTTCATGTTGCGGTTCATAGCGCCCATAGCCTACAAGGTTGTCATATTGCAATAACATAGAGAAAGAGAGTCAGGATACGTGTAGACTTTAGCCCATTTTATCTAATCGGGGTTCAAAGTTCCAAGAGATCAACAGAGTGCCTTTCTTTTTACCTTTGTCGCGCCCTTCATTGCCTCAGCCATTTGTTGGTTCGAGCGGAGACCCTACAAGTAAGTATATATACAAAAGACATAAGAAATGGGGTTAGGACGGGAGGGGTTGCGTTCCGTTCATGGGATCAGACCGTCGACGTGAAAAAAAAAGTTTCTGTTCTTCTGGGACGTCATCGAGAGCCCCCTTGCAACAATGAAAATCGAATCCTCCTTCTGTAACAGCGAAAACAGCGATGCCTCTTTCCGTTCCCAGCTTGTTGCATACCTGAATACGAAGACCGACAGCCTGCAATTGTGTCTTCATCTGATAAAACTTTTGAATGTACCGGCGAGTCCTGACAAGATCCTTGGCCATCACCTTGGCAGCGTTCTAAGGTAAAGAACATGATAAAAAACGCAAGTGTGAATGGTGTGCGCAGAGAGATGACGGTATTTGCATGTTTGACACGAATTCAACGGCTGGTCGCTGCAAGGTTCTTCGATCCAAATGCAGTCCTTGATGTCGTGGCAGCACGTGGCTGTTCTTGCCTTTGCCTGTTACAACCAAGTCTACTCAAACCTCCTTTGCGTTCTTTACCATTTGCCCAGCCTTGGCGGCCTTTTTGATATCTTGAATGATCTTCTTCTCCTGCTGCTCCAACTTCATCCTTTCGCGGTCCAGTTCTCGCTGTGCCTTGTTCAGTGCTCTTTGGTGAGCTCTGAGGGCCTCTGCTGGCGACTTGCGCCCGAATAAAAAGTTCTAGTGACAAAAAGAAAGGTACAATGTAAGTCAGTATATGGAAGGAGAGAACGCATGGTTGTCAGAAGAGGTTGATTGCCGCAGGTGGGGTGTGATGAGGTGTGATGAGCGTCTGTACCATCATTCTGAAGTATTACTGTCTGGTTTCGTGGTCGCTTTCCCTTGGTGATGAACTGAAGTCGGAGTGTGCTGGTGTCTTGGCGAAAGGAAGAAAGAGAGTTGTGTGTGTTGGCAAGTCCAAGGTGAAATGGAAGGCAGTTGGCCCTAAGTTCCTAACTCAACTTATTAAGGGTAAATCATATGCTTGGTTGCTTCCTGGGTCACGTTTTTCTTGTTCACCTTTTTTTTTTTTTTTTTTTTTTTTGTTAAAGGATCATTCACAACCTTCAACCAACGCAGCATCAACCAACCAACATCAATAACCCAGACAGACACAAATGACCTCAGTCGCAAACGCAGTAGTCCCCGGCCAACGCCTCGGTCATGTCCAGGAATACAGTGCAGGACCAGGAACATACTCACACCAGGATTTCCTCTACGCCAGTGTTGTCGGCATCAAGAAGATCATCGAAGCCCAAGGCGAGGTACTTTTTCTTTTCTCATTGGCTTTACCACCGACATATATTTGTATAAGTGAGGAGACCTGGCAACCGTAGGCTGCAGCTCCATAGGCGGAACTAAAAACAGTCATGGACAAGGACAACTTTTGATATGGGTCCTATGAACATTGGGCACCAGCGGTTTTTCAGTAGACTTGACAGCGACAATTTGCCACCAATTCACAACACAACCGCTCCTTTCACACCCCAACTGACACCCACCAACCTCGTCTTCGCCAAAAAAAACCCCCTCATAGCTCCCAACATTGACAGTGCAACGTGAAAACTCGCAGTCAGCCATGCCAGAGATCGACGCCATCGTCACCTGCAAAGTCGTTCGTGTGAACCCCCGCTTCGCAGCCGTCAACATCATGGTCGTAGGTGAGACCCCCTGCAAGGACGATTTTCAGGGCATCATCCGTGTTCAGGACGTACGGGCGACAGAGAAGGACAAGGTCAAGATCTACAACTCCTTCCGTCCTGGTGATATCGTCCGCGCTCAAGTCGTAAGTCTTCGTTTTGGTTCGCTTTCGCTATCGAATTAGTCAAGCTTTTATTTGTTTGAAGCTCAAAATAGATCTAACAAATGGACATTACACTGCGGCCTAATAGATTTCATTGGGAGATGCCAGGAGTTACTATCTGTCAACAGCGTCAAACGAATTGGGCGTGATCTTTGGAACAAGTGTTGCAGGCGGATCCTTGGTTCCCATTTCGTGGCAGGAGATGCAGTGCACAAAGACGAAAGCAATCGAGCTCAGAAAGTGTGCCAAACCTATGTAAATAGGATTTCTTGTCTCATCTTATTCAAGCATCAACGCCACCACCTTCATTTGCTATCGCATTCCTCTCAATTAAAACTGCATCATGTAACACTACAAAAAAACACCGGTTCACTAAATCATGCGATGGCAGTATGATAGTTGAAGTGGATATGATGATTGTCATTATTTTTACTATGTCGTTAGATGCTTCATGAGATTTCTTAGTGCTTCTTTTCCTCCTCCTCCTCCTCTTCCTCCTCCTCCTCCTCTTCCTCTTCCTCCTCTTCCTCATCCTCACCTTCCTCCTCCTCTTCTTCTTCTTCCTCCTCTTCTTCTTCTGCCTCTGCCTCTTCTTCGTGATCATGTTGCACAGACTTGAGCTCATCCTGAACATCTTCCAGCAGCACAACTTCGCGCTGGTCGATAAGCTTAGCAGTCCTCTCCCAGGCTCTTCTACGTGTGTATGCTCCACGGCGGTTCTTGCTCGACCATTTCTGCCAGTGGTTGTTGGCAAACTCCCAGCCGTCAACATCCGAGCCCGATCCAAGCTTGAGGCGCCAGCTGGGGTCGAGCCAACGCCACTCCTGAGACTTGCGGAGGACCTTGTTGGGCTGACCGGGGATGGCCTCATGGGCCACATGTGGAGGAGGCAATTGGAAGGCAGACTTGCTCTGAGTTGGTTCCAGATGATCATCAGTCCTAGGTGGTGGATACAATGGTCAATTTGATGCATGGTTAGAACACATGAATATGTCTTGTACATATGATATGATACACAAAATTGCGATGCAGATACAGATGCATGTGAATCAAAGTAGCATGAATAATTACCATGGAGCGCGATCATTGGGGAGCATCATGGGAGTCCAGTCAAGTCCCAACCACCAACGCTGGTTCTCATAGAGGACAAACTTATAGTACATGGTAGCATGGTCTTCCTCGATATCGTATCCGGTGCTGGTTTTATACGTCTTGTAGGCATCCGCGTCGTTCTTCTTGCGCTGTCCGATGGCTCTGGAGATAATGTCCTTGACTGAGAACCTTCTCTTGATCTGGTAGTTGGAGCCAGTCTCTGGGCGGAAGGGCCAGTAGGGGATCAACTGCAGCAGAGGGGAAAAGGTCTGGAGCCTCATGGTGACGGCCCAAAGGACCGCGAACCAAGGCGCACGCCAGCAAATGACGATAGTACCGGCAACGACCATGATGAACCGCATGGGGATGAAGTAGGTGAGGATCAACCAGGGGACATAGCTCAAGATGAGAAGGCCCAGCACCAATTGGGTCCGAGACCTGTCCGACCAGTCGAAATACGTCTCTGCCCTGTCCAATGCCCTGTTCCAGGCAGCCCAATGGTCCAAAATCTCCTGAATCTCGCGAAGGGTATCTGCTTGCTCCAATTGAGTTGTCGTGGGATGGCGTGCAGAGCTGGGCGAGTGAATAAAGTTGCTCCTGCCGGAGTGAATACTGCTCGAGAACGAGAACTTGCCCGAGAGGGGCGTGGTTGGGCTCTGAGGCATACCGTCGATCGCAATCTTGTTGGCCTTGCGCGATTTGACCCACATACGCCCGGTGTAAAGAATCAAAACTCCATGGAGCCCAAAGATGATAAAGGACTCTGTGCCAAGACAGATAGCCCACCAGGCGAAGAGGACCAAAAAGCTCTTGACGGATCGACCAGAGGTCCAGGTCAGCAGCTGCAGGAGACGGTGGAAGGCATGGATGGCCGGGCTGGTGTAACTGAGGAGGAGGGTGACGGATGCTGGAACAGGGGTTGAGGCTGAGAAAAAGTCGGCAAAGGACTGGGAGTTTTGGTGTTTGCTTGACTGAGTGAGAAGGTTGCGTCTGGAAGAGGAGGCCGACACAGGGTGGTGCCCGTTTCCGGAGGCAGAAGAAGTGGTCATGGCGTATCTGTTGCGAGAGGAGGTTCCTGAGGCCAAGGAAGAAGCTGGAGATAAGGAGTCGCGTGGGGGGAGGGCGTGGATTTTTTTCGTTGTGTTTGCTGGTGCGGGTTCGGAAGGGAGATTGGCCAGGAATGCAGAGTGGCAATCAAAGGCTGACATTCAAACCGACTGGAGGTTTCTTGAGAGGGGATGAATGAAGAAGAAAGGGAGAGAGAGAGAGAGAGAAAGAAAGAAAAAGAAAGAAAGAAAGAAATAAAGAAAGAAAAGTGCGGGCTTGCTGTTGTTGTTGTAGTCCGTTGAGGACACGAGAGAGTAAGCCGGATTGACAGAAGGGGAAAAATAAGGGGTTTGGAGAAGAGTGATGGTCCGTGTTGTGAAGTGCAAGAAAGACGGGACCACTTGGGTATAATTGCTGAATATCGTATGAAGGCAGTTGTCGTTAGGAAGGTAGGCGTGTATGTCGTTGAAGGTGAAGGGAGAGGGTCTCGGTGACAGTGAAGGAGCAAGAACGAGAAAAGGGTAAAGAGGAGTAAAAAGGGAGAAGGGAGGAGAAAAGAGAAAAGAGAAAAGAGAAATGATTGAGAGCAGCAAAAGAAGGCAGTGGTGTGGAGTTGACTGATGTGTGCCGCATGTGCAGAAGGAAGGATTCAAATTGCCAAATAACTTCCACGTGATAATTAGCTCGTCCTTGTCGCTGTCTCTTCTCACACATACCCCTCTGGCTGCATCGCATAAACCGGCATGCCAAGAAGGAAGAGGGGTAAGGGAGTTCTGCGCACGATATCAAATTATGTACGAGCTCGCAGTACAAAGGTCGTTCGTGATAATGTTATCATGGCAACTGTCATTTGCTCTGTCTTGCTTGCTTGTTTCTTGCTTGCTTTCTTTGCTCGGTACTGATGCTGGACTACTCGGTCTTTACTCCTTGGCGCGTGTTGCTGCTGCTGCTCCTACAGTTCATCCCAATACTGTGTTCTATTCGTTATGAAATAAAAAATCCTTCCATTTGATGCTGTAGCACAGGCAAATAGAAGACGACTCCGGCACGCAGGCACACGAGGGGCATCGACTGACAGCAATCTTGATTTTTAGAGCGACAGACAAACAACGAGCAAAGTCGCTCCCTTAGGATATGACTATCGATCGTACAGACAACCACGCAATGTTCCTACAATGACGAATGACGAATTCCATTGGAATATGTATCCTACGCGGTCGCGTTTCGTGTTTGATTAGAGGAACAGTAGGCAATTGGTGGCAAACAAAGGAACACTGACAATGAAAACTAAAGCGCTTGTCGCGCCTGACTCTAACGGTCAAATGATCACCAAACCCAATCGGAGCTGCAGTGCGTTTGTCACTTTGGCTGTTGCTGGCTTGATTTTTATGTTCTCACTCGTCAGAGGTGAAAAGAATAGAGACAACAGTGATGCTTGCTTCCAGGTGTCAATGGCCAACTCCATCGGAGAAAAGGGTGCGCTCGTTTCCCTCCTTTTATTTATTTGGCCATTTCTTTGTCTTATCCTTTCGCCATTGTTAATGTCTGTTTTCTATTTTCTATTTTCTTCAATGGAATTCACTTGATCCGAGCCGTGAAAAAAGGGACGAAGGAATGAGAAACTCAAAACTAATCTCCTTCCTCTCCTCTTCTTCATTCCATCCACATACTCACATTCGCCTTCTACACTTACACACCTCGACTACTTTGTTGCTCATTACTCAACCTCCCTTCTGTTCCAACTTTCACATCACTTTACCCCACACTCAAATATGGCTGCACTGGCTGGTCTGAAGGTGATTGAAATTGCCGGTCTGGCACCCGCTCCCTTTGCCGGCAAGGTGCTCGCGGACTTTGGCGCAGACGTAGTCCGTGTCGACCGCTCAACCTCCGCCATGAACTTCGATGTCCTCGCCCAGAACAAGCGCTCCATCGCTCTCAACCTCAAATCGCCTGCCGGTATCGAGGCTCTGATCCGTCTTTGCGAGAAGGCCGACGTCGTCATCGAGCCCTTCCGTCCCGGTGTCATGGAGAGACTTGGCCTTGGTCCTGACGTGCTCTTGAAGAGGAACCCTAGACTGATCTATGCGAGGATGACTGGTTTCGGTCAGGAGGGCCACTATGCCAAGATGGCTGGACACGATATCAACTACCTCGCCATCTCTGGTGTCTTGAGCGTAAGTCGCATGCTTTTGCTTTTTTTTGTCTCAAGAGGATATCATGAGAAACGTATGTGCATATGTGTCGCATTCATATGAACCTGGTGTTAACGTTTCGCGATTCTCACTAACGTTAATTTTGACAGACACTGGGCAAGCACGACGAAAAGCCCGCGTTCCCAATCAACCTCCTCGCCGACTTTGCTGGCGGTGGACTCATGTGTGCTCTCGGCGTGCTCCTGGCCCTCCAAGAACGCACAAAGTCAGGCAAGGGTCAGGTGGTCGATGCCGCCATGATTGATGGCGTTAATTATCTCGGATCCTTTGTCTACAACATGAACAAAGTCGGTGCGCTCTTCCAAACCCCCGCCGGTACTGGTCAGTTGGATGGCGGTTCACACTTTTACGACACCTACAAGACCAAGGACGGACTCTTCATGGCCGTGGGTGCGATCGAGGTCGAATTCTACAAGCTATTGCTTAAGGGATTGGAGCTCGACGAGGAGAAGGACAAGTTGCCAGAGCAGATGGATTCAAGCAACTGGCCCAAGATGAAGGCGCTGTTCACAAGGATCTTTTTGAGCAAAACCCAGGCCGAGTGGGTCAAGATCTTTGACAAGACCGATGCATGTGTTACGCCTGTGTTGGACTACTACTCAATGCCAACACCTGCTCCCGCACCAAGACTTCTTAGGACCCCAGCAAAGTCGCCTGTCTCCAACGATGGGACGGACGTGTTCCTCGAAGTCGGCGGCGAGAGCAAGAAGATCTTAGTTGAGGCTGGATTCTCTGAGGAGGAGATTAGAGATCTTGTTGCAAAGAAGGCTGTGGCAGGAGCAGGTCTGGAAAAGTCGTCGCTGTAGATTTTGGCTGTCTTTCGAGAATAGTTTTCTCGGTAAATAAACAAAAAGACAAGAAGCGACGTTGTGATACCGACGTACGTTTCGAATGTCATTGACAACCAAAAAAACGCCCTTTTGGATTTCAGTCGAAGTCGGCGCGACTTCACCGCAAAGGTCCTAGAACAACTAAATTGTGGCAATTACTTATTGATTCTGTTGAGAATGTTCCCTCTGGCGGGTCTAGGATAGCTTGTAAGGCTTGCCATCCGCAGTCTCGACGTTCTTTTAGACGCCGTCGCCTACTGTTAGTTCCTTATTATCCTTGACTCTTCTTCCTCTTCACCTCTTTCTCATTTTTCTTTGGAGGAATTGGTCAATTGACATACTAATGTCGTCTGCAGGAACGAGGCCATAAAATTTCAACACCAAAATTAACCCAAAAAAAAATGCGGCGCGTCTATGCCAGGGTTGGGTCAAACGAAGAGTAAGGGGGCTGACAAACTAGCAAGAAGTAAACAACAATATCCATGCTCCCGCCAGCATGGATGAATCCCATCCAAAACGCGGCGCTTTTTACTTTGGTCCAGTATTATCCACCACGTCGCATATAAATGTGTGCCTGTGCGCATCTTTTTTTTTTCTTTTAGTTTTTTTCATAACACCCACAGCCACCGATTATTTCCCGATCAACCCTTTTCTTCACCTCTTCTGCCTCTAATTGCTTTCGCCTCGAACATATACCCTTGTTTTATCAGTCCACACATCGCTCTCCATTCTCACATCTTGCTTACTACATACACACATACACATTTACACAAAATGAACCGACAATTAATGGCCTCGATGCTGTCCGACCGACAGATCGAAGATCTCATCAACAAAGCCCTTGAGGCACGGGAAACGTCCTACTGCCCATACTCCCAGTTCCGTGTCGGCTCTGCGCTTCGGACGGTCGACGGCAAGATTTTCCAAGGCTGCAATATCGAGAATGCCGCGTACGGTGGGGCCATCTGTGCCGAGCGGACGGCATTTGTCAAGGCGATCTCGGATGGCTATCGACGGTTTGTCGCCATTGCAGTGGCCTGCGACTACAACCACTTCATCACACCCTGCGGTATTTGCCGACAGTTTATGAACGAGTTTGGCAAGAATCTCGAAATCTTTTTCGTAAACGATGATCGGTCCTATCGGAGAGCTGTCCTTGAAGATCTCCTGCCCTATGCCTTTGGGCCCGAGAATGGTCCTCTCAAGTGAACAGAAAGATATGCTTTTCCTCCACCTGCCTTCCCTCCCCCTCTTATATTCTGACACTATCCGTATGTAACTAATATTAGATTCGTTCATTTACGTTGCTATACCTTCTTTACCCTATCACTCATATATATGAATAGCCTGAATAATAAAGGGACGATCTACTTTTCCATAAACGAGTTTTCTGCTCCCTCCTCTCCACTGCCGCACGCACGCACAGCATTCATAATCGGTTTTTAGCTACTGAACAAAGATGTCGTGTCGTTCCAATAAAGAAATCCTCGATGGCCTGGACAAACGTAAAAAATGCACACAACCCCTTGCCATTTCTTCAGCCCTTACAACTTGACCTTGGGTGCCAATTGCATGATTAGTATTCCTAAAATTCGGTCGTTTTCCTATCTTAATTCATTTCTTTCGTTGAGCCTTTCCATGCCACAAAGTCCATCAATCTTCAAGGCCATCTTAGTCCCATTTCAAATCGCAAACTCCATTGTGGCAAATCAACCTCCACCAAAGATCACATATATATGTTTCTCTGTCTGTCAGCTCAAGCCCTGAGCACATGGATGATGAAGTAGTGATATGGCTGTCCCATCGGTGATCATGCGAGTCATGGGTGCGTGTGTCAGTCCTCGTTATTGTTTTCTTCTCTTCGGGAAGAGAATATTGCCGTTTTGAGTTTTGCAACATTTTTGCTTTTTTGTTGGCGCTAGCAAAGTGCGGCGTGTCTCTTCCCATCTCAACTTTTCGCGCATCCCTTGTTTTCATCTTTTTGTTTCCTGCAAGGGCTAGGGTTATGTGTCCGTGTGCTTCTTCATTTTTTTGTGATCATCCCAATCGACCATCAATTGTGTCCAAGGTTCACCCCCAAAAGTCGAGAGTCATCACGTCCTCTTGGACATTACCATTCAGATGTTTTTTTCCTTCCATTGTTATTATCTGCTGAGTCGCCTCCGCCGCATTTTATCTATAGTTGTCTTCTTTTGTGTTCTCTGTGCATGGTAGATAAGAAGCTAAAAAGGAAAGAAGAAGGAATCAAGGTACAAAGCGCACCGTGTTTTTTCTGTCCTGACACCGATCCAGCGCCACCAAGTGTTCTTGATTTTCACTGCACGTGATGCAGCCGCTGTCGCTTACTTTACCACCCTGAAGAACCCACCCATCGCTCCAGCTTCTTGTCTTCACAACACCGAACCAACTACGCGCAAACCCAACGGACCATTCATTCACTAGACGCCCAAGAACAATCAGGACAATCTTCAAACCCCCTTAAATACGACCAGTAGCCCTCCTCCACCAGGAACAAGACTACCTCAGAATCACCAAGGATCGCGAAAAAAACAACAGATCCATGTCATCACCCCTGAAAGCCAAAACAAAACCATGAACACCACCCATCTTTCTATTGAGGAACGCCGCACAATGGAGTACCTGGAGAGCGTAAAAACGCGTCTCGTCCAACTCCACGAATCCATTCACTTCTTCTTGCGCTCCATCAACCCCGAAACCACTCCCGGCACAGTATCATGGTATGTCGAGGGGGGAGGTTGACATTGGCAGCTTCCGCATGAAATATATCAACAATTGAACACCGTTTTGGGTCCAAACGCAGTCTTAACACAAAAAAAAAACACATCAATACTCGTTCAATAGGACGGAGCTGCACTCAAAGTTCAACGTCCTTATCGCAAAATACCTGCACTTAACCAACATCCTCAACAATCCCCAGATCACCCTCCAACCACGGGACTACACCGTCTTCCCCTTTGAACCACCCGCAAATGATCAACAGGTCCAGAACCTCTCTGTTCTTCTTCGGACAAAACTCTTTCCGGAACTGGAACAGGCAGATGAAGAGAGGATCAAGGAGGGAACTATCCCGGGGCTGCCTGTTCTGCCACCATCGCCTGCACCTAATAAGGCGGTTAACCCTACAGCTGTGAATGTTCCTTATGGAACTCCTGAGGAGAAGAAGCAGTGGAATGTGTACAAGGTAACAACATTGAGTTCTGGAACCTACTTTATTGTGTTTGAGCACACCGGAGAATGCAAAGGGGAATAGCTTGGATGCTGACATTGTCACTAATATGATTACATTCCTATTTATACGACAGCTCAAGGTTGCGATGCACGATGAGCTTTGTAGGAAAGCGGACGGGATTTTCGAACAGCAGAGAGACATGGTTCATACCAAGGTGCGATACGAATCCGACGACGATGACGAGGATGGCAGTGAGGAGGAAGTAGCAGTCGGAGACGAGAACGGAGGAGGAGGTACCAAGCGTGAGAGAGATACACCATCGGCAGCTGGAATTAGCAATAAGAAGGCGAAAGTTGAAGCGAACCCGTTGCCTACGGACGAGTTTTTGGGCAGCTCGTCGGCTTCGGTCTGGTATGTGGATGACTGGGCGGGAAATTTGAATGATGTGGACGGATACAGTTCAGGAGCAGATGATCAGGCGGGAGAGGGTGCTGGAGTTGAGGGCGACGGTGTGTTTGATGACAGCTACTTTGAGGCACGGCGGCGGGAAGGCGCACTGAGTAGCGATGACGATGACGACGAGGAGGAGTCTAATGAGGAGGAACTTGAGTCTTTGCAAGGCGATGAACCCGCTGAGCAGAGTTTGGAGCAGGGGCATGAGGAGGAGAAGGAGGAGGAGGATGCATTCATGGAGGTCGTCTCGCCTGCTGCTCCTATCAGCTCACAGATTTCATCAGCTGGATCCAATGTCAGCATGGCCCCAGCAGTGGAGACATTTGAGGAGGACGATGATGACGAAGAAGAAATGGAGGAAGTAGAAATCGCCTAAAGTTTGGCCTCTCTGTCGCTTCTCCTCCAAGCCTTCAAACCCTAATAAAACATGGCCTCATAGTTTCTTTTCACCCTCCACCTCTTTCAAACTGCCAAGGTCAGGCGATTTGTTCTGTTGATTCGCATGCGTCAATGGATATCTAGTTTTTTTTTAGCTCGGAATGACCGGCTCTTTAACGAAAGGATCGATGTCGATCATTATTTATTGCTTTGTTTTTCTTAAGCTGTAGCATCGGCTGATGGCGTAGTAGACTCAATGACTGACTCCTCAGCACTACCAGCGTTCTTCTTCTCCCAGGGCTTGAGCTTTGGCGCCAACTTGGCTTCGCTTGGCGTTCCCTCTGCCAAGTTGTTGGGAATCTGACGAATGCCTATTCAAACACACGCGGAGAAAAGGAAATAATAATGGGCGGTTAGTTTTTTCTTTTCATATCGTCCCTTGGTTTGCGCTTGTATGATTTGTCTTTTGTAAACGGTACCTGGGATGGGCTTTCCTGACGCGATCAGTTCACAGATCTCCTGGAACGACTTTGGATATGTAGGGTCTAAATGATATGAATGATACCAACAATGCATTAATGGTCTTTGTCGACATGTCGCTGAGTAAGCCCTCTCGATTGCTTTTAGTAAAGACGAAGTGTTTTCTTACCAGCAGCAGTGGAGGAGGACTGAGATTCTTCTGCGATAGTCTCGTCGACGATTGGTGTTGATGATGGCGCTGAAGATCCCTGTGACTCATCCTGATTGATAGAAGTGGCTGCCTTTAATTGGCGCCATGCCTGGTACTGATTATAATCAAAGCTCTGCACAAAGCTATATTGCAGAGAGAAGCCAATGAGTACGTGTGGAGGTTGTGAGTCAGGTTAGTATAGTCCAATTGATTCGGTTGAAAACAGCAGGGAGAGGTTGGTAACCATTGTTGTTGTTGTCGATTTACCGAGAGTAGTAAAAGTATTTCGCCTTTTCGACAGCATCCTTCTGCTCCTGTGCAGACTTGTTCTGGGCGTTCCCGATAATGGACTTCAATCCAGCCTATTCAAAAAAAAAAAAAAAAAAAAAAAAGGGCTCGCGTCAGTACAGTGTTCAAGTACTTTTGCCCTGTTTGTCGAGTAGTTTGGTTAGGAGGTATGTGTGTACCTGGAAGTTGGCGTCGGCATCAAAGTTGTAGTTTTGGAACTTTTGGAAGAGCTGTTCTTGTTGCTGTACTGTTGATGCCTCCATGTTTTCTTTTTCTTGCTTTGCGGGTTAACGAGGTGATGGTTGAGAGAAATGGAATGGAATGGAGGGACGGAGGTTGAAGTTGATGCGCTTTTGAAAAAATGGGACAGGAAGAATGACAGAATGACAATCATCACGTGCCAGTCTAATGTTGTCTTTTGGGAGAAAATGTTAAGGAAAAGGCACCAGACCCCGCCCCGCCTCGCCCCGCTTTTCCGGAGCCCACATCAGCACCGGAGATTGTAACCTGCAAAAAAATAAAAAAAAGTTCGGAAAACAGCACAGTTTCTCGGAAGTTTTGAATGTATGAATGGGAGAATGGAAAAAGCAGCCGATATGTGGGGGTTTTTTATTTTTTGCAAAGTGGTATACAGTGATGAATGCCAATGAGTGATTTCTAGTGAATGAATGGATATCGCTGACTTTTTCGAAATGGAGGGGAATTAAATGCCCATGAATGAAGAAGGGAAGCGGAAGAGTTCTCTAGTGCTTATAGAAAACAACCTCGCCCTCGTCCTCAACAAAGCGGCACTCTCTCCAGTTGCGGTACAGGGCCTTGGCGATAGGGGTGTCGTCAAAGATGTAGTACTTGCCCAACTTGGCCTTGAGGTGCTTGGTGGCCTCGACGGCGTTGTAGAAGGGCATCTGCGAGAACATGTGATGGCACTGGTGAGAGTCGCCAATGTGGTGGTGCAAGTGGTTGACGATGGTTCCGAAGGAGCGGTCGACAGTGCAGGCGGCTCCACGCTGGAAGTTCCAGACGTTGTCACGGAAATGGGGGACCTGGGGGTCGGTGTGTTGGAGGTAGGTAATGCAGACGATCCAGGCGTTGACGCCGAGGTAAGGGATACCATAGTACATGAAGACGGTCAGGGGCGAGAAGAGGATCGAGAGGTAGGTGAGGATCGAGGTCATGGCGACAATACCGCAGTTGGAGTAGAAGATGTTCTTGGCCTGATGGGGCTCATAGAGGGGGGCGATGGTCTGGAAGTGGTTGATCCAGTGGGCGTGCACGGGGCCAGAAAAGTTGATGAAGAGGTACAGAGGCCATCCGAAAGTGAGGACAAAGATGAGCGAGCCGAGGGTGTAGATTGGGGTCTCGGCAAAGATCGACTCGTGATGGTCGTGGTGGTGTTCCTGAGTGTTGTTGAGCTCGTCCTGCTTCTGCTGCTCGGCGGGGGCGGGGAGACCCTTGTAGGAGCGGGTGGCGGGGAGGAAGACGACGTCCTTGGTCATGGATCCAGTTCCCTTGTGGTGCTTCGAGTGCGACATCTGCCAGGCCTGGTAAGGGACCAAGAGAGCCGAGTGGAGGACCCAGCCAAAGATGGTGTTGACGGTCTTGCTGTCCGAGAAGGCGGCATGTCCGCACTCTATTGTTATTTAATAAAAGGTACAAAAAAACGTGGGTCAGTGTCTGTTTGTTGTATAGCTTGTCAAACGTATCATTCTAATCGAATGAATAATATTTTCCAGATCCGCTCGAGGAAATTGAAGGAACAATCCTCCCCTCGTCTTCAAAACAGTGCCTGACTCTCCAGACGAAGAGAAGAAAGAAAAGAAAATAGCCCATATTTTGTGCCACCAGCACTTCCATCTGTTTGTCTTTCTGTCTGTCTGTGTTGTTGCATATTGCTCTTGCTATCGATGTCCTCTACTGCCGTCAATTGATTGTCATCCCACTCTTCTCTCCATCTTCATTCCTCTGCCCAACAGATTCAATCAACAGTTGCCTGGCCCTTTTTTTCTGTTCTATTCAGGTTTCAGCCCTTCATATCTGATTTCTCACATATCCGCAAAAGCATACCATGAGCCAAGATCCAGGGTCCAACCATGACAGTTCCTTGAATGATCCAGTAAGCGATCCAGGCAGGGATCCTCAAAGCGAGCGAGGGCAGAGTGTCGATGAAGGTAGCGCAGTAAAAAACGGCAGCGATGGTGACCAGATCCTTGACGACGTGCATGATCGACTTTGTGGTGTCCCTGACGAAGAGGTGGGCGGGGATCGCATCACGGATCTCCTTGATTGTAAATTCCATGGGCACATAGTTGCGCTCGTATTGCTGCTTGGTGGCGGTCTCGTCTTCGACGACGATACGGTGACGGACCTGGTCGTCAACAACGTGAGGAGGGGCCATTCTTTTGGTGGGTGGGAGGGAGGAGGGGTGGAGGGTGGGAAGGAGAGGAGTAAAGAAGAAAGGAAGAAAAAGAAGAAGAGAGAAGGAGAAAAGGACCGAAGGATATTGACAAAAGAAAAAGAAGAGGGGACCGGAGGATGAAAACAAAAACAATAACAATGAGAACAAAAGTAGTCCTCACAGCGGGTAATGGTAAATGAGTCGAATGGCGTCTTATTAGCTCTTTTGCCTGTCTGCCTGTGTCTGTTTTTGTGTCTGTCTGTCTATCTGTCTGTGAGTTGTTGTTGCGGGGTCCAAAGAAGGAAGGTGAAGATGAACAAGGAAGGAGGAGTGCGGAGGTCGATCCCAAATGGCTGGTCTCCCTTATCATAGAGTTCTTTTCTGTATTGACAGAATGGTCCATGATTGGCCGCCTTCCGTTGGGAATAGAAAAAAATATATGGTCCTTCGAAACTCAAATCCAGTTTGAGTGGTTGTTTCGCCCTTCAGGAACGGAGATTCATCTGAAAGACATGCTATATCTGATCCGGGTCCCTTTTTTTCTTTCTTTTCTTTCTTTTTTTTCTTTGGGCACTGCAGTGCAGGAAGGGAGGGAAGGGAGGGATGAAATGGTAAGAAAAACAAGGATCAACGGGAGTAAGGGGAGGAGAGGAGGGCAGCGAGCAGATAACCTTGCACTCGATTTCTTCAAAGAACCACTCATGTCTTCCTTTGACTACCTCAGCCTTCTCTTGAGGTGAGGGGGCTGGCACACCTTTAATTCGATGTCGACAGTTATTAAAAATGGCTCACACGCTATTCAACCCAACAACTCGTGCAAAACAAAAAAAAAAAAAAAAAAAAAAGCTACGCAACCCATTCATGTGAGGATGGGGTTTGTATCCCGCCTCGTTTTCTCGATCGGGTGGTTGAGGTTTGGAATATCAAGATAGCTCAAACCTCCAGAGGACGAATTGCCATGTTATTTTCTGTACCACCTCTCAAATTTTTTGATACGTTGATACGAAGAACGAGCGAGTGCGTGGTCAAGTTTTTTTTTTCTGTGCTCACTCTCATGTTTAATTTTTTTTCCTTGCAGCCAACTCAAAAAGGCCCAATGCAGTGTTCTTGCCCCGAGGGATGGATAGAGAATAATAGGGGGAGAGGGACGCCATAGACCTTGAAGACCAATTCTAGACACATGATTGTAGGTAGGTCTCAATGATACCAGTCAATTTTCACTAACCTTGTTTGTTCAATACAAGTGTCTAAGGCACTTGACTCCTCTCTGGAAACGGCTTCTCCTTTGGATACTTGACTACCACATGCCAATTGCGCCCAAGCAGGTGTGTAGATATAAGTCGCATGTTGTTACGTGCTTGAGTGAGGAACGCATAGTCAAGGATGAATCCAATTCTGCAGAAAGTAGCAAAAGGTGCAAAAATGGCTCGAGTCTGTGCGCTGTTGTTGACCAAGCCAAGGAGCTGTGCTTGCAACAGCCTGAGCAAGGATCATTGTAGGTGACAAAGGGAGATTCTGGTATTTTGATCGCCCACCACCGATGGTGCCGTAAAGAACATCTGAGACGCACAAAGTTTTACCAGTGTTGCATTCCTAAACTACTCCATTCCTCACACATTATCTCTATCGAGAGAGACATAGAGAAACTGATTGTGGGCCAACATGCATACATGATGACCCTTGTTACATGGCTCCACTGCGAAATTCATCCTTTACCCTGAATCGGTGGCTTAGAGCGCCTTTAAGAAAGCTGGACTGCCTTTCTGCCTTCTTGTTCCAACAATCGAGATGAGCTTAAGGGTCGTTGTCGGTCTCTTCTCTTCTTGACCCCTGATCGATGAAAATGCACGGGTCGTAAGAAAAAGAAACAGAACGAATAAGCTGCTTGAATCATCGGACTGTGCAGACAGAAAGAGTTGTTCCACAATGAAGGCCAGAGGACACTTTGCTTGAACTATGGAGGGAGTATTTATTTACTCCCTCTGCCTTCAATAGCAAGGACAAGGCACTGACTTTACGACATCTTTTCTTGCCGATGGACGAACTATAACTCTTTCCCGGCGGTGAATAGTGTAAACATCTTCACTCGAGTCTGAGGACTCTGACCGAGGGTCGCGGATTTGCAAAGTGAAGCAGGAGTAGCTCGATGGGATTTCTCTCGACCTCACGGCGAGAAACAAGAAAGAGAACGACGACTAGCTATCCCTTGCAAAGACTTTCGGGGTGGCACAACTCTATCTATAGTATGTCATCAGAGACCGAGCCGACGAGCGAATAGGGTAAAATCTTGCGGGACAGGCGGACCCGGACTGGAATGAATGACCTGCTCCCCTTTTATTTCTCCTCCGCCACGATCGAGGCGTTGTCTAATTGAGCGTGCGCTGTCTTCTCCACAGACCCTCCTTCCTTTTCCACCGGCTCACGGAAATACGTTTTCTCTCAACTGATAAATGGAAGGCTAGTTTGGCCCCTTGATTTCCTTTATCTTTCCATTTGCCAGTCGTCTTTGTTTCCTTCACTTTCTTCCTTACTCTCCACTCTTCATACCTCCCCCTCGACCTTTATCTTTCGCCCCTCCCTTTTCCACAGCAATACCATGGCTGGTAAGCACCCGGACCCGTTATTTATTCATGTCCCAAAGGCGTTAGCTTTTTGCTCGGCACTTCTTGAAACAAAACAAAAAGAAACAAAACTTGCATCCAGTCGCATGCATTTCAATGACAAAGTCCTCATTCGACCTTGTCTCCATCGGAATGAGACTCTCATCTTCAAAAAATGATGCCCGACTGACAACAACGACACTAACGCTCTTACATCTTTTTTTGCTTCGCCTCAAACAGCACTTCCTCTTATCGCTGCTGCGGTCCCAGTGGCCATGTACGCAAGCTCCAAGCTCAGCTTACCTCAGGACGCCCACTTGATCTCCAGTCTCATTGGTTCCAAGATCGCCTACAGTAACATTGCGAAGAGCGATACCCTCAACGTTACCCACCGCTTCGACGGCTGTTACCGCAAGTACCCCGATCGTGAAGCCTTGGTCTTTGAGGGCAGGTCGTATACCTACCGCGACATTAACCTTGGTAAACATTTCTAATGTTGTTTTCTCTATCGCTCGTCATTGTGTGTATAAGCATTGATATAACCTTGCAGAGTGTCGTGTGCAGCAGAGGTGACAAGAGTGTAATGAATGCGTGCCTGCACACCAGAGTGCAGGGGACCGAAAGAGAGGTTGTGTATCCTGAGCTAGGACTGGAATAGGTAAATGCGAGTGTGTGTGCATGATGTGTGCAGGTAATGTGCTCAGAAGTGATTTCTCCACATTGGACGTTGTGTGTGCGAGAGAGCGAGAGAGCAAGGTTTCCGCCCCACCGGATTGCACAAGAAAGCGTCATGTGATGAATTAAAGTCCGATCGAATGATCGATCGGAACGAACATTATTATGAATGGTGTGAGCGGGCAAGGGAAACTAAAGGACAAGAGCGCGGCTCACTTGCTGCTTGCATTATTTCTCACGCCTAACTTCTCGTAATAACATTGACAAAAACATAGCGTCCAACAAGATCGGCAACTGGCTGTTGGCAAAGGGCGTCAAGCGCGGCGACATTGTCTCGCTCCTCATGCAGAACAAGCCCGAGTTCCTCTTCTGCTGGCTGGGCATCAACAAGATTGGTGCCACTGGTGCCTTCATCAACACTAACCTCGCCGGCAAACCATTGACACACTCCCTCAAGACCGCCACTGCCACAATGTTGATCATGGATACGGAGCTCGCCTCGCAGGTCGCCAATTCACTGGAGGAGATTCAGCAGATGGGATACTCCATCTACTCCTATGGTGGGCCAGAGCAGTTCGACTTTGCGACACCCCTTGATGTCTCTGGTGTGTCGGACGCGGATACCCCCGAGCACTTACGTCGTGGCACCACTGTCGACGAGATTGCCATGTTGATCTATACCTCGGGAACCACTGGCTTGCCCAAGGCTGGACGCGTCTCTCACTCTCGTACCTCTGGTAAGTGTATCACTCGTGATAATGAATAGCATATACAATGCAACAGAACGTGTGACTAAACTAGCTTTTTTTCAATTAATGCTCTACGTTTCTAGTGGGTCCGATGTTCTGGAGTCGCTTCTACAAGTTCTCGGAAAAGGACCGTATCTACGTGTCGTTGCCTTTGTACCACAGTGCTGCTGCGGTTCTCGGTATGTGCGTCGCATGGAGTCAGGGTGCAACGGTGGTTCTGGCTAGAAAGTTCTCAGCTACACATTTTTGGGAAGACTGCCGTAGGAACAATGTCACAGTCATCCAGTACATTGGGGAGATCTGCCGCTACCTGCTCAACGCCCCCGAACACCCTCTGGACAAGGCCCATTCCATTCGCCTGGCTCACGGTAATGGCATGCGACCCGATGTCTGGAACCGCTTCAGAGATCGTTTTGGGATCCCTGTTATTGGAGAGTGGTATGCGTCGACCGAGGGTACTGGAGCCCTTTCCAACTATAACACGGGAGTCGCTGGTTTTGGAGCGATTGGACACCGTGGTGCTCTGGCTTCCTTATTGGACAAGGGACTTAAGATTGCCAAGTTTGATGTCCAAACCGAAGAGCTGATCCGTGGCAAAAACGGATACTGCATCGAGGTAAAATTCATTGTCTTGTTCATACTATTTGTATGTGGATGTCAACCGCTGCAATGATGGGTCGCTAACAATATGCATGTCTTTTAATCATGAATGTGATATACTTTAGTGCGAACCCGGTGAACCTGGCGAGTTGCTGACTCTGATCGATTCGGCCGAACCCACCCGCGATTTCAAGGGATACCACCAGAACAGCAGTGCCACCAAAAAGAAAATCATCGCCGATGTCTTCAAAGCTGGTAAGTTACTTCAGTCATTTCGGTCTTGACAAGCGACACAGCGAAAGTCGCCTATTTTTGAAAGTCGTCTATTTTTGAAAGTCGTTGTCGCTAATGCTTGTTTCGCGTCTGTGAACATTCCACTCCTGCCTGAAAAAAAATATAGGCGACATGTACTTCCGCACAGGCGACATCCTGCGTCGCGACAAGGACGGATACTTCTATTTTGGCGACCGCGTCGGCGACACATTCCGCTGGAAATCCGAGAACGTCTCGACGGCCGAGGTATCCGAGGTTCTCTCTCAGTACCCAGACTGCATCGAAGTCAACATCTATGGTGTCCAAATCCCAGGCCACGACGGTCGTGCGGGTATGGCAGCCATTGTAGCGAAACCTTCGATGAATTGGGACCAATTTGCTCAATACGCACTCAAGAACTTGCCCCGGTACTCTGTACCGATCTTTATCCGCAAGACGCCCGAGATTGAAATCACGGGCACGTTCAAACAGAGGAAGGTCGAGCTTGTAAATGAGGGAATGGACCCAAGCATGATCAAGGATGAGATGTTGTGGTTGGATGGGCATTCGTATAAGCCGTTTAAGGCTGGTGAGCATAAGCGGGTTGTGAGTGGGCAGGCCAAGTTGTAAACGCGCCTTTACTTCTTTTTCTTTTATTTGGACAATCTAGTTGTCAATTAAACACATGAACCCCAAAACTGCAGTGTTCATCACACAAGATGATTCGTTCTTGAACTGAGTAATACATTTCGTGAGGTTATCGGTAATAAGAAGGAAGATGAACCGACGATCACCCGCCTAAATGGAAAAACAAGTGGTCATAGTTGTTCCCCTATGTCTATCCACTTTTGGAGGCGTGTTGATAAGAATGGGAATGAAGAAGACGCCGACGGGGAGGAGGAAGGAAAGGCAAGGCAAGCATCGAAGGTGGCTCTTTTCATGGTATTGTACCCAGCAGTCGACTAAGTCCAGTATTATATCCACCATCAATGTAGCCAAGGCGTATACCGTCCCCTCGAAGATCCTCAAACACATCCCGAACCCATAAAGAAGAAACTCTTCATCGTCATTCCGCAGCTTTTCACCCAATGAGGCGGAATGTTTTTTGTTTGATTGTGTGTTGTATTGAACATACAAACAAGGTCATCAGAGTTGATATCCAGTGTTGGGCAGCGGCGGGAATCGGTCATGATCGACATCGAGATTTCCTGAGGTGCCATTAATGGATACCGATCCTTCAATCAGCAAAAAATAGACTCTCAACACGACCGCGACGCGGTGGTATGAGTGATGCTTTAAAGTACGTTGGAAGACGATGGATGATTATCTGCGAATTGTTGGCATGGACTGCTCCTTGGTAATGGGTTTTATCACGTTCGTTTTTTTCCCCCCTACACACCTCCACACATCTTCATCATCTCCTTCGCCTTGCCTCATTACTCATATTACTTGTGGTTACAGTTGGGATCGAGCGCATGCACGCACGAGCTCGCATGCGCTCAAACTTTGTTCAATAACAACAACCCAACCAATAGCTAGATGGAAGAAGAGAATAAGGTGAATGAAAACCAAATAAAAAAAAATGCATGCCCTTGTTCAAGCCCATACATCTGTGTCCTTTTCCTCTTCCCAGCCCCTGAATCCTAAAAGGACGCCCTGTTTTGTGATCAAGGCAAGAAGAAGAAAAAAAATCCAATGTCCGAAGGGAGAAAGTGTTTGGATGTTGAAAAAGACACATGAAAGATGAGATTGATACTAGCTATGTTGCATGGATAGGCGTGCGTCTTGCATACATTGGCATGAAAATAATAATATCGGAGCGGAACTTTTTTTGATGATCAAAGGTGTAGAGTATGTCCACGGGACGACAATGGAGAAAGAAGGAAATGAATGTGAAAGAGGAGCAGACGATGTTCATTCAGAAGGTACACACCGAAGGGAAAGAGACACATACGGAAAAAGAAGGGACAACAGTGTGTCTTTGTGGGGTGAAAGGGGAGGGGTTGGTTTGGTGGGAAGGGGATAGATAGAAAGGGAAAGGAGCAAGACTGTGGAGAAGGAGGGAGGGGGAAAGAGGAGAAGGAGGAGGTAGCATCGACGCTAAATACGTTGTCCCGCGATGGTGGCATTGTATTCTTGCAAGTGGTTTCGCTCATTAGCGCACTGGTGGCGGGTGGTCATGGATATTTCTGGCAGGGTGGAGGAATAGGGAGGACAATGTGAATAATGACGGTGAGTCTCGGGGGCGAGACAATCGTCCGTGAATGTTGACGCGTGAGATGAAACCGCGTGCAGGTGACCTTTGAGGTGAGGGTGAGATGGCCTGTCCTCTCGCTTTTTTACTCACAGTTGTAACCTTGATGATTCCTTGGCACCCAAGGACTGAGGAAGGAATGGTTCCTAGCAAGTGTCCTAGATGATTGAGCATCAACTGTACGTGTGTGGATGGGCGAGAGACGATGTGTATGTGGAGATGTGTAGTGAGGGAAATGGTTTGGAGTGAGGGAAATGATTTGGAGTGAGGGAAATGATTTGGAGTGAGGGAAGAGATATGATTTTGAAACCAACCGGGCCTTGGCTGTGGATGATGATGGATGACAAAGAGCGAATAATAGACACTCGACTGCTCAGAAGTAAGAGAGAGAGACAGTGGCCCCCGTTTACTCCACGTCTGCAAGACAAAGTAAGACTACTTTGTGAGGGTAGTGTGAGTGTGTATCATCTTAGTGAAAGCAGCAAGGAACCCTCCCCACCTTTCACCTCCCCCCATCGAAGATCTTCAGATCTTCGCACTTGTTAGCTCTCTTTACCTCTTTGTCCGATTGTCTTTGACCTTTCTTCTTTACCCACTTTTCTTCTTCGTCTACTTACTCTTCCCTGTTTCCTCTTCACCTGTATATACGTCGACAAGCGTCATTTTTATTTTATTCTATTAACTTGTAGCTCGCTCTTCTCCTCCTCCTCTCATTACCTCATTCATTCGTCTCTCATTCAAAACTCTCCAACGACATACTCATTCAACAACGACGAATATAAGCTCCTTCCCCTCTCTCGTACTTCGGTTTCCAACACTCTTGTACATAGCTCCATACTCTCTCCTCCACTTCACCGAACAACAAAACAACACACAAAACGCAAAAGACGCGATGCCAGCACCAATCGAGATCCAGCAGCTCACAGCCATGCCCATGCCTACACGACACAACCGGTCAAGTTCTACGCTCGTCTCGCACTCCACGCCTCTTCTCCAACAACAGCATCCTTACTTGGCCACCTTTGAGTAAGTCCTCTTCCCTCACACATTTTCGATCCCCTTTTTGTTCTTATTTCCTTGGAACATGATCTTCATTTTGAATAATCTAATGGTCGTCTGTCAACGAGGGTCCGTCCCCACTTCCCTCCCTCTTCCCCTTGTTCTATTCTCTCTCCCCGCCCCTTTTTTCAGAAGCAAGTATTGCTTGTTTGCCTGTTTGTTTGTATGTTTGTATGTTTGTTTGTTTGTTTGTTCAACTTGACTACTTGGATCAGGCTTCGGAGGGAAGACCAGCATCAGCCATAGCCATCTTTAAACATGGCCCGAGCATCGTTTCCTTCTATCTTCCGGCCCCCGCCTTATTTTGCCACCTCGTTGGTATTTCAGCTTTCGTACTTGTTGGTTCTTCTTTTTCTTTCACGGATAAGTAGGAGTGAAAGGGGTTGGATCGATAGAAGGATGGTTTGACTCGGGAAAAGAGATCCTTTATTAGGAGAAAAACGATGCATAGAGAGTGAGAGATTTAATTTGTTATCCGTTACCGCAGCTCCCTTCTTTTTTTCGTCTTGTCTGGCTCGAGGACTGTCACAAGAAAAAAAGGTAAACGAGGGTTCTCCTCAACACCTATCCTCTTGCACCCCTGCCCTTCTTTAACACTCGTGGAGTCAAACCATGAATAAAAAGAACAAGAGGATAAGAGAGAATCGATGGATGGGTTCTCCTTTGTGCCCGCTACCCCACACGCCTTTGTACAGTGCCAGTGTGAAAGTATAGATAAAGAGAGGGGGGCATATGGATTGTCCTACCATGTTGAGGAGACGAATGGGACTGCATTGTCAAACTGGGATCGTCGCTCCCATTTTTTTTCAAAAATGATGGCGGCTGTTGGATGTATCCAACGTCCGTACCCTTTTTCCCTGTTGGGGTCCGAGTGGACTGAGCGAGAGGGTGAGTGAGTGAGTGAAGTGTGTTCACCTGATGGAAGGGTTTTGTTCTGCATAACCTCCGAAGACATTTAGTGTTTGCATAAGGATCGTGGCCATGTCTCAAAATGCCTAGTCCTCCCACCTACTCCCTAATCCCACTGATTGGCTGCCTTTTGATCAAGACCCAGCAGCAACAGCAACAGCTAGCTGTCTCTTTTCGCGGCTGCTTACCCAAGCCCTTGGTTGCATGTCTGGTTGGCTGTTAGCTGCCAATCATCACTGGCCGGTCTTCACTCTTCATCAGTTTCCTACGCCTCTTACAACACGAAGTGTATGTCTGGAGGTCTGTTTGTTGGAGACGTTAGTGGCACTGATAGACACAATCGGGTACAGTTCGCAAAAGAAAGAGGAGCGCACAGAGAGTCCTGCTTCATCTTCAAAGCAACAAGTGGAAGAGACTCCTTCCCTTCTCTCTCTTCCTCCTCTTGCCTTGTCTTTGCCCCCTTTTCTCGTTCAATTGATCTTTGATGAGGTCGTATTATCCGTCCGATCTCAAGCACCACAAAGGGAAATGGCTTAAGGACGAGCAGACATTCATCACCCTCCAAAGGAAAAAGAAAATAAGAAGAAGAATGAGGGGTCCCTTGCATTGGTGAGTATGCGAGTGTGGTGTGTGCACAAGAAGAGAAAAAGGGATAGGGCGTGTGTGTATTTAATGTTTGCACTTGCTCAGATGCATGGGACAGAATCAGAAAGGAAAGGGATCACATCAATCATACGGGGGTGTGGGATTGAGAGGAAGGACGAGGGGACGAGGGGACGAAGGGAGAGGGAGGAGGACAAATAAAAAAAAATACTTCACCAGCATCAACATGCAACATGCAACAAGTCAAGTCAAGGGTTGGTAGACGAAGAACAGAGGAAGATGCGATTCTGTGGTTGTCCCAGAGGAAGGATGAAGCGATAGCACACAACATAAAAACACAAACACATACATTTTCTTGCTCCTTTCGTTTTCCTCGTATATAAGATTTTCTCCGTGTTCTTCTCCCTTCCTCCTCTTTCCTTCCTTCCTCCTCCCCAACCTTCACCGTATATTTTATTCTCCCTCTTGTCTTCTTCTTCGGACCATTTTCATGCCTACCCCCACCCCCACCATCAACATGACTGCGCCAAATCAAACAAAACCCAGCGCTTTGCCCATAGCACCCTGCTCCCAAATTGACCCCTCTTCTCTTCGCTGGGAACAAAAGACCGTCCCCCAACCCTCTACCCTCACCCCTCCCGCTACAAGATCACCTTCCCCCGCAGCAACAACCCCCCTGGATAGTACTTCTCACTCATCCTCTACCTCATACTTCCCCCCTGCCCCCTCATGGCATCCCCTGGAAAACTCCTCGTTCTCCTTTAGGTTTGACTCTGACTTTGAACGGTCCCAGTCCCCTTCCTTCGCTGCGGACAACGTCCACGTCCATGCGCGTGAATTCGAGACTGCCTTCTGTCGCGACTTTTACTGCTGCGGTCTCCGTCTTTTGGACCTCCACGACCTCCTCCAACACTATGAAGAATGCCACGTCCGCTTCGAGGAAGACGACGAGGACTTCGTCGAAAACGACTCCGAGTTCTTTGATGAGGACGGCTGGAGCGACTCCGACTCGGCGCCCTCAAGTCCAACTTCAGCTTCCCCGTCAGGATCTGATCTCAACAGCTCTGTCATCGCAGAACTTGGCGCCGCAGTCAACCACCTCCATCAGTCCTTCCCTCATCACTATCCTGCACATTTACTTTCTCCACGGTCCAATTCTACCTTGACACAGCACCCCTTTATCCATTCCACCCACCCACTTTACCGTCATCCCAGCGGCAACAGTTCGGCAAGTGATGTCGAGGCTGCATCCCGTAATTCGACCGCACATGTCCTTGAAGCCTTCAACTCTAGTCTGAATGGACCATCCAAACGCAAAGCTGTAGTCTCATTAGCCGATATATATGCAGAGGATGAAAGTGATGGCCATGGAAGCCACTCTTCGGTCTTTTCAAATGCCATCCTTCGTTCAAGGCCCAATGGTTCGACTATTGTGTCGGACTTTTTGGGTCCCACGGCAAAGCGGCAAGCCGTGGAGTCGAACCAGCGATCGGGCGCTTCTTCTATCTACTCTGATATGCATTCGGCTCAGGCATTGGAGAAGAACCATGGCGGATTTGGGCCTTACCCGTTCCATACCGTTAACACGACGACCAGTGCATCGATGACAGTACATCCCGACCCAGCATCGCTCAACCCTTCAGTCTATCCAGCCGCGAATGGACGTATGGGTCCCATTGGACCTTTGACGACGACACGACCCTTGGCCATAAATTCGACCAACTCGCCCTATGTCACCGCTACAGTGGACTTGATGCGGCAACGTGACGAGGTGTTTAGCCTCATGGAGGATCTAACACGGACCGGCAACACCAATACAAGCGACAAGCCGTACCGATGCTCCGTTCTTGGATGTGACAAGGCTTACAAGAATCCCAACGGACTCAAGTACCACAATCTGCATGGACACTGTTCGACTAGCGGGATGGGCGAGACGGATTCTCCAGAGACCAAGCCCTATGTGTGTACTTTTCTCGAGTGCGGCAAACGGTACAAGAACCTGAACGGGCTCAAGTACCACATCGAACATTCCCACCCCAATCTGACTGCCGCCCTACGAGCTCACCAGTCCGGACTGATCAACCCCCACATATTCGGACCTTACCCAAGCCAAGCGGCCATGACCATAGCGGCTGCTCTTCAGGCTGTCAACTCGAGTCCTATGATGATGGCTGCGGCGAATGCCATCATGACTGCCCAGGCCGCCAATGCCGCCAATGCGGCGAACGCTGCTGCTGCCGCCGCTGCAGTTGGAGTGCCTCATGGGGAATATGACACTGGGTCGGTCAGTGGAGGATTGCTGCAGCCGACAGGTGCTCAAGGAGTTGACACCGGGACGGTCTCTGGAGTAGGTCCTGCACAAGCGACTCGACCTGCGCCCTTCAACCCCATGTCGACTCTTGGAGGGGCCGATGCCAATGTTGTTACCGCGACTGTTTGCAAGCCTGAGCCGTCGCCTACATCTGTTAGCATGTTTGGGATTTCGGCCATTCCCAACAGTATGTTTTCGATGGCACCATCTGTAGTGCCCGTGACTATCAAAGCTGACCCTTACGATGAGGTCTAGAACCCTTGGACTTTGTGTGCAACATCCCCCAAGGATAAGGAAAGGAAGGCTGTGTTTTTGAGAATGCCTAAAGGTGTTTTTTATGAGACCAGCAGCAGTTGTGCTTCAGCGTAAATATCAGAAAATATGAAGCAGAAAAAAACATATTCATCAACGCGTCAAACGTCGCCAATAGTAAAATAAAAAAAACCCTAGAAAGCATTCGTTTATCTTTTGGGTGCGGTTGAGAACAAGAGGAAAAGAGGGAGGATGTGCTGGGTTCCTCGCCACGTCTCGTTTAAATAGGGAGGCCAGTCAATGACTCAGACAAGTTGCTAACAGAAGGAAAGGGGAGTTGTTTCCAAGGCGTCTTTTGTTCTGAGCCGGCGAAGCAAAGGATAACAAGCAGTCACCATTAAAAAAGAAAAAAGCTAAGCCGCATTGAAAAACATTGGTTTGTAGAAAAAGAAACACAGGTGCAATGGGGGTTCAGTTAGTCATTCATTGTCGTAAACGTACATTCGCAAAGGAGCCAACAGACAACTCAGGAACAGGAACCAAGGGAACATACAACAGGAGGACATATTCACCATAACCACGAACATATACACATAATATAACAATGTCCAAGAAGCTTGCAGCACAGGCGCTGGATGCCCTTATGTCCAGCAACAACACCAACAGCAAAATCTCCAAATCCTCCACCTCATCAGGAGCAGTATCCAAGAAGAAGAGCAGCAGCGGCAAGACCGCAAAGAAACAAAACAAGAACAGTTTGCCTGTGACTAAGACCGGATTGAAGAAGATTAAGCATGAGATCCGGTATGGACATTCTGTCCGGAGGCAGCAGGAGGAGGCTGAAGCCAAGATCAATCCTCTCGGTGAGTTCTCAAGCAATTAGAAATCGGTGATTGTCTGTTTTTGCCATAATGGAGACAAAGGAGAGTTGACTGATGAAGCTAACCTATTCTTTTCGTTTTGCGACCAATGGTAATAGAAAAGTTAAAGTCGGCGCAGGAGGAGGAGCAGGAAATTGTGGAGAGGAACATCAACTACTACAGGGTCACAAACCGGGTGTCAAAGAAGGAGCTCGAGCTGCGTAAAAAGGTAATGGCTCCTCATAATGCTGCTTTATCATTTGTCGCGTTTGGGTCGTAATCCGTGCCACTTTTTCAGTGAGAGCGTGCGCAATGGTCACTGACACGAACTGGTTTTTTTTGGTATTAATAGATCAAGGATCTTCGTGCAAAGGCAATGGGACAGGAGGTCCGCAAGGCTGTTGCGGAGCAGGATGAATCGGACGGCGAGGACGATTAAGAAAGCGTACACAATACCGACAACTGTTCCATAACGGAACTGTAATAAAAACAAGCCAGAACGTAGCATTACCATCACTTATCTTCTGATTGTTTTGTCTTTTTTCCCTTCACTTTGGCGAGTGGGGATAGTGTAGTCATGGTCCAATTCTACCAACGGCTCAGGAACTTACTAGGCCTCCTGCAGTGAAAAGACGCCACCAAGATGTGCATGTGACCGGCATCCACCCCCTACATTTTTACCGTATATTATTTTTTCTCCATCCCTCCAACTCACACGCAGCTGCATTCACAACAACACACATGCAACGACATTCACACCTACATGCGACATTAACACGCACATACACGACATTCACCAACCCACAATAAGCATCATTCACAATAGCACACAGAATGAGACCGGCGGCAGAACTGGTCAGGATATGGACAGAGGCCCTTGTGCCTGTCTGCAACAACAGCAAGAGCCACGCCAGCCAGGAACTGAAGTGGCTCCTCCAACACGCCAAACACCAATCGTGTGCATCTCTAGCCGTAAGGAGCGACGGTGCAGCTGCTGGTGGAGGTGGTAGGGGGGGTCTTTCGGAGAAGGAGATCGAGTTGATGCAGGTGTACGTGGACGAGAGAGTCAGGACCCGGAAACCACTCCAGTACATCCTTGGTAAATATGGAGAGGGCACACCGGCATGCTGACCATTTTTTCCATGAGATCTTGAGCTTGGAGGGGGAAGGCTACACACTTATTGATATTGACTTTTGATGTTACCACACTATTCTTTAGGGACACAACCGTTTATGAACCTGGAGATCCTTACTCGACCACCAACACTCATCCCAAGGTAACCTTCGCTTCTGTTCTTCAGACGGGCGGTCGTTTTGTTTTAACAGCTTTCCCACGGCCATGTCCCATTAATTTCGTGTACGCTTTTCTTTTGGGTGAATAGATGGGAGACAGAAGAATGGACAGCGCGACTGGCGACAGCTCTCGAATCCAACCCCCTGATATTCCGCCAACACCACCAACACACCTCTTCAACAACAACACCCCGGTTCAACATACTAGATATATGTTCAGGTTCTGGATGCATCCCTCTCGGACTCGCCTCAGCCTTCCCTCCAGGATCTAGTCGCCTCTTTGGCGCAGACATCCACCCAAAAGCCGTCCAACTTGCACGGGACAATACCGCACATAACCAGGCGCTGTTGAACCAGAACCTTGTCTCGTTCCATCAAGCCGATCTCTTGGCTCCGAATGCTGTTGAAAAGTTCCTGAGCTGGTTGGATGTTGATCATGATAGCAGTGGTATTGTCAATAGCGGAACAAATTCATCTTCAGGAATGGGAAAGGGGCAGGGACGGTACCACTTGATCATCTCGAATCCACCCTATATTGCGCATTCGGAGTACGATACGCTGGAACCGGAGGTTGCGCAGTGGGAGGATCCAAAGGCACTTTTGGCAGATCAGGAGGGGCTTGTGTTTTATCCCCGGATTGCTCATATGGCTATGGAGTTGCTTCATCGACAACCCGCTGCTTCTCGGTCTTCGTCATCGTCGACATCATCTGCATCCTCCACTGCTGTAGGAGAGGATCAGAATAACAAGCACCTTATGCGGGAACTGGACCCACGGACACTGGAAAGGATCAACTCGTTGGACCGCGACGAACAGCAACACAACAATCATAACATCAACAGCAATCATAACAGCGGCAACAGCAAGAGGGCCCAAGAAGGCGAGGAGATAGACGATGATGACGTGGAGCGAACATGGAGGAACGGACCAGAACTGGACCGTGTCAAAATCCCAGAGTTAGTCTTTGAGATTGGCGGGGATCACCAGGTCGATTTTGTCTCGGCTGCAGTCCGTCAGGCCGGGTTCCGTCGCGTCCAAGTTTGGAAGGATTTGGCAGACCGTGCCCGATGCATTGTAGGAGCCCGTTGACGCGTACATTGCTTTTTTTCTTTCCTTCCTTTCATTTTTGCCGCTGTTGCAGATGTTAATAAAGCAAGAAAAGCACGAGCAATTGTTTATCCATATATTGTATGTACTGTTCATCGGGTATTATTGACATCTTTATGAGGTGGAGTGTTTGAAAAAAAGAAAAAAGTGTAAAAAAACGACGAGAGAACTATCCCATTATCTATCATATGTAAGGGGGGAAGGACGGTCATTCTCTTGTGCCAGTAATATCACCCTTTAAACGGGATGAGGGATAGAGGGTGAGACAGCATAACCATCAGGGTTGTTGCGCTGCCATCTCCAGAGATCGGCACACATCTCGTCAAGAGTCTTTTCTGCCCTCCAGTTCAACTCCTTGTTGGCAAGACGAGGGTCCGAGGTCAGGTTGGGGACATCTCCGGCACGGCGGTCGGTGACCTTGTAGGGGAGGTCTGTTCCGACAGCTTTGTTGAAGGCCTTGACCATGTCAAAGACCGAGTAGCCGGTGCCGGTTCCCAAGTTGTAGGCCTTGCAGCCATAGTTTCCTGCAGCCTGTTCCTGATCCAACTTTTCTAATGCTGCGACGTGACCCTGTGCGAGATCGACAACATGGAGGTAGTCGCTATTATTTGATAGAAAAGAAGAGAAAGGGTTAGGACCGCTTAATTGAAGGAGAGGAATGTTGCAAGCCAGCTTGCAATTGAATCCAGCTGCTCAATTTTTTTCCACATACCGAATGCAGGTACCGTCATCAGTGGGGTAGTCGTTTCCAAAGACGGCGAGTCTCTCGAGCTTGCCGACAGCGACCTGGGACAAGAAGGGCATCAAGTTGTTGGGGGTGCCCTTGCAATCCTCTCCCATAATACCCGAAGGATGAGCTCCCGCAGGGTTGAAGTATCTCAACAACATCACGCTCCACTCATAGTTACGCTCGACCTCAGCTCCGTTGGCTCCGTCAGTGTTGTTGGTACGGTCCTGGAGGTGCTGCTGCTGCTTAATAACAGAGGCGACGCAGAGGTCCTTGAGTATATGTTCCAAAAAGACCTTTGTTCTTCCGTAGGGGCTCATCACAGTGACGATGGGCGACGTCTCAGGGATGGGAATCGAAGGAGGGTTGCCATAGACAGTAGCGGATGAAGAAAAGACAATCTTGCGGACATGAAAGTCCTCCATGACCTGCAACAGGTTGACCGTGCCTGAGATGTTGACATTATAATAGTCTAAAGGAATCCGGCCCGATTCACCGACGGCTTTGCGGCCAGCGAAATGGATCACGGAGGAGATTTCGGGGTGATCTTCAAAGACCTTGACGAGGCCATGGCGGTCAAGGATGTCGACCTGGTAGAAGGGGATGAGGGTTTCGACGGGGAGGGCGGCGTCTTCAAATTGTGCCGAGGGCGAGGCGGCGGCGGTGATGGCGTAGAGCTTGTGGACGCGGCGGAGGGACTCGTAGGATGAGTTTGAGAGGTTGTCTACGACGATGACCTTGTAACCGGACTCGAGGAGGCGGAGGACCGTGTGCGAGCCAATGTAGCCACAGCCTCCGGTGACGAGGATTGCTTGCTTTGAGGGGGACATTCTTGTTGTTGGAAGGAGGTGGAGGTGTAAAAAAGGGAGCGAGGGATAAAAGAAAGAAGAGAAGCGAGAGAGGTTGAGGAGTTGGGGATGAAGAGAGGGAAAGAAGAAAGAGAGTGTATGAAGTAGGAAGGAAAAAGATAAAAAAAACGAAGTGAGAGCAAAAAGGGCTAGGCAAGGCAGGGGCAGGAGGCAGGATCAGAAAAAGAGATTCCTTTAGATCGTCCAGGCTCCAATTCCACAAAAACGTGTTATCGTTTCTTTGTCTCTTTCTGTCTTTGCGCAAGGGGGACACACTCTGATTATGATGCTCGGCTGTGCTTGCATCGATGTACATGTACATACACCTCCCTCTTATGCTCAACAGTTCGATACAAACGTATCCGTGATGGCATTAGACAACATCAACAACAACCATCTGGATACCAACCACAAACACAGTGCAAATCATGATAGTGCCGATAAGATAATTCAATTCAATAACAACAATAAACACCACCATGATAACACCTTCCCTCCATTCAACGCATATTATGTCCTCTTTTTCAAATGGAGTTTTGCCGAGGCAGATGGACAAGCAATAAACCCCCAGTGTGGTGGGGGATGACAAAAAAAAATAGAGAGCCGTCCCTCGGAGCGACTTCAGCTCTAGGAACCCTTACCTTGCCGTGTTCGTTACACCTCGCCCACCTCTCTTTTTTTTGGCGAGTACCCCACGGACAAAGAGAAAGGATCAGGAACAGGGCAGAGCCAGAGTCAAAAACACCCTTCAACTAAAAATAAAAATGCTCCTTTTTTATTTTTAGGTCAAGAGGGCACTTCGCCGTCGCCGCAGACCCGTCTTTGACAAACACGGCGCGCGCCGACTGACCGATTGACTTATTGGCAGACTGTCTTGTGTCGTTTCGTATTCCGAGAAACCCATCCAGCTCATTGTTGAGACTATTTTCAAAGACATCCAGATATCAGGATTCACGAACAAAAAAAACGCCAAAACACTGGAGTAAAAATATTTAGGCGGCGCCATGATGGCTACTTTTTGTTCAAAGAAGTCGAAATGGGATTATTACTAGATGCACGTATGATGACAGTGATGGCGGCATAGTCGGCTCTCCCCACATGGCATGAACGCATCTTTAAGAAGGCTGTTTTTCTGTCTCGCTGTTTTTTTAACTTTTGCCACCAAAATAGACTTGAATCAGTAGAAGTTGCGAATCAGTACATTTCTGACAAACGATGCGTGAGACAAAGATGAGTGCGGATGCAAAGCTAGAAGCTAAGGAGCGTTCAAATAATTCCCTCTGGGCGACATAGAACCATTTTGGTTTCTCTGAACCTATCTCTCATCTCATGTGATTCATGGTTTACTCAAGCGCGATAACAGAGATTCAGGCACCTCATGTCTTGCATAGCAGAAGTTTTTCTTTCCAAACAACCTAAAACGGATGCACGAACGCAATGGGTATCAGTTTGCGGTACCATACCCATAATACTCGCCAATAAACACGCGTGTGAACGACGGGTAATGAACAAAGGAAACATAAGAAAGGTACCCCCCGCGTCAATCCCATGGCGTAACTCTCCCCTTCACCTCCGCCTTTCCACATCCATGAACAAAAACCCCAGCCATAGAGGTGAAGAAAGAAGGACAAGGGCTAAATTTTGTGCGACTCTCGAAAACGCTCAGATCCTCCTCAACAGCTCGACCTTGGAAACTCCCGCCCATCCTTCACAATCGATGGACACATGTTCACCTTGTCCCTTTCTCACACTTAACTCAAAAGTTTACTAACCCACATCGCTTCCTTTATCATTCTTCACCTCAAAGTAGAATTCGCTCACAGTTTAAGCATGTGGAAGAGCTGAATAGAAAGGGCTACTACTCTATGTTAGTTGCGAAGTGTGAGTGCGCCATTTGTGAATAGCAAGTAGAAAAATAACAGTTGAACACAAACAATAATCACAAAAAGCATCATTCAGAAGAGGGGATGGGAGAAGTATGCGTCGAATTAGAAGAGAGGGAGGGATAGAAACCGAGAAGAAAGGAGTGAGCTCGGCAAAATGCTTTGGCATGGGCCTCTTGCATGAACACATTCGACACTCACTCTTCCTTCTGTTTCTTTCCTCCACTCTCTGTCCTCCTTCCACCTACTCCACATCCCTCAAGTTGCTCTCAATTTTTTTTTCTTTCTTGTCCTCTTCCATTTCCATTTTTCTTTTTTTCTCCTCTCTCTTGTTTTTCGAAGGATTCAATTGTCCGTACGTCTGAAGGCAAGAAAAAAAGGTGGAGGACAAGGTACAGATGTTGTGCATACGATATGGGATCATGCGTGAACCTTGTTTGTTCACTTTGTTCCTCGTCCGCAAGTCGACCCCTTCATACCAGAGCAGAGAGAGATGAATTGAAGAACAAATGAACTGCGAATGAAAAGGGTTCTTTTTTCTCACTCCACCTTCTTGTAAAGAGAACAAACATAATTTAACTTGAACATGAGAGTTGACCAGCATCATTGGCAGCGCATAGTTCTCTAATTCTTCCCAACCAAGCGTTGTTCCGTTAGGGCTTGGTCATCCCTTTCTGTTTAATGTGGCAACCCCCTTATTCTCGTACTTCTCTCCTCCTTTTCTCTTAATTACGTGTGATAAAGAAGACGCGCCATGACCGCTACAAGTCATAATTGCAAGAACAATTCTTCCATTAGTAATAACGAGCATCAACAAGGATGGTGAAGTGTGTGTTGTAAAGTGCCAACTGTCAGAAATGGAGGAAAAGCAACAGACAGACAGACAGACAGACAGACAGACAGACAGATAGATAGACAGGCAGGCAAATAGCCCTGACACTCGCCTTCCTTTGCCCATCAGAAAAAGTAGCTCAACACCGGCCCAACCAGACAAACAATAACAAAGGCAGAGCTATCTCGCATCCGTGGACCCAAACAAAAATCAACAACCCACACGAAATAAACAAAGAAAACAAACAAACAAACAACAGACACTAAACACTCCTCAACTTCGCTCGAAACCCAAAGAAGTGAATACAAACATGTCAGCATCAACATTAAAGAAGACTCCTCCCCACCTCGTTCATTGTTCAACCCATCCGACCTTTCTTTTAATTCGCCAAGCCAAGCCAGATCTTTTTTCTTGTTTGCAAAGCAACGCCCTTTAATGGTCATGTATTACTCGCCTCTCCACATTCCCTCCAACTACGACATGTGGGAGTGCGTGCCGAGGGATCAATGCATTTCGCGCGCTAATGCTACCAAAGAAACAATCTGGACGCGAATGCATTTTTTGTGCCTTCTGTCATTTAAAAGAACTGCGGGGTAGAATCTCATTCTCTTTTTCTTTTCTTGTTTTTTCTCTTCAGCCTTACCACTCACCACCTCTCTCCCACCCATCCACTCTCCTCTCCACACTTTACTCTTTCCCTCCCTTCTCTCCCCCTCTCTACTAAAAACCTCAACGATAGCAAACCATTATGTCTGCCACTGCTAACTCTACCTACGTCGTCCCCGTCCTCCCCACCGATGGTCGCCTCGGACACCTTACCCAGGAACAGACCGTCAAGCTCCAGCAATTCTGGGTTCGCCTTTATGACATCTTTGACGGCAAGACCCCTTTTGACCAGACTGCTCCCTCATCCTTCAAGGGACAGGCCCGTGATGAGGAAGGCGGTGATGGTACCCCTGCCCCCGCGAAGACTGGCTGGTTCGGCCGTGGCAAGGCTGCCTCCGAGAGCGTTGCAGCACCCGCCCCACGCTTTACCGGCGCTGAATTGTACAAGACCTTCTGGAAGTTGACCATGATGGACCACCCCGACTTGATCGTTCTCAAGGTAAATACACATTCGCCTTGTCCATGGGCCATTGAGTGGAGAAGAGTAGTACTGATGAAACAAAGAGTGGAAAGCGAGACTGATACGCTTTGGGGTGTTTCAGTGATGACGATGTTGTCAACTCACTCTTTCCATGCCTCCTCACATCTAACCCGATTTCGCACGTCCTATTTTTCTCGCCTCTTTATTTTCTTATCCCTTTCTTCCTTCCATCAACCAACGCCTCTCGCAAACACACTTATAGTTCATTCGTGCTCGCAAGTGGGTCGTGGACGATGCCTTGAAGATGTTCTTGAATGCCCTCAAGTGGCGTATTGTCGAGCGTCTGGACGAGCTGGTCGAGCTCTCGGATGTGGAGTTGGATGCCAAGTACCCCAAGTTCATTGAGCAGATGCGCAAAGGCAAGGGTTACCTCCGCGGTGCCGATCCTCTCGGTCGCCCCATGTCTATCGTCAACACCCGCTTCCACCACAAGGCTGACCAGCCCGCTGAGACCATCCATCGCTTCACCCTCTATGTAAGATTTCTTTTTAATGTTGGCTCCTTTATTTTTTCCAGTTAATATATTCTTCTTTGCCTTCGAATAGTGCCACAGGGTGCTCTTGTTGCATGCATACATTAGCCTTCATTCACCCAACAACAGCACCGATTGCAGGCGGGAAACAAGGACAACGACAACCGAGAACAACAACAACCATGCAAGCACAACAGTAAACCAAAGAACGCAAGAGCACCTGGACCAACCCAAATGCACTCCCACGACTGTTCCAAACACAAAATATTCTCCAGGACTGCCGAATCTTTCTTGTGTACATGCTGGACGTTCCCCGCTGACGTTCACTTTTCCTTTTCTCTTTCTCTCTTTTCTTTTCGCTTTCTTCTCTTTCTTTTTTCCAGACCATGGAGTGCGGACGAACTGGTAAGTCAATACCCCTTCATCATGGCCATCACTTGCTGGAGTGACTGTTTGTCGTATGCGACAAAACGCGTTCGACCAACCAATTGCCCTATCCTTTCCTCTATTTTCTGGTTGCAATGCTTCTCTAACCATTCTTTTTCGTTGTTTCTTTCCTTCTCGTCCCTTTTTTTTGCATTCTCCAGTGCTCCCTGATGGTTCTGAGACAGTTATTGTTATTTTTGACCTGTCGAACTTCGGCCTCGACAACATGGATTGGGGTTTCGTCCGCCTGTTCGTCCAATGCTTCGAGTCGTACTACCCCGAGACCCTCGGAGTCTGCGTTGTTCACCGTGCGCCTTTCGTCTTCTGGGGACTCTGGAAGTTGATCCAGCCCCTCCTTGACCCCGTCGTTGCATCCAAGTTCGTCTTCACCCGCAACAACGCCGAGTTGCATAAGGTCGTCCCCCGCGAACGTCTCCCCATCATCCACTACGAGGGTCTCGATGACTGGAAGTACGAGTACATCCCTGCCGTTGCTGGCGAGAACGACTGCATGAAGGACACCGCCAAGAAGGAGGAACTGCTGGCTGAGCGCCATGCCATTGAGGCCCGCTTCGATACCGTGACCCGTGCCTGGATCAAGAACGCTGATGGAAAGAACAATGCTGAACGTGACGAGATTGCCAAGGAGTTCAGGGAGCAGTACACTCGGTTGAGCCCCTATGTCCGCGCTGACACTCTTTACAAGCGCTGGGGTGTTGCTGTGAATGGTGAGGTCAACTGGACCTACAACATCAAGGACCAGTAAACATAAGAAAAAGATTATGCAATTGCAGCAATACGCGTAGAGTAGCCCTATACCCTCTTTGGTGTCCAAAGTAATGCTAGCGGAGATAGTACCAAGCAATTGTGACCTATACTTTTGGAAGGAGCAAGGAAAAAGAGATGAAGGAGTGCGAATAAACAATAACAACAAGATAATACAGCTTGTCCCTCAGCATGCTCATGCTCGTGCTTCTTCCAAATTTATCGACCTTTCAGCAAGTTCAGCCCCTTCTAGGCTCACATCGCACTCTTTTGTTTCGCGCATCCTATCAGAGTTCGACCTTGCCCTATTGTTATGCTGTTTGGACACAAAAGGAAAACAAGCAACAGGGCAAGATCTCTTTTCGCCTCTAGGTTCCGGTTAACGATAGCTAGTGGGCATTGCGTTGGCAGGAGACCATAGGACCTTGCTTTGATTGTCTACGCCTCATTTGTTCTTCTTTTCCAGTTGTTCGCTGATCGACTTGTTGTTTTCATTTTGCCTTCTAATTGACCTAGGCTCTACGCTTTTTATCCTTCGTGTAGCACTTTGCTTTGCCTCTAACTCTCGCTCTCTGCTGCGAGGCGGTTGTCGCCATCTCCCGCTAACCGCCCACCCTCGTTTTTTTTCTTCTTTTCGCGCGTGCATGAATGGGTCATTCAAAAAAGCCTGCTACACCTCCCTCATCGCCAATAACAGAATACCACAGAAACAAAGGCCAGAGCAGTTAAATGGACAACAAAACAATGACTAGAACAAGTGGATAAATACTCCGCGCTCTCCCGCCCTTCATTCTCTTCCATCTTTTTCTTCTTCTTTAGCATTCGCTCTGTTCTCTTCCTTACCCATATCGCCAATTGCGATTATAATTTATTTCTTACACACTCGACTGTCCTTCCTCTCTTCACTTTTCCTTTCTCTCCTTCGCCCTCTCACCCCTCGCCTCGTGTTTCTCAACTCTGCACACCACTCACCTTAAGACCTCTTTTCACCACTTCTCTCATCATCTACTTTTCTACCCAGCCACCAATCCGTTGTACACCTGCACATTATTTTGATTCCAGCTCATCATGATTGGAATAATACACGCCGACACACCTCCAGCAGTCCCTACGAATGCATTCTTGCTACTCGTGCCTATTTTTCTTGCTCTGGTTTCCATACCATATATTGCCTTCTCCAAGGTGCTTGGTATGCATCACTTTCACACTGAGATACAACAGTCATTCTCCACGACCTGCCTTGACTCTCTAGTCAAAACTCTTGACCAGCAGCGCAGGAAAATTGCCGTCTCACTCCACGACTACAATGTACACTTTCAACTCTCTCACTCTTTAGCCACGTTCCCACAAATGATTAGAAGATCAGTTGGTATCATGCACATTCCACTTACACCCTTGCGCCTTCATGTTACACCTACATATATATATATTAAATAGACACAATCTGACAAATCAAGACCACCCCCCATCCCCATGGTCTCACTCCGCCCCGGTGATAAAACACACGACAAAGAATACCGCGAGAACCAAGACAAGTTCCTAACCCGCTGCCAAACCGAATCTGGCCCCGTCTTCAAGCTCTTGATCCACCGGCTCCAAATCACCGTCGTCTCGGACGACTTCATCCGCGAGATGTTTCTCAACGAGAACTTTTCCAATGTCGACGCGTTGAATGAGTTAATGGGAGTGAAGACTTTCTTGCACTCGTTGATCAAGTCTGGCAAGAACCATGATGCGAGGATCCAAAATTCGATTATTTTGGATCATTTGACACCGAGTTTGCCAAAATACCAGGCCGAGATGGTGAGTGCGCTTGAGGCGGCGTTGGTGGATGGGGTTGGAGCTTGTGTGAAAGGGAGGGTAGTCGAGTGTCCTGTCACTATCATCCAAGACATGATAGGTAAATCTAGTAAGTAATCCTCCCCCCTTTTTTTGTGGTTGCTTCGCTCTTCTCTTATTTCTTTCTTTTACTGACTGTGATGATATTTCAGTTATTTACGCCCACAATTATTTTGTTTCCTTCGTCCATACTAGCTGGTACGGTGTTCATGGGCGCCGAAGTGGCCAACAATTCTAAGGCGCTCGAGACATTCATCATGTCAATGCGCGACTTTACCAGCGTCCTTGGCCTGAACGACGTCAACATCCCCTTCTGGCGCCGCTGGTTGAACCTCAAACTTATGCACTTCAACAACCCGCTCAAACATCGCGTCCAGACCCTCGCCGAAGCCGCCACACCCGTCATTATCGAACGCCGCCGACGCGAGGCACGACTCATCAACGAGGGTGTCGATGCCCCCCAGTTCATAAAAACACGCCCGCACGATATCCTCCAAAAGATGCTTGACCGGTTCGACGAATATGGGTTTGTAGACCTGGAGGATATCTGTGGCCACATCATGCTCCTGATCCTAACCAGCGTTCACACAACCATCGATGCCTCCAGCTCAATGGTCTACTACCTCGCCGCCTACCCCGAGACCATCCCTGTCCTCCACCGCGAGCAAGTCCAGGTCCTTGATGCGATCCAACAGGAGCGTCAACAAGAACGCGCCTCCTGCCTCAGCAAATGCCTCGAAATCAGTCCAGAGCTTGACCCAGCCCACGACCGCGACCTGAGCTCCGCAGCCCTGAAGCGAATGGTCCATCTCGACTCGTTCCAACGAGAAGTCCTTCGCTGCCGTACCGAGGCCCTCACACACTTTCATATGGCCCGCAAAGAAAACATCCTGTCCAACGGAATGGTGATCCCCAAGTACGGCATGGTGCTCGCCAACCTAACTTCAACCCACGCCAACAACTCTGTAGCCCATGGCGCCAACCCTGGAAAGTTCCATCCCTGGAGATACGTTGGCACCTTTAAGACGATGACCAAGGTCGGGGTGGACTACTTGCCGTTTGGGATGGGAAAGCATGTTTGCCCGGGCCGGTTTATGGCCAGTCAGCAGACAAAGACTGTGGTATCGTTGATGGTGTCCAAGTTTGAAAAGATTGAGTTCCAGGACTTGGGTCAAGCGGGCAGTGTGCTGAGAACTCAACACGGAAATGTCGCTTCGCCAGCTCTCGTCTTCACCAGCCGAGGGCAACAACCGCCTCAATTATGAGGTAATAATGCCGATTTCATGACCCCTTCTCCACTTATGACAAACAACTCTCTTTACCTCTATCCTCTCCCCTGCTATTCTTATTCACACCACACACCTCGTAATCCCAAGTGAACGCGATAACTTGTTCAATAAATGCACAACATAAAAATGACACAAGGTATCTTTCTTTTTATTTATTTTGTCCTCTCTATCTGTTTCCTTGTCTTACATCCCTTCGATGCGATAAGGACTGACCAAGGACTCGGTCGGTACCAATCCCGAGGGGATCTTCTTGGATTTTGTGAACTTTTTCCTGCACAATTTGAGGTCGTTTGTCTGCACGAATTCCAGAAGCGCCTGTGTGGTGTGACCCATCAACCACGCAAACAGGTCCTAACAACAGATATGATATGGCAATACTGTTAGTATAAGCAGGATTGATTGATGGTAGCGAGTTTTCACTTCGCAGCGACATGTCTTTGTTACTGAAATCAAGGATAGACCAACTTACCATTTCTTTGTTATCTTGACTGAATGGTCCGAGCACCCACTGAGGGATGGTGGTGGTGCTTCCTGAAAGGGGCTTTCCGACACCAAGGCGGAAACGGATAAAATTTGTTGTGCCCAACACTGCACCGATGCTCTCCTGTCCTTTCTGTCCCGCCAAACTCTTCAAGTCTCCTCCGTCTATTGTGCATATGAACCACAAAAAGGTACGTGTCGATGGTTAATTGATCAAACAAAATATACCAACAACTACACAAACACGAAATGAAATGAGGAGCATGCCGCTGTTGTTGCTGTTACCTTGGATGGCAAGAGACCCAGGCAGAGTGTTGATATCATCGGATACAACGATGACCTTCTTAGGATCCGTCAATTGATAAAAGTCCATGACCTTCTTGACCGCCACTCCTGACTCGTTCATGTAAGTCAACGGCTTCATCAGTACTATCCGGAGCGAGTTCTATAATGGTGCATAGAACAATGAATAACAATAACGAGTCGTTATTAATAGGTCCTGTCTGTCACTGGGCCTAAAAAGAAGTCAAGGTGGTGTCGTCCTGGGTTACTGTGAGAGCGTTTGTCAAAATCCTGCATCCTGGTCCCCCCATCTTACCGAGACTGTGCCCTTTGTGTACGAGAACACAACATCCTGGGTATCAGCTAAATAAAAAAAATAGAGAAAAGTCGTTAGTTCTTGTGCTTCTGTATCACAAGTCAAAATATGATCAATTGGATTTTTTTTCTCACGTACCTGACAAGTTCATCCGTCTCTGGTACACTGGGGGTGTGGGCCACTTTTGGTCCATGGCCATCACATTGGCGATATAATCGATGAACAAGAATCCGGCTAGTAAAAGGACAAACAGGGCGGCAACAAAAGAACAAAGTTAGCATCCCTTCTTCACACTTGCTTATTAATATCGATAGTCTGTGGAAACACAAGAAGTATGATTCCAGGTCGCAAGCGTTTTTTTACCGTTGTGTCGAGTGGTGGTGTACTCGTTTCCGGGATTGCCGAGTCCAACGAGGAGATAGTCAACTGGACGGGATGTCATTGTTTTGAGAGGAGAGGAATGAGTAGAAAAAGAAGGGAGCGAATGTCAAAAAAGTGAATGTGACCAGGTGTAGATGTGAAAGAAACAAAAAGTAAGAAAAGTGAAGAGGGGGGACGCTTGTCGCGTTGGAGAAAGAGGAGCCATTCGAGGTTGGCGTGACTGCGGCTCATCAAAGTGCCTTTCGAGCCTGTGGACATGATTGCTTGTTGAGCACTGGAGACACAGCAAATTATGCACACTTTTGTTCTTCCATTTTTCCTCGTTGGTGAAAGAGCGGGTACTATTCTTTAGGACCGCCTTGTTTTTTTCAGTCAAACAGTACTTATGTGCATATCAGTGTTACGGGAGGACATGCAGATGAACGATGCGTGCTTGTCTTTCTAAACCCTACTATGCTGTTCTCTCCTTCCCTCATCAGTTGAAGGAACCGAACGAACCTGTCTTCCGAACCTTTGGAGTTGAATGATATCAGTCTCCCTCTCCCATTCCCTTCACCGCCTGGTATTATTTTATTTAAAGCGCTCATTTTGTATTTTGTTATTCGCTAAAAAAGAAACTGCTGAAGTACAACAAAGAAGAAAACTTTCCTTTATTAGTATGTACGTTCTCTAGGATTCGTTTGTTCATCGTCTCCTCCTCCGTTTTTTCTCTCTCTCCCTTGTTCCGAACTCGTTGCAGTTGGTGGGTAGGTGGGTGAGTGGTGGTAGATAATCTTGAGGGCGTCCCTTCGTCATATCGTTAATCATTGATCATTGAAAAACGCGTTCGTCTCAAATGTTCATCAACGCGTAATGATTAAAAATCGCCCTCAGACGCGTCCTGCTGATTGGTCGCGTAATATTGTATCGGCAGTAGGCGTACTTTCCTTCTTCTTCATCTCGACCCCGTGATGTTCTGGGGGAACATGTTCTATTGACCATTGTACAAGTGCTTCTCTTTCTTATTTTCTTTTCTTTGGCGCCCTAGTTCATCAGACGAAGAGAAGGCGCTAATATGGATGCAGTTGAATTGGAATGAGTGGCGTATAGAGGATCAGGAGGAGGTGAGGCACGTGGTGAAAGTGACGACAAAGGTGACGGAATGATCGGCATTGCGAGAGAGAAGGGACGGAAGAGGTAGATGTCAAGGAGGAGAGAGAAGGAATGAGAGAATGTAAAGAGGGTTTGAAAGAGTTGACTGGTGAAGAAGGAATGAGGAAGAAGGGAGGGACGCCAAAAAAGGAGGAGGGTGGAGAGGAATGAAGCAGAGTCAGTTAGTTTTCTTTCAAGAAGGCTGCAGCTCATACCGTTAGAGAAAAGGGAAACTTCCATATGAAAGTAGGCGATGCATAGGATTGATGGGAAAATACAGACAGAGAAAGAAAAGGAAACACGGCAACAGTGTGCAATCCAAAAAAAAAAAAAAAAAAAAAAAAAAGCGCCCCACTATCAATAGAAGCCTTCTTAGTCTCAGTCTGTGATCCGTGATCAATGTATCAATCGCTTTCATCGCCGTAGTTATCCTTCTCATAACAATTCTCTTTCACTCCCTCCACCAGAAGCAACCCCCCTTTCTCTTTTTTTTCAGCCAACAATCATTCACTTCTCATGGATACATATCAATATGCGCATACGACAACAAAATAACACCTAGCTACTTAACGCTTTTGTGTCCATTATTATGTGCGATTATGGTGAGAAAATATATGAGGTGTCAGAGTTTCAGAGTTGACTCATTCGGGTTCCGAGTCAAGAATGATCTGCTGTACCTCAAGAATGGAGACCGTCTTTGTCTTCCAAACCTACCCGCCGCCAAGACGCGATTAATGTCCAAGACTCACGACTGTTATATCTTCGGTCATCACGGTATCAACAAAACATACACCTGCTTAGCCGATATCTACTCATGCCGAGCATCCAAGTCCGTTTTGCTGAAAGTCTGGTGCTACGAGAAAATATGAATGCTGCCATGCAAGTTGCTGAAAGTCTTGACGGTGTTCAGTACCTGAACCGATATCGTCTCCTTGACCAGTGGTCTCGCCCCGACTCCGAAAGCCACGTCCATCCCGAGTCCATTCCCCGACCCATGGACCTGGACTCCACCACATGTTCTGGCCCGTCGCACAACCTATGTCAAGAAATGCAGATGCAATGAGATTAAATAACCGCACTTGCTTCATTTGTCATGCCATCAGTCATCAAGCCCGCAGTTGTTCTCAAGAACCCAGTCGAAAAGATTGTCAAGCACACCAAGTCTTGCCGATGGCTCTTTTCGCTTTCTAGTTCTTTCAGGCAATGCGTTTGCAGTAAAGATCCGCTCCATATTAAACATTCCTCAATTACATTTTTCATTTGTTTCCTCTAACCCGTATCACCTTTTCGCACTCGGGCTCAGAAAATAAAACTCAACGTTACATCTCAGGAATGTAACCATTGGTACATGCGTGGAGGTGTCAAAAAAACGCGAACAAACCCGGGCAAACACCTCACTTTCTTTTTTATCACTGGCAAACAGCACAGAAACGTCATTTGGAAATAGAAGGGGGCTACAGACCAAACTCTTCAATGCACCATCCGCCAGTTGCAGTCCGGTCCGGAACCTGGCTCTACACAACAATTGTTGCTGCTCTTTGCAGCTTAAATGGAAGAAAATAAAATTAGATACGAATAAAGGGGATTCTTCCCATTCTCTCCATCATTGACAACCTCCTCCTTCCCAACAAACTCTCCAACAACCGCTCGTCAGCAGCGCATGAGTCCTTGGTCGCTCCATTTTTTTTTTTTTTTTTTTTTTGTCCACGATTTTATTTCTCTAAAGAACAATTCATGTAGGTAATCCAAAAATAAAAGGGCTATTTGTGAGGACCCCTTCCCAGTACACCATCCCTTAGTCACAGTCCGGTTCTAATAACGCTGGCTCTGCGCAACAATCGTTGTCGCTCTTCACGACAAAAACGGAAGAAAATACAAAAGCGATCTATCCAGTTATTACTCTCAACTAAAACACCTTCATCTGAACAACCAGGAGATAGCAAAAGTACTTTCTTCCCAGTGCCGTTTTTCAAGTGTTCGACGTCACCTCCATCCATGCACATGTGTGCAACGCAACAACCCAAAAAAATAAAAATGGTTGTCACGCGCCTCCTGGACAGGGGAGACTAGCGCGAAAAGAGGGGGGGTTGCCATTGTGCTTGCGCACTTGTGTGGGAAAAAAACAAAAGTTTCGCTCCTCGTTTCCCACACACCTTCAAGGCAGAAAGGTTGGAACGTTAGCCATCCAGGCCTGGGGTTCTTTTTATACTGTGAGGGACTGACAGCGGTGCTCTAAGACGCTTAAGGCAGAACTCATAGAGACTGCGCGAATACTCATATCACCAAGTAGTTCCAACATGGCACCTCATGAGCAAAGATCCATCCATGCACTTCCGTGCTTCGCAAGGGAAGTCAACCCTCGCACCGACCTGGACAGGGGGGCCGGGTCTTGAATCCGTCAAATCCGTAGCGTATCTCCTTGTGGGTGGGACCAAGGACCTCTCGCAAAGAGGATGGAAAGGCAGACGACCAACTCCATTCGACTGACATTCCGTGCGGCGATGGGGGACCATCTCTCTCTCATCTCGCTCCAGGGACCGACCTGCCGACCTCATAACACCCGCCTTGAAACTTCCAAGCTCTCCTTGCATGTCGCTGACCCGGGGTGGTAGGCGCCTTGGCAACACTGACGCCAACGGTGGTCCTGCTCAAGGGCCTTGTCGGTTTAATGGTTGGATGGATGGATAGCCCCGACGTGTGGATGGAGGAAGGCGTGACTGTTCTTGGAGACGAAAAATGGGAATTGGGAAAGAAAGATCGGTCTTGGTCGCTCCAAGGCCCCAAGGCCCCAGGACCCGGCCTTTTTTGGGCTTAAAAAATGAGTGAGTCCCAAGAGTCCCTCATTAAAAACTAGTAAGCCAGTACATAAACGACAGAAAATATCAACTACCATCAAAGAAAAGAGCTCCCCAATTGATCTGATTGGCTGAGTTTGGCTGGAGACCTGGTCTCTGGCCGTGGAAGAAGAGAAAGCGATCGGTCTGCTGGCCCAATGGAAAGGCGTCTGACTACGAATCAGGAGATTGCAGGTTCGACCCCTGCGTAGATCATCAATAGCACTCTTCTACCTCTTTTGTTCTTTTTGAGAAGCTTCAGGGTATCCAGGTTGGTAGCCTCACTTATAGTATCATTGAGGTTTACTTTTGTGTTTTGTTATTCTGACACTTCTGCAGTGTTGCACAGAGAAAAGGAGTGAAATTTTTTGCTTTGCGCATGCGAGCGAAACCTTGGAAAAAGAAAAGGATAATATAAAACATTATATTTTTTATTCTCCAATTAAAATTCTAACTACTCCGACTGGAGAGCTAATTTTCGCGCTATCAGTATGCAAAACTTGTTTCACTCACACTTTGCTTAGAACAAAGCGAACAACGACATCAGAGTAATTAAGTACAGGTGCCCTGGGGCGACCAAGGACCCACGCGCTGCTGACGAGCGTTTGTTGGAGAGTTTGTTAGGAAGGAGGAGGTTGTCAATGATGGAGAGGATGGGAAGAATCCCCTTCATTCGTATCTAGTTTTATTTTCTTCCGTTTAAGCTGTGAAGAGCAGCGACAATTGTTGCGCAGAGCCAGGTTCTGGACCGGACTGCGACTGGTGGATGGTGCACTGAAGAGTTTGGTCTGTAGTTCCCTTTTACTTCCAAATAACTTCTCTATGCTGTTTGTCAGAGAAATAAAATTGTGTACGAAAAAAAAAAAAAAAAAGTAATTAAGTACAGTACTTAATGTTTGAGGTAAAAGTTTTACCTCAAGACAATAAGTGTTATGCCATTTAATGACGATAGTATCGGCTTTTCGAAGCGGTTTAAAATTTATCCCAACCCTTTAATCAAAGAACCACACATTGAAGAATTTAGCTTATTTTGAGGAGAGGGAAATCAAGTGGAGAAGGATGATTGTATTAAGGTCCTGGTCTGGTCGTTCCATTATAGCCGAACCAGACCAAAACTATGTGCTCTTATGAACACAAAAGGAGGAGCGGATACTCCATTCTCCCAGAACATAACAGCGTAAGGAAACGTTTTTTTGAAGGGTTGATTGTGTTGACTTTCAACCAAAAAAATGAAACAGACAGTCAGATTAGAAACCGAAAGAGTCCAGTTAGATATTCTCAGATTAGTGCCTATTCTTCGATTAGAAAAAACGCACTATTTATATGAAATCCGACTGTAAATTATTTTTACAGTCAGAATAAAATGTCAAAGTTAAGGGTTTTATCACGTGCTTGGATTCATGTTTCTCATACTATTCAAAATATTTAGAAAATTCAGAAAATCAACGAAACAAAGCGTGGTTGGTTTAGTGGTATAATTACCGCCTGCCACGCGGTAGACCCGGGTTCGATTCCCGGACCACGCATTATTTTTGCTATGATTGGCTTAGCCTGCTTCACTTTTTTTTCAACCTGCGTGTTGTGCCATTGAGAGGCTCGCAGCGTAGTAGCTATGATCGTTTTCCTGTTTACTCCTGCTCGTTCTTCTTTTTGATTTCTTTGGAGCATTAATTCGGGAAAAAGTAGAAACGGGCAGGAGAGAACAAAACCTCCTAAGATGAAGGTGAGGTGGTTTGAAGGGCACAACAGGACTGCAGGAGACGAAAGGCTAAAAAAAATAATCTCGTATCAACTGTCTTATTCCATCCTGTACGTGCAGCAGATATGAAAGAGGGTCTCTTTTTTTTTTATCCTGCAGATCTCGTAAGCTATCTCTATGCTTTGTTGTATGGAGCGATAGGAGGAGGGAGTTCTAGGAAGTGATAAGTAAACATTGTTCAGGCGCACTCTCTTTTCTGACAATGAATGTAGTGTAATGAGACGAGTAAGAACAATAGAGGCATAAAGGTACGAACATTAAGGCAACGCGCGCACATTATTTGAATAGATTGGAGAAGAAAAAAACTTGCGCACTGCGCATTATTTTCGTTCCTCATTTTTTTATTGTTCGAACTATGGTACAGTCAAGGATATGGAGGAGAAGGTGTGTGGTTTTGCTTTGGAGAATAAGGTACAAAGAGTTCAAGGCTACGCTGTTTTCCAAAAGAAGTATAAGAGAAAGAAGCGAAGAGAGAAAATGAAAGGACTAGGGAGACCAGCGTCTATCAACGGCCCGAGTACCTGGGGTCGCAGATGATGTCTCCATCGATACAGGAATACATCATACGCTCAGGAACAGGGGCGGCCTGGGTGGCTGCGTTGGGGACTGAGGCAACGAGGATCAGGGCGACTGCCGAGACGAACATCGAGAGCTTTGAGTACTGCATTGTTTCTGGATGATTTGTATTCGTACAGAGAAGGACAGAGAGCAAAGAGAATAGGTGGGGGAGAGAGGGTGTGGGCGAAGTTGTATGAAGGAGAGGGAGAAAAGAGAAAGAGCGACAAAAAATGGCGGGATGGTTTTGTAACTTGTTGGGAAAGACTCGAATGCAGGGTTGAAAAAGGTCAGCGACGGAGAGTACTTTGAAGGAGAGAGTAGAGAAGAAAGAGAAGATGAAGATGAGAAAAAAGAGGCAGGGAGGCAGCTTTTTATGCAAGAGGATCCCTTTACTGTCCGTTTTGTTGTAAGTGTCCTATAGTTTCATTTCTTTTCTTTCATCTCATTTTGCTTATGCATTTAGCCCGCCATTATTCCTTGTGTAGCGGCTTATGCAGGTCGGGCAGTTTTGTAAAAAGTCAGACTGAACCGATCGAGAGCCAGGGGGAGAGAGAGGGCACAGGAAGGGATGGAGATGAGAAAAGACGGACAGATGGGCCGCGAAAGGGGATAGTGATAGGGAGTGGGGTGAATTAAAGGCAAGGAAGGGGTAAAACGGTTTACATCGGTCTGTCCTTCTTCCCTGCCTGTCTGTCCTTCTAGTTTGTGATTAATGCTGCATGATGGTCATTGGTCAGTCTGCATTGAACAGACCGCATCCGATTCTTGGTTCTCACTCCACCTGGCAGCGACAGGATGGGGACCATGGGTACTGAATGGCACGCTCGAATCAATCGTGAGTAAAACCAACGACGTCTTCGTACATTTACCCCAATCCAAACGAGAACGAGTTTCATCAAAACACACCTCCTTTTTTCTGTCCTTCTACACTACTCCAGTGCTCACAAGGAGGAAACCTGACAGGCAGACAGATGAAGGAGAAAGGAGTGGAAAAAAGAGACACGGAAAAGACAAGTTCAGGGATTCTTCTGTAACCTAATGTCCTGTGGACGTGATGCACCTTGCAGAAGGACCGTTGAACTAGCAAAACGCACCCACAGCACAAATACAACTAAGGGGGGGTGTGAGCATTCACAAAAATAAGGGTTAAAGGTGTCGACAAGGGGATGGTTGGGTCATGCAGTCGTCGGAGGGAAAGCAAATGGCAAACACCTAAGGGGGGTGGGCCAAAGGAGCCAGGGTTGCCTAGCATTGTATTTTTACATTCTATGAACGAGAAGGGTGTAGAGTGGCATCATGACTGTCCTTGTTTTTAGACTATTCATAGGAGTGGAGAAGAGGTTGTCTGCATTAAGAGGATTCAAACGAGTTAAGATGGCAGACTGTCCAACACAGACATAGTTGTTTCTACGTCAAGGTAGGAGTGCTAAACGGTGAATAGGCGTCATAGAAACCATGCGCTATTTTTCAATGGCGCCCAAGCGCCAACAGAACACGTTGCCACAGCAGTAATGAAAAAAAATACCCTAACCCCCTACAACACGAAACGAAAACGGAGATGGGAGAATGAAGGGGGAGGCATTCAAGAGCAACAAGAAGGCGGGAACTGTTGCATGGTAACTGTCCACCTCGTATTCTTAGCAGCGTCCGTTGCATCGTTTTTCCTTTTCTTTCTCATTCTTCCAGCGCTTCTTATTCCTCACCCATACCCATGGCCCGCCATAGCGAGAAAAAAAGACAATAAGCCATAGGGCTAGAAGATCAGGAATGCTCTTGGGATTCAAAATAAAGAATAGCGGACTCCGTGATTATTTTTAGGAGCATTGTTGTGGAATAAGGAAGGAGCTATGCATAACCGGTTAGGATGGGGGGCCTAGACACGGAAAATAGAGGGGATATATAGCAGAGCTGGTCAGCAGAGAGGAGACAACAAAAAGGGCGGCGCGTGTAACTTGTCGCCATCAACCTATGCCGATGGGTTGCAGATAGGGCTTAAAGAAACATTCAACTTTTATCCATTCTTTTAGGTTTCAGTTTGGTACATTTCATGTGGGGGGTTTTATTTTCGGGTAACGAGAGAAAAGATATTTACACATCAACCTTGCGCTCGCCCAGGATACGCTTGCTCTCGTTTGCGATAAGGCGATTGATGGCGTTCAAGTAGGCTTTGGTGGCAGCCTGGATAATGTCAGAGTCGGCACCGTGTCCGTGGTACGTTGCCTCGTTCAATCCAGCATTCTTGTTCTCGGTCTCAGTAATAGAGTCCTCGTTATCAGAAGAAGCACCACTGGCAGAGCCCTCGGCAATCTTGACAGAGACCTGACCCAGGGCATCGACACCCTGACCGACGGCGGTGATGTCAAACTTGAGAAGACGGATCTTCTTGCCAACCAAGCGCTGGATGGCCAAGAAGACGGCCTCAATAGGTCCAGACTTCCCGATGGCGGCATCGATCAAGACATCGCCAGTCTGGGTGTTCTGCAACTGGACAGTGGCAGTGGCAAAGGAGGTGCCTGAGACAACCTGGAGTGACTTGATGGTGTAGGTGGTGTTCTCGCCGGCCGAGGACGAGACCTGGTCAGACAAGAGGGCAATGAGATCCTGCTCGGTCACACGCTTCTTGCTGTCGGCCAAGGTCTTGAAGCTATTGAAGGCGACCTGGAACTCCTCCTCGGTCAACTCGCCGAATCCGAGCTCCTGGAGACGGGAGCGGAAGGCAGCTCGTCCAGAGTGCTTTCCGAGGACCAGGTTGGCAGTGTTGGCGCCAACGGTTTCGGGGCTGATAATCTCGTAGGTCTGCTTGTTTTTCAAAACCCCGTCCTGGTGAATTCCGGACTCGTGCAAGAAAGCGTTGGCTCCTACAATGGCCTTGTTGGGCTGTACTACCATGCCAGAGAGGGACGATACCAGCTGCGAGATCCTGAAGAAGAGAGTGGTGTTGATGGTGTGATAGACGGGGAAAAAGTCGGGGTGGGTATGGACAGCCATGACAACCTCCTCCATGGCAGTGTTGCCTGCACGCTCGCCAATACCGTTGATCGTGACCTCGACCTGGCGGATTCCGTTGCAAATTCCAGAGAGGGTGTTGGCGGTGGCGAGTCCAAGATCGTTATGGCAATGAGCCGACCAGATGACCTTATCGGATCCCTTGGTGTTAGTGATCAAGTACTTGATCATGCTGCCGTACTCCTCGGGCATATTGTAGCCGACAGTGTCGGGGATGTTGAGGGTTGTGGCACCAGCCTCGATGACGGCCGAGAGGACCGTGCACAGAAAGTCCTGGTCACTCCTTCCTGCATCCTCAGGCGAGAACTCGACATCGGTAACGAGAGTCCTTGCGAAGGTTACTGCTGCGACGGCACGCTTGACGCACTCGTCACGGGTGATTTTGAGCTTGTGCTCGAGGTGAATGTCGGAGGTGGCGAGAAAGGTGTGGATGCGCTTGAGGGGTGCGTTTGCGATTGCATCGTAGCAGCGCTGAATATCGGCCGGTACGGCACGGGCAAGGCCGGCGATTGTCTAATTGATCGGATTGGAGGAGTAAAACGAAAAGGGGGGTGTTAGTTAGATGCTAGTGCTTTCGGTCATGGTTGGATCCCATGAAAGTAAGGTTCGAGACAAGATCCCGCTCCCTTTTTTTCTCGTTGTTTTTGATAAAGAGTACTCCTGCGGGAGAATAAGTTTAAGTTGAAAGTAGGTTGTGCAATGGGTATGTGATGGCTGGACTAGAGTGGAGCGAATTGGAGCGTGGTCGAGTAGAGATCGGCTGCTTGACTATCTGTGCTTCTGTCGTTGTCGTTGTTGTTGATGGTATTCGTGTATTGTGTGTTCCATGGAGTGGAGGTACGTGTCTCCGTTGAGCCGAATTATTACTCATCCGTGTCAAAACTGTGTCCTCCAATCCAACGCCTGAGCCGTAGAACAAATCTGTGATAGACTTTTCCCTTACTGCCCAATCAGAGACTAGAGATTTATCTACGGGGAGACACTATCTTTCTCTCTCCAATCACTCATTCGCCCCTTTCCGCGTTGACTTTCAGCTGAAAACAAACAGAGAAAATAAACTTACGATGGGCTTGCCGATGGCTTCACGACCAACCATGAGAGGACCGACCTCGTTGGCGATCCGCTGCACGGCATCAAAGTCTCCCTGCGAGGCAACGGGGAATCCGGCCTCGAGGATGTCAACTCCGAGGCGAGAGAGCTGCTTAGCAATCTCGATCTTTTCGTTCACTGTAAGAGTAACTCCTGGAGACTATTAGGAATAAAAAGGTGTTGGTGAAGATGATGATGGTTAGTTGATGTGGAGAGTTGGAGGTAAAGGAGTGAAGGGATGGTCGGACAACTGCTTGAGAAGGGAGGGGGTGGGTGGCGATGTGCGCCGGGGTCTGTAATAGGGAGTAGGAGTTTCGATATGTTTACCTGTTCTCCGTCTCTGAGGGTGGTGTCGAAGATGATCAGCTTGTCCTTGTTTGTGATAGTCATGATGTGTGTAAGTGTGTGATCTGGTATATGAGAAGGAGTTGTAGAGTAGTGAGGGTGGGGTGAGAGCAGAGAAGAGAAAAGAGTGGTGATGCTCGGCAAAAGAGAGGTGTGTGGATATGTGTGTTTAAAAAGTGAAGAAGAAAGGAGGGACGTTAGCCTTTTTATCGTCTCTTATTTATTTCCGAGATGCGACAAAGCATTTGCGCATTTGCACGCCCTTTCGATGTAACGCAAAAGTGGAGGGCCAATTCTGACTGGCCTGACGTTGACAGAAGTGACTCTTTGCACCCTCCACTCTGCACGTGACGAGATCTCGCATTACTCAGCCAAAAATGGTGTTGTTTGTTGGCGAACAACCCATTCCTGAATCTGATCAACTCTCCATTCATCCAAGGAACAAGCAAACACGCAAACATCAGGAACCATGGCCAACACCGAATACGAATTGTCAAAGGAGCTGGATCTCGACGCTCTCGTCCACCTCGAGAACATGTACGTCCCTTTCTCACTTGCCTCAAATTCTCTGGACACTCGATCGGGTTCCGTGGTAGTTCGGTGTACTAAACAAAAAAGTTCCTTTGCTAAATCGAAATAGGTTTGTAGAGTTTGGTCGTGAGGACGGCATGGCCGCAGGAGAGAGAAACGGAGCCATTGAAGGCCGAGTCATGGGCTGTGAGAAGGGCTTTGAGCTGTCCCGAGAGGTTGGATACTATGCAGGTTGTGCTCAGCTTTGGAAGACGCTTGCCCAGCAGGATCCTGAGCGCATTTCTGAAAAGTAAGTTTTCCGTTACACGACCGTTTTTCTCTCCAAGCTTCCATGGACTTCCTGCTAGGCATGGAAAGCGAACTATATTTGTCTTCCTCTGAATAGCCGGATAACCTTTTACCCATTGGCATTAGTCTGGTTTCTTCCTTCTTCCCGCATTGACTGCTGACTCATGTCTGTCATATTTATTTCAATTGACTATTATTACTTCCACTTAGGTCCCTCAAGAAGATCAACTCGCTTTTAGACTTGATCGATTCGTTCCCACGTCAGAATCAATTGGACGACGACGTGGTCGCGTTACTGGACAGGATCCGTGGAAAGTTTAAGACTGTCGCTTCGGCTTTGCAGACCGCCGAGCGTTATATCGACGCTCCTAAGAGCAAGATGTTTTATTAACAGGCGCGCTTGTTGTCGATATCTTTATCAGCAAGAGCTACAACAGCATCAAGAGTGACGGCAACAACAGCAACCGCCACTGCGATGACAATCATGGCACTATACAGGATCAAGTTGGCGGAGGAGCATCCGGTCAACAGTTTGCCAAGGTCGCTGCTTACCAGGGATCTCAAGGCGAACCATCGCTTTCACTGATCCCAGAATCGTCCGTTGACTGTGGAGTTTTTACCATGGCCACCAATGGAGCAGACACAAAGATGATCCCCAGATGGGTCCGTATGCGATGGGACCCCGGAGTCGTGGACACTCAAGTGAGCCCGAGATAGGATTCAGATATCTCTTTCAATCTATTACTACCGCGTCAAGCAAGATGGCTGTTGCCTCTACTACACGCCTCACTTCTTTATGGATTTCAGCAAGCTCTCAACAGAAAGACACGTTCTCAATAAATAATGTCTTGTACACCCATGTGGAATGGTCGTGCTTGGTTAACAGCTGAGTAGATATGACTTAAATGACAGATATGTGTCATAAGTGTTGCTTTATTATGCTATAATACAATTGGGAGGGGGGTAGTGTTTGGGCAAAGAGCGATGTCGCCTGCGTCTCGCAACCGTGCTCCGTATTGCGCAAGATTGCTGGAGGGAGAGACAGGGCGTATGCCGAGTCGCCTCATACGCCACGTTTGATCACAGTCAGTCCACGTCGTTCATGATGGATGATCGGCACAGGCATGGTGTTGAAGATGATCTTTTGCCGAATAACCGCAACAGTATCGTACTGTACTGTATCCTTAATGTTGGAAGGTGCCAGTGGATCCGCCGACAGCCCTGTCGCATCTGTGTCGTTGGGGGCGGCGGTAGAAACGTCCGTTGTGGTATTCATCGTATCATCGTCCTGGTGATGGTAGTGCGGTGGCAATACAGAACTCCGCCGACGATTGCTGCTATCATTGTTCTTTCCTTTCCCACCTGCTGTACCAGTTGTGACATCCTGACTGTACTTTGGTTTCTGCTGTTTCTGGATCAAGAGTAATGGCTTATCCAGCATGACCACCTTTCCGTCCAGGCGATGGTTTCCGATAACCAATTGTGCTTTCACTTCCTAATTTTTTTTGGCCATGGTACATATCATCCGGGTTAGAACCCCTTCTCGGGACATCTTACAGGTTTATCCTTCCTTGTATTTATTTCCTTTTGCCTGTACTCACCCCGTCAAGGATAGAGAGTTGTCCGAGTGCGTTTCCAGCCCAAGTCTGTCCGTCCATCTCAATCATTCCTTGGAACTCGAGCATGACGGTTGACTTTGTGTCGACACATGTTGCAAGTGTCGTTGCTGTTTGGGTCTTGTCTGCGACCGTTGTGGGTATAGAGATGAGCACCATCGTGTGTGTTTCGTAGATGGACAAAGGAAAGAGGAGTGTAACCAAGGCGCGCGTTTGAATGTTATTGTTGACACAGCACCTTTTTGTGTGACGCGCAATTCATTTGAACATAAGTGGGTTGCCACCAAATGGGTGTTGATCATAAATGAATATGTCCTTCGACGCGTAGCTAGGCTGTTCGTTTAACAGTATATGCCAAGCAAAGAGCTAAAGCCTAACAAGCTTAGGACAAAGCGGCCAGCCGGGTTCTGCTCAGATATAACGCCCACCGATCACTTTTTTGTTTCATGTTGTTGTCCCCTGCTCGCTGCACATGACAAATAACTAAAACCCGAATTCGATCGAGTTGATACATTGCGTTGCGTTGCGTTGACGTGGACCGTTGACGTGGACCCATGATGAAAACGTCTTTCATCAAATATTCACACCATCCCACAAAACTTTTATTATCCCCATTTCTTCACGAACGTCGAAATAAAACAAAAAATGACTGACAAGACCTCCCACCTTCCCCAAACAATCAAATCCGTCCAATGGACAACCTTCTACCTCTCTCCAAAAGAAGCACTCTCCTTCAATGAATCCGCACCCATCCCCATCGTAACTGGTTCAAACGTTCTTGTAAAAGTCCACGCCGCTGCCCTCAACCCGGCCGATTGGAAACTCATGCAAGGCGGGGTCTTTCGACTCCTCCTGCCCAAGATCAAAGTCCCCGGTCTGGATATCTCGGGTACTATTGCTGCGGTAGGACCCAAAGCCAAGAGCGGGTTTAAGGTCGGGGATGAGGTGGTGGCAGCGTTGGATTTTAGTCAGTCCGGGGCGTTGACAGAGTATACGGTTGTTGCGGAGGCGTATTTGGCAAGGAAGCCGGCGAGGTGGACACATGAACAGGCTGCGGCTTGGCCGGTGGCTGCGACGACGGTTTGGCAGGCGCTCGTTGTCCGGGGTAACCTCAAGGAGGGCGATAAAGTCCTCATCAATGGCGCCAGCGGTGGTACAGGTAAGATATTCAGCAGTTACAACAGCAAGCAATTTTGTACTCATGCATTCCCATTCTCCCCAAACTTATGGAACCGCCCAATCGTCAATGCGCAAAGTATTCAATAGCGTCTATGCATGAAATACTTAAATTCCTTACTCACGTCATGTCGTTCATTCTTTGTTCTTTTTTTGCTGATTTTCATCATAGGCACGGTGGGCGTGCAGATCGCCAAGGCATTGGGCGCATATGTAGTCGGGGTTTGCTCGACTGACAACGTGGAGCTAGTCAAGAGCCTTGGCGCTGACGAGGTTGTCGATTACAAGAAGGAGGATGTCACCGAAAAGTACACTCATCAGGATTTTGACCTCGTTTTTGACACCGTTGGGTCCGCCGCTGAGGTAATTCACCTTTTCTTCTTACTGCTCTTTTCATTGTTAGTCGATGCTATAATGGAGTATGATTGGACTATCAATGCTAACATCTTTCCTGCGTGCATGTATGCATACGAAAAATAGATCTGGGCAAAGAGCGCGACGATCTTGAAGCCAAGCGGAAACTTGGTCAGGATCGGAGCAGCTGACAACATATTGGACTCATTCTTCACCTTCTTGGCCTTCGGCGCAGAAATTGGGTACAACAAAGTCTCGTCCTTCCTCAAGCGCGGACCAGGTTACCATTTCTTCTCCGGCTCCCCTAACAGTGAGCTTCTGAGTAAGGCCATCAACCTTTTGAACGAGACCCATGCTGACCCTGTGATTGACTCTGTCAACGAGTTCACGTTGGCCTCGGTCGTTGCTGCGTTTGACAAGAGCATGTCTCACCGCGCCAAAGGCAAGATCATCATCAAGATTGCTTAAAAAAGCCTGGTGGTCTCTTTTACTGCAGTTCAACAATATCCAATATTTTTCTAAATGCATTCCAACTGTTCATAGTAATTCAACTTCATAGCCGCAATATATAACATAATAGTACACTTTTCTCCTCCGCACATACTCTTAATGCTTTGAATTATTTCAGCGGCCGGGGGGGGGGGGGAGGGGGGAGTTGGACAAAGAGCGATGTCGCCTGCGTCTCGCAACCGTGCTCCGTATTGCGCAAGATTGCTGGAGGGAGAGACAGGGCGTATGCCGAGTCGCCTCATACGCCACGTTTGATCACAGTCAGTCCACGTCGTTCATGATGGATGATCGGCACAGGCATGGTGTTGAAGATGATCTTTTGCCGAATAACCGCAACAGTATAGTACTGTACTGTATCCTTAATGTTGGAAGGTGCCAGTGGATCCGCCGACAGCCCTGTCGCATCTGTGTCGTTGGGGGCGGCGGTAGAAACGTCCGTTGTGGTATTCATCGTATCATCGTCCTGGTGATGGTAGTGCGGTGGCAATACAGAACTCCGCCGACGATTGCTGCTATCCTTGTTCTTTCCTTTCCCGCCTGCTGTCCCAGTTGTGACGCGCAATTCATTTGAGCATAAGTAGGTTGCCGCCAAATGGGTGTTCATCACAAATGAAAATGTCCCTTCGGGATTGCGAACGAGAATCGATCAAGAGACGCGTGTCTAAAAAAGGATGGCATCAAATCGAGTGTAGTTGTCGCTGTGTACCCAATGCGTACGCGTAGTTAGGCTGTTCCTTTAGCAGCAAAGAGCTAATGCCAAACGGGCTTAGGACAAAGCGGCCAGCCGGGTTCTGCTCATATATAGCGCCCACCGATCACTTTTTTGTTTCATGTTGTTGACCCTACTGCTCGCCGCACATGCCAACAAACTAAAACCCGAATCCGATCGAGTTGATCCATTGTGTTGACGTGGACCCATGATGAAAAAATAATTTAAAACGTCTTTTCACCAAATATTCACATCATTCCCACCATTCCAAAAAATCTCTTATTATTCCCTCCCTTCTTTTATTTCTTTCTCCTCTTCAAATCACGAACATCACAACATAAAACAAAAAAATGACTGACAAGACCTCCTCCCACCTCCCCCAAACAATCAAATCCGTCCAATATACAACCCCTTCCCTCTCCCCAAAAGAAACCCTCTCCTTCAATGAATCCGCACCCATCCCCACCGTAACCGGCTCAAACGTTCTTGTAAAAGTCCACGCCGCTGCCCTCAACCCAGTCGACTGGAAACTCATGCGGGGCGGGGTCCCTCGACTTCTCATGCCCAAGATCAAAGTCCCCGGTCTGGATATTTCGGGTACTATTGCTGCGGTAGGACCCAAAGCCAAGAGCGGGTTTAAGGTCGGGGATGAGGTGGTGGCAATGTTGGATTTTAGTCAGTCCGGGGCGTTGACAGAGTATACGGTTGTTGCGGAGGCGTATTTGGCAAGGAAGCCGGTAAGGTGGACACATGAACAGGCTGCGGCTTGGCCGTTGGTTGCGACGACGGTTTGGCAGGCGCTCGTTGTCCGGGGTAACCTCAAGGAGGGCGATAAAGTCCTCATCAATGGCGCCAGCGGTGGTACAGGTAAGATATTCAGCAGTTACAACAGCAAGCAATTTTGTACTCATGCATTCCCATTCTCCCCAAACTTATGGAACCGCCCAATCGTCAATGCGCAAAGTATTCAATAGCGTCTATGCATGAAATACTTAAATTCCTTACTCACGTCATGTCGTTCATTCTTTGTTCTTTTTTTGCTGATTTTCATCATAGGCACGGTGGGCGTGCAGATCGCCAAGGCATTGGGCGCATATGTAGTCGGGGTTTGCTCGACTGACAACGTGGAGCTAGTCAAGAGCCTTGGCGCTGACGAGGTTGTCGATTACAAGAAGGAGGATGTCACCGAAAAGTACACTCATCAGGATTTTGACCTCGTTTTTGACACCGTTGGGTCCGCCGCTGAGGTAATTCACCTTTTCTTCTTACTGCTCTTTTCATTGTTAGTCGATGCTATAATGGAGTATGATTGGACTATCAATGCTAACATCTTTCCTGCGTGCATGTATGCATACGAAAAATAGATCTGGGCAAAGAGCGCGACGATCTTGAAGCCAAGTGGAAACCTAGTCAGGATCGCAGGGCCTGACAACACAATGGACTCACTCTTCACCTTCTTGGCCGCCGGCGTAAATATCGGATACAACAAAGTCTCGTCCTTCCTTAAGCGCGGACCAGGCTACCATCTCTTCACCACCTTCCCTAACGGTGAGGTTCTGACTAAGGCCATCAACCTTTTGAACGAGACCCATGCTGACCCTGTGATTGACTCTGTCAACGAGTTCACGTTGGCCTCGGTCGTTGCTGCGTTTGACAAGAGCATGTCTCACCGCGCCAAAGGCAAGATCATCATCAAGATTGCTTAAAAAAGCCTGATGGTCTCTTTTACTGCAGTTCGACAATATCCAATATTTTTCTAAATGCATCCCAACTGTTCATAGTAGTTCTACCTCGTAGCCGCAATACATAACATAACATAACATAACATAATAATACAGACACTTTTTTTTCCCTTCGCACACACTCTTCATGCCTATGCCTTGAGTTATTTCAGTGGCCATTATCGCTTGCATCGTTTCTAAAGTTCTGTATTGAAATGTCCTGTGTAAATATCCTTATCTCGTTATGCTCTGTGTTCACCTCAAACTCATTACAGCTCCTCCTTGACATTTTCGGCAAAATAAACGCCCTCCTGCGCACTCCAAGTCTGCTCCGCCTGCTGATACTCTCCCTGATGCGCCGCAACCTCCTGATGGCCAGGGATAGGGTTACCATATACATGGCGCGTAGAGCTGCTCAGATACGTCCCTGTCCCCAAATGTCTCATCTTTACCACCGCCTCGCGTGTCCAGAACTCGTCCTTCTTATTTGTGCATTCGACCACCCAGTTGTCGCCATCGTCCTGTCCGTCGTAGGCGGAGACTTCCAAACCTCCGGACATGGGCGAGTGGTGGTGGTGAGAGTGGAGGAACTTTTTGGTGTTGACGTGTTTCAACCGGACGGTGCTCCCGCAGGGGATCGTTTCACCGCGTTCACAAGTGTTTCCCAACTGTGCCATCACTATCAAAGGTGACGAAGAAGTATGCGAAGAAAACGAAATCGAGTCAAGGGTTAGTATTCCACTGGTATGGATTCATTTCGTCCTCCTCGGAATATCTAGATCTGACGCGCCAAATAACATCCACTGTGCGATAACAAAAGTCAATTACCGAGCCAGAGAGAGTTGGTATCATCTTTTCCAGGAACGGCAGTGATGGATTGCTGTCCTGAACCGGTGCCGTAGGGGATCTGATGCGAGTGCAACTTGAAGCTCGTCTTTTCGTGTGTCAACTTGATCGATGATCCGCAAGTAACCTTTTGGTATTCTATTTTGGTTTAGTGTTACGGCAAGAAGGGCAGGTTAGAGCATGTCACTTGTACGGTTAACTGCAAGTATGCGTTGTATGTTTTGTGTGCGTTTGTTCTCTGTGGCAGCTAGTCCAGTTAAGTTCCAAGCCTTTTGAAGGAATGTAAAAGAAGGTTACCATCATCAATCTCGGGGACGGAACCGGCGATGACGGTGGTTGCGGCGAGGGCCAGACAGGCCAGTGATGAGATGGTGTAACGCATGACTGTGAGGTTGATGTGAGTGAGAAAGGAAGAAGGATGGTAATGGAATGAAAAGAAACAAAGAAGAAACAAAAACGATGGCGACAAGGAAGTGTGGAGTGGAAAGAAAGAAGCTTTGCGAGTGGTTGGCTCAAATTCATTGGCTCAACCATCAACCGTTGAATGGCCGTCACACGGACCTTTGGGATGTGTACCTGAATAGCGATTGATTGTCAATGCATGCAGTTTGTATTACAACTTCACTATCTAAGGTTGTTGTTCACCAGCCGTCGTTGTTGCTAAAGATCTTGGACGTCTTCTTACTCGGCCGGTTGCCAAAGTGGCCCATCCGCTTGGGGCTGTGGAGCTTCTCGATCAGCTTGGGCATCCCCGGCTTGAACTCGATAAAGTCCTCCCACTCGGCCTCATTGATCTTGATGTACTCTGTCTCGGAGAGTCCAATCTTCTCCTCAAACGCCTCTTGTCGCTTCTTCCTCGACAACCAGCTCTGTCCAGATTCTTTCTGATCCAATCCTTGTTCGATTTCATCACCAAACTCATCATGTTCCAGTTCGTCCGAAGAATCGGCGGCGGCAGTGTTGATATGGCTCCTTGTGATGCGAGTGTTGACAGTCGGGAAAGTGCCGTCCACCAACTCATATTCGTGCTTCTGGCGAATCGGTTCTTCCCCATTCTCGAGGGCTGGCAGACGGTGCTTCATGAATCCCATCCTTTCCAAGAAGCTGGTCGATACCGCCGGCCTTTCCTGGACCCCAAACGCCGAAATGTACTCGTCCGCCGATTCAAGGATTTGTTTCCTGTCTGTACTCCCAATCTTTGGTCCAACCGTCAAATCTATGGACGAAGTAGAAAACAAGAATTAATGTCAAAGGACGACAAATCAACTCCCTAACAGTCATCAATGAACAAGGTACGTACTGTAACCTAAGAAGGCGGTGTAGGCGCTCTTGGCCAACTTCTCATCGACCTTGGAAAGAGTCTTCTTGAATCCACGGTCCAGACTCTCTCCTAGGACAACACTCTCCCAGTCACTGTACTGCTCCTCACGTTTCACAACACTGAACAGTGGAGATGGCTTAAGTTGGTGCTCAATGAACCCTTCATCCAGATCGCCCAGAATCAAAACTCCCTTACCCTGCTCATTGTCGCTAGCACCCCCCCTCTTGCTCTTCGCCTTCCGGTCTCCGCGTCCTGTCCGTCCAATGCGATGAATGTAGTGATCCAGCGACAGAGGAGCTCCGACTTGGATAACCAGACCAACTCCAGGATAATCGACGCCTCTTGCCGAGATATCAGAGGTAAACAGAACAGCAGGTGTCTTAATGTTCTTGAAGTTGCGACTCGTTAATGTCCGCTCACGCTGACTCTTGGCCGAATGGATATCAAACACTGATAGCTCCTTGCCCATCGACAACTTGGCAAACACCTTGGCGTACAACTGAGTTCCTCGTGTTGTTGGCAAGAAGACCATGATCTTGTTCTTGTGTGTGTTAACTGGTGCCACCTTGGGTTGAACAGGCGCTCCTCCTGTTGTTGTTGACGATTTGGGTTTCATCAACAAACTCTGCTCATGGACAAAGTCCATGTCGCTCAAGAGGTGGTCATTGATGATACGACGAACAAGGGCGACATGAGCCTGATAGGGCGCAAAGCAGTACCCCTGACGTGTCGCAAGGTTCAAGTTGATGTCCTTGGATCCGACGGTGTCGATGATGATGGGTCCCTGTCGTTCCTTGCTCTTCTTGTGGAGGGCAACTTCCAGAAGCGAGTCCATCTTGGAATCGACTGTCGCAGAGAACAGGAACGTCTGGCGATCCTTGGGCATAGTTTCCAGAATGGTGTCCAATTCCTTCCTGAATCCCAACTGAAGAATCGTGTCTGCTTCATCCAGCACGAGCTATCGGAACGCAGCGAAAAAGAAGTTTAGTGAGCTGCAATAATTAAGCGGAGCATTGACAACAAACACATTACAGCCCAAGACATACGATTTTGGACTCTTTGATCTTGGCCGCAAACTCATTGTTCCCAAGCAAATCTTTCATACGTCCGGGAGTGGCGACAATAAACTCTGAAGGCTCCTTCGAGATCCGATCCAACTGTGACCCCTTGCCATATCCACCAACCAAGTGCTGCACACCCCATCCAAGCGGACCCAGCAACTTTTGTGCCTCCTCCGAGATCTGCAGGGCCAACTCGCGTGTCGGTGCAATGATGACACAGCCAATCTTACCCTTCATTTTGATACTCTCTGCATCCGGCAATGACATCAGAGACTCTAGCGCCGCTACCAAGAACGCCAGTGTCTTTCCTGTTCCTGTTTTGGCCTTGACAAGAAGGTCGCGAGAGGTCGGCAGGGTTGAGAGGACGCTCGATTGGACCTTGGACATGTATTCGTGCCCGAATGTCGATTGGATTGTTGAAAGTGTTGATGGTTGCAGGTTTTTGAGGTCGGTGAACGGTCTTGTGTACTCCAGTGATGCTCCTGATGATGAAGAATCGAGGTCAATTGACGACGTTGTTGAAGTGGCGACACGGCCATGCTGCAGGGTGGCGAGAGACCTCAGTTGCATGCGGGATATTGGGTGGGAGGTCGACAAGGGGGTGATATATGTGCGCTGGTGGGCATGGCCAGTAAGACGGCATGGGTTCGACCTCTCATAGAGCGACCCTTGCGGCTGTAGCCGGACTGCAGAATTGGGCTTTGCTTCTGTTCCCGGGAGGTGATTCGATTGTAACCGGGAGACTGCCTTTTGTTGGCCAATTTCCGGTCTAGCGATTGAAGCGCGGCATGTTGACAGTGATCGCAAGCAGTGTTGGTTCGATGTGTACGAGATCCAGTTTCTGCGAATGAGAGCCGACAGTGTCATGGTGAAGGTGAAGTGATCCAAAAAAAAAAGATCAAGCAAAAAATGGTGGCAAATGCGAAGACGTGTGACTGTCTGAGCAAAGATGGTGAAAATTGTAAAAAATGTTTAATGTGTTGTGTTGTGTTGTGTTGTGTGAAGTGAGGGGTTTACTACGGAAAAGAAAAAAAGTTGGATATCGGGTAACTTCCCAGAGATCTATTGCGTCTTGGCAGCTGCGCGGACAGGGTCAAAGTAAGGGTGCTCCATAGCCTCAGCGGCAGTCAAGCGCTCTTGGTGATCATAGCGAAGCAACTTATCCAGGAAATCAATGGCCGCGTTCGAGACAAAGCGCTGGTTCTCTGGCGTCACAAATTTGCTCCATGGCTTGCGGGGATATCTTCCAAGAATCTCATCGTAGTGAACATCCAGCTCCAGATCGTACTTCTCCAAGTAAGCAAACAGCTCGTTGGTGCCGAGAACACGTGCAATCTTGACCAGCTGGTCGTAGTTGTCGTGTCCGTGGAAGAAAGGCTCCTTGCGGAAGATCTATTCTCAGCAATCACAAAACAATTGAAACGACAGTGGAAGAAAAGAAGGGCGTACGCATGTCAGTAAACAAATCGGTATCATTATGTTTTGGCATGGTCCATCTCGCCTCTCAGTTTCTTTTCTTTGCAAAAATGTTTCAGAGGACAAACATACCATACTGGCGAACATGGCGCCCAAACTCCACATGTCCAAAGAGTAGTCGTATTCCTGGAAATCGACAAGCAATTCTGGACCCTTGAAATAGCGAGATGCAACTCTGACGTTGTACTCTGTGCCGGGGTGGTAAAACTCGGCCAAACCCCAATCGATCAAACGAAGCTATCAAGTAGAAGAAAATAAAAACATACACATCAGCCCTTCGTGTCCCAAATGTTCTTAGCAGTGTTGCTTGCGCCAGCTTAAGGTTCAGTTCTATCCATGATGCAGTCGCGGAGCCTTTTATCCTATGCGACCGATCCTCCTAGTAATGTCGCACATCCTACCTTGCGCTTCTCGTGCTCGATCATGACGTTGTGGGGCTTGACATCGCGATGCATAATACCCTTCGAGTGGCAGAAGTCCAAAGCCTAGTAAAAGATAGAGGTTGCGATGATTGAAGGCGTTAGAAACTTGGAAGGCACTAAATCTGGATGATTTGTACAAGACGCAACATTATGGTCATCACTGTGGTTACCTTCAGAAGCTCAAAGATGTAGAAGCGGACGTCAAAGTCGGTGAACTTGGGGTAGAGAATCTTGAAGTCGGTGTTGTTGACGCACTCAAAGACCAGCGAGGGAGTCTTTGACTATGGAAGATCATTCAACAATGAAAAGGAGGTGAGTAAAGCGACTTCTTGCAAACAGTAACAGGCATCCCGTGCACCATAAAAATAAGTTATCACTGCGGCAAGTCTCCTGTCATTATACCTGAGGATCGCGGACAACGTCGAAGAGGGTAATGACGTTGGGGCCACCGGCCAAGTTCTGGAGAATCTTGATCTCACGCTTGATCTTCTTTTTCTTGACTGGCTTCAGGACCTTGATGCAGCACTTTTCGTTGTTGACAGTGTTGAAGCCTTCAAAGACCTCGGAGTACTTGCCACGTCCGACCTTGCGCACGATCTCGTAGTTGTCCTGGACACTGTTGTTTTGGGAGATACACATGAGATTGTTGTGAAATTAATAAAAAGAAGACCTTTGTCATGCCGTTGCCAATGCTCACGTAAAAGGAGAGGAGAGGGAAGGAGGGAGGGTGGGAGGCGCAAACGCAAACGCAGACGCAGACGCAGACGCAAACGCAGACGCAGACGCAGACGCAAACGCAGACGCAGACGCAAACGCAGACGCAGACGCAAACGCAGACGCAGACACAAACACACACACAAACAGAGGTGTCGATGTTGCGGCATTTAGTCCAGTTTTCGTCAGTCTTTCAACTGATACCGTAGTGCAGAGAATAAAGGAGCGCAGTTTGTTGTTTTGTTGTTTATCGCCACTTTCAAAAGGCTTTCGACATCCATCCGCCTGCTTCCAGTGTGTTGCCTTCAAAAATGTCCATGCTGGAGTCCTGTTTCTCTCTGGTCCAGAAGGATGTGCAACGCTTGGAAGGCTGGTCGGGTGTGTCGAGTCCGCAGAAGGAATCTGCACATGGTTTTGTCGGAATACAATCACAGTGGGGACTGTCACGAGATCAGTCTTGGAAAGATGATGACAGGCTGAAATAGATGTGTTGGTCGGTATCACTACTGCTGAAAAAAAGACTTTTTTTCTTTTTCTTCCTGTCTGCGCTCCATGTTCATTTTGGCCCGAGGTATGATGCTCCCAAGAAGATGTTTCCCTCACAAGCGTAAGAGACAGGAGATGAGTAACGATATATGTATACTGGGTGTTGTAAAGGTGTGATTTTCTTTCAGCTTACCCCCACTGAACCTGGAGATTATCATAGTCCCAGTATTCCTTTTGGAGAGTCTCGTTGACGTTCGCATACACACGTGCGACGCTTCCAGTTGGCATTGTAGAGTCCTGCTGTTGTCCCAATCCGGAAGTGAGGGTAAAGAATCAGATAAAGAAGGAAGAGGGTGTCTGCTTGTGGTGAATGACTAAGCAGAGAAAGAGAGAGAGAGAGGGGGAAGAGAGAAGAGAAAGAGAGAAGGGCGGGTAGCTGGATGGCGAAGGAGTCAGCGGAAGAAGAACCAAAGAAAGAAAAAAATGAATGTTCTCTGTTGAAGGCGACTCACAACAAAAAATGAGAGGCTTTTCTCTTTTCCAATCAAATCATGTGATACATGCATGTCCATGTCCATGGATGCGAGGCCCTTAACCAAATACATCAGTCGACAACCATCATTTCCTGCCTTTTGAAAATTGAAGGCGTGAATGCGCATTCCGAGTCGCACAAGGAAAGGTAGCAGCCCTGACGGAGTGACGGGATGCTGTGAACAGGGACGCTTTGTTGTTTTCTTTATTATTCATTTCAATTCTGTGGGCGGTGTCAAGAGAAATCCTGTGCCAGTGTGCATCTTGCAGCACCACATCACAAATCAAACGATGTCCATGATAGATCTCTGTTATCAACTGAATAAAGTTTGTCCTTTGTCCTTCCTTCGCACCTTCATCCTTTCACACTTCTTTCACGGACACCAGTATAAATACCGTCGTCGATCGCACTCCTCTTCTACTTCACACTTTATTATTTTGTCCACCTACGCATCCTTATTCCTTTGCAATGGCATCCTCCTCACCCCCTTCGAACAGCAAGAACGTCTTTCGTCTTCACGGCGTCAACGTCCTCAACAAGAACGATGTCGATTCCATCGCCCGCCTCACCGCGCTCGAGAAACGTCGAGCAGCTCATATCGTCGATGAGCGTCAACGTCGTGACACAATGAATCAGCTCATGGCCGAGCTTGGTCATCTCGCTGAAGGCTCTGCGGCCGAGGTTCAGGCTCAGCTGGAGCTCGAGCATTCGATCCCCAATCCTGATGGTTCCGAGAAGCGAGCCATCGTTAAGTCCAACGCGATCACAACCCTCCGCAACGCCATTGCCGAGATCCACCGCCTCCGCAGCGAGGTTGGCCTCAAGAGACTGGTATCGTATAAGGAGGTCCTTGTCTCATACCGGTCCTCTCCCTCGTCTGGATCGTCACCCTCACGGCGGAACAAACGCCCAGAGGCAGATCAGTTTACATCCACGCCAATGTCGACTCCTCCACCGTACAACCCGCAGTACCACCATAACCAACCTTATCGTCACGGTGAACCTCATCATGAGGCAGTTCCGCCTGTACTTATCATCCGTTCTCCTACTCACTCTCCTTCAAATGTTGTCCCATACGTGTACAACAAACACATTCCTCCTCAGTCCTCCCCTCCCCTCTTTTCAACGCCTGAATCCTTGAACTATCAGGGTTCTACTTCGTCCTCTTCTTCTTCCTCTCCATCTTCCCACAATTTGCCACAGCAGCGGCCAAACCTTCATCAACGCCAACAGCCGGATCGTCAGCGCATCTACCTGCCATGGTGCAGCCATTTGGCCTCTTCCTATCCTCCACTGAGGCCTATTCCTCCCACGACGGCCGTTCCTCAACCTCAGCCTCAACTTCAGCTTCAGATATACCCTCACAACCCAGAGGATAACTCTTCTTACTCTTCCTTCTCTTCCTTTTCTTCCTCACCGCCACATTACACAAGCCCATAAACGAACCCTCTCCTTATTTTTCATGTTTTAATTTCCCACAACAGTATTAAAATTGGCAGCTGTATCATCATAATAAAAAGAAACAAAGTTATTTTACGCCCATTGCCCCTCTACCTTCTTCCTCAACACCTGGTACTTACGATCTCGCATGGGCGCCTTGCTACCAAGTTGGAGCTTACTAAGGAAACAATGCTCAAAACAGGCCATCCGTGTTTCTCTATGACCATTTTTGCCTCGCCTTCTTTTGCTTCCATCCTTCTTTTTCCCGCTCTTCCTACGTGAACCCTGCAGGGTCAACCCATGGACAATATAAGGACAGGTTTCGAAAGCGAAAAAAACATATAATTCTTATCTTTATTGGGAACACTGTTCGAGAATGGTTGATCTTATCGTTTGAGCTGTTCGTCGTGGCTGTTTGCTTTGCACTCGATCATTTGGTCCTTGTTGCATCAGCAATGACCATCTCCGCCTGACAAGGAGTAAGAAACTTGGTGTGTCGCTTTTTTTCTGTCCTTTCAACAGATATCAAAGAAAAACTTTGTTAATTTTGCTTGCTGAAAATCGGCTCCAACATCCGGGGTCTGTTCGCGCAGTCAGACAGGCGGAGAGGCAAGCAGGCAAACAACCCGATGGTCAGACTAGTTGAAAGGAAATTGAAGGGAAGATGACAGCAGTAACGGCACGAAAACGTAACCGTACAGCAACCAACAAAGAACCCAAGACACACCATGTCAGCCCTAATTGTAGTTTTGGATAAAGTCGACTCTTCGGAAGTGTTCCTTCTTTTTCTCACTCCGATTTCTCTTCACAAGCAGCAAGCCAATTCACCTCATTTCATTTTTCCCACTTTCGCCCTTTTTTTTTTTTTTTTTTTTTTTGGAGTTCCCCATTCTCTCCGAGCACGTTGTTTTTTCTCCTACCATGTCATGTCTAGTGGTTCCCTCTCGGTTTCTCTTATTACACAAGAGAACAAAATGGAAGAACAAGATTTGATTGGCCCAACCCAGAAGTCTTGGCATGCATTCTTCAACAAAACCCAATGCGCGAAGAAGCGGTCCATGAATACAAGGAGGAAAACTGAATAAAACATTTTTGTTTAAACTTTGTCGGATTAGGAGGACAAAGTTTTATGTGGGCGCTGGACAAACCCAAGACAAGGAAAATGAATTGAAGAGTCGAAAATCTTCTTGAGTGCATGACAGCCTTGAGAGTTTATGAACGTTCTCAGACAGTGAGTGGGGAGCATAGTTGTGTTGCATGTTGACTGTTTGTATATGTGTGTATGTGCTGAATTGATGTGGATGCGAGGGATGGATTGTCGTACGATCGTGTGGCAGTGCAATCAAGGGTCATTATCCATCATCGATGTTCGCCTGTTGATAGTGTTGCTTTTGGCGCAGATTGGTCTTCTTAGTCGTGTGGATGCGTATGTGTCCGATAAAATCTTTTTGATCGCGCAAGATCGCATTGTTGGTGCATTGCTGCACTAATCAGGGCAGTGCAAGGTGGGTGAAAAGTGGAAGGAGGAGAAGGAGAGGAAGAAAAGAAATACCGACGAAAAAAAAGAGAGGCGTAGACACGCGCAGCGACGTCTCCGGAGAATAACAAGGAGGCCACGCGTTGATCACTGTTCTGATCACAGACTGGAAAGACGCGTTTTTTTTTCCAGAGTGGGATGTCTACGAGAGGAAACGATATTCAAAATCCTGTGACGTGATCATCAAACGAGGTAAATTGCTCCTGGGAAAGTCGTCTCTGTCCTCCTCTCGCTCCATTGGATATCAGATGCTTCGTACCCCGCTCGCTTCTTTTTTCTTCGTTCCTTCTTTCCTTTTTTCCCCTTCTCGTTTTCTCACCCAGCTCTACCCCACCCTCTCCCCCCTCACCATTTTCCGTCTTTTGCGCCAAGGACAAGGATTCCAAGGACTTATCCACACCTCAAGGATCCTCATCAACAAGCAACCCATCCCATCTCGATCTCGCTTTCATCTCCATCCCACCACACGCCTCAACTTTTCCACAATGACCACCAACAACGCCGCCGTTTCCCCTCTCTCCAAGCAGCTTGCCCGCTTCAAGGAAATCCAGGTCGGAGGCGCCCAGTACCTTGACCGTCTCACCTCTGGTGACCGCGAGGCCATCCCCCTCCTGGTCCAGGTCGGCAAGTTGATCGATTCCATCTACATCCGCCAGCACTGGTCGGGCAACGAGGCCCTTCACGCCCACATCTTGGGCATGGACCCCCGCGACACCAAGCTCGAGTTGGGTCTGGAGTTGTTCAAGGGTCCCTGGGGTCTGGACGAGGAAAAGTTCATCAAGTCGATCAAGGAGGAGGACAAGGACGGCCATGTCCACGAGAAGATCCATATCCCTCACGAGCCCCCACAGCACGGAAACTACTACCCTGACGACATCAAGAAGCAGGAGTACCTGGACTGGGTTGCCAGCTTGGAGGGCCAGGACAGGATTAACGCCGAGAGCTACTACCACGTTGTCAAGAGAGATGCCAAGACTGGACAGTTGTACGCTGTTCCTTATTCGGAGGAGTACAAGGACTTCCTCGTCCCTGCTTCCGAGTTGATGACCCAGGCTGCCCGTCTTGTCAGCGACCAGTCTTTGGCCAAGTTCTTGAAGTCCCGGGCTGATGCCTTTATCAGCAACGACTATGTCCAGTCCGATGTTGACTGGTTGAGAATCAGCAAGGAGTCTGCCCTCGATGTCACCGCCGGACCTTACGAGGTATGTTTAGTTCTTTGAATTTCTCCCACGCCCTTTTTTCTATGCCCAACAATCACAAGCACCGGAGATTAATTGACCATTCAATTGCATTCGTTTTGTCTTTGATAGAACTACACGGACAAGATGTTCTCGATCCGCGCTGCCTACGAGTTCTACTTGCACGCCCGTGATTTCGCCTCGTCGGATATCTTGGCCAAGTTCTCGAGCCGTCTTCAAGATATGGAGGACCAGTTGCCCGTCGATGAACTCTACAAGGCCAAGGGTCTCCACCCTCCTGCCATTGTCACTGTCAACCAGCTCTACTCTGGCGGAGACGTTGCTGTCCCCATGACGGCCGCCTACAACTTGCCCAACGACGAGGCACCCATCAAAATTGCTGGCTCCAAGTTGGTGATCATCAAGAACGTCCAGGAGGGCAAGTTCCAGAGCGTCCTTTTGCCCATTGCCCGCCAGGTCTTGGATGCTGAGCAGGTCGAGAAGGTTGAATTTGAGGCCTTCTTCCAACACGTCTTGATGCACGAGGTTGCTCACTCTCTTGGACCTCATTTCTTAGTCCATGACAAGGAGAAGAAGGTCCGTACTGCCTTGGAGGAGTACCACTCTGCCATGGAGGAGGCCAAGGCTGGTAAGTTTTCTTGTCCATGTTTACAACGCATGGCATGTCTTTTATTGTGTTTGTGTTGAGCCTGGTCTGTTGTTTGTTTGTTGTTTGTCTGTCTGTTGTATGTTGTTTGTTAGAGCAAATTCGATGCATGCCACATTTTTAACAAAAAACCCCCCTTCTCCTTCTTCCCCCTCACGACTGTCACACATACACATAGACATTGTCGGCCTCTACGCTGTCGGATTGTTGCTCAAGGATGGAACTCTCTCCGGCGGACCCGACGCCGCATCTTTCTACATGACCTACCTCGCCTCTGCCTTCCGCTCTATCCGTTTCGGTATCACTGAGGCCCACGGTTTGGGCCAGGCCATGCAATTTGAGTACTTGAAGGAGCAGGGCGGATTCGCTTACGATAGCGAGACCAAGAAGTTCCGTGTTGTGATGGACAAAATTGAGGAGGCCGTCAAGTCCTTGACCACCCGGATCTTGGTCCTTCAGGGCGACGGTGATAAGCAGAAGGTCAAGGAGTTTGTGGACCGCTATGGAATTATCTCTCCTGAGGTCAAGCATGCTTTGAGCACTCTTGAATACTTGGGTGTCCCTGTTGATGTTTACCCTCGTTACCGCATCCTCAAGGACGGTACTCTGTAAACAAGGAAGAGTACAGCGACAGAACAACAACAACACAGAGCGTCATGTAAAATAAATCCTTCTTTATCAAATCAACCAATTACAAAGCTACTACTAAAATAACAAAATCTATGTGAGAAAAATACATTACCGACACATCATATCATAGTCGCGTCGGGAGCGACGACCAAACAAGAGGCTGTTGGCAGCAGTGGCAGCATCAGCAGCAGCGGCAGAGGCAGACGCCTTGGCAATCATCGCAGACGTCAACACCATCGCTGGGCAGCTCTCGGACGAATAGTAGGCCGTGCGGTCTGACGACGCGTCAGTGCTGCTACCACTGCTACCTCTACTACCGCTGCTATGGCTGCTGTTACGGCGGCGGTGGGTTGGGCGATGGTCATCGTGCAGTGGAGGTGCGCCGGTTACGATTCCGAAGAGTGTGTTGCCCAGGCTGTTTCCGCGACGGTGGCGGTTCGATTCCATCGATGGAGAAGTTGTTGTGTTGGAGGAAGGTGTTGTTGGTTGCTGTTCAGATGCGGGGACTCCATTTGCGTCAACGGAGAGGGAGTCGTACTGGCGACGTTCGAGGGTTCGTCCACGACCTGTAGGTTCTCCGTTCATGTCCATATCCTCGTCTTCGTCCTTGTGCTCGCCGGGGATGGTACTAGGTGCAGGAGGAGAACCGGCGAGTGCGACACCGTCGACGCGGTGAATCAATCGATCCATCCCCTCTTCATCCTCCATTCGCTGTTGCCTCTGTCCATCGACAATGCCAGCTTCCAAATCGACCTCGGTATCGCTCACAGTAGTGGGTACCTCGTCATGATCCGGGAGTAGCTCCAACACATCTTCCTCGTCATCCTCCTCACTACTCCGGCCCTCGCTACCACCACCAACACTTTCAAGCTCAGCCCTCTCAACCATCTCCAACTGCAAATGTCGCTGCCGATGCTCCTCCATCATCCGCGCCATATACTGCTCCGTCTCTTCCTCCTGATCCAAAGCCAACGACATATTGGCCGCCGCAGTTTCAGCAGTCCGTTTCACAAGCTCCATCCAATCTCCCGCGAAAAGAGGCTCGCCGCCCATCGCGTTCGGGTCCAGATCAATGTCCAAGTCTGGGGGTGGCAGTTGTTCCCACTTCATGGGCCGCAGGAACTGTGACAGCGTCAAGTTCATCAGTGTGGTTGTTGCGGAGGGGCCTATGGTTGGCTCGGGCGCAGCACGGTGCTGATATGGATTGCTAGTTGTGGATGATGTTTGAGACGGTTCATTTGCTGCTGGTGTTGCTGTGGGTTGTTGCTGGGTTCGGGGAGTCGGGGTCGGGGTTGCAGGTGTGGGAGACGAGCTGATGACCCGCAAGGGTAGAGGAGGGTAAGAAGGTGGCGAGTATGTTGTCTGAGCGAGTCGCTGCTGCTGTCGCTGGAGTCTCGAGATTGAGGTCACACGAGTCGTCGCAGCATTGTCACGAGGCTCTACAGTATCTGCCGCCATGACAGTGGCAGTCGTGAGATTGATGGGCCGAGGTGGTGGGGGGAGAGCAGTTGCAGCAGCAACATTTTGCACTCCTCCTGCCCCGGGTGCGGGTGGTGATGGACCCACAGGCTCTCTCTGCACAAATCCCGCCAGTCTCCTAGTTGCTTCTGCCGCTGCAGCCCCTGGCGCACCTTGTGTTGCAGCAGAGTGAGGGAACCGAACAAGTTCTTGGACCAGCTTTCCGAGATCCAAGTTCATGCGCTCCTGACCGACGACGCCTTCGGTGTGAAACATCCAAAAGTGGCCATTGTTGGGGGCCTTGAGACACTGTTGACAGGGTTGGGTGATGTGGTATCCGATTACGTTTCCGCACACCCTGCAGGCGACGTCGCGGATCTTGCACTTGCAATTCGATGTCGTGTAGTCCTTGTCGATTAGCTGGACCCTTTTTTTTTTTTTTTTTTTTTATTTTGTTGAGAGAGGAATGAATTTGAATAGAGATGAGTAAAAATAAACCATGGTAAGAGACATTTTGGTTTTTCAACAATCGAATGGAGCGCACCATAGGAGGGGAAGAGCAATGGACTAATGAAACACAAACGCGAAAAATCATACACATACAAAAAAAATTTACTTACGAACCAGGTGGATGATCAGTTGAGTAGAGTTCAACCGAAGTGTCCGCCAGAAGCATGGCCTTCATCCCCCTCAGACACACAACCGCAGAACAGTACCGACAGTCCATCCGGCACACTGTCTTGGAATTCGTGCCACTCGGTGCACTACTACCATTGCCACTCCCAGTCGAATGACTACTGTAGCTGGTGTTGTACCGGTCACTGTTACCACCACCGTAGTAGCTGCTACTGTAACCTGCTCCGCCGGTGTATCCTCTAGGCGTATACGAGGTTGCTGTTGACGAAGCCGTGTTGTTAGCGTTGTTAGCGTTGCTGTAGTGCTGGTCCTGGGGAGGCGGGTACTGAGGCATTCGTGCAGGGGCTGCTGAACCACCAGAAGATGTTAAGGAAGAAGGTGGGCGCTGTTGTTGAAGGAACTGGTTGGTGTAAGAATACGAGGGGAGGGTTGAAGGGTTAATGTTGTAGGTTGTGCTGAAACTACTGGAGTAGCCTCGTGGAGGAGGACTGTTGTTGGTGTTGATACTCCTCGCTGCTGATGGTGCGTTGTTGTTTGTTGCGGAAGAAGTTGAGGAGGGTGGAGTGTTGTTTGTGGTGGAGTGTCCGAGAGAGTTGACGCCGAAGGCGGATGAAGAGGAGATTGTGTTATAGTTGCTGGGGGAGTAGTAGTAGTAGTTGCCACTGGCAAGGTTGTTGTTGAGGTAAAAGTCTCGTATGCTATGGGGCATTGCTGTGATGTCAGAACAGAAAGAGTGTCGTCAGTTCTTTCTCGATCCGGATAATGCAAGAAAGCCTAAGAAGAAGAGGATGGAGGGTGTTGTGAGCGTATAGGTGCAGGTGAGGTGACTGGGAGTGACCGAGAGGGGCGGGAGTGAGGATGAGAGGACGAAAGGATGAGTGGAGTGGACAACGGCGATATAAAAAAAAAAAGAGTGTGGGGAAGGGAAAAAAAAAAGTTGAGACACCAGATCAGAACGATCGCATAAAGCGATATGTTCGGGACTGTCTTTTTCATTTCTTAACGGGCGAAGTGTAAGATACAAACCTCTTGCAATTACAACATCCAGAGACGCACACGCACACGCAAGAGCTGAACCAAAAAAAATGCTGCCACAACTCCTTCGCCATCCACTCTCCTCAGGAAAAGCAAAAGCAAAATTACCTTCCATCTCCTTCGCCACAATTGCTCATTCACATCTTCGCATCACCATAAAACAAAGCTCACCCATCGTTCCCACAACAGCTCCTCCTTCTCATTCACATAACTCCTTCTTTCCCTCGCCTTCTGCTCATCGTCCCTCTCAAACAAATAACAACTACCACTCGTTCCTATCACGACCAATGACAACGCTCTCTCAGCGACAGAAGGAGGCTTCAACCTTGCCCACCTACCCCGAGTACCGCTCCCTCGTCCCTCCACTCAACGCCAACCTGCACAAGGGCCAAGGAGGTAAAACAACCACTCCGTGCGATTTGCTTCAAGGCTCGACTGTTTCTTCTATCAGGACCATTTTGTACCTTTCTATACTTACATTCTCTCTCGCTCTCTCGAACCAAACTCACTTTTGACCTGTACCTTCCAGGCCGCGTGTGCATCATCGGCGGTTCTAACGAGTAAGTTCAAGTGACGCCGATTGTTTATTTCTTCGTGTGCGCAACGGTCTCGTCATCTTGGCATTGACAGTCATCGATTACTCGTTCCTCTCTACCCCCCTTAATTTTTCTTCATTGTCAGTTACACTGGCGCGCCATACTTTAGCGCCATGTCCTCATTGCGACTCGTAAGTCTTCGTAAACAGTTTTTGTCGAAATGTAACACGTACTTTTGCGCATCGTTATCATAAAACACCGCCTCCTAACATCATCTTTTTCACATTGATAAGGGTGCGGATTTGTGCCATGTCATTTGCGACGAGGACGCAGCAACAGCCATCAAGTCCTACTCTCCTGATTTGATCGTCCATCCTTATATCAAGGTCCGTGCCGCCAATGCAGCTCAGGACAAGAAGGCCGCGAATGATATCTGGGCGCATACCTTCGATGACATCAACTCGCTGTTGAAACGAGCCCATGTGCTTGTGGTCGGACCAGGTCTTTCGAGGGACAAGGGGATGCTCCAGTCAGCCAAGCATGCCATTGAGGTCGCAAGGGAGCAAGCTATGCCCATCGTCATCGATGCTGTACGTGTTTTTTTTTGGGAGATTTTGCCCAGGGGAAGAAGGCTTTTACCACGCATGTTACTAATGATTACTTAAACGGATATGGACAATAGGATGGCCTATTCCTCATCCAAAACGACCCCGAAATCATTCAAGGTTACAAGAAGGCAGTACTGACACCCAACTTGGTTGAGTTTAGCCGTTTGTGCAACGTCATGGTAAAGACTAGAGAAAACTGCCATTGATATCGCGCACAATGTTACTATGGAGAGCGATGGCTTCTCAACTGACATTGGTCTCTATTACTATGTGATAGAACGTCGACACAGAGGATGAAGAGGCCGAGCAGTCGGCTGTCCAACGGCTCTCCCAGGCACTTGGGGGTGCCATTGTCATCCAAAAAGGGAAATCTGATGTCATTTCGGATGGCCAGAAAGGTGAGCGCGTCTAGCCCACTCTTGCTACTACTTTCTATGCTCACCTCGACTTTTTCTATCACCCCCGACGAAATAATGCAATGCTATGCATGCGGTACGTTTGTGATAGTATGTTATATCCCATCGATGGAACAGGCTACTAACTACACTGCATGATTGATGTCTTTGTTCTTTTTGTATTTTAGTCCAAATCGTCGATAACGAAGGTGGGTTAAAACGGTCAGGTGGTCAGGGCGATATATTGACAGGACTTGTAGCGACCTCTTTGGCCTGGGGTCTGGCCTATGAGAAGGAGGTCTGGCAACACACACATCCTGTCAAGCAAGAGGATGTTGCAATGACGGCCTGTTTTGGCGCTTGCGTGATCAACCGAGAGTGTTCTCGTCTTGCGTTTGAGAAGCACAAACGAGCCCTACAATCGTCTGATGTCCTTGCAGAGATTGGGCCGTTCTTCCATCTCTTCTACCAAAAGCCTCGTCAAAATGCCACTTGGTCCCAAGCCATCTACGGGTAGATATCTGCGTCGCAACGTCACAGGACATAACGTGTTCGCACGCAAGCTATTGTCGAAGACCTTTACTCGCTCTGCATGGTCTGAAAGAAAAAGAAACAAACAAATAAACTGTACTAATATTTACAAGGAGAAAAGTGGTAATGAGCCATACGCACGCTCTGGTCGGCTTCTGAAAGAAGGGTTTTCCATTAGACAGAGATGGCGGTAGGATGGGCTTCATGAGCAGCATGGGCGGCGGCCTTTTTGCAGGACTTGCAAGAGTTTCCTTCGCGGGCGCCCTTGGTGATGACGATGCATCGGTCGCAGACGGGGTTCTCGCACTTGTCGCACTGCATCAGATGCTCACGGTCCTCGTTGCACTTTTCGCAGATCGGTCCACAACAGTATTCTTCTCTGCAACTGTCGCAAACGACTCGAGGGCAGCTAGAATTGAAGAACGAAAAAAGGGGGCAGAAATGGAGGGGCGTTTAGGATGAAAGGTGATTGATAATCGTGAGACATGTAAGGTTAGTGATTGAAAGAAATGGGAGTGATGAAAGAGGAAAGGTATTGAGAAGGAGAGGCGGTGAACTTACAAGCGGCAGGCTTCCTTCTCGCCCATGGCGTGACGACCACAGCTGCAGTTCTTCTTGACGACCTCGGCGGCAGCGGCGGTTTTCTTACCCATGATGGATTAAGGTGTTGTATAAGGGTAGTGGAGGGTGTTGGAGGGTAAGAGAGGTCGAGGACTTCAATGGTAGGAGTGAGATGAGGATGAGGGGATAAGGGAATAAGGAGACTGTTGAGTCTTGTGAGGGGAGATGTTATGTTTTGTTGAAACTTCAAGAAAGTGGGTGCTTAAATACTCGATGAATGTCATATCGGGACGTCTCCATTTGTTACTTTCCATGACCTTGACCTGTTCTGGATGTGGTCAGGTGTCGGGTGATGATCCAACAAGGACGTACATTTTAGTACACAGTTATTATAGGCAATTAAGTCTTGTAAGCGCTGTGTCAGTGTGACCATCCTCGTTCGCGAAGAGGGAAGGAAGGAGAGAGAGACACAAGGCTGCGGTGATGTGTTTTACCCCAGGAAATTGTAAGGCGGTTTTGATTCATTCGCTTAAAGAGGAAGTTTGTTCATGCAGAACCCGAGAAGGAGTACGGGGTCTTTTCTTCGCACTTACAGATACAGATAGAGAAGGGCAGATAGATAGGTCTGGGAGCAACAAGGACTGAACTCACAGGCGTGTGCACCGAGGCAGACTTGTTCATTTCGGTGGAATACGATGGCAGTCATCAATTGATATTTCGGCAGCACAGAGATGATGTGCCTGAAAGCTGCAAGTTGTGTGACTGCCAGCACGGATCGCCTTGTTGACAAGTGTAAAAGCCAAGACGGAATCAACTTTACATTCACTCCATTCATTCACTTTCATTTACCATTCGAAAGGGCGGGCGACAAATGGCGACGACGACAAGCATACGGACATTTCTCGGGAGCAGGCTATGGGCACCTTCCAGTAAAATCCAACAAAGCCTCCTTCCTGGACAAACCGTAGGACAACGACTTTTATTCTCGACGACAAGTCAAGTTACCTATGCAAAGCCCGCCTCTAAAAAGGGTGGTGCTGCCCCTGTCGAACCCAAAGCACTTCTTGGACGACCTTCCAACAACCTCAAGAGTACGTTGTGGATGATTCACAATGGGTTTTGAATGTTCAGTTGATTTGAGCGGAGCCGTTGACTTACCCTTCTCGCTTGTGTGGACCTGATATTTTGCAAACTAGTCGGAATCCTTGGAGTCCCTAACATTGGGTAAGTGGACAAGGCATGCAATGGCTCAAAATATCCGAATTATGTGCAACCTCCCCTTTATTAACTATCTCACTTACCATGACATGATTAGAAAGTCGACCTTCTTCAATGCTTTGACAAATTCATCGGTCCCCGCAGAGAATTTCCCTTTTTGCACGATCGATCCCTCAGAAGCCCGAGTCGTAGTCCCAGACGACCGAATGAACTGGCTCACAGCCCACTACAAGCCCCAAAAAGTGACTCCGGCCTTCTTGACAGTCATCGACATTGCCGGATTGGTCCGTGGTGCATCCAAGGGTGAGGGATTGGGGAACGCCTTCCTGTCTCATGTCCGTTCAGTCGATGCCCTGTTCCATCTCTGTCGAGGATTTGAGGATCCCGGGGTCACGCATGTGGATGGATCGGTGGATGCTGTCAGGGATCTGGAAACTATTCATGATGAGTTGTTGTTGAGCGATATGGATACTTTGAGCAAGGTCCATCAGGAATACGAGAAGGTTGCGCAACGGTTGGGAACGGGCAAGACAGGAAACGCGGTCGAGAAGAAGAAGCGGGATGATTTCCCGACAATTGCGAAACTGTCGGCTTGGGTTGAAGAAGGGAAAGATGTCAGGACGGGCGACTGGACCAACGAGGAGATCGAGGTCATCAACCAACAATACCTCTTGACCGCAAAACCCATGATCTACCTTGTCAACATCAGCGAGCAGGATTACTTGGACTTGGCGAAGCAACCACATCCGGTGATCAAGAGGATTCAGGACTGGATTGATATTCACCACCCGGGAGACTTGTTGATCCCCTTCTCGGGATCGTTCGAGAACCAACTGTCGTTGTTTGAGGATGCGCCCGAGGAGAAGGAAATGGTGCTCGAGGATGCGTCGAAACAAGCCGGGTGCAAGATCACCTCCGCATTACCCGAGATTGTTGTCAAGGGACGAGAAGCGTTGAACTTGCAACAGTTCTTTACAGCTGGACCTGGCGAGGTTCGATCGTGGACCACTCGTACCAACACCTTGGCCCCCCAGGCTGCTGGTGTCATCCATACCGATTTTGAGCGTGGCTTTATCATGGCCGAGGTAAGCTTTGAAAATATGGGCATTTTTTTTGTCTGCATGTGTTGTCAAGGAGTATGTTGTTGGGATGAAGATTGACGAGTATTGGCTATATTTACGACATGAAAACAACAAACAAATCTAGGTGATGAAGACGGACGATTTGAAGGAACTGGGGTCCGAGGCAGAAGTCAAGGCTGCGGGCAAGTACTACTCCAAGGGCAAGGATTACCAGGTCGAGGATGGTGATGTGATCTTTTTCAAGTTCAACGTTACTAATAGCAAGAAGAAGTAAAGTATAACATACTATCTACATGCTACACGCTCTCGGCCCTTTGGTTTAATCGTTGTGGACTCATTGGACAGAGAATGAAAGAAAGGAGGCAGGATGTCTGTGCTAACTCTTTTCCACACAGATATACTTTGCCGAGAGCGGTACAAAGTTGGTCATTCCTTGAGAACAGGATTGTACGGTTTTATGGCCGAGTGCACACAACATAGGGGTCAGTATGTGGATGGGGTGTGAGAAAGTGAGTGTGGGAAGAGAAACCATAGCCGAGGTTGTTTTTTTTCTTTCGTTCACCTGTTTCTGTTTTGCCTGCTGTGTGGATAAGGATGCATGAGAAAGAAGGCCAGTGCCCACGCATGGGTCTCTCCCGTCCCCTTCTATTTGTTCTGTCTTGCCTTTTGTCTCTGAGGTGCAGCAAAAGAGAACAGCGCAGAGGAAGAAGTCAAGGACGAGGGAGGTGGTTCGTCTTGTGGATACATGAGAGAAAAAGATGGAAGGTATGATGGGCCGTTCACCCATCCGTCGCGTCTTCTCTCCACTCTCTCTCTCTCGCTCTCGCTCTCTCTCTCTCTCTCTCCTCGTCCACTCAATCCAACCCATTTACCTTGCGGTCACCTGCCATACCTCCCTCCCTCCTTTTTTTACGCCTGTGCTCACGTCTCGCAAACACAAACAGCGCAATACAGGATGTGATTCGTCTGTTCTCGCCCCCCTGGGTTTCTTCTGGTTCTGTTGGATTCGGATTGGGCTTAAGGTTGGGCTGGGCGTGTGTGTGAAGTGTGGGTGTGTGCGTGTTCATTTTATTCGACTTCTTAGTTGTTCTCTCGTTTCCCCCTCTTCTTTCTTTCTTCATATCCTCACTCCTTACATCTCATCACAACCACCACAACCGCCATAACCACAACGACAACAACGACGACGGAAGCAAACCGTATCGTAGCAAGCAACCTACCATATTGCTCATCTCCAGTCAACAACTCAGCTAGTCAGTCAGTCAGTCAGTCAGTCAGTCACTCGACACACAGGACGCGAAACTCTAACCCCCCACACTTCCGTTCAACCAGTACTACCATCGCCACCCACCCACCCAACAAGGCCAAGTTCCAATAACACCGAACAAAGAAAAACCATGCCAGTCTTCACTCAGACGTGCTCCGCCGACCCCGTCATCGTCCTCGGCGCCGACGAGGGCATGCTCACCCTGGCCGCAACAGCAACCTGCACCTGTGAGTCTCTCCCCATCCCCTCAGACGACGGAGGAGACTCAATAATGGAATCAGCCGCCGACCACGAACTCAACGACCATTCAGCGGACAGCAACGGTAATGGCGGTGGTGCTCATGCTCATGCGAGCTCTTCACTTTTTATTCACATCGACGGAATCCGCCACTGGACCACCTGCGCACTGTCACTCTCTGCCACCAACACCTTCAACCTCAACAGTCTCACACCCGCACAACGCTCAATACTCCTCCTCAAACAACAGCAGCAGCAGTTGATTGCCGGGTTGGCGTTGCTTCGGAAACGACAACCGCTGGGGGTTTCGGGTCCTGGCGGGGTGGCTGCAAGGAACGGCGGGTTGGGGTTGAATAGATGGCAGCAGTTCCCGGGAGAGAAGAAGGATCCATTTGATGCTGTTCGGTTGAGGCCTTCCAGGATTGCTCATTTGTATGCGGGGAGTCGGTTCCAGGGACGACAAAAGTCAGGTTCTAACAGCTATGAAGTCATGGTCGACATCAAGGTAACAAAAATGCTGAAGTGAACAGCGGGCAGAGTGTGGGAAAAGAGTGAGAAGAGGGATTCAAGGGAGTGAGTGAGGCAATTACGATTTCATTTTTTGCCTTCTTCTCATTGTTGCAGCTGTTCAAGCAATGAAGACTAACCCTATTATTACGTCTCACCTGTTCGTTCATATTCGTTTTTCCCCAGGATGTCAATTTGAAGGAGTCGTCATTATGTGGATACTTGCATATTAAAGGATTGACGGACGAGTACCCCGAGCTGACGACATTCTTTGATGCCGAGATCATGGGGAACGCGTATTCGTTCGTGACGAAGAAGTGGGATGCCAACCCCAAGACCGATAAGGAGCATTGGGTAAGTGTCGGGCAGGCAGGCAGACAGACATGAAGGCAGGAATATCAGGATTGATTGAGGCGTCGTATTCTTGACATACGAGACAGACAAAGAGGAAGAAGAAGGCTGCGAGCAGAAGAGTGCCATACATTTTCGACAGACATGGGCACTCAACAATGAAAAATGAACCTAACCCATTACTTCCACCTGAACAACAACAGACACTATTCAAGCCATTCGAGCCGATGTGCGACATATTCGCGAAGGACGACTTCAAATACGACTTCCAGAACAAGGATGTGATATTCATGCGGTGGAAGGAGCATTTCCTGGTCCCGGATCATCGTGTCGAGGGCATCACGGGCGCTAGTTTTGCGGGCTTTTATTACATCTGCTACAACATGTCCAAGGGCGAGATCGAGGGCTACTACTACCACCAATCCAGCGAAAAGTAAGTTTCGTTGACACTAACCCCTTAAGTTTATTGGGGGGGTTTTTTCTCCCACGCAAACATCAATGCATCCAAGACGGACCCAAAGCCATTGTTGAAGAGACACGGGACTCACAGAAACCCCTCTTACTTTTTTTTTTTTTGACTTGCGCATAGGTTCCAGAAGCTAATGTTGAGCCATGTCGAGGAGCGCCCATCCTCATTCGGATCCTTCGAGTTCCGTTAACCCTACCTAGTATCCACCCTCCCTTTGCTTTTTTTTGTATTGCTTCTTTCCATCCACCTACAGTTTTTGTCCATAGTCTCTTTTATCCTCATGCTTGTTTTTCTCTCTTTCGTCTTTTTTTACCTCTTTGTACATATCCCTTGATGCGAACTTTTTTACCTTCCAAAAATCAATCCAACCAATCAACAAAATAATGCCATTGTTTTCTCCAATTGCCTTCTTTCGTCCTTGTCTATGTTATGCCGGGGAAATATGAGTTGTCTCTCGACAACAAAGGTATTCCTGGTAGTTGTGCACAAAGGAAATAGATACTGGGACGGTGAGAAGGAAGTGAGTTTGAGTAGGCGGAGGGAAAAGAGAGTCAAACACGTCGTTAATGAAGGGAAGGAGAAAAAAATGGCACTGAACCGGTTTCAAAACTCGAGTCCGCTACACAGCAATTTTTTTTTTTTTTTTTTTTTTTGGGCGGAGGGTTGTTGGTAGTTGACCTTTGCTGAATGCAGAGAACAAAGGAGAGGCTTGACTAGAGCTGAGGGTTACGTTTTGACAGTAAATGAAGCGAGAACGTGACAGGAAGAGAGAAAGGTCTAGGCATCACTGCTGAATTGTTTGTCGCGCGCCGACGTCTTTTTTATTCTCCTAGATTGTGATGTTGCGATAAACAAACAACAACCTTTACTCGTAAGCACAGTCTGACAGCCTGCCCTTCTTCTCCAAGAGCAAAGGTCTCCTCGCATAATCAAAACGAACCTAGACCATGAATGGCAGAAACGCCACATCGTGAGGCTTGCGATTACTGTTTGGACACCCCCCCCCCCCAACAGCCATTGGAAGAATTGAGGCATTTTTTGTTTCATTCATTCATTTATTAAATTGCATTTTCACCTGCTGGTTTTCTACGTACGGAGACCTCTTTGAATGGAGAGATAGAAAACCCCTTGGTTGATTTTTATCCTTTTGGCTGCCACAGAAGAGCCCGCTCAACTCTGCAAGGTTATGAAGTCCACAGGAGGTGGAGGAGGGGGGAGATTGGCAAAGCAGGTTTGCGCTCTACTTTTTGTCTGGAGGACTTGTTTACCAGTCGGAAAAAGGATTGATGCTGCTTGTCTGTTACAAAGGAAATGGTTCACCGGGAAGAGCAATGACGACAAATGAGGTTGAGAGCGTTTCGATACTAGGGTGCTTAGGTACGTGGTCAAGTCCAAAGAGAGGCGAGAAAGAGAGAGAACTCGGAGAGTGGCAGTGAGTGTGAAAGGAGGGATGAATGTCGTCCAAATGAGTGAGTGTGTGTGCCTGTGGATGGAAGAAAGAGGAAAGAAAGTTCAGGCGCATGACAAGGATTTTCCTTTTTGCGATAATAACAGGGCACTGATTTGATTCGGAGACAGGAGACAGGGGCAGCAAAGCCGCTTTCTTTGTTCGCTCGCGATAGATTTTCCGTTGAACCAGAACTGTCTCTTTTAGTGTCCCTTTAAGGATAGGAAATAGCAGGCCAATCACCCTTGTCCATCAGCACATCCCTATCCGCTGTCCGGGGGAACTGTACCTGTCTTTTTTTTGTCCTTTGTCCGCATGAACTTCATACTCTTTGTTTTCCTATGCGCTTATTGGCAATTGGCAAAGGCGAGGGGCAATTTGAAAGGAACAAAAGACAGGTACAGGAACAGCAAGACCCAAGTTTATGCGCACCTTTGGTTGTTCCGGAGGCGATCAATCCATATCTACCATAACCCCCACCACCTTGTTTCTTTGACAGAATAAAAAGGGCGGCACTCCCCACTCTTTTCCACTTCTTCCTCATCAACACAACACTCTCTCTCCTCTCTCTCTCTTCTCTCCACCAACTCTCTTCTTCCCACAACCACCCCATAACCACCCCCCAACACACAAACACATACACACAATGTTCGGTTTCGGAGAGCACCACGATGAAGTCTACGGATCCGAGGGCCACAAGTCCTCCTGGTCGCACGAGCTCATTGCCGGAGCCGCCGCCTTCGAGGCCATGAAGTCTGTCGAGAACGGTCGCCCCGAGGACAAGCACAAGTTGACCAAGGAGATCTTTGCCGCTTTGGCTGGCGCTGAGGCCGACAAGTTGTTCGAGTCCAAGGGTTTGGACTTTTTGGACCGCGAGAAGGCCAAGCACCAGGCCAAGCAGAACGCTGAGCGCATCTACGATGAGAAGTATTCTTAGACAACTATCTCGTTGTCGATTCGTCTCCTCCTCGGTTCCTTGAAGTCGGCTCTTGTTCCTTCAAGTCTTTGTCTTTTAAGATCTTTCCGTTCCGACAGTCAAGCCTCCCCATCCCCTGATTTTTTTCTTTCTATATCGCGGTTTTGAATATCCTTCTTCACTGCCATTGTACCAAAAATAAAACACCTCCTGTAAATACAACCTTTTGTTGCTATGTCGTTGGCGATGGGTAGTGAATAGTGTATGGAATGGGTGGTATCTAAAGGAGTCACCTTTAATAGAGTCGAGTTGCTATCACAACGGAAAAGGTAAGGTGAGAGTTCGAGAGGAGGACGAGGGTGAGTGTTGTTCGTATAGGGAAGGGCAAAGAGAAGTAGCCATGTCGCCATTTTATTCCCTAGCATGATGTGGCAGATTATCGAAGAAACAAGAAAGCAGGACAAGCTGGGGAAGAGGAGTGGAGGGATGGAGGTACATATCTGCAGCATTACGCGCATTGCTTCTATGAAGTGAAAAGGCAAGGATCTATTGTATGTCATTCACCAGAGCAGTCATACCATACTGGCTGAAATGACAAACCCAAAAGGTAATAATAATTGAGCACGTTTGTCAGCGCGCGCATGACTGGACAAAGAAATAAAGGGCATGCTCTGACCGCTTTTTTTTCCTTTTCTTTCAACTCATCTCCAACACACAACAAGAAAACCAACAGCCAGCAACAACTCAACAAACAAAAACAAAGCAAAAATGTCGCTCCAGAAGTTCGTCCTCTATAACAACAAGTTCTGCCCCTTCGCCGCCCGTGCAGTCCTTGCCCTCGCCGAGACAAAGCACCCCTATGAGAACATAGAGATTGACATCTCGGCCCCCCGCCCCGACTGGTACCTCAAGGACATCAACCCGTATGGCCAAGTCCCCGCCTTGAAGGTTGACGACAAAGACATCATCCTCGAGTCTCTCTTTGTCGCCGAGTACATCGCCGATCTCCACCCCGAGTCTGGGTAAGCTTTTCCCTCCAGTTTGCCCATGTTACGAAATGAACTTCGTCTGTCCTTCATGCACGTCGATAAAAATTTAATTCTGGTCTAACGGTATCCTCTCATTGCTTGCATGAACAGACTCTTGCCCAAAGACGCATTGCAGCGTGCCCAAACCCGCTATCTGATCCACCACTGGGGCGCACACACCCAACCCGCCTTCCACAAGGCTGCCTTCACCCTCGACCCCACCGATGCTCAACAACGTCACCAAGCCTTCATCGACCAACTCGAAAAAATTGACCACCTCCTCCGTTCCGCCCACAAGACTTCTCAGCCCGGTCTCAATGGCGACGGACCCTTCTTCTTGGGTAGTCAGTTCACATTCGCAGATTTGGCTTTGGCGAGCTTTTTGACGAGGGTGCCCTTGGTGGAGGTTTTCCAGAAGGATATTGGTGGGGGTTTTGTGTTCCCCAAGGAGAACCTCAAGTTGACGAGGTTCTTGGAATGGTCGGATGCGGTTGTGAAGCGTGAGACGGTTGTCAAATCTTTGCCTAGCACTGAGGATCTCATCCCCTTCCACAAGAAGTGGCTCAAGTAAATCAGGAGCGACAAAACGATAACTAAACAGCAACAACAGCCGCAAGAACTAACTTCGCACTTATCCAACATCTCTACATCCAACCTCAATACTGTACATATTCCAATAAAAAAGTAAATGTCGATTTGCCTTTTTGTTCATAACGCACTTTTCATTCTCTGGCTTGTCCTAAGAACTATGATACGCTCGATGCTGGATTGCTTGTTGTTGGCAACATGGAGAGGCAGTCAGGATGACATTGAGACACGTCCTGTTAAACCACAAGCAGGATGGACATACTTTCCGTCTTGAATACATGTCCACACAATAAATGACAAAAGACAAAAGATGCATCTTGCCGCAGGTAAAATAATAATCTAAAGTGTACAAAGCAACAAACCAACACCGACTTCTTTCCTCTACTGTACCATTATGCAAAAATAAAAGAGGTCAGTGGAGAAAAGTCTGGCCATACCATTAGAGATGGTGTGATCGTGAGGACACATTGCACCAGACCCTTCTTTTGATTATTATTCCTGTGAGTTGTACGTATACACATTGTGAATCGCGATTATTAGTAATTGACGTTCGAAAGAAGGACTCCTTTCCACCTTCCATTCTCTATTGGACTTCGCATCTTCTTTTCCTGATGTGCACTCAACTGAGCAAGTGGGCTGCTCATAGTTAGTTGATCCTGAGAGTTTCGTTCAACAGGGCAAAATGTAAAAATGACCCCCTCCCGCATGAAATAACCGTTACCTCCTTTTCAACAACTTTGTTGTTTCGATCGCTGAATAATATGAGGCAAGGCCGTTTCTCATTGGCTGGTGATGAAGTGATGATGGAACCCACCAAACCTTGTAGCCCCCAGGACGGCAGACATCACACATTCCCACCTTGGGTGCATGGGTTACAATTGAAGATAAAAGGCGACCAACGCCGCTCTTTTTCCTTCCTTCTTTCTTTTCATTCCCACATTCACCAAATATCCAACACCCACCCACCACCAACAACACCACCACCAACATACAACAATGACCGTCCCAAAGCTCGTCCTCTACAACTCAGATCTCTGCCCCTACGCCGCTCGTGCCGTCCTCGCCCTGGCCGAGACCAACCAGGACTACGAAGTCGTCCCCATCGACCTCTCCGTCCCCCGCCCCGAGTGGTACCTCAAGGACATCAACCCCTATGGCCAGGTCCCTGCTCTGAAGATTGATGATAAGGATATTATCCTTGAGTCGCTTTTTGTTGCTGAGTACATTGCTGACTTGCACCCCGAGTCTGGGTAAGTTCTTTGTCTTTTTTTTTGTTGTATAGTTATCTCATGGGAGTGGTTGCTGTTGTTGGAGAAACTAGGAAGAGGCAAGAGGAAGGAGTGGATGAAGAAGTGGATGAGGAGGGAAAAGGAGAGAAGGCTCCATTCTGTCGGGACGAGCAAAAAAAAGCTTCCTTCCGTTTCCAAAGAATGAAGGACAGGAGTAGCAAGGACAGCGATCAGCAGTGGAGTTGAGCCCATGTAGGAGTATCCTCCCCAAAAGTAGCGACTCACAAGAACATTCCATTTCTCACTTCACAACATAGTCTCCTCCCCAAGGACCCATTGCAGCGCGCCCAGACCCGCTACCTGATCCACCACTGGGGTGCACGCACCCAACCCGCCCATCACAAGGCATCTTTCATCACCGACGCCACCGAGGCCGCCGCCAACCGCGAGGCCCTCGTCGCTGAGCTCGAGAAGGTCAACAAGTTGCTCGTCGACGCCCACCGTGTCGAGGGTGATGGCCAAGGTCCCTTCTTCCTCGGTGACAAGTTCACCTTTGCCGATTTGGCGATCGCTCCCTTCTTGGGCCGCTTCTTCCTTTTGGGACAGTACAACGATAACAAGGAAGTGACCAAGGAGGAGTTCCCTCAGTTGGAGAGGTTCTTTGAGTGGAAGGAGGCCGTCACTGCACGCTCGAGCGTTCAGAAGGCTACTCCTTCCAAGGAGACATTGACCACCAACTACCGCAAGTGGGTCAAGTAAAGTGTTTGCCTGGACCACAACAACAACATTGTAAAACACCAAGAAAACTGTAGCGAATAAAACACTCTCATTGTACATACAACACTCCAAATGGTCCAATGCTTTTTTTTCCGCGCCTTTGGAAACGGGAGACCGCTTTGTGTTATATTTTTTCTTTTAGTTATATGCAAACATGGCTAGAATGCGCTTAGTACTCGCCACACTCTGTGATGACGACCTGCAACTTGGGTTTGTTCTGAAGTCCCGTTTGAACGTTTTCGATCTTGCGCAGGGTCAACAGTCCATCAATCAACTTTCCAAACACAACGTGCTTGTTATCCAAATACTCTGTTTTCGTTGACGTGATAAAGAACTATTCATTGCAATTACGCAGCAAGAACAAGAAGAGGAAGCATAGTTGTTAGTCATTAATTGGATTGTAGAAAAGAAGGCAAGGCGACAGTTGAGCGTATCCTTCGCAAAGCCCTGACAGGGGTCTACGACCAACTCCAAAAGATGTTTACCTGGCATCCGTTTGTGTTGGGTCCGCTGTTAGCCATGGACAGGAGTCCTGGTCCTGTGTGCTTGATCGTAAAGTTCTCGTCCGCGAACTTTTCTCCATAAATGCTCATCGATCCCGTGCCATCACCCTATGTCAGATCAAGGAAACACCAAGGCAAAACAATATACGAAAAAATGGTGTTAGTATCCTCGTCTTCGCTTGCAAGTCCAACTCTTGGGTCATATTACTCCAGTGTTGTTCTTCCTGAACTCCTGATCCTTCACAAACGAGAATAGCTGCGCTGCTGATCCACACGCATGCAGGAAGGGTGTGTACCTTCAAGAAGTCGCCTCCTTGGATCATGAAATCCTTGATGACTCTGTGAAATATGCAGTTCTTGTATCCTTGAGGCACACCGTTTTTCTTGTATTCTCCTGTACACAATTGTCTATTCAATAAGCAAAGGGTAAAAAATGATGTGATCGTAAGTAACTTCATTATCATCGCCTTCAATTAATAGTTTCTAATGTCCACTTCATGATCCTATCGTACCTGAAGTTCTCTGCGGTTTTGGGGACAACGTCAGCAAAGAGCTCCATCTTCATGCGACCGGCAGGTCTGCCTCCAATGGACACATCGAAAAAGACCTATTAACCACAACGAGGGGTTGCGGTATGGAAGAAGACGAAAGGGAGGCGCGGTGAATATTCCAGTGCTTGGGTGCAGTTCCGTGCTGGTTGTTTCCGCCATTGTGCCTCCAATAGTTCCATGAAGCATCCTTTGGATGAGCAGTTGATTCCTTGCGCTTACAATTGGGTTCTGCTGGGACATGGCGGAGTGGACGGGTTCTTAAGACAGTAGGTTGGTAATGAGTTGAAAGATGGAAGAAACAACTAAGCAGGCGCCATTGACTTTGGAGTAGTATATGGTGTGGCTTGGCAATTTTTGCTTGAAAACAGGGCTTGAAGCCTTGAAGAGAAAAGAAAAAAAAAAGATCTCCACCTTTTACTTCGCCACCTCGGATAACCAGCTCGACAGGTCGCCTCGAACAAGAGTTGTATTCAACATCGCCAACGCCATCACTAATTGACGCACACTTAAAGTCACACAGGAGACTCATAAACAACACAAAACCGCAATGTCAGGAAAGAAGGTCAACATCGCCCAAGGTGGAATGCGCGGGGAGGCTAAGAAAACGAAGGTTGTCTTCAAGAACGTGCTGGACACACCCTTCAACATTCAATGGTACGTGTTCTGAGCTCTTCTGGTAGCTTTCTCAAGAAACAAAAGAGACAGGAAGAAAACTTGCAATGAAAGGCGTACTGGTCGAGAAAATGGTAGCTGACATTATTTTACTCGCTTTGCTTCGAATTGACCTTTAGGCCAGAAGTGACGGCGGACAACAACGCGATCGTTTTAGACACTGTCTGCGAGTACGTTTGTAGTACTATGGATCGCATTTACAGGAACGGAATGGAAAGTTATTTGGCGGATCGACACTTTCGACATCACCGCTGACCTACTGTTTTCAAATTGACGTTGTACATGGGAATAGCATGGTCAAGTCGATCCGCGACTACCATAATACTCGGCCGAAGCAAGACGCCAAACCCGACAAGAAACAAAAAAAGTCATCAGCAAAAGACACGGCAGGATCTGCCTCGTCAAAACCATCAACGGCCCTCGCAACTCTCGCCAACTCCTCTCCATCCGCGACAGCATCAGAACCAAGTACAGGAACCTCAGCAGAGTCAACAGCACCAGCAATTCTGAAGTCAACTATTCTCGGAATCAACGCGATCACAAAGGCATTAGAGCGGTCAATCCAAGATCTGGCCGCTCACCCACCACCGACCGCGATTATCCTTTGCAAGGGTGATCTGATCCCATCCCACCTGTACGCCCACCTCGGACCTATGATCGCCATGTTACCAGGAGTGCTTCTGTTCCCGTTGTTGAAGGGTTCAGAGCGGAGGTTGAGCGAGGCGTTAGGTCTGCCGGCAGTGGGAGCGCTGGCTATTCAGTCGACTGAGGGCTCGAGGGAGGCTGAAGATCTGATCATGATCTTGAAGGGGATGGTGGAACCGATGACGGCGTCGTGGTTGCCCAAGGTGACACCAAAGCCGCTAGCGAAGGACAAGTCTCAAAAGCAACCTGCAGCAACAGGGCCGAAAAGCGCCACCACTTCAGAAGTAGGAGCAGGAACAGTATCAGCAGCAGCAACTGCACCAGTGTCAACATCAGGAAAGACGACAGAGGCGCCAAAGCCTGCAGTACAACAGGCAGAGTTTATTGCGACCAGCATCAAAACTATCAAGACGACTATGCCGATTGTTGTCAAGACGCCCAAACCCGCCCAGACCGACAATAGCACGACCAACAAAAACAATAATAATAACAAGGGCAATGGACAAGGACAGCAACAACAGCAACAAAAGCAGAAGCAGCAGCAGAACCAGAGCCAGAGTCATAACCACAACCCTAAGCAGAAGCAACAGCAGCAGGCGAACCAAGGCAAGAACAAGAAGCCCCCTGTAGAAAGCCTCGACGGCGATCGCGGTCAAGTCAAGAAGGCCAAAAGCAATTGAGGTTGTTAATAAAACTGACTCTGATCTGACCCTTAAAATCACGTGATTCCTATCAGTATCAATGTGATAATCGTGAGAAGAATGCGAGTCACAAAAGAAAGGGTTGGGCAAAATGACATTTGTCTGAATCAGTATCGAATCTGGACAGAGAATGATAATTGTGATATGATCAAGAGACGATCTTGATCCACATCAGATGTATCATTGCGCGCTATGTCTTTAAAAGGGAGACACTCGTTCGGCTTTTTTTATTCTCTTCTTTTTTCTCACATCCTACCCCATCCTTCATTTGAACCTCCTTTTTACTCTCTAGTAGCTCGCCTTTCTTCCCCCCTTCCGAGCTCTTATCACTGCATTTATCATCATCACTCCTCCTTCTACAAGAAACGATTTTTTCATTTTGTACATACCACTAGTATCTTGCATTTTCTCATTTCATTCACTTTCATTGTATCCATAACAACACCCACAAAAAGATGCCACCAGCAGCCACCGCCGTCCTCACCCCACAGGAACAACCCGCCCTCACCGGCAGCGCCCACCCCTCAGATCTCAAGGACCGCCTCTCAAGATGGAAGACCCGCCTGAACGCCCTGACAGAGATCCACCTCCCCACAGACTACCCAAGACCGATCCCTCTCCAGGTCGTTGAGGCTGTCCATTCCCTCCAGTTGACCGAACAGAGCTCCCTCGCCCTCCTGCAGGCAAGCATGGCTATCAGTCGTCCCGCTGGACCCGCCGACTCTGGATCATCAACAGGAGGATCGAATTCGCCTGTTGCAGCAGCAGCACCTTCGCATGCTTCACCTTTTACGATCTTGTTGGCGGCGTTTGCGATTCTTTTACACCGGTATACGGGAGACGAGGATATGTCAATTGGATCTTCGTCTGAGGCCCGTAACCCTGTTGTATTACGTCTGGGAGTGACACCCGGTCAAACCTTCCGCCAGGTTGTTGAGCAGACTCATCTTGTAAGTTAGACATCTAACGCATATGTTTCACGTTGATGTGACTTGTGGTTTTGTGAAAATGAAGGCTCTTCTTCCCTTCATATGCGAATGTGGCATTATCCATCTTTTTCTACCTCTTAACTAATCGATAACGTCCTCTTTTCCTTGCCAAAACCATAGGCCGAGCGCGATGCTGCAAACGACGAGGTTCCCTTTGCCACCCTCATGGCACATCTGTTCCCTAGCACCACCGGAAACACCGCCGATCAATCATCCGCATCCTCATCCCTCTTCCACGTCCGCTTTTTCAACGAGCTCGACACCCCCTCCGACCAGGTCCTCAACTCAACCTCCGCCACAACCGATCTCACCATCACCCTTGTATCCCATGCCTCCTCCTCCCTCCGCTTCGGCCTCCTCCCCCAGATCGAGCTCAAGGTCTCATACAACCAGGTCCTCTTCTCTATGAAGCGCATCCAGCACATCCTCGACCAGCTCGTCCAAGTCCTCAACATTGCCGGTCCCAAGCCCGACATCCTCGTCAGTGACATCCCCATCGTCACCCCTGCCTGCCGCGATGTCCTCCCTGACCCTGCGGCCAACTTGCAATGGGCCAATTGGCCCGGTGCGATCCATGATATCTTTGCCCGCAATGCCAAGGCCTTCCCTGACCGCGAGTGTGTCTTTGAGAGCAGGGATATCTTGAGTCAGGATGGGTCCGGTCGCGTGCTCGGACAGCAGAAGCATATTTATACCTTTGGACAGTTGCACCAGGCGTCCAACTTGGTTGCACATGCCCTTGTCAAGGGCGGTATTCAGCCCCAGGATGTTGTCATGGTCTATGCCTACCGTGGAGTTGACCTTGTCATTGCTGTCATGGCCGTCCTCAAGGCCGGCGCTACCTTTAGTGTCATTGGTGAGTATTTCATTTTGTTTGTTTCGACATGTACTTGTCTTGGAATGATCTGATATGACCAATGTGCATGCACTGACACGTTTTATTTTTCTTATTCGTTTCTCCGATCTTCCGACACTCTCTTAGACCCCGCGTACCCTCCCAACCGCCAAAAGATCTACCTCTCGGTCGCTCGCCCCCGCGGTCTCATCGTTCTGGCCCACGCTGGAACTCTGGATTCCTCTGTCCGCGAGTACATTCAAGAAGGACAGGACTTCCAGTTGGCTTGTGAGATCCCTGGTCTCGAGATCGCCCAGGACGGCTCTGTTCTCGGTGGTCAGACCAACGGTGTCGATGCTCTTGAAGCTGTCCGCGACTTGGCTGCTCAGGATGTCGGTGTCGTTGTTGGACCCGATAGCATTGGAACCCTTAGTTTCACCAGTGGATCCACTGGTATCCCCAAGGGTAAGTTTTCTTTCGGGATATTCTTTACAACTTACCATGCTACAATTGACAGAATCCTAACGTTCACATCTTCCGCATTGTCAAAAACAAATAGGTGTTCGTGGTCGCCACTTCTCGTTGACTCACTACTACACATGGATGCAGCAGGAGTTTGGCTTGAGCAATCAGGACCGCTTCACGATGCTCTCCGGTATCGCCCACGATCCCATCCAACGTGACATCTTCACCCCTCTGTTCTTGGGTGCCCAGCTCCACATCCCCACCACCGAGGACATTGGTATTCCTGGCCAGCTGGCTGTCTGGATGCAGAACAGCGCCGTCTCGGTCACTCACTTGACCCCCGCCATGGGTCAGCTGTTGACCTCGCATGCCCAGAACCCTGTCCCCTCGCTTAAGAACGCCTTCTTTGTCGGAGATATCCTGACCAAGCGCGATGTCCACCGTCTGCAAAAGATTGCTGCCAACTGCCGTACTATTAACATGTACGGAACCACCGAGACCCAGCGTGCCGTCTCGTACTACTCTATCCCTGCTGTTGCGACCGAGCCTCTTTTCTTGAGCTCTCAGAAGGATGTCATGCCCGCCGGTCGTGGCATGCTCAATGTCCAGCTCCTGGTCATCAACCGTGTCAGCAACCGTCTCTGTGGTGTTGGTGAGGTCGGAGAGATCTATGTCCGTGCCGGTGGTCTTGCCGAAGGATACTTACAGTTGCCCGATGCCACCAAGGAAAAGTTCTTGACCAACTGGCTTGGTGACAGCTTGGCTGCCCCAGGTGCCGACGAGATCAACGGCAAGTCAGAGTGGAATGGTCACTGGAAGGGACGTCGCGATCGTCTCTACCGTACCGGAGATTTGGGTCGTTACCGCCCCGACGGCAATGTCGAGTGCTCTGGTCGTGCCGATGACCAGGTCAAGATCCGTGGCTTCCGTATCGAGCTTGGCGAGATTGACACCCATCTCTCACAGCACCCTCTCGTCCGTGAGAACGTCACTTTGGTTCGTCGTGACAAGAACGAGGAGCAGACTTTGGTCAGCTACTTTATCCCTGTGGCCCCCAGCGAGGATGAAATCTTTATGAGCAGTGCCGATGAGGGTCGTCGTGAGGATGGATCTGAGAACAAGCGTCGTTACCGCCGTCTAATTCGCGATATCCGTGAGTGGCTCAAGGTCAAGTTGCCTGCCTACTCTGTTCCCAGCGTCTTTGTCCCTCTCGCCAGAATGCCCTTGACCCCCAACGGCAAGGTTGACAAGAATGCTCTGCCCTACCCTGATACTCCTCAGTTCAACAACAACAGCACTGCTGCTACTACCGCCGCCTCTGCTACTCCTGCCCCCTCGGATGGTCCCGTCATGAGTCCTACCCAGCTTGCGATCCACAACATCTGGAAGCAGCTTTTGCCCTCCAGCCCCACCTGGATCCCTCTTACCGAGAACTTTTTCGATCTTGGTGGTCATTCCATCCTGGCAACTCGTTTGATTTTCGAGGTCCGTCGTGTTTGCTGTGTCGACGTGCCCCTAAACCTCGTCTTCCGTGAGCCCACTATCGGAGGCATGGCCAAAGAAGTCAGCCGTGTCAGCATGGATGCTCTCCAGCTCGATGTCGATGGCACCGCCGAGGAGCAAGAACAGGCTGCCGAGGAGGAGGAGCAGATCTTTGATTACTCTGGTGACTTTGAGGAGCTCCGCAAGAACGAAATCCAAGCCGAGTACCCCCACGTCGAGCGTGCCGACAAGGTCGATTACCAGACCTTCTTCCTCACTGGTGCCACCGGTTTCTTGGGCGCCTTTATCCTTTCCAACCTGTTGGTCAACAACCCCACCGCCCATGTCATCTGTCTGGTCCGTGCCTCGACTGAAGAAAAGGCTCTGGAGCGTGTCCGCTCTTGTGGACAGACCCACCTTATCTGGAACGAGGAATGGGTCTCCTCTGGTCGTCTCTCCGTCGTGATGGGTGACCTGGCCCAAGACCAGTTCGGTTTAAGCCCCGAGGCATGGGAGCTGTGCTGTCGCCAGGTCGACATCATTGTTCACAACGGCGCTCTCGTCCACTGGGTTTACCCCTACCCCAAGATGCGCGCCGCCAACGTCATGGGAACCCTCCAGGGTCTCAAGATGGCTGGCACCTACCACAGCAAGTCCTTCCACTTTGTTTCTTCTACTTCGGTCCTCGACACTGCCCACTACAACGAACTCTCGGACGCCAATGCCGACTCTGCCCACCGTGGAGTCCCCGAAACCGATGACCTCGAGGGAGCCCGCTACGGTCTCCGCAGCGGATACGGTCAATCCAAGTGGGTCGCCGAGAAGCTGATCATGACCGCTAACAAGAACGGTCTCGCCGCAACCATCATCCGCCCCGGCTATGTCCTCGGTCACACTCAGACAGGAGTCACTAACACCGACGATTTCATCTGGCGTCTGATCAAGGGATGCATCGAACTCGGCTCGGTCCCCAACATGAACAACGCCGTCAACCTCTGCCCTGTCGACTATGTTGCTCAATGTGTCGCCTCGGTCGCCACCACCCCTGGCTCAGAGACCTCTATGGTTTACCACGTCACCCACCCCATTGCTCCTCCCTTCCGATTCAACGATTTCTTCCAGCTCTTGAGCCGTTTCGGATACGAGGTCCAGACGACCGAATACATTGCCTGGAGAACCTCCCTGATGGAGTATACCCTCAAGAGTCAGGACAGTGCCCTCTACCCTCTCCTTCACCTTGTCATGGACGATCTCCCCACCTCCACAAAGTCGCCTGAGCTGGCTGATACTCACACCCAACAGGTCACCATCCAAGGTGCTCAGCAGCACGCTTTTGCGGCCACTCCTCGTATGGAAGAGTCGCAGATCGGAATCTACTTGGCCTACATGGTCAAGGTTGGCTTCTTGGACCAGCCCACTCTTGCTGGTGAGGGTATCTTGCCCCTGCCTGAGATCAAGGAAGATGTTCGCATCATTGAGCGTAGCCGCGGTTAAAACTACATATTAGTTACACGTAGTCTTTCATTTTCGTCTTTTGTATAATAGCTAAACAGTAAACCATCATCTTTTTCTTACACTATCCGCGTTGCAGGCCGTATACAAAATGATAACATTGTTTGTAGAGTAGGCGAAGAATGGTAGGATCCTTTCCACTTTTCCTTAGCCATGTCATTTTTTCCTCCTTTGATCAAACGTGGAGGGAAGAAGGAAAGGAAAGGAAGGAAAGTGGACTGAGATGAAAGGAAGACAGGGAATGATGTTCTTCCACAAGTGTACAAACAAAGGGAAGTGTGCGGACATCCTTGTATACCTCTTTATTTACTCTTTCCAAGCCGGAACAGTTACGCGACTCTCTTCTTCTCACTTCACTTCCACAATAAGCTCTCTTGCCTCTCTTTGATTCACCATGCATGCATCCCTCATTTCTACTTACGTTCACCTTAACTACTGCTCTTTACTTCGTCTCACTCTTTTTTTGCGAAATAGCACACTTTTCATAGTAAAAGTGTACTATTCCCTCTGAATTGAAATATATAAGAGGTTTATTCAGTCCTAATTATCTATGCTTGGATTTATGTCAGATTAGCCAAGAAAACATTATTTTGACATCCAATGAAAAAAAAAATGGTTAAAGTCAGATTAGTTAATCTGACATCTAATGTCAGTTTATCTTATTCCCTATGAACGAGGCTACCAACCTGGATACCCTGGAGCTTCTCAAAAAGAAGAAAAGAGGTAGAAGAGTGCTATTGATGATCTACGCAGGGGTCGAACCTGCAATCTCCTGATTCGTAGTCAGACGCCTTTCCATTGGGCCAGCAGACCGATCGCTTTCTCTTCTTCCACGGCCAGAGACCAGGTCTCCAGCCAAACTCAGCCAATCAGATCAATTGGGGAGCTCTTTTCTTTGATGGTAGTAGATCTTTTCTGTCGTTTATGTACTGGCTTGCTAGTTTTTAATGAGGACTCTTGGGACTCACTCATTTTTTAAGCCCAAAAAAGGCCGGGTCCTGGGGCCTTGGGGCCTTGGAGCGACCAAGGACTCACGCGCTGCTGACGAGCGGTTGTTGGAGAGTTTGTTGGAAGGAGGAGATTGTCAATGATGGAGAGGATGGGAAGAATCCCCTTCATTCGTATCTAGTTTTATTTTCTTCCGTTTAAGCTGTGAAGAGCAGCGACAATTGTTGCGCAGAGCCAGGTTCTGGACCGGACTGCGACTGGTGGATGGTGCACTGAAGAGTTTGGTCTGTAGTTCCCTTTTACTTCCAAATAACTTCTCTATGCTGTTTGTCAGAGAAATAAAATTGTGTACAAAAAAAAAAAAAAAGGGTCCTGGGGCCCTGGGGTGACCAAGGACTCACGCGCTGCTGACGAGCGGTTGTTGGAGAGTTTGTTAGGAAGGAGGAGATTGTCAATGATGGAGAGGATGGGAAGAATCCCCTTCATTCGTATCTAGTTTTATTTTCTTCCGTTTAAGCTGCGAAGAGCAGCTAACAATTGTTGTGCAGAGACAGGTTCCGGACCGGGACTGCAACTGGTGGATGGTGCCACTGAAGAGTTTGGCATGTAGTCCCCTTTTACTTCCAAATGACTTCTCTATGCTGTTTGTCAGAGAAATAAAATTGCGTACAAAAAAACACCATGAGCTGAAAGTGGAACAAGGTGAATTTTCAGTATGTTGGTCCACGCCATGCAAAAAACAGTACAAAAATTTCTATCCGCTGAACAAAGTATATAGTATTATTGACATCCCTCCAGGAGGCACGGCCAGTTCGCGCAACAATTGCTAACCACCCCCTGGATGTGGATGGAAGACAGGTTGGATGCGACTGGAGGTTCTCGTCATTCTTTCCATTATCGACAGCGCTTTCTATCGTCACGGAGGCTCTGTAACAACGCTCTATCCGCAGTAGTGTTGCGTTGTGGTGCTGTCATTTTTTTTTTCGTACACGATTTTATTTCTTTAACAAACAGCATAGAGCCAAGTTATTTGGAAGTATAAAGGGACTACAGACCAAACTCTTCAGTGCACCATCCACCAGTTGCAGTCCCGGTCCGGAACCTGTCTCTGCACAACAATTGTTAGCTGCTCTTCGCAGCTTAAACGGAAGAAAATAAAACTAGATACGAATGAAGGGGATTCTTCCCATCCTCTCCATCATTGACAAGAGGAGCTGTCAGAAGGCAGCTACCTTTTTTATTTAACGAACTCATATCTGTGTAACTTCGACGGACCACTATAAATAAGGCTATCGAGACAACACTAATAAAACAACATCTTTCTTTCTCGTTATCGATTTGACTCGTAGGCAAATTGACGTGGTAAGTGTGCTAGGCGCCTAGCTTCCTCACAAAAAATCTTTTTCTTAACATAGGAATACATGACATGCATACACACATCCATAGACGATCGTAGCGAGTGTGCAAGGCCCCTAGCTTCCTCGCAAATGGTGCTTTTTTTTTAACAGAGGACCGAAGCATCAATACATGACATGCAGGTACATTCATCCATTGTGATATCGTAGCAAGACAAGAAAAAAGGAAGCGGCTCGTTTAGGAATCGCAACTATCCACAACAAAGACACAATCATTCGCCATATATCACATAGCATCTAGTCTCCTGGCATATGGGGGGTTGTTAAATAGATTAATCATTGTATCAAAGAGTATGAATGCTGATGTGCTAATGACTATGGAGGCCATTCAACTCCAAATTATAATATGGTGTTTGTTACGTCTCTGCAGATCTTGTTGATATCCACCGCGACCATTGGAGGAGAGTGTATGTATGATATCAAGCATGTAAAGCAACCACTGTAACATTCCTCGCGTAATAATCCTACTAAACACCATCACATTCTCCAAACTACAAACTCTTCTTATTTTTCGCAAACCAATCTCCTGAATGTGTCCATCTACTATTAGACTGTACCCTTCACTGCAAGATTCAGGGGAGTAGTTCTTGTACGTGATCATCTAAGGTACTTGTACTCTCAACTGTATCTTTGCTGTGAAATACAGGGGAGGGATTACATTTGTGCTCTCTGTTGCAATCTCACCCTCAGTTCTGTTGCCGACTGTGAAGAGATATATCAGCTATAGAAGTCTACAATGCATTCTTTGGGCTGTGGATACTTTTTATATGCCTTTTTATATCCTCTGCACTTGGAGAGGTGACTATTGCGGTTGGCACGTGTTTTTTTTTTGGCAAATACATATCCTAGGATGTTCAAACCTCGTCGAGCTATCACAGTTGGGTATAAAACACTTCTGTCGCTCATTCCCATATTATCAAGCGTCGACCTTTTGCGTTCTCAAGTACTCTCAATTCGTAAGCTGCTTATTTGACTATTAAGCAACGAGATATTCATCATAGAGATTAGCACGGTAACTCAACGCTTACTACTCAATGGTTGTGTATGAATAAATACTGGAGATCACAATAAGATTTAACCAAGGGGCTAGATGGTTGCTGTAGCGTTGTCATTAGTGTACATCACTGCTGTGCTTTTTCTTGATCAGCTATCGCCTTAGATGAATAATGGGTTGAGACATAACATGGAAGGTTACTGCAGTGAGAAAATAAAATAAAATATCATTGTCAGATCATAAAGACACGGAAAGAAATGTAATGACGCGAAAAACAAATGCGAAATGGGGCAGCATCACTGGTTAGTGACCCTGTCGAAGTATCCACTCTATGCTTTGAAAGCAGGCTCATAGTTCAATTCCCCCACGTCCTTCTAGCGCCGCCAACCTTCTTGATTCTTCCAGCTAAGCGATCAAAGACTCTCTATCCTTGAACCCTCAGTGTCAGAGTTTCATTCTGATATGACATTACATGTTACCTTCATTTCAACACCACCAACTTCTAGACCTTTCTATGGCGACTGCGCTAGACAGCTCCAATAGGTATGATAGGCTGCGCCCAGTACCTTAAATTTATAACTCACTTTATTAAAGAACGCACACGTAAAAAGACACTCGTTCATTCACAAATATAAGTTCAAATCCGTTCCTAACAACATCTTACCCGACGACCAGTTCTTGACAACTTACTTGCATTTTTTTCCAGAACAAATCCATGCGATCCATCTACTCTTGTCAGCGACTGTTATTTGAAGACGCTTTGTGGCGATTGACAACCACGATTTGGAGATCAAGAATAAGGCAATAGATCTCGATCAAGAAGGATTTGAGGACCTCAAAAAGGATTACGATCGCCAGGCATCGAAAAGGAAGCGCGCCAAGGTCCTTTTACTTCAAGCGGTAGATGAAAACTCATTTTTAGAGTACGGCAGCGAGTATGGGGGAGGTACAAAGCAATGGATATACTCCCTATGAACAGTTTGACGATAGTAGTAAAGATATAGAAGTTGTCGGTGACTTGATAGTCGGCTCTATGTGTGGGGATCGCATCATGACGAGGCCCGTTCAAGAAAGTCATGACAATACCCTTTCAGACGATGAAGAATTTCGAGATGAAGGGGCTGCCGATGAGAGATCCAGTAAGGAAGGATTTAGTAATGAGAGGTCAGGAAGTGAGAGCTCCATTGGCGATGGTTCAGTCAGAGGTAGTACACGATGTAAGTGTGATTACAAAGTTGGCTCCCTAAACAATATGCCTCTTTTGGAGAGCTCCAGCGATAGTTGTTATGAAATGGGTCCTATTGAGGGCTGTCGAGATACGATGGTCCAGAATCTTGAGGAGAGCGAGGTCGATGGAAGAATAGGCGTCACACGAGCAAACTCGAGGATCTCAACCGAACCCACGCTCAACGCCATTACTATTATAAACTCCAGACTCTAGACGACAAGGATCCAGCCAAGATAGGAAGGCGATCTCACATTTGTTCTCACTGCAAGAAGCCTGGCCACAATATTAAGACGTGTCCCAAGTTGGCTGCACAAAGGGCGAGGGAGGCCGTGAAGAAGTCCGCTAAGAGGGGAAGAATGCCTTGGACGAGGAAGCAGTGATTAGGACCGCCAAGAAA